ACGTAGTCATGATCTTCCGAAGTTTCTTAGCCGTGCGTAGATTTTAGCTAGATGGAAAGTAAAAGTACCCGCTTAGAAACATCCCTAGTTGCTGAAGCAAGTTTATTTCTAAGTTGGCATCGTGTTCTTCTTTTTGACCGAGAAGGCCGATTCCTTTGAGCATCTTCAACTCGTTTTCTTAAAAAATCATCATCATCGACACTCACCATATACCACGGTAATATCGCTATTCAAACAATCCTCCTTACCATTTTCTTGTTCTTCGACAACGTAGTAAATTTTCCCCTCTCTGGCTTCTTTAAGTTCCCTAAGGACTTTATACTTTCCATTCAGCACCTGCCCAATCATGGTACAGTTGCGAACCTATGGACAAAAAACTGTAGCTCCCAGTATTTTGAATTTCTAAAAGGGAAAAGTGATGGTGGGCTAGCGCGGGCATGGCATTTTTATTATTTGCATTTTCTCAAATCGCAATTCAAATATTTCCAAAATCAAAAATCAAAATCACCGTTAATTGAATTGAACAAATTTTCAAACTGATTCTCAAAAACTAATGAGTAACTAATGACGTTGAAGAAGCATCTGCTTTAGATTCTAAAGTTTAGAAATATCAAATTTATGTACGACACAGAAATGATTTTGGAAATCACGAGCGACTTCGTTTTGAATGCTTTTCCAAAAACAGACTCAGTAGAAATTTTTGACATTTGACTTGACAAATTATCTAATCCAAGAAAATCTATTTGATTTGGAAAGATACCGTAAATTCGAAATCGAGGGTCATGTTTTCTAAAACGCTTGGAAAAAAATAGTGTTTGGAATAAGCACACGTGGCGGGCTTGCTTTCTTTATCGCTTGATTACGGAAATAAATTTCGAATAAGAGTGTGCAGCAAATTTAATTTGCTCATTTTTCATATGTACAATTTATCAAATTTGCTGATGGAAAAGGAAAAACAGCAGCTGTCTTGAAGACTGCGCTTTGCAACCTGTGTATAAAACCTGAGTCAGGATTTGAATATCTTAAATGAAAAGCTAAGCGGCTTCGCACGTAGATAAAAAAAGACTGTAATAGTAATATCGCGAAGCCGTAAGATCTTCAAATCCTGACTCAGGTTTAATACACAGGTTGCCGAGTCAAGCTGACGTTTTTTTCAACGAAAAAGTCGTCAAATCCCCTTTTTTCCCTTAATTTTCTTAAAAAGGAAGGAGACACGTACCGAGTTTTTGTCGAGTTTATTTTCAAGTGTCATGAGCCGGATGGAACCGCCTTAAATCTTGTGCGGATTTCCTAAAATTCAACCGCAAGGAATAAAATAATGCATGTTACGACCCTCAAATTACAAGTCGCATATCTTCACTGTAGCTACTGTAGCGATAACTAGTTTTGAAGCTTTCAAGATTAGAATTCTTCAATAAAAATCCGCTTGCTACTTGGAAGTCTAAAAATGAAGCACGATGTAATTACAGCTCTGATAAAGTCAGGGCATTCCTTCAACTTTTCGCGAACTTTCTAAAAACTAAAGCGTCTGAGATAGATGGCTTCCGCATTATGACAAGAAAAGAAAGAACGCCTAAATCTTTCTAAAAAAATGAAGTCCAAAGCATTTTTTTTCGGGGAATTTCTATCCATTTTTAGACCAATCAGATGTACAGTGAAACCCTAACTTAAGGCCAAGCAACTTAAGGCCACTTTTTTGAAAAATCCCCAAAATCTGTCATTCGCCTTAACGGCCAATCAGACATCAGAAAAATATTATAACACCGTTCAAAAAAGGAGGGTTGGAAATTTACCTTTTTTTATCGATTTTCTCTGATATTTGATTGGCCTATTAGTTAAACAACTAAATGCAAACATCTGATACTATCAGACTGATAGGTCGAAAATTTGACCAAAATTTTCCGGAATTCATGCTTGTAGTCTCATTTTTCAAAAGGCTAAAATTTATAAATTTATAATTTTATAATTTATAAATTATAAAAAAATCAAAGAAGTGAGTCAATGAGCAGCAAAATTGCCAGTTCATACAGTCATATTTTTCAGGAGATAAATTCATTACGGTTTTTGCGGAATGACGTAAATATTTTCTTTTGAAATACCATTCCCCAGATTACATTCGTATCTATCCGGACCTAACTTCAGGTTTGCGGTATTTTGATCCAAGGGTTCTAATAAGGCAAAAGCAGGAATCGTTAGAAGTTCAGAAAGTCACCGCTTTCGGAAAATCGTTGTTGCAAACAATGTCAAGCGGCGAGTCAGATAATGAATACTGCTACGTTCGCAACCTCTATCTGTCAAAGCGAAAAAAATTTTATTCAAGTGGAATCACCTTTTGTGCTCTCGCTCTAGAGAAAGTGCAACTTTGCTTATTCAAAATACCGCATTTTCATTTTACCGAAAATATATTGACGGTGATTTTGATAAATATGATTTCCCTGACCAGAGTTGCAAATTTGCTGAGCTGAGTGAGCTGAGCTGGCTGTGTGAGCTGAGCAGTCGCTCAGCTCAGCTCAGCTCAGTGATTTTGGAAAATGATCTGATCTGCTCAGCTCAGACAATTTTCACTCAGCTCAGCTCAGCTCAGCTCAATTATTTTCGAGCATGATCTGTTCTGCTCAGCTCAGCTAAGCTCAGACAACTATCATTTAGCTTAGCTCAGCTCAGCTCAATGATTTGAGTACAATTTTACTACCAAAAAACAGTAAAAAACAGCTCAGCTCAGCTCAATCAGCTCAGCTCAGCTCAGCTCCGCTCCGCTCAATGACCTCCGAAAAAGGCCAGCTCAGCTCAGCTCAGTAACCTCCGAAATAGGCAAGCTCAGCTCAGAGAAATTTTTACTCAGGTCAGCTCAAATTTGCAACTCTGTCCCTGACCGACTTTTTTTGTCTTCTGAGAATCGTTGCTTCTTGGAAGTGAGCAAAAGTCTTGAATAATAAGAGCAAAAGAAAACCAGTTATTTCCTCTTCGGCAGAAGCCCTCCCTTTCTAGCACTAGAATCGAAGAATAGGGGCTTGTCGTTTTTGCCCAGTTCACAGAAAAAGGAACCAATTTTTCTGAAAAGAGTTTTGATTGTTCGGTAGGCAAAATAGAGCAATCTTATTGGTCTTCAAAAACATACTTCTTTTTCTTGGTTTTTGCCAAAGAAACGGGAAGAACCAATTTTCGGAACAGATTTTAATGAGTAGGGTTTTGATTGGCCGGTAGGCCAAATACAGCAATCTTATTGGTAATCGAAAAATTCACTTCCAAATATTTGTTTAGTCTGAAAATCGACGTTAAAGTACGCTCTAAATTTGCATTTTCTCGATTTTCCGGACTGTATACAGTAAAAACCCAAAAATTTGCCGGTTTTCAGATGTAAATTCCCGAAAAAGCGGCCAAATTCTGGGTTTTTTGCCGGGTAGCCAAGTTTCCCCTTCAAAAAGCAAAAATTCGAAATTTTTGAAAATCGGCATGATTTTCACATTTTTGATGAATTTTGTTCAAATTTTTGCTTGTTTGAAGACATTCTTATTAAAATTTAGTCATTTTTAATGATTCAAACACTTTAAAAAAGCTAAAAATGATCAGGAATAGCATGATTTGGGCCGAATTCTGATTAAAAATTTTTTATTTTTGGAAAAGCGGCCAAATTTAGGGTTGATTTCAGGTTCCAAAAAGGCGGATTTAGAGAAAAAGCGGCCAAATTTTGGGTGGGCAATTTTTGGGTTTTCACTGTATACAATATGCTTCTAATCTTAACCCTAACTGTAATCTCAACCTCTTCAATCAGCTCCTGATCAAGTTAGAATGAAATCATAGAGTTACAAAATTTTAAATATTATTATTGAAAAAGATGTGTCCTTGAATTTAACGCGGTGTTCTGAAAAAACATCAATGTTGTTTTTTTATATCTGCTTAGAAGAAGAAAACGCTCTATTTTTCTATTCCTACTCTGAATAAAATCAATTGGAAACTTTTCTTGGAAGTTTGAACTTTTGAATCGCAGTCAACAAATAAGGCCGCCACGGGGCCAATGCATAAACGTCAACCCTCTAGCCTTATTCTGTCTGAGTTATTCGAGCGGCGTCTAAAGCGGGGCAGAGAACAAACTCTCGCTTACGCTGATCTCTGACCCAAAATACTTTACGAGCGCGATTGCTTTTTTACCGGAGTTGCTCACTTTGGCGGCTTCTACGCTCAAGCACGTAAATAGGAAAAGTCAATGAATGCATACTCGAACCGAGCGGGGAGTACCAAGTCAAGTGCTCGCTAAATGGCTTTTGGAAAGTATAATTTTGAGCACAAGAAATTTGAATTTTTCTTCGAAACAATCAATTTAAAATTATTGAATCTTGCAACAACAATTACGACTGACTAAAAAAGAAACTAAAACAATTTATGGAAGTGGATGTCTGGATAACCAATAAGATAGCTGTCTTTAGCCTACCGGCCAATCAAAACCCTGATGCTTAAAATCATTTCCATAAATTGGTTAAGCCCTAAAAAATACAGTTTACTTCACTGATTTGTCTAATGTTATTTTAAAGATATATAATAATATAAATAAATATTGTTTTAATAGATAATACAGCAGGTCAAATACAGTAGGTCAAATACAGCAATCTTATTGGTATCCAGAGATGACATTTCCTTTTTGCATTTGCCTTAAAAAATGTGGCTCTATTATCATTTTCTATTTTTGCTTTGACCCATATTTTTGAGCTCAACCAAAAATTCAGGCGACGACATGAAAATACAGCAACGTTAATCTAATCGAAAATTTCCAGGGCTAAAGAATGAGATCAATCAGAGGAAGCGGACTTATCCTGGGCTGGGCGGCGCGCAAAAGTAGCTTTACGCGCGGCGTAAACGAACTCGCGCGCACCACCGTGCACCATGCACCGCCAACGACGACCCATTGACATGAGCTGGATGCCACCTTGCGACCCAGTTTCCAATATAAGCGCGTTTATGGCCCTTGCTCAAATCATACTCAGCCAAAGAGAAAAAACGAAGAAATGAAGCTGTTGTCAGCAGTCATTTCTTCAGCTTTAGCTGCCAGAGAGCCAGAGTAAGTATTTTTGCGAATTTTATTTTTTATTTTTTTTTGCAATTTTTTTACCAATTTATAGTTTTTTTGGGAAAATTTCATCCCCTATTCTGTTTATTCATAAATCTGATCGAAAATTCTAGTGCCGAAAGGCGACTCGAGAAGATCACAGCTCGAGCAACTGAGCTCAATGCATTCGTCCAGTCCTACGACAAATCATCCCAGAAGCAAAAAGACTCCGTTGACAAATGGGTGACCCGACTCCTCGCCGACCTCAACAACATCGACACGTCCAAATGCCCCCTTCCAGCGGAAGAAGATCGATACAACGACGAAATCGACACGATCGAAGATCTCTGCTCCGGCGCTGAACGAGTTCCCTCGATGATTCGAAGCTACGCTAGAAGATTCGGCTGCGTGGAAGGATTCCCAAAGCGAAAATTCTTGGAGAAGGTGATCAAGCGATCCCATAAGCTGAAAAAGGTCGCCCTCCGAGCTGGACGATGCAACAAGCCCGCTCCGACCACCGAACCAACTCCAACCGAGGAGCCATCAACTCTCGCCCCAGTGACTGGCGTCTGTGACGCGGACCAACACGCTGTCTGCAGCAGTCTCGGAAACTCGGAGATTTTCTTCGAAAACGAATGGACTTGCCGAAACTGCTTCCGAATCAGAGCCTACTACGGAACTGGCGGTGGCTTCACGTTCAACCCAAGAAAGGATTTCGTCAGCATCAAGTTCACCGAGCCAGTCTACTTCCAGAAATGGAACCATCCAATCCATCCGGACGGACCAGTTGAAGTTGCAGGAAGCAACAAGCACCACTGGAAGATGAACTTCAAGGAAGACGGCAACTTCCTTTCTGGAATGATGTTCGACGCTGAACTCATCACTTCCGATCTTGACCTCTGGGTTGATGGCCAGTGGATCATCGACTCTGCCCAGTCCTGCAGATGCAAAGACGGCCCTCCACCACCACCCGAATGCGTTCCAGCTGATCCATGCAGCGGACGAGAAAACTGCGAAGCCTTCGTCGATAGCTGCGGAATCACTCCATCCAGAAACAACAATATTGCCACAACTACTGGTTCGCCAGCTTTCAAGGTTTCCGCTGAAGTCAAATGCGGAGAGATTCCTGATGATTGGCAAAACATCATCCACATCAACGCTGGCAGCAGATGGGACGTCCTTGGCGACAGATACTTTGCTCTTTTCGCTGGCCCTGAGACGATGAAATTCAGCGCTCCACTCAAAAACTCTGGAAACGTCCCCGGCGGCGGAAACTTCATGGTCAACCACTACCCGAGCTGCACTCCTGGCGAGTGGAACAAATACCAAGTCGAGCAGCGATATACCGACGCTGAAGACACTCTCGAGCTCACCATGTCGATCGATGATGAAGTCTTTGTCACTCGAATTGTCGACGTAGCTGATGCTTACAGCGGTGATCTCTTTGTCGATGTCTCCAACGACTATCACGATTCTGCGACTGGCTTTGAAGTCAGAAACTTCTACCACCAGACCTTCCCTGAAGCTGAACCTTGCGACCCAGTTGACCCATGCGAGGGACGAGACAACTGCGATACTCTTGTAGATAGCTGCAGCATCCGACCTCAGCACAGCACTCAAATCGGATCAGTCGAAGGAAACGCTGTCTACAGCGCTAGCGTTGATGTTTTCTGCCGCCGAACTGAAGGTCACTCCTGGCAGAGCGTCGTCCACATGACTCAAGGTGGATACAGAGAGAACTTCGGAGACAGATACTTCACTATCTGGCAACGAGATGATGGAAAGCTCAAAATCAACGCTCCTCTCAAGGGCAACACTCAATTCGACGAGGTCGAATACTTTGTCGACTGCGAAGATAACTCCTGGACTAACATCGCTGTCAAGCAAACTCAGATCGATTTTGGCCGACTCGAACTCACCGTCTTCCAAGATGAAAACGCTCTCGGCTCCAACATCATCCACCACACTGATGCCTTCGTCGGCCCAGTTGAGGTCTGGTCCGGAAACAGCTGGTTCGAACCTGCCAGTTTCTTCAAGATCAAGAACTTTGTCCACTCATCCCGACCCTATGAACCTGAGCCATGCGATGCAACTGATCCATGCGAAGGTCTTGAAAGCTGCGAGACCTTCCAGGACAGCTGCGGAGTCGCTCCATTCAGAGGAAACCGACTTGCCGAGTCTAACGGACATCTCGGATTCAAAATCTCCGCTGAGGTTCAGTGCACTGACCGAGTTGCTCCTTCCTGGGAAAACGTTCTCCACGTTCACACTGGCACCAACCGAGAGAACTTCGGTGATCGGTACTTCACAATCTGGAAGGAAGCCAACAAACCCGACGGAATCAGAATCGTCGCTCCGGCCTTTGAAAACCCTCTTTACGAACTCAACGCTTACGTTTCCTGCTCTCCCGGCTGGCATACGTTCACCGTCCAACAATCTGAGTCCAGCAAGAACTACATGCTCCTCGAAATTTTGATGGACGGAGTTGTTGTCGAATCTCAGGAAGTCCGAAAAACTGATACATACCAGGGCCCACTCTTTGTCGAAGCATCCAATGAATTTGCTTGGCCGGCTGCCTATGATCACGTCGTCCGAAACTTCTACCACCAGGACATCACCTGCTACGATCCATGTGAGGGCAAAGATAACTGCGAGACCTTCATCGATTCTTGTGCCATCAACCCCGTTCGAAACAACCGCCTCACTAACATCGTCGCTTCCGTCAACCACGTCACATCTGTCGATGTCCTCTGCACTTACGTCGAGTCCAGCAGCTACATGAACTTTGTGCAGATTACAAACGAGTCCATGGACGGAAACCCAGGAAACCGATTCTTCGTTGTCAACCGACGACCTGACTCTCAAGGAATCACAGTCACCTTCAACAACCCCGATGCGTCCAGATACATGTCCGGAACAACTCCCTTCGAATGTGTCCCCGGCGAATGGTACACCTTCCAACTCGAACAAAGACAAGACGAAGCCAACCCAGCTGTCACCAACATGGTTGTCACCATCAACGGCGACGTTGTCAAGGAAGTCTCCACTGCCACCAGCGGAGTTATCAATGGCGGCGAATTCAAAGTCATGGCTTCGAACAAGTGGAACAGCGCTGCTGAGGACTACTCAATCCGAAATTTCTACTACCAGACCTTTGAAGAAGTTCCTTATTGCTTTGATCCATGCGACGGAGAAGATGGCAACTGCCAGACTCTTGTCGACTCTTGCGAAATCAATCCATCCCAAAACAACCAGCTCGATTCAATCACCGCTTCTGTGAATTTCGACTTGTCTTTCGATCTTCTCTGCTCAAACAACATGGCGCACGGAGAATGGACCAACATCCTCTGGATCGTACGAGCCAGGGATAACCAACGAATGATGGGTCTCTTCAAGAACAGTGATGATCACCGACTCCGCCTGAATACTGCTAACCCAGAAGTCACCGGCACCGCCAATCCCTTTTTGTCTAAAGGATGGAGTGAATGTACCGATGGAGAATGGTCAACTATTCGATATCACCAACAACAGAACGCTGCTAATCCAGCTGTCACTGACGTCACTGTAACCAACAACGACGAAGTTGTTATTTCAGCTAGCTTTGCCACTGGACTCGTGACCAAGGATGAGGAACTCGAAGTCTTCGTCTCCAACCATTTCAACCCATCTGGTTCTGACTACGCTATCCGAAACTTTGTCTACAAGACTTCTGAAGAAAATCTCGGCTCTGATCCATGTGATGGCAAAGCCAACTGCGTCACTTTGATCAATTCTTACGCCCAAACCCCGGCGAAGAACAACCAGATCGGCTCAATCACCGCTGCAATCAACTTTGAAGTTGCTGCTAACGTCCTCTGCACCGACGAAATGGATGTTGATGAGTGGTACAATCTCATCCACATGACCATAGGCGGCAATAATGGTGAACTCGGTGATCGATTTTTCAAGATCTCGCAGAAGAGAGGTTCTCATGAGCTGATGATCAACATGGCCAGCCCCGAAGAGGATAACGGAACTCGAGGTACTTTCCACATTTGCACACCAGGTGAATGGAACGAATACAAGCTCGTCCAGGCGCAAAATCCTGACTGGCCATCGCACACCTACTCGACCGTTTATGTCGACGGAGTTGAGATCTTCCAGATTCGATCTGACACCCACGAAGTCCTTAATGGAGATAATATCGACGTCTTCTTCTCTGATAACTGGCATCAGTCCGCTGACGCTTATCACGTCCAGAACTTCTACTACCAGACCTTTGCTGATATCGACTATGGAATCATCCCGTTGAAAGACTGCCGAGAAGAAACTCTCTGCGAAATCGTCGGTGATGACTCTCAAGCCGCCATCAAGGACTACCATGTTGCCACTGTGACAGCTGCAGTCAACTTCGGAATCTCCGTTGATGTCCTTTGTGAGGCAATGCCTGTTGGCAACTGGTACAATCTCATCCACATGACTATGGACGGTAACAATGCTGTTCTTGGCGACCGATTTTTCCTCGTCTCCCAGCACACTTCAACTGAAGAACTCCTCATCGACGTTGCTGATCCAAACCAGCCAAACGGAAGCTCCGGCCGACGCGCCGCATGCCCAGCTGGCGAGTGGATAACCATCGAAGTCGATCAGTCTCAGGACGCATCTGACCCAAGTGTCACTACTTTCACAGTCAACGTCGATGGCGTCGAGATTTACTCTCGATCGGCTGCTACAGAAGCTGTTCTTGCAAGCGGAGAAGTCCAGGTCTACGTTTCTGACCCATGGCACCGAGCTGCTAGCTCCTACCAGATCAAGAGATTCGTCTACGAGCGATTCGCTGATGTCCCCCTCGGTCCCCAGAACTGCAACGACGTCGACAACTGCGTCATCGTCGGTGCTGATTCCGTCTCTCCCGTCCAGGGCAATCTTGCCGCCACAATCACCGCTGTCAAGAACTACAAATTCTCGATCGACATCAAGTGCGACCACTCTCTCCCCTTCGACGGCTTCAAAAACATCTTCCACGTAACCACTGGCCCCAACGACGGCGTCTACGGTTCTCGCCAGTTTGCCATCTGGAGATCGAGCAACGAGAACAAAATGCACATCACTACCGCTAATCCAAAGGCAGCAGGTGGTCACTCGAGAAATTACTTCAACTGCATCGACGGAGAATGGAACACCTACACTTTCGAGCAGCACCAACAGGCTCCCAACCGACGCCAATGGATCTGGTTTAAACTCTCCATCGACGGAGTCAGACAATACTCCAAACGATTCAACGACGACGACTATCCAGTCCTCGACGGCGAGCAGATGAACGTCTGGATTTCCAACGAAGCTGCCGACGCTGCTTCCACCTTTGAAATCAGAAACTTTTCTTACGAAAAATACCCAGATCTTTAAATCGAAAAAACTCCTTATGAAATTATTTCAAATTTTGCTACTCCTTCTGTAAATAACAACCCATTCTTCTCTATCTATCTTTATTAATAAAAAAATCAAAAAAACATCGGTCTTCTATCTTTAGCAGGGTAAAAAGCATTCAGTCATTCCGCATTGTCGTAAAAAGAATAAAATTTGCAAAAAGCTTGTTTTTAAACCAAACGGACATTGTTTTACGTGACAATTTTGATGACAAACCTACCGAGTGGTATAAACATTAATTTTGCAATCGAGCCCGTTGGAAGATCTAAAAAGCTATTTTGATTAAATCATCTTATCCAGCCAGTTGCTAAAAACTGACATTTTGACCCACGTCATCATAAAAAGAAAGAAAACGCGACATAACCTCTAGTAGAGGTCCTCTACAGAACTAGGCGGGGTTTATGAAAGGTTCAGAATTTGCACTGTCACTCGGGAAGCCAAGTCAAGTGCCCCCACTTAATATGCGTTCTCCCAGCCTAGTTTTCTTAAAATATTCGACTTGCAAAAAGACACTGGTCATTTTAAGTGCACGCCCTCCAAAGTTTACAAATTGACATACTTGTTGCTTTCAAGAAAATGAACAATTTACACGTCAGAATTTTAAGTTTTCAATTATCTCCAAAGATGCGGACTGTCCTCGTTTAAGGAGACCCCCCCCCCGTCAGCTTTTTCTTCGAAAAATAAAATTTTTTTAAAACACCATATTTTTGGTTCTTCATGCGTCCTCAGGTTAAATTTGCTTCAAAAACTTGATAAGAAGAATTTTTGACCAAGAAAAATCAATATTCTCGCCAAAATTAGGGAAATTCGTCAATTTTCGGCAAAAAGTCCAATTTTCAAATGCGATTTTAAAATTGCGATATTTGATTTTTCGAAATAGCTGATCTTAATTTCTTTGAGCAGTCTTTTTTGCCTTTTGTTTTATGATTTATAATTTTTATTAATCTCAATAAGCACCAGTTTATTATCACGTCCAGAAGCAAAAATGAACCTGACTGGCCTTTTTTGTAGGAAGAATACAAAAGATAGAAAACGACCTTTTGGGGCAGATTAGAGAAGAAGTTCAGCTGTTCCGAAACTGTCAGGCCTAGCCAATTGAACCCGGCCTATTCCCAACAGCGATAGAGCAGGAGTGAAGATGAACGAAGATTCTTTTATTTTTCTCGAGTAGCGAAATTTTATTGCATTGTTTTTTTAAATCCCCTGACTTGAGAAATAATTATGGGCTCTCATTATCGGAACATTGACGCCTCTCTTCGGTACTCTTCTTTAGAGAAAGGAATCGGCTAGACGTTCATTATTCTTATTTGACACTGTCTAAGATAGTCTGCATGATCTATTTTCTTAAATATTTTGGCCGATTCTAACCCTGGAAAAAGAGGACATAATGAAGGAGACAGAGGACGACCCGGAATATGACTAGGGTGAATTTACAAAAAAATCAACTTTTTCCCTATGAATGCTGTCTCGTTGAAACTTGGCATGGTGAAAGATCATGCCCGAGTTTCTTCACAAAATTTTTTCTTTTAAATTTTTTTCGTTTTTCAACCCTTTTCGCCCCCATAAAAGGCTATCTTTTGAGCGCCTCAAGTGTCGGTGCTCTTTTTGGCCGGAATCGAAGCGCGGTCGGCTTCTGATCATCTTCCGAAAAAAATTTAGTGAAGCTATCACCGATGACTCAGAATCGGCATTTTAGTGTTACGTAACACTGTTATGTAACATAACTACTAAATGACAATAAGTCCTCCACTAGAATAATTGATGGTAATTTGGTGAAATTTTGGGACGGTAGGTATTGGCCCCAACTAAAAAAATTGTAATTGAAAATTTTTTGGTCTGACCACGTGATCACGCGATACTGGCGATTCTTCTTAAAAGGAAGACTCGATTTAAAATATAAATTATTAAAAAATAAGAATGCTATTTATGGCAATATTTTTGGCCCCGTTCCTTGGTTTTTTAATTTAAGGGGCTTGACGGCCCTTCGGGCCGTCTCAGCCCCGTTCCTTGGTTTTAATTTAAGGGCTTGACGGCCCTTCGGGCCGTCTCAGCCCCGTTCCTTGGTTTTAATTTAAGGGCTTGACGGCCCTTCGGGCCGTCTCAGCCCCGTTCCTTGGTTTTTAATTTAAGGGGCTTGACGGCCCTTCGGGCCGTCTCAGCCCCGTTCCTTGGTTTTAATTTAAGGGCTTGACGGCCCTTCGGGCCGTCTCAGCCCCGTTCCTTGGTTTTAATTTAAGGGCTTGACGGCCCTTCGGGCCGTCTCAGCCCCGTTCCTTGGTTTTAATTTAAGGGGCTTGACGGCCCTTCGGGCCGTCTCAGCCCCGTTCCTTGGTTTTTAATTTAAGGGGCTTGACGGCCCTTCGGGCCGTCTCAGCCCCGTTCCTTGGTTTTAATTTAAGGGGCTTGACGGCCCTTCGGGCCGTCTCAGCCCCGTTCCTTGGTTTTAATTTAAGGGCTTGACGGCCCTTCGGGCCGTCTCAGCCCCGTTCCTTGGTTTTAATTTAAGGGGCTTGACGGCCCTTCGGGCCGTCTCAGCCCCGTTCCTTGGTTTTAATTTAAGGGGCTTGACGGCCCTTCGGGCCGTCTCAGCCCCGTTCCTTGGTTTTAATTTAAGGGCTTGACGGCCCTTCGGGCCGTCTCAGCCCCGTTCCTTGGTTTTAATTTAAGGGGCTTGACGGCCCTTCGGGCCGTCTCAGCCCCGTTCCTTGGTTTTAATTTAAGGGCTTGACGGCCCTTCGGGCCGTCTCAGCCCCGTTCCTTGGTTTTTTAATTTAAGGGGCTTGACGGCCCTTCGGGCCGTCTCAGCCCCGTTCCTTGGTTTTTTAATTTAAGGGGCTTGACGGCCCTTCGGGCCGTCTCAGCCCCGTTCCTTGGTTTTTTAATTTAAGGGGCTTGACGGCCCTTCGGGCCGTCTCAGCCCCGTTCCTTGGTTTTTTAATTTAAGGGGCTTGACGGCCCTTCGGGCCGTCTCAGCCCCGTTCCTTGGTTTTTTAATTTAAGGGGCTTGACGGCCCTTCGGGCCGTCTCAGCCCCGTTCCTTGGTTTTTTAATTTAAGGGGCTTGACAAAGGCCTGGAAATCTGAGTTGATCAGTCTCAGTTTCGTCCCCAACCCCTCCCACCTCCATCCAATGTAAAAATTTATATTTTTCATTTTTAAAGTCTAGTTATGGTTTTTATTGATAATTAAAAAAAACTTCTCTAACGAGAATTTACTTAGAATTTTATGAATCCAAAATAAAAATTGAAAAAAAATTAATATTCGGGCTCCGGAGCCAAAAAACCGAAAAAAATTGGAAAAAAATCGGTTTTTCGGAGGCTCCACCCTTAAAATTTTTATTAATTATATTTTTACGGGGAAGCTTTGGACCAGCCCTTTTTATGATCTATTACAATGCAAAGAATTATTTGTCTTCCACCAAGTTATTTTCTTCCACCGGCTTTAAAAAAGGTCCTCCGGGTCATTCCTGATCGATCTGAAAGAGCTTCACTAAATTTTTTTATTTCAAAATGATCAGTTTTTTCAGGCGCTTCGAATGAGCCTAGTCACGTTCTCGTAACTTGAGGCGCTCAAAAGTTGAGTTTTTCGGCTATTTTAGAGGGCGCTAGAAGAAAATCACGTGACATATTTAAAGAAAAACTCTTCGATATGAGATTCATATGCATGGGAAAAATTGCATACAAAATTTGAAAGCCGTACGACCCCTAGATTAAAAGTTGATTTTTGTAAATTCACCCTAAATATGACCTCACGCAAATTTATACAGAACTTTATAGGTGATCTCCGAACATGATTGAATTTATCGATAGTTTTATTCAGCAAAGTTGGGCAAGGAAAAATCGCCGACATCAGCTTTACTGACGAGTTTTCTGAGCTTTCTTACCAGACGAATATCGACAAATATTTAGACTTAGCAACGGATCAAAAATTAAAGATAATTTTTTCAAAAGCCTTTCCATCTTTTCGATCCAAAATTCAGTGCTTCTCGTACACTGCCAAAAACTCTACCACCTAGACGAGATCTTAGAAAAGAAGCGCGCAAGTGAACTCGCTATCCGAGCTGAGCTTAAGGCGCTTTTGCCGCCGAAAATCGCCAAATTTGTCGTTCCAACTTTGGAGGTCAAGCAAGTGCTTCTCAACCCCGTCAAGTTTATCAACAATCTCGAGGACGAGTACAAGGATTTTCGCGAAACAAATAAAGGTGTGGAGGAAGAAGACTCGTTGGAGTATCTTTTCAGAGCTATTCTAGGAAAGCGGCTTTCCTACAGCGATTGAAGAACAACTCATTAGTAGTTATCAACAAAAAGAAAGCCAATAAAAGCGTCGTTAATTTTACGAATGAATGGCGTTTACTTGAAAAACTACAGTTTCCACAATGCAGCTCGATTCTGCAAAGAACTGGCAATGAACAGACTGGAGGGCTTTGCCATTCAAGTCTTTCAAGGGATGAAGGCAAAAGGCTTCGAATATTTGACCTCGATCGTCGACAAAGAAGGATATCGCCGCGTACCGTTGATCCGAATCGCCCAGCGAGCTGGTCTTTTTGAATTGCTCTCCCAAGATCTTGTGCAGCGTCAGCTCGATATTATCTATGCTGGTGGATTAAAGAAGAGCTCTTCAAATTTCTTCAGCCAGTCGACAATAGGTATCTAATGCCAGCCAATTTATTCCCAAATGTGCGTTCTTTCAGTTTATATCCTTGGATTGGCGACGATGGGACTTTTTCCAGCAATTTTCTGCCCCGATTTCATCAAATTTGACAAAACAAAGTACTTTCTCAGGAACTAGGGTGGGCCAATTTACTAATCATAAGAGGCAAAATTGGAATTCGCTTGCCAATCAAAAGTCGATTCTGGTTGATCTTGGGGCAAGGGGTTCTTCGGCCAATAAGAGTCCAGTATTTGCTCGATGAGCCAATAAATGAATATCTCTTTATAGTTTTGCCCACCCTAGGTCAGAAAGTTCTGGCGGGACATTTTCGGACCAGGCTATGTAACATTCGAAGGCGGTTCGCTCAAAAGATTCAACATTTCAACAACCTCCATGACCAAAACTACTTCAAAACACCGGCCGATTCAAAAGCAGTTCTCAATTTCCGAAGAGTCAAACACTTCTTCCAGCCCCGACGATTGCATCATCGTCTCCAAGGGCGAAAAAGTCAACCATTCCTTTTCCGACAAATTCCGCGACTTCCTCTACCGCTGGCTCACCTGGAACTTTTCGACAAAAGTGATCATGCTCAACAACCTGATCACCGACTGCATCATTCTCTTCTTTCTCATGTACCTTGCCGTGGCGAAGCTCAGCTATCACTCGAACCAGTGGGACTTTGTTTTCATCGCGATCTTCGGTTGTCGGATTTTCCACCGGTTGCGGACTTGGTTTGCCAGAAAAATCTTCTTCGACTCTGAACACGCTTGGACAGTGCCAATTCGAATCGGTTTCGTCGAAAAAGTCAACATCTTCGCGATCTTGATTTCCATCCTTTTCATAACTACGAGATGGGAATTTGTCAATCAAACGCCTCGCTACGTTATGGGCCCCCTTCTTCAAGACGACGCGAGTTTTTACATTGGAAACTACACGAAAGACATTGAAACATTCCAAGCTGGGCTCGGCAAATTGACTAGAGAGCCTAGGTCAGGGTCTGAAAGAGCTAAAATGAAAAGCCGCGCAGCTTTGCTAATATAATCATTGAAATCTATCAAAAATTCTGGCGAAGCGGCTTTTCTCATTTTAGTCTTTCAGACCCTGACTCAGGTTTTCTACTCAGGTTGCTAAGCCCAGATTCCAAGGCTCCAATCAAAAGGCGGTTCGAGAAAAATCCGACTTTGTCATGGAGTTTTACAACGATTTTAAAAACAACGATACAAGATCGTTCAACTACTACGAAAAACTGTACGATGGAATCAAATACATGCCCTTCCGTAGCCCTCAGAATTTCAACAACGCGATCAACAACTACTTTTTCGTCCTGCCGCCTTTTATGGTCGGTTCTTTGTACAAAACTCCGCTTGGAAATTCGACTGTTGAAGATAGAGAGTGCAGGGGCAACATCACTCACAGAATGAGAAATAACAAAGAAGACAAGGAAGAAGACTACCACTTTGCAGAGTGCTGCGAAAACAGGAATGTTAGCTGAAATTATTCACCAAGAAGTGTCTTTTTTTTGCCTAGCATTTTCAAGATCGATTCGGACTCTTACCGACGGTCAAACGGTCAAAGATCAAGGAACGAATGTTGTCATCAAGCTGCTGAAATCATCAGAGAACGCTACAGTTCCAATCTGCTACTTTAGCAGAGTCAAGAATATTTCATATCTTTCATTTGTCTGGAACGTTGTTTTTCTAAATGAAATGCACTTCATAATGTTGCTCGAAAACAACCTCCGAAAGCATCAACATTATGATTTTCTTTTCAATTTTCAACTTGCTTCGATTCGCCCGTTTGTCCGTCTTTATCGGTCCTCTGATTTATGCTCTTTACAGGACTCTTTTCGACGTCCTCAAATTTGTGCCGATTTTTTTGCTCTTATTCCTCGCCTATGGAATCATTCAAAACAACCTTCTTTTTCCCAATCAACAGGTAATTCTTCTCTAAATACAATGTTATAAGATGGCCATTTTTAGACAGAACGGGATGATGTTGCTTCTTGGGTTTTCACAGAATTTACGAATATCTTTAACCGGCCGTTTTTCCATGTTTTTGGAGAAATTTTCATCGCAGAAACAACTACTCATCGATACTACCACATCGAGGTCAGTTTTTTTCTTCGAAAATAATGCTAGAATTAAACCAAGGCGCCCTGCACGCATGCTTTCGGAGACATAAACTTGGAAGACAAAGTCCGCTGCCCAGAACGTAATGAAATTTCATCCTTTATCATGTCGGCCTATATGCTGGCTACGAATATTGTGATGGTGAATATGCTCATCGCCATGTTCAACGAAACGTATTTGAAGATGAAAAACGTAAGGACCAAAGGATTTCTTTTTAGAGCTTCTTTAGAACTCGAAATTGATCTGGGCGACAGACAGATACAAGTTCATTTTGGAAGAGTATCATTATTTCCCAAATATTTTTATTGGAGGAATTTTTCAATTTATCTTGTGCATCTGGTTCCTCATTTGCTTATTGATCCGATTCCCCGGTAAGTTTTTCAGAAGAAATTTTTCGTAATAAATTCAGTTTGGTTGGTCGTGAAAATAAAACGAAGAAAGGAAAATGCCAAGTCTCAAACAATTTTGTTTGACCAGCGCCTCGTCGGGCGAATTCTCCCAAGAAGGCCTGTTCATTCTGATCCTTTCGTTTTCCGAAGAAGGACGAAGGAATTTGTCATAAGCGACGAAGACGGCCCAGAAGAAAATCCAGCTTTTGAAATATTACACTAGAATATCAAATAAAAATGCAAGATATAATTCGCCTTCAATATATAAGACAAAGAACAAAGCCAACAGTACCGAGCTTTGAAAAATACCTAGAAAAAGTAGGTTTTTGAAGCTGAAAATTGTGTCATGGACCGTTTAAGTTGTCAAACAAAAGCCAATCTAATTGAATATATCTTTGAAAATAGCCTTTCACAACAAGCAAGTTCAACTTTGTTCAAATAATTGACAAGAGAAGTTTATTCGCGAATGTTGTAAATCGAAGATTTGAATACCGATAGGCCAACGATGAAACTTGCTCTTTCTCTTTTTGCGCTTTCAAAAGCCAACCCATTAAATGAGAGGGTCTTTCGCGATGCCGTGGACAAAATTGCCCGTGAGAGCAGCAAGGACCGCGAGGATTTCGCTAGATTTGTCAACAATCGTGATGACACGTAAGATAGTTTCCTGATTTATCTTTGCTCATAAAGTTTTAACCGTTTTTCGACAAGTTTAGTCTTTTCGAGTTCGCTTGGGAATACTGCCATGAAGTTAACGAGCTCGAATTTGACGCAGGTCTTGACATTGATGAGCTTGCTCATTGTGGAACAGCTCTATGGGATGAGATCGGAGCTCTGATGTACGAAGACAAATATCCTCATTTAGGACAGGTTCTCTTCAGCCTCTGGGATGTAGCCGATTGGGATGGAAGCGGCTTGGTCGACTTTGATGAATTCCGCTTCGCGGAAACCATGCTTGCCGGTGTTTACGCTCTTGTCGCTTTCGACCGACACGATCGCAACGGAGATCGAGATTTGGACCTTGACGAGGTTTCTGAGTTCGAACATGACCGTGAGAAAGAGAATTATTCATCTAGATTAGATATTTTCCAGTGATGCCCGAGGGCGAGGAGTTCGGTAATGAGAGAGCAAAAACCTTTCACGAACTCTGGGAAGAAGCAGAGCTGTTCGGCGGCTACGAGAAAACTTACATTCCCGAGGTTGCCCTCTTCTTCCTTGAACTCTGGCGAATGGTGTTTGACAATTAAGGCTATTCTTAAGAATTTTTCGACAATATCGAATAAAAAAACTTACATCTTATTCAAATTTTAAAGAGACTTTTTTATTGATAATAAGGTGACAATTGGTTTCTAAAGAAAGTTGATCGTTGAGAAAAGAACTTTCGAAAAGCAAGCAATCAGTTTAGAGGAATTCGGGGAGTCCCTTGTAGACCTCAGCGGGGCACTTTGTGCCGACTTCGCAGACGTCACATTCTTCGCCATCCTTGAGGCACTTGGCGCAGGAAACGCAGTTGTAGACATCGTGGTCTTAAAAAAATATTCAAAAACGATGATACGGAGGCATTGTTTTTACCAGGATACTGAGTCTGCCAGTAGGCGAGACCGATGGATTTTTGGCCTTGAACGAAGGCAAACTCTTCCTTAGTGCAGTGCTTGATGCACTCGCAAGCAGCGCAGCAGGTGATGCTGAAAGTGCAGCAAAAGCAGGGGGCTTTTTCGTCGGCGAAGACTGAGGACTCACCAACCAAGGCGTTGGCAGAGGCGGCAGCGACAATTGCAAGAAGGAGCTAAAATAATCATTTTAAAACAATAATTTTGGAGAATTTTGGAGCTTTTTTTTGGATTAATCCATCAGATGTACTGTCAAAATTTTATCTGATTGTTACCTTCATTTTTCCGATTTTTTCAATTAATGATATTTTCAGCAGATTTCAGCCGATTATATATGGGCGCGCATCTGCGTTTTCCTCCATACTGGCTCCACCTCTTTATGGGAATGCAAATTTAAATTTCGAAATATCATTGACATCGAAGAATGATACCGTATCAAATACTTTACGGCTTGGCAACCTCTGAAAAAAACCTGTGTCTGATTCAAAAAAGCTGACTTTAGAACCTAACTCAGACTTTCCACAGAGTTTCCTGTGCGCAGAGTAAGGATATCCGCCAAAAACATTGTCTAAATTGGTTCTATGAGGATAGAGTTTTATGAAAAATCAGCAATTGCAATAAAATGCAACAAAAGTGCCAGAAAAGATCTGTTTAAAATCCCGTGTTACCCGCGTATGAGCCTCAAGGATCTCAAAATTTATGACACCGACAGGATGGCTGTTTGCCTTCCTTATTGAAATTTTGAAAAGCTCATAAAGATGATAGAAAGTGCAAATGCCGCGCACGAATCTTGGCATCAATTTCGCCAAACATGAAGTATGTTTTTTCGAGTTTCCAAGACCTCGCCCATAAGAGTCAATATTATCAATTCTTACCAAATGAACATTTGTAAAGGAAGGACACGTGTGGCGTCTTCATTGAAGACTCTTCAATACTGCATAATAACGTATAATATGATCATCTTATGGGAAAATTCCAACAGAAAAACCGAACTTTTACTCTTTGTTCTTCTTGTTGTGTCTTAAATACTGTGTGTCCATCTTATTTCAGCCAAGTCTCCTTATCAAGTGACTTTGAACTTGAGGTCATTTTGACTATTAACAGTAGGGGTGGTCAATTTGGGAGGTTTTTTTCGGCCAATTTCTTTGAAAACTCCCAAATTGACCACCCAGCTGAAAATGATCAGATTTTCAAGAATACAAATTCTCTGGGGTGCTAAATTTTGCCGCAAAAGGCTAGCTAGGCTCTAGCCTTTTCGCCTGAATTCCCCTTAAATTTTTCGCCTTACTTCTAGGCTAGGCGAAATTTTTCCCCTTGGAAATTTTTCACGCGAAGGCTAGACTTTCTAGGCGAATACGCCTAACCTCGCATAGCCTAGCCTTTTAGGCGAATTCGCCTGGACATTTGGAACCCGGGTTCCAACCAGATCTCAGCTTATCAAATTATGATCGAGGAAACACTAGCCGTCATAAGGCGGTTCATTCTGGTAACTCTAGTGTGGCACCGTGTAGGGTTAGTCAAAAAAAGGTGAAGATATAAGTCAAACCTTCTGAAGGCTCCCGTAAAAAACTAAATATACTCGATATTCGATGCAATTTTGAATCTGAAAAGCGGTGGAATTGCGGATTCATTAAAAAATTCCATTTTTTTTTTGTTGGCTGATTTTCAAAATTTTTCGGAATTCGACCAAAAACTCCCAAATTGACCACCCCTACTGTATTTCGCCTCAAAAGTCTCAAAAATAGAGTAATTTCGGAAAAAGGATTAGAAAGGGGTCTGTCGGGAAACATCAGAAGACGCAACCATTTTGCAGTTAATGCTCTTGCGATTCGGAATCTGTATAGAAACCCTTTATTACTTCCGCATTCTAGAGGTGGTAGAAGAGAGTTGTGCAATTACTTATTGCCAATTAGCCTTGGTACAGACCAAGGTAATCCTGGCAAAATACTTGCCTACCATAGGAAATGTAAATTACATCTGGAAATTTTCCCAAATGTCAGTCAAATAATCCTTCCCACAATTTAAGACTTTGCTCATCGCGTTCCATTTGTACTCCTTCAAAAGTTAAAAATATTGATCCAGAAGAGCAGGTCTTGCGCAACGGAAGTAAAAATTGATGCGCGACATTTGTCATCGCCTCTTTTCGTTCCCCCCTGGTCAATTGAGCAAACAGCCAAGCCATGTCTTAAAATATCAGGCCATCTTTTGAGCAAGTCTTACCGTCTTATCCTTCTTCAAATTCCTGCGTCCGTCTTTATCACAACCGCTGAACTTTCATAAAAAGCTTATTTTTCCTTTATAAGAAAGGCTCCATTTCAATTTGGCTCAGTAAGGAAAAATTTTTTCCTACAAAACCTGAACTATTTATGAGGTAGAGAACTATATTATATTATATTATATTATATTATATTATATTATATTATATTATATTATATTATATTATATTATATTATATTATATTATATTATATTATATTATATTATATTATATTATATTATATTATATTATAGAAGAATCGTCCGAAAAGCTGGATATGTGGAAAAATCTATTGCTGAGTTCATCGGTTTTCCACTCTTCATGGGCATTGAACTGCTATGAATGCGAGGTGCTCCTCGACCACCTTGGAAACATGGTCGGTTCTGGCTACGCTTCTTGCTTCGACGACCCGAGTGCAGGGAAGAGCGTCGAGTGTGAGAGCGATGCGACTCGATGTAAAACGGAGATGACAGTTGAATGGTACTTCATGGGCGAGCAGATGGTTCATATGAAGCGCGGGTGTGCCGCGAAAGGAACGGATAAGATAGAATAACTTTTATCATAATGATTTTGTTATAAATCCGATGACAGAGGATCAAACTGACAAAGACTGCGGCGATGGTGAGTTCGAAGACATCGTCAAATGGCGAACTTGCGAGGACACTTGCCAAACCAACAACTGCAACAACGAAAATCACGGCGATGCGGTCAAGGCGCTTTTCGACAGTGGCAATCGAAACCTTCAATGCCACTCCTGCACATACGCAAAGGATGCTTTCGGAAACATCATCGGCGGCTCGAACGAAGCTTGCACAAAAGAGGACGTTTCTGATGAAAACTTCCTGGTGACGTGCCCGATTTACGCAAACGCTGCTTGCTTTACTGCTGCATCGTGGCATTTCGAAGGGTCGATCGAGGTAGAGGAGGACTACAAAGGATGTTCGACGTTTAATTACGAGTTTTCAATTTTGCAAATATATTTTTGATAGACATATTTTTTGATGATTTTTTCTCAAATCAAAATTTACGACAAAAATGAACAGTTAAAATCTCCAAAAAGACTCAAGGATGAAGAGCCAGTGTGCTTAGAGTGGGATTTCGACGAACTTGCCTACACGTCATGCAAAAACACTTGCAGTTCAAACGGATGCAATGCAAAGACCCCGGAAAGGACCAACTCCTGCTACAAGTGCGAAGCGATGATTGATCATGCCGGCAACATTGTTGGCACTGGAGACAAAGACTGCTTCGATAGCCCGAGAGAGGACATGATGGTCGACTGTGGAGTCCACGCCACATGCAGAACAGATTTTGCCGTGGAAATGTCTTTTAGTGGAGCGCAAGTTGCAAGAGTCAAACGAGAATGCTCGCCTAAAGGAAGAATTACAAAAAAAAAATAGAAAAAAAGTTTTGCCAACTTATTTGTTAATCTTTTAAAAGGAGTTTTCGAGAGCAACAAATGTACCCAAGGCGAAATTCCCTTCCTCGACTGGACAGGATACAAGTGGAAGGTGTGTCACGACGATTGCGAAGGCCAAGGATGCAACGATCGAGCTCATTCAAATCAAGTTCAATCACTGTTTGATCAACGCGGCGGGGAGAAACTGAAATGCCACTCGTGCATTTTTGCGAAAGACCAGGACGGCGCCATCATTGGCGGTTCAAAACAAGAGTGTCAAAAGCCTGATACTTCCGAAGAAGGCTTCCTCGTCGAATGTCCAATCTATGCGAATGCGGCTTGCTATGCCGCTTCCTCATGGCACTACGAGGGGCCTTTGGAAGTCGAGGAAGATTACAAAGGATGCTCGCCATTTAAAATCCCTGTTGAAGAAGAATGCAAGCCTTGGACAATGGCCAAGGATTTTAAATGAAAAATAATGTTATAAAATAATCTTTTAAAGTAATGAAAAGGTGATAAATTGACGCAAAGTTTCGAAATCCTTTTGAAAGAAAACAGTGATTACGAGACTTGTCTATCTTCCTGCGATTCTGATGGCTGTAACTCGAAAACTGCAGACAAGCCTTCTTCCGCCACCGACTTAACTTTGCAGTTCGGTTTCTTACTGTTCTCTTACTTCATGCTCTAAATTTGATTAAACTTTCTTCTTGATTTTTGCGTTCTCTTTCATTACCTGAGACTTCATGCAAGGGCACTTGTTTTAAAAATTTCAGTTCGAACTTATCGCAAATTCATTCCCACTTGATACTTTCTTTTATCTGAATAATTATGTTATTTTTATTTTATACGGAAGATATATTTATTATTTTATACAAAAGCACCCTTTCCGGTCTCACGAAGAATACAATCATATCAAAAAGTATGTATTTATCTTATCCTTTCTGTTAGGATAAAAGCAGAGATGATTTCGCAAATAAATCGGATACAAGCGATATGGGGACTGATTCTCTTCATTTTGTAAGCGCCTCTTTAAGTTACTAATTGATTCATAATGGCGATTCTAGTCTTGTTCTGGCTGTTGTTCTTCCAACGACGCTGATCCCCCGACAAAAAGATAAACTCCAGTGCGAAAATAGCGAGAATGGAAAAGCCCGGGCAGTTTCTTTGGACAAAAGGCCATTGGGGGACGCAATCAGTTACTGCTCTGATTGCGAAGGGTTCAACTCTTATATATGTGGGGGGAGACTTCCCGAGGTAATCTTGGGATAAAAGTAGGGACTATAAAAGATTACTAGATCGAATCGGATGAGTACTGGAATGGGTGCGTCAATAATGCAACTCCAGCAGGTAGAACAAAATCAGATTGCAGCGACGTTGATGAACTCAAGTACTTCATTTGCGAGTATGATTTCAACTGTGACGAATGGAAGCTTCTGTTCAAGTAAGATCGAGATAAGCATACAGGTGAACGAGTCTAAAATATCAACGTTAAGTTTCAACGAGACAACAAGTACAACATCCTCTACTCCCACAATAACCTCAGTCGAAGGCTTGCCGGAGTGGATTGAGCCTTCTTTTGACTAGCTAGCTCATACTTTTACGTCTCTGATCTGAAAGCTAGAAAAGAGAGGATAATTGATTCCTGTAAGCCTTCTCCTCCGCATCTTCTTCAACCACTAGCTCAACTACAACGACGACAACAAAGTCAACTACGATGACAACAACGACGACGACTACATCAACGACAACAACAATAACGACAACTCCAGCGACGACAACGACAGCGTCGACAACACCAACAACAACAACAACGACTACTACTTCTACTACAACTACCACAGCAAGTACCACAACAACAACTACAACTACTTCTTCTACAACTACGACTACAGACAAAAGACAACCGGTAAAATTCTTCTTGCTTACTTCGATCGACTTCACTATTACAATAATCATAAAATTTGAACTTAGAGCGGCGTCAATATTATGCTTCTCGCCCCGACTTTAACGCAATCACACGTCATTTCTGGCGATGGACTGAAGAAATCAACTCCAGTCATCAGTGCGCCATCTGAAAACTACGCTCAAAATAGCATTTTTGCCGTTGTTAAGGGAGTATTTTTCATTTTCGGAGGAGAATCTGATGATAAAAAGGTCATTTTTGTGAAAATATTAAATTATCGAAGACAATTATTAAAGATAGCAAGACTAAGTGGGTGTAGCCTGGTTGACACTGGCTTGAAAACAGGAGGAAGATATAATTCTGGATCGACTTCTTCCGCAATCGAAATCAATAACGGGGAGCAAGGTTTAAATTCGATCATTTCATTGTTCCAATATTTTAAGCTTTACTTTGCTTCGATGTTGAATCTTCAAAAGACTGCGAAATTTTTGATACAACCAGTATCGCATCGACACATTCAACCCAGTTCACGCATCAGAGAGGATCTCTTGGCTACTACCTCGGCCAGCCAACGACTGTAGGAAGCGTTCAAAGTGACGGACAGAACAAAGTCGAAACCTTCTCAGCTACAGGGTGGACGAGCTTGCCTGATAGCCCGAGGTAGACTACAAAATAATTCAGTCGTTATTCTGCTATAGAAATACTCACAACAACTGTTTGGTTGGCTTAGAAAGTGGAGCGATGCTAATGCTCGGCGGCTATCGTTACGATGGTTTTAAAACTCTCGTTCGAGGTATTTGGCGATTGAAAGAAGGAAGTTGGTCGAAAGTAGGAAGCCTTCCAGAAGTAAGACGATAAATTTAGAAAAAGACTTTATCATCATTAATTAAGCGTTCTTCTCGAGTCTCCTTCATGAAATTTGGCAATTTCATCTACCTCTTTAATGGCGCCGGGACTGCTTCAAACAATAAATATCCTGAGCAGCGAGTAGAAATCCTCGACGACGAAGTTGTTGCAACTGAAGTTATCGGCCACCACACTTTCTCTTCTAGTTTTCCCGTGCTCGTTGAAGTCTCTGCTGACTTCTGTGCCCCCGAAAGTGTATTCTTTTAATTTTCATGCTAAAGCTACTCTGACTTCTCCTGACTTGCATAAAAACGATTAAAAACTTTCAAAAATAAATAATATGTCACTGATTTTCGTTGTCAGGATTGATTGAATTTCTTTCAGAAGGATCGGTTAAATTTTCGGTTTTATCATTTTTTCTTGACTTTCTTCTTCTTCATTGTTGTCGCCATTGCTTGTCAGGCAGCAGTAAGATTTGAGTTTGATGAGCGAGAGAGGCGGCAAATTGGAGAAAATACCGGTGGAAATAAGAGTTGATGCAGCGATGATTCCAAGAGTAAAATACATGATGAAGAATTCACTTTTGAGCATGCACTCTGCTCTGAAAGGATGAACAATCATCTGGTAGCTTCTGAAGTCGGATTCATGTAGCTTTTCTTCGAAGCAATTTCCTTCAATTTTGACTCGGTCTTTCAAAATCTGGAAAAATATTGAAACGTCGAATTTAATATTCTCTTACTGATAAGGAGCTGTCATCCACCCGTGCGCAAATGCTGTTGTTTATTTTGTTTTCCTGGTTGACTTGATCGATGCAGAAGTCGATGATTAAATCGTTGAGAGAAATCATCAACGCGCATAAAACTTAAAAATAAAAAGTGGTTTTGACAAATTTCTTACTTAATGACAATTGAGTGATACCAAGCAAGATAGTCAATATTCCCTGAGCTACTGGGGCGCAAAAATATTCGGCTGCCTTTTGCTCAATAATTTTTTGATTTTCGGCGAAGTCGATGTTTTCCTTCACGCAGCCGGTCTTCAACAAAATGTTCAGTACCAGCATCATCATTTTGATAATCGTGGGTAGGTAGGTAATGAATGAGCAAAGGGGAGATATACAGGAGATGTATAGGTAGATTTCGATACAGGACCTGGGTTCGGCAACCTGTATAGAAAACCTGAGTCAGGGTTTTAAAAAGACGCGAGAATTTTGATTTTCAGACCCTGACTCAGGTAATCCAAAAGGTTGACGAGCCCATCACAGGACTTCCATGAACTAGAGTAACTCAGCTAGATTCTGAATTGATATTGCGAAAAAACTTACCAAGAAATCTTGAAAAGTAAAAATAAACAAGCATTACTTCGAAGGCCTTGAGAAAAAAGCTATCAAGAATTTTATGCTCGACAATTAATTTGAATATTTTCGTCAACATCCTTCTCTCTCCGCTTCTCTCCGTTCTCATGAGCAGGAAAATCGTTATCATATGGCTAAGAAGCTTCAACGAGGCACAAATTATCAGCGAAATCGAGACCCAATGAACAGGGTCAACTGCGAGGGTGGAACCAGTGTTGTACTCGTACCAGACAAAAACTGGGGGAAGAATTTCGATTATTGGAATTAGCGCAAAAATCAAAGATGAAAATATGGACAGCTTTCCGTTGAATTTTGAGTTGACGATGACAAATGCCAAACTACAAGAAATAGTCGCGATGAGAAAACACTGTTGAGTCCAAAAGTAAAAGGTTGTGTCGGGATCATATGGAATCATTTTGATTAGATTCAGTCTGTATCGCATTCTTTCCTCGGTCTCCTTTGCAAAAGATTTCTTGTCAAATATCGTTTTTGTAACTAGCCGTACAGTGAGCATGACAATGTTCATTTCTTGCTCATCAGAAATACTCTCTTCGGATGATTCTCTCCGTTTCATGATTCGTCCATTTTCTCGTCCGAAGTAGCTTCTGCAGTTTCCATCAATTACTTCCCTATCACTTTGACCGTTACCATAAAAATCACATATATTCGCCGCTTCATCATCAGTCACATTTATTTGCGCCGTTGTTTGGGAAGACGAATCCATGAACAAAAGTTCATCCCCGATTCCAAATTTGAACTTCAGTATTGACTTCAATTCTTCTTCAAACTTTCAATCGGATATATATTTTAGAATAAAAATTCGAATTTACCCAACTGACTTCAATTTCTTCAGCTTGCCAGACAGTCTGAAATCGTGAAAGAACTCTGTTCATTCTCTCTGCTCTTGAGTCCGCTTGGAATGACCGAGCTAGAAGCAACAAAAGTAAAAATCGCATGACTTCACTTGATTCTCTAAAAATGAGAATGACAGCTGACGAAACTCCAATTTGTTGAAGGTGTGTAGGCCGGTTACTCTACTGCCCTGATTTTCAAAAGCTGCAGCCGGAAATTCAGCGTTTCGATGACAATTGAAGTCTTGTTTGAATGATAACAACTTAATTATTCGGAACAAACCGAGTTGAAAGAGACCGATGAACAATGATTTCAGAGAGAACTTTTCTTGATTATATATTATAATTTATAATAAAAAATCAGCATCGAATAAATTTCTGTCAAGGCTCAATTTTAAAATATATTCTTAATTATTTTCTTTTATTATCCGTCAATATATATAAAAACTTGCACCGTTCATACGAATAACAGTTGCACAGAATTATTTCTAAACCAAGAAAGCGCAGAATCTTTCCACGAAGGAACGAGTTTAACAGTATTTGCCGCGTGAACCATAAACAGTAAATATGCCTGACTCTCTGGAGCGAGTTCTTTTCCAAGCTCAAGGACTTTGTTCAGAGGATCAGTGTTTGAGGAACAGCTTTTCATCGCCAATTCAAAGTCGTTGAAAACAGGCTCGAACTTTTCATCCTCAGTGATTTTTTTCAACCCGGAAACAATATCGTTTATTGCGTTTTCTCTTGAATTTTGTTGATCCGGACCGTCTGTGACGGAAATCCCCATCTTTCCTCTTTCCTTTCTTTTCGGCTTTTTCTTTGTTTTCTTTTTCGTTTTTATTTTGCCGCAGAAAAAGTTCGGCAGGCAGCTCTTTTTTCCATTCTCTTTGAGAAGCTCAGTTATAGTCTCTTCAGTATCAGGTGCCTCGCTCATCAGAAGCTCTTCAAAAAGTTCAGCTGACGATTTCATGCGCGTTTTTCTCTTTCAATAATTTTGCTATTGAGTAAGTCTTGTTACTGAGTCTTGTGATCTACGACTGTAACTTATTTCCAAGCGTGTTTTTTGTGTGTTTAATTACGCACGAGACTCGATGGAAAAAAATCCACACGCTCTTGTCACGGTTTTTCTTCATAAAGTCAAACAAGTCTTCAAACGAGGCCTTTACAATTGAACAAGTCGTTTCTTCAGCCTCTTCTGAAGAACATGAGCGTTAAAATAGATATTATTTATTTACAAGTTCCTTTTTGCATTTGTGCAAGAAGAAAGAACTTTCAGCAGAAGAAAAGAAGCATTTATCCAAAGTAATTATGCAAAGGCTTCTTTGCAAGCTCTTGGCTCACTCGTTCTTCTTCTCTTCTTCGCAATTCGCGCAAAAGCACTAGAAGAGATTAGAGAAATTTTGAACAGGAAACTGGCTTACTTTTGATGGCTGAGCTTTCACTTTCGGATCCAGATAAGACCTGCTGGCCGACGGTTGGAGGCAAATGGCTGGGGTCGGCAACTCAACTCAACATGTTGAGTTGAGTAAAGTTGAGTTGAGTTCAACTCAACTCAACTCAACTTTGAAATTTCGGTGTTGAGTTGTTGAGTTTTTGAGTTAAGTTGAGTTTTGTCAAATGAAAATTGCCTAAAGAATCACGCAAGTTCTAGTGTTTCTCTTCAAAGTATTAAATTTATGAAATTATTAATGTTTTTAATTAAAAATATGCTTTTTTCAATATTTCTGCTTATTTTACTCGAAATTTGACATAACCAAAAAACTCAACTTCACTCAACTCAACTCAACTCAACTTTGAGTTTTCAAAAGTCGAACTCAACTCAACTCAACTCGAGATTTTGGTGTTGAGTGCCGACCCCAGGCAAATGGCCGGTAGCTAGGGCGGGTCCGTCGACCTCGGAAATTGATGATAAGGAAGCGTTATCGTTTATAACTTCGTTTTCTGAAATTGGCTATTTAAAATTTGGGAGAAAGTTGATGACATTACCTGCTGGGGCTTCTTTTGCCTCATCATCTCCTTTTTCGCTTCCTTGAAAATATGAAATGACTCCTTTCGAAATTTCTTTGACCAAAGACGGTTCGTAATTTTCCACTTCTCCTTCACTATCGGTCGAGTCGGGCTCGGTAGAAGAGCTTTTCGCGTTGCTGAATCTTCGGGCAGAAGGAGGGAGTTTTTCGGAACTCTGGACGAGGGAGACGTTGTCGCCTGTGACGGCTTTGATGATGTGCAGTGCGACGAGGGATAGATCGGAGGTGAAGTTTCGGATGTAGCGGAGGAGCGACTCGATGATGTCATAAACTAAAATATTTTTTAGAAAAAGAGATAAAGCTGTTTTGAACTTGCCAATTGAAATAATCCGAATAACGAGCTGAATCGTGTACAAAACCAAAACCGCGACACTGGAGCAAGAAATAATCGCCACGCGAAAAACGGTCCAAATCACTTGAGCTATTTTCTTCGCCACTTTGATCGAAAAATCCAGCGCTTGATCGGAAAACGTCTTGGTCGTTTTCGCAACGAACTGGCCAGCATCGAGGGTCATGTCGACGGCTTTGAGGGGTAAAAACAGTTTTGGGTTTTTGGAACTCAAAACTGCTTTAAATACCCCTGCCTGGAATGGCCGAGCGGTAGAGGAAGGTGTGCTCGGTTTCGAATTCCGAGTCGGAGAGCACTTTCATGTTCAGTTTTTCTTGAGCTAAACAGAAGAAAAAATAAGATTCGCCCTTTTCAAGCTTATGAATTTTACCTTCCCGAATAGCTTGTTTTTTCTTCCTCATTCTTGATCCTGGTTTATCAATGTAAGAATCGACGACCTTCTGCTCATCGAGAATTTCCGGCAGCTTGCGCACCCGTTCGCGGATATCGCCCTGCCCAAAGATCAGCAGAATAAAGTCTTTTAGCAGACTGGAGAAGATCAGCCTCACTGTCATTATCAACGCGGTTTTGGTGTCGTTGAAGTAAAAGTTTCTTTTCAGAAAGTCTTTTTCAAGGTCAGAAATTTTCAGGAAACTCGGGTTTTTAAAGGAAGTTTATAAAGATTTTTCTGCCCGTTCCTAAAAGCCATCTTGGTCTTGTATTGCGCTTGAAAAACAGCATGCGAGTAGGTTCTTGTTCGCCCACCAAAAAGTCAGATATGAAGCACGAGTTGAGAAATATTATAAGTACAATCGAGGCGTGTATGCTTTTATGCAGAGGCTTGACCACTTTTTTGCCTGCTGCTTCCACTTTTCTAAAAAATGATCTTTCTCGAAATCAAGGAAGAAAATTGAGGCAAAACCTGAAAGTTTCTGATTTTGTCGGAATTAATTTTTTGAGTCCTCGCATTTTTTCTGAAATCATCTTCTTCTTTGATTTATTACACGGCAAATTTTCTTATTTTTCGTGGTTACTTTCCACGGCTCTTTTTAAAACTGACTTATTTTTGGGAGAAGTGAAAACAACAACGGGGGCTCTAGAAACTTTCAGAACCACAAATTCGCATTTTTCATCCAAAAACCTAGAAAATACGACATTTTCAGCGCGTAAGAGAGTTTTTTGCGAAAATTCTTCGCTCGGAAACCTGTGTAGAAAACCTGAGTCAGGGTCTGAAAGATCTTTAATGAAAAGTCGGCTAAGCTTTTTTAAAAAAGCCGCGAATCGGTTTTTCATTAAAGATTTTTCAGACCCTGAGTCAGGTTTTCTACACAGGTTTCTAAGCCCCGGGGAAACATAGGAAGACTTTTTGGTCAGTACTTTTGATGGTCAAAATCTCCGCTTGAAATTAGCTGAGAAAGTAAAACTCATTCCAATTTGTGAAAAACAAATTCCCCAGCCTTTCAAATCTGTTTGCGCAAACATCGATCTTGAATTTCGCGCTCTCCCAGAACTCCAGAACTATTTGCATAGCCAAAGTAGGAGCTCGCTATCTGGAACTGCATCTTTCATACCTTGGCGGGGTATCTTTCTATTCACTGTTTGAATTTGCAATCATGATATGCGCGCAGCTGGATATCGCAGCGCACAAATTTCAATTTTCGCGCAGCAGATTTTTTCGTTGAACTGACGCCCGGGGGCGCTATCAGCACTCGCCGCCGGGTATTTATGCCGCCCCCAAAAGCGGAAATAGCAAAATCAGTAATTACACAATCAGAAATCGTCATCAATTATGACTTACTCGACCGAATCTTCTTCTTTTTCCGAGCAAGTTCTCAGCGGACTCGTTCCTACTACCGAGATTCCTCCTATTTGCACAACTCCACCAGCAGCCATCAAAATTGAGGTAAAGTTCAGAGATATTTCTCCTAGCTTTTTTGAAAGAAAATCATCAAAAAGCCGCCTGCGGCTGCTTAGCACAACTAGAATTAATAATAGAATCAACAATGTTGAATAAAAACTCCTTTTTCTAACCATCTTTTCTTTCAGGCAGCGAGCTACTCCTGCGACTGGGTAGAACACGGCGCGGAATGCAACCTCGAGTGGCCAAGCATGGCGGAATTCGTCGAGCACGTCGTGGAACAACACATGATGGAATCTCCAAACGGCGAGTACTTCTGCTTCTGGAACAACTGCCCCCGCTTCGGAACTCCCTTCAAGGCCAAGTACAAGCTCGTCAATCACATGCGCGTCCACACCGGCGAGAAACCCTTCAGCTGCAACACTTGCGACAAGAGCTTTGCCAGGAGCGAGAACTTGAAGATCCACAAACGAGTCCACACTGGCGACAAACCCTTCATCTGCCCACATCCAGGTAAAAACTCAAAATTGAAAATCAAATTTAAAAATCAGGGAATATTTTCAATATTCTTATTTTTTCTTTCTCTCAAAATTGTCTATTTCAGGTTGCGGCCGCGCCTTCTCCAATTCTTCCGACCGAAAGAAGCACCAGAACGTCCACCAGAAAGGCGTACTCATGTGCCCGATTCTCGGCTGTGACCGAAGCTACTCCCATCCTTCTTCGATGCGAAAACACCTGAAAACTCACGGCGCAGCAGCGAAAGGAGTTCCTCTTCCTCAGCGAATTCTCGAAGGAAGCAGCCAGCTCAACCAACAGATTCATCAGGTAAAAATTTCTCCACCTCTTTCGCATTATAACAATCGTTCTAGGGAATCCAGAGCCTCGTCGACCCAGCATACCTCCACAATCAGCATCCTCCACATCCACTTCAGCCGATGGGCTCTCCTCACTCAGCCGGCTCCGGCTCTCCTCCTCCGTTTCATCCCTTCCCGCTCTACCAACACCCAGCCAGCTTCATCAACACTTCGGCAGACTCTGGCCTCGCCTCCTCGCCAAACCAGTCGATGGGTTCTCCAGGCTCGACCGAAAATCAACCTCCTTACTGGACTCCTTTCCTCAGCGAGCTGAACTCTGCCGATGCCCCTCCTGCAGCTCCTCAGCAGCAATTCCCCTTCTGGCCGGTTCCAGCTCCAGCTCAGCAGATGAACCATTTCTGGCGAAATCTTCACAACCACAGCAATGGCGAAACGACCGTTCCATCCGTCTACTAGACAGCTCATCCTCCGAAGCCTATTTATTTTTTATTCTAAACCTTTTTTTTTCTATCAAAAACTGCCATTGATATATTTTCCTTTTATTTTCGTCTTTCTTCATTTTCTGTAAATAATTTGATCAAAAATATAAAATCCGAAAAAAAGCCAATTTGTAAAAATTTATTCTTTTCTCCGTTTTCCAGATTTTTTCCAGCAGGCGGAGGACCTTCCGCGCGCTCCCATAAAAAAGAGTCCTCCGGCAGTTAGAGATGAGAGAAATCCAAGAATTTATAATTTTTAGATTTGATGATAGTTTTTACCTGTACGATCATAGATATAGAAAAAATTTTTAGAGAAAATTGTTTTAGAAAAATGGGAAGAGTCAATGACAAATTGCGCTGGGTCAAAAGATATTTGAAGAGGACTGGTAAACTAAAGACGCTTGTAGAACTGGACAAAGATATAAAAGAAAAGCTAAAGAAAGGTTCATTCCGGTTATCTGCGTAAAAATAAGCGCTTTTAAGACGACAGGGAATCTTCCAAGCCCAGCTTCAAGATTACGAAGAATCAGGATAGAAAGAATAAAGAAGATCGCCATGAAAAGAAGGATAAGCAAAAAAGGGAGAGGGTCGACGAGTCACTGACTGATAAGAAGCAGACAGGTTGAAGAAGCTCTTCCTTCTTATTTCCATTAATTTTTTTAGATGATAACAAGCCAGTGAGGCTGAGTTTTACGATACAGAAAGCGCCAGAAAGAAAAAAATTCGAGTTTGAGCCAGCTAAACCGAAGAAAAAAGAGTTGAAAAAGGATACCGAAGAGCCTAAAATTGTCACCATTCCAAAGGATTTTAAGAAGATTGCCAAGAAGTTTGGACTGCCGCAAGATCACCTAGAATTCTTCTATGAATACAGAGAATCATTCAACTGGGAAATCAAAGAAAAAATCATCGTTCATTGCACCGAGCCTGGTTGTAAATTGAATGTCAATAAAGCCGAAGGTTGTCTGACTGACCATATGATCTCTGTTCACAATTATACAGATATTCCTTGTGGAAAAACTGACTGTTCATACATCGCTTTTTCTCGGAAGAACTTAAACTTGCATCATTGTCGTTTTCATGGGCACGGCCAGATACCTTCAAAATTTGCGAGCTTTTCTTGTCCGATTCCCTCGTGCAAAATTGCTTTCACGGATAGGAAGAATTTAAAAGATCACGTTAACACTCATAAAAATATAGTATATTCTTGTAACTTTTGTCCTTACCGCGCTGTAAAGTATATTTGTTTGTTCTCTCACCTAAAATCCCACTTCAATATCAAAGATTTTGAGTGTGAAATTTGTTCTCGTCAATTTAAATCTCTTAGCGATTTAAACAAACATAAAAATTATACCCATAATACTGAAGGATTTCAATGTAAACACTGTAGCTTTACAAGCCAAAAACACCGGGCCTTTATGGAACATGTTAAATCATGCACAGAACGGCTCAAACACTCGAGACTTCTCTGATCAGATTGAATATATCGATAAAGCATACTTTTTAAAAAATATCTCAAGTCCTTTATTCAAGATGATCGTATTCGTACAGTCGCTCGCTTTATGTCTAATCTGCATCTTCGCTCTTGAGAAATCCCGCCAAGTGTAAGTCCTTCCTCTCAACTTTCCATTCTTTAACTCTTCTAGTGATGTTTTGCTTTCAAAGCAAACCCGCCAACAGCTAGAATTCCAATCTGGCGTGGGTCAACTTCGCTTCGAAATCTCCTCTCTCGAGAATGAGATTTCAAAATTGACAGAAAAAAGCACCCGCTGCGACGAAAATCTTCGTTCTCTGAAGAAAGACAATGAAGATCTCGTTTCGAAGCTCAAGAAATCGTGTCTCAGGTGTCAAAAATCAAGAGCAAGATTGGAAAAACAACGATTTCGCTTCACTGTCAAAGTTTTTGTCCAAAAAGAAGTTCCTCTTCATCAAGGAAAGTCTCAAAATCTCTCATTGCAAAAAAAAGTTTGTCAAATTTTGAGCCTTCAAAAAGAAGCGCTAGAATCGCTGGAATCGCGCGTTTCCCAGCTCCGCCAAATCGCTCTCGAAGTCGAAAACGACATTTTGAAGAAGTTTACTAACCTGACCCATAAGCTGCACAAAGAAAAGTCTTCGCACATTCTCCTCAATCAAAAAAGCTGTCCTCTCACCCAAATCTCTTCAACTAACAAAATCAACCAAAGTCGCCAAAACGAAAATTCCGAACTCCCCGACTTTGCCTCTGAATATTGTGGAGCTACTGTTATTAAAGAAAAAGGAACCTACAAAAGCTTTGGGCTTGGAAGACTCATGCTAAGGAACAGTTGATATATTTTTTTATTTCCAAAATTTGGACATCAGAATCTCTCTTTCCATTTTCAATCAAGAACTCAATAATTTTTCTCTGAATTCAGCCATGTGAAACTGCAGGTTCGCGACGGTGGTCGCCTCGCCCAACTCAATTTTTGAATTTCGAATTGAGAACCGGGTTTATTTCCTAGTCCGATGTTTAACAGTGTTATAGTAATTTTTTCAGCCCTCTTTAGGGCTCGTTTCTTTTCAACTAAAAAAAAGCTCGCCTTCGCGCTTCGCTTTGAATCCTGACAACGCTCCTGGAAAATGCTGGCCCTGCCGACCACCATGCGAGCTGGAACTTCATCTTTGCTTTCCTACAGTTGTTTCCGCCTTTACTGTTCATCACATTCCTCAGGCGATTTCTCCAAGTCCTTATGGTCAAGGCTCAAAACGCAAAATTGATTGATGGATCTCTCTATCTCTAGAATTCTTTAAGCAACAAAGTTTTGAGCCCCGAAAAGAATCACATCTGCGCCGCGGGAGATTAAACTTCACGTAAGTAATTCCACCTTATCCGCCACTTACGACATCAACGGCCCGTCGAGACAAACCTTCCACTTTCCTCACCCCTTTTCAAAATCGGAGAAAGTTCAAAGCGTCAAATTGACGTTTTCGTCAAATTGGGGTCATCCAGAAGTTGCTTGTGTTTACAAAATTGATATTCACTGACATTGTTGACATTTTTTGCCTTTTTTTAATTGTTTCGCTCCAGTGTTGTTCCTAAACTGCCTCATTTTTTCCTATCAAAAAGGACAGACGTTTCTGCCTTACAGCGAGAATTGAATTTGTTTGCTTTAGCTTTTCTTCTGCAAATATCCCAGAATTCAGAAAAAAGTCAACTTTTAGTCAGTGAACTTAAATTAGAAATCTAAATACTTATTTTTAGCTTTTCTGATTTTTTTGTCTATTCTTTCCTATCTTTTGTGCAATAAAGGCGCATTATTTTCAACCTCTTAACAATACAAAAAAATAGGACTCCAGCGCGATATTTTCACTAAAACACCTCATTTTTCAACTTATTCGCTTTATCATCATTTTATTTAATTTTAATAGACCAAACCTCGAATCAATTAAAAAACCAACCCTATTTCCTTTCAGAATGGAGCAGACACCACCGACCAACAATTTACCTCAAGCTGCTTTGCTCTATTCTGTTTCTCAGTCGAAAACGCCGCTCTGGCAATTCGAGCCAGAAGCAACCGCCGAAAAGAAAGAGCTGCCAAAGAAAGGAATGGCCAAGACCTTCCACGAAAAGCTCTTTGGCCTCGATTTTGACCGCTACATCAGCGAAAATGCCTATGATCTTTTTCGGCCAAAGAATGGAGCGCCCGTGGACTTTCTAGTTGCGCTCTATTCCGCAGCTTGTTCGAAAAGATTTCCAGCGATCTTTTGGAACGACTCGGATCATGAATGGTTTCTTGTCAATTTTCCACTGTAAGTTTTTAGTCCTGGAATAGCAGTTTTCTATGGCTCTTATAGGAAGAGTGCTTCTTTGAGATTTATAGCCAATCAAAAGACCCCATTCTTTATCTGAGCCAATAAAAAGCCAGCATTCTTTGTAGCAGCCGATCAACTACCATCCTAGGGTGTCTGATTGGCCAAATCAGAGAATACTGGCTTCTCATTGGCAAAACCAAAGAATGAAGGTTTTTAATGGCTGAGAATATCCATAGAATGCTCATTTTATTCAACATTCATTCGGAATGAATCATTCCAACATTCATCTTTCAGACTTGGACGATGCTGCCGCTCTTGCTCTCCAACAGGAACAGCAGAAATCGACGCCTTCAAACGCTGGATGGAAGTGATCGGCTTTCATCGAGTAGAAGAAGCAGAATTTCCCGGGCCTCATCTTTTGCGTTCTTCCACCCAGATTTCAAAGAAAATGAAGTTCTTCTTCTCGCCCGACTCGTCGAAAAGCGCAAGAAAACTGGTTGCGAAGAGAATTTGAATTACATCGACCAAATTTTCAAATCTAATCGACTCTAGCTCCTTTCATTTCGCATCTTCCCTTTTTAATAAACTTCAAAGCCTATTCTACACTGAAAAATACAAGAAAATTCTGAAACAATCATTTGGAAAATTTGATCAATTAAAAAAAGTATTGAAAATGAGCTTCTTCTTGAAGACAAATGGCGGCGACGGACAACAAAGTTTCTGTTGTCCTGCTCGGGCTGGGTGGAGTCGGAAAAAGTTGCATCTGTTTGAAATTGACGCAGCCAAGCCAGGAAATTCCACATGAGCACATCATAACGCCCTGGACAGACACGTGAGTAAAATTTGAGGAGATTCTTGAAGGGCGATCTGGGCTTGGCAACCTGTGTAGAAAATCACACATTTTCAGCTTTCAACACAGAGTGTACCTGCGAAGAGGAAAATCAGTGCTTCTGGAAATCGACGACACTGCCGGCCAAGAGGAAATGCGAGCTTTATCCGAGGTCAAGCTCGACAACAAAGATGCAGGCTCGTTTTCAAGAGCTATTTTCTGAAATTCGGAAAGGCAATTTGTTTGAAAACGAGGGAAAAAGTGATTCTAGTGCTCTCGCTAAGCGACGAGGAAAGTTTGGACACGGCGGCGAGATGGTTCGAGAAAGCAAGAGAGAAATATTTGAGGACCCAGAGAGAGGCGGCGCAGCAAGGGAAAACGCCCAAGAAGAGCAAAGGCGTCGAGAGACCCTTGCCAATTGTTGTAGGAACGGGTATTTACAAGCCGGAGTGAATTCGATGAGTAACAGGGCTTTTCTTTCCATATAAAATTGCTAGTGATTGAAACCTTGCTTGAAATACCCGCGAAAAAGCCTGTAATAAATGCGATCTGAGTGGGAACGAAATCAGAGTCACCAGGGAAACGATTTCAGAGAGGATACAGATTCCTGAGAATCAGGTGCTACCCCTTAAATCTCCATTCTTCATTCCCTTTTCTTCAGATAATTTACACGTCAGCAAAGACGAACCAAAACGTCGAATTATTGTTCAAAACGGCGGCAGAGCTTGTCCTGAACACTGGTGCAAGAGACAGTCATAACTGTATGATAATGTGATTATTATATGTGTATTAATTACTAATATTATTAAATATGTACAAAGCGACCGTTGATGCTATCTTTTCTTTTACTACAACTTATTTTAACAATTTCAACTTTTAACCCATTTTTGAAATTCCATCTTCAGTTAAAAAAACTTTTCTTTGAACTTTTAATTTAACAAAAATTTAAACTCTCTTTTAAATTATCACTCGTGCCTACCAGGTAGTCATGAGGAGCTAGAACTTTCAAAGGGGACTCTCCCTTCTTCTATTCTAGCGTGTTCCCTTCTGCGCCCGAATCCAAAAAAGGGTTCTTTCAATCCAATAATGAAATCAGCAAAAAATAAGCCTCCTTTTAATTCTATGAAAATCGTTTTTTCAAAGAATGGCTCGGACAGGGCAAACAGCTCGTAAAAGCACGTATGGAAAAGCTCCACGAAAACAGTTGTCGACGAAACCAGCTCGCAAGACTGTTTCGGGAACAGTTTCTCAAATTGCTCGGGCGGCAGTGACGATGCCTGAATTGAAAGAAGAAGGACAGCTTGAATTAGATGATGATCGCAAAAAAGTCGAGTTGGAAAGCGAAAAAGGTACAGTTTTCAGTTATCCAAGCTTTTTGAATTTGTGAATAAGGGATTGAATCCAGCAAAGAAGAGACGAAAGGGCTCAGCGTTTCTGGCACTGTTGACGATGAAGATGACGAGCTGATTGTAATTGGCGAAGTAATTACCGGCAGTCGTTGCAAGCAGACAGCCCGAAAAAGCACTGCAGGAGCAGCACCACGAAAAGAACTTGCCACAAAAGCAGCAAGAAAAAGCGCACCACGACCTTCTCAAATTATTGAAGTTGGTCCTGAAGTTATCGCTGCCATTGCTCCAGAAAGTGAAATCGTCGACAGGCCAGTTGAAATTGATGATGTTTGGGAATGGTTTTCAAAAACGAGAACCCGAGCGACTGGTGAATCCGGCGAAAAGATTCGCATAGGTATTCTTCATCTTTTTTTGATTCCTCAACAAATTTTCGGCAATTTAGATGAGGAAGATTATAGAGCGAGGAGGAAGATCGTGCAAGATTATCTCTTGCAGAAACGATTGTTGAAAAAAGCGGCTCGGAAATGTGAACCAGATACAGATAACATGTATGGATATATTGAAGACAATGATTCTCAAGGTAAATTTTTCCCAAGATTTCTTGACTAAAAATAACTGAAGCAGTCGAGTTATCTCCTGAAGTTGTCGCTGCCATGGCTCCTGAAAGCGTTATCGAGGGCCGAACGGTTACAAACGAGGATGTGCGCGATTGGTTTATGAAGTCGGCAACTCGATATTTCGAAATTCGAAGGAAGAAGGCCAAAGAAATAACGCCAGGTTTGACTTTTGAATATTCGACTCTTCAACCGGCTTTTACTAGATGACAAAGACTTCACAGCACGGAGGGAGGTTGTTCTGGATTATATAAAAGTGTTGTCCGTAAGAGCAGCGCGGCATAGACGTTTAATGTGCTGTTATCGTCCCGATTTGACAGGAACCGCAACCGCTAGAAAAAGCGCACCGTGGGAACCGTCGATTCGACCACCGGAAAGTTTGAAGCCAAAGGTTCACAATTTTACAAAGGTATTAAACCTGCCTTTGTTCTAAAATGAACATGAATTTCTAGAGAAAAATTGTTGTTATTGAAGAAAATAGCCCGAAAAAAATGAAGAAATACGCCGAAACAGTTCGAATGCATTCTCTGATAAAAGAAAAGGGGTTCAAGATTGAAGACGGTCATTTCATCGCTAGGTCGACTTGCAAGTACCCAGTTGTGAAGATAAAACTTGATTTGATGGATAAAACACTTTTGAAATCTCTCTTGAAGAAAAATGATTCTGCTGTGGTTTTGGAAGCGGCGAAAAAAAAGTTGAATGAAGAGCAGATCAACGCTGCTCTGAAGAAAAGGAAGAAATCTATCTCATCTCCCTGCATTCCAACGACGAACATAGCGAAGGACACAGTGGAGCAGTTGCAAAAATCGCCTTTTTTGACTCCCGCATCTCCAGGAGAAGAAAAAAACTCTACTGAGCCAGCAACTTTTCGTAAAAATGAACCCCAAACTTCCGAAAACGAAGAGTCTACTGCGATCTCTTCTTCTTCCTTGATTTCGTCGCCGATCACAACTGATGAAACTGCAGAGAAAGATTCAAATCTTCCAAAGACTAAAGAATCGCAGCAGCAACGAGCTTCTCCTTTAGTTTCTGCATCTGTCTTCCAGGGAGTTCCAGTTGAACAACAAAGCTCTATAGATCCAGCATCTTTGCCGCAGCACCAACCAGCTTCTCCTTTCATTTCTGCATCCAAAAAGATAAAGGAGGAGTCAACGATTGAACAACCATCGGCGGTTAAAGACGAACCTGACGAGCAAGAGCCAACATCCCTTCCCGCACTTTCTCCATTTTCCTTTAAACCTCAAGCTCCCATAAAACAGGAAGCCTACGCAGATCAGCTGTCTCAGGTTAAAAATGAACCTCAAGAACAAGAGCCAACCTCGTTTCCCACAATTTCTTCATCTTCTTTTACAGCTCAAGCTGCCATAAAAAAGGAAGCCCCCGCAGATCAGTCGTCTCAGATGAAAGTTGAGCCTCAAGAACAAGTTCTTCTGCCTCCAAAAGAAATACTCATGCCTTCTCGAAAACGTCACATGAAGGAAAACCCATCCGAAGACAATCCGTCAAAGAAACCAAAAACCTTCAACTGACCTATCAGACAATTAAATTGTCTTCCTCAAAAAGTTCCCCCATTGTAACACTGTCTTTGCACTAAATATTTTTACTGATTGAAACATAAATTATGTAACATAACCATTTTATGCCTGTCGAAACTTCTTGTACATAGCCGTCCGAAAAAACACCAATGCCTCCATTTTTGCCAGACCTGACTTCAACATTTTCTCGTTTTGCTTCAAACAGTTCCTGATTGAACTTCACTTATTTTGAAGCCACTTATCTCCGAAACCTTCAGAGTTTTCGCTGCCCAAATCATTTTTGAAGAAAACTCCCACGATAAAAAATTTTTAAATCTCTTCGTTGAAAGAATGGCTCGGACAAAATGTATAGCTCGCAAAAGCTGTGGGGGACTAGCTCCTCGAAGACAGTTGGCGACGAAAGCAGCTCGCAAGACTGTTTCGGGAACAGTTTCTCAAATTGCTCGGGCGGCAGTGACCATGCCTGAATTGAAAGAAGAAGGACAGCTTGAATTAGATGATGATGTCAAAAAAGTCAAGTTGGAAAGCGAAAAAGGTACAGTTTTCAGTTGTCCAAGATTTTTGAATTTGTGAATCAGGGGTCGAATCAAAAAAAGAAGATACGAAAGGGCCCACCGTTTCCGAAACTTCTTCCAGCGCTGTTGACGTTGAAGATGACGAGCTGATTGTAATCGGCGAAGTTATTACCAGCAGTTGTTGCAAGCAGACAGCCCGAAAAATTGAAGATGATGATTCCGAAACTCATCCGGAAAATGCTGAAGGTACATTTTCTCTAATGTTTCTTGAATGAAAACAACTTTCAAGAAAAAGAATCTGAACGCGAAGATTCAGCTATCCCGCCCTCCACAAGAGCCGCAGTGAAAAGCGCGCCAGCTATCTCTTCTGAAACAGTCGAGGTATCTCCTGAGGTTGTCGCTGCCATGGCTCCTGAGAGTGTTATCGAGGATCGAATGGCTACTAATGAGGATGTGCGCGATTGGTTTCTGAAGTCTGCAACTCGATATTTTGAAATTGAAAGGAAGTTGGTTTTAGAACTAACACCAGGTTTGATGATTAAATGTTCAATTCTTCCACAGATTCTTTATTAGATGATAAAGACTTCGTAGCAAGGAGGGAGATTGTGCTGGATTATATAAAGGAGTTGTCCGTGAGAGCGGCGCGAAATAGACGGCGAATCATTTGTTTTGCTCACCCTTTGACATGGCGTATCACTAACAGGAAAATCGAATACTTACCGTCAATTCCACCACCTCCTCGAAGTAGTTTGAAGCCAGGTGTTCACAATTTTACTGAGGTGCTTAGGTGGCCGCTGTAAAAAGGAACTAACATGCACTTCTAGGGAGACATTGTTGTCGTGGATGAAAATAGCCCGAAGGAGAACGAGAAATATGCTTCAACAAATCGAATGAAAAGTCTGATTGGCAATAGGGAGTACAAAATTGAAGACGGTCATTTCGTCGCTCGGTCAACTTTCAAATACCCAGTTGTGAAGATAAAACTTGATTCGATGGATGAAACACTTTTGAAATTTCTCTTGACGAAAGATGATTCTGCTGTGGTTTTAGATGCGGCGAAAAAAGTTTTGAACGAACAGCAGATCAAGGTTGCTCTGAAGAAAAGGGAGAAATCTATCTCATCTTCCTGCATTCCAACGACGAACACAGCGAAGGAAACAGTGGAGCAGTCGCAAAAATCGCCTTCTTTGACTCCCGCATCTCCAGGAGAAGAACAAAACTCTAAAAATCCAGCACATTTGGCTAAAAAGGAACCTCTAACTTCTCAAAAGAAAGTGTCTTCTTCCTTGACTTCACCGCTGGGGTCAAAAATTGCTGGTAAAAACGAGGCTCAATCTTCTCAAGATCAAGAACCAGCGGTTACTCCCGCAATTAATTCATCTTCCTCGATGTCTCAAACAGGTTTGGATTCCGTCTTTGCCCTCATTTATATTTTCCAAACTAGGCTGGATGTGTACTGCCGTGAACCAGGATGGAAAACCATGTGGCCGTGTTTTCCTCGACAAAGCCGACATTACTGTACATGTCGATCTTGGCCACAAAGACAGCAAACCGGAAAATATAGCCAGGGTTATTATCAGAAAAGCTCGGGAACAGAAAGAATCATCATCTTCTTTGCTTCCTGCCTTTCCAGAACAAGTACCAACAAATTCTTCCTTTATTCCAGCCACAGAGCGAAAACGATTCTCGATGGAAAATCCATCGGAAGAAAATTGCCCAAAAAAGCCAAAAACCTCCACATAATTTAAGCTGTTTGAAATTGTTTTCATTTACAAGCGATGGGCCTACTATTTTTATTTACTGAAACACTACCATTTTTAGCACTAAAAGATGCCTTAATTTTTTGCCAGACCTGACTTCAAACTTCACTCGTTCCTTATTGACCTGTTCCTCATTGAAATTCATTTATTCCAAAAGCTCAAAATTGAGTAAATCTCTCGAATTTTTCTCGTTTTGCTTCAAACAGTTCCTGATTGAACTTCACTTATTCTGAAGCCACTTATCTCCAAAACCTTCCGAGTTTTCTCTACCAAATCCTTTTTGAAGAAAACTCCCACGATAAAAAATTTTAATTTCTTCGTTTTTAAGAAGAATGGCTCGGACATCGCAAATAGCTCGCAAAAGCTGCGGTGGACTAGCTCCTCGAAGACAGTTGGCGACGAACGCAGCTCGCAAGACTGTTTCGGGAACAGTTTCTCAAATTGCTCGGGCGGCAGTGACGATGCCTGAATTGAAAGAAGAAGGACAGCTTGAAATAGTTGATGGTGTCAAAAAAGTCGAGTTGGAAAGCGGTCAAGGTACAGTTTTCTGTTATCCAAGCTTTTTGAATTTGTGAATAAGGGATTGAATCCAACGAAGAAGAGACGAAAGAGCCTGGTGTTCACGGGACTTCTTCCAGCGCTGTTGACGATGAAGATGACGAGCTGATTGCAATAGGCGAAGTAATTACCGGCAGTCGTTACAAGCAGACAGCCCGAAAAAGCACTGGAGGAGCACCACCACGAAAACAACTCGCCATGAAAGTAGCAAGAAAAAGCGCACCATCACCTTCTCAAATTGTTGAAGTTGATCCTGAAGTTATCGCTGCCATTGCTCCAGAAAGTGAAATCGTCGACAGGCCAGTTGAAATTGATGATATTTTGGAATGGTATAGGAAAATGGGATCCCGAGCCCTCGAGGTTCTACGGAAGAATTTTCTTGCACAGACTACTGAATCCGGCGAAAAGCTTAGCCCAGGTATTTATCATCTTCTTTGATTCCTCAACATATTTTCGGCAATTCAGATGAGGAAGACTTCAGAGCAAGGAGGAAGATCGTGCAAGATTATCCCTTGGAAAAAGGATTGGTGACAAAAGCAGCACGAAAAAGTGCACCAGCTACAGATCATATTGAAGACGATGATTCGGAAACTCATCCGGAAAGTGATGAAGGTACATTTTCCGATTATTTCTTGAATAAAAATAACTGAAGCAGGAGAGGTATCCTCTGAAGTTGTCGCTGCCATGGCCCCTGAAAGTGTTATCGAGGGTCGAACGGTTACAAAAGAGGATGTGCGCGATTGGTTTTTGAAGTCGGCAAGTCGCTATTTTGAAGTTGAAAGGAAGTTGGTTTTAGAACTAACATCAGGTTTGACGATTAAATGTTCAATTCTTCTAAAGATTTTTTATTAGATGACAAAGACTTCATTGCACGGAGGGAGATTGTGCTGGAGTATATAAAGGTGCTCTCCGTGAGATCGGCGCGGAGTAGACGTCCAGCATGCCGTTGTCGTCCCGATTTGACAAAACTCGTAACCCCTAGAAAAATCGAACCGAAGTGGGAACCGACGATTCGACCACCTCCTGAGGAAAGTTTGAAGAAAGGTGTTCACAATTTTACTGAGGTATTTAACTAACCTTCGTATTAAAAGTTAGCATGAAATTCTAGGGAGAAATTGTTGTCGTTGATGAAAATAGCACGGAAGAAATCAAGAAGTACGCCTCAAAAGGTCGAATGCAAACTCTGATTAACGAAAACCGAAAAGGTTACAAAATTGAAGACGGTCATTTCATTGCTCGTTCTACTAAAAGATTCCCAATTGTGAAGATAAAACTGAACTCGATGGATAAAAAACTTATGAAATATCTCTTGGAGAAAGATGATTCTGCTGTGGTTTCGGAAGCGGCGAAAAAACTTTTGAATGAACAGCAGATCAACTCTGCTCTGAACAAAAGGGAGAATTCTATCTCATATTCCTGCATTCCAGCGACGAACAGAGCGAAGGAAACAGTGGAACAGTCGCAAAAATCGCCTTCTTTGACTCTCGCATCTCATGGAGAAGCACAAAACTCTACCGAGCCAGTACCTTTTCGAAGAGATGAGCCCCTTGCGAAAACTTGTGAAATCGAAGAGACTACTGCGATCTCTTCTTCTCCCTTACCGCCAATCAAATCTGATGAAACTGCAGAGAAAGATTCAAATCTTCCAAACATTGAAGAGTCACAGCAGCAGCAACAAGCTTCTCCTTTAGTTTCTGCATCTGCCTTCCAGGCAGCTTCAGTTGAACAACAAAGCTCTATAAATCCAGCATCTTCGCCGCAGCAGCAACCAGCTTCTCCTTCTATTTCTGCTTCCCAAGAGATAAAGAAGGAGTCAACGATTGAACAACCATCGACGGTTAAAAATGAACCTTACGAGCAAGAGCCGACCTCCCGTCCCGCACTTTCTCCATCTACCTCTACACCTCAAGCTCCTTTAAAACAGGAAGTTTCCGCTGATCAGCCGTCTCAGGTGAAAATTGAGCCTCAAGAACAAGTTCCTCTGCCTCCTAAAGAAATACTCATGCCTTCTCGAAAACGTCACATGAAGGAAAAGCCATCCGAAGACAACCCGCCAAAGAAACCAAAACTCTTCAACGACAATTAAAATTGTCTTCCTCAAAAAGTTCCCCGATTGAAACATTATCTTTGCACTTATTATTTTTATTGATTGAAACATTACCATTTTATGCCTGTCGAAACTATTTGTACATAACCTTCCGAAAAAACACCGGTGCCACCATTTTTGCCAGACCTGACTTCAACATTTTCTCGTTTTGCTTCAAATTGTTCCTGATTGAACTTCACTTATTCTGAAGCCAATTATCTCCACTTAAAACCTTCCGAGTTTCCTCTACTCAACTCCTCTTTGAAGGAAACTCCCACAATAAAAAGACAAATGAAATCTTATCTTATTTCATGTTTTGCCAGTAGAATGTTGTGTGAGTTGAAGAGAGGGAAGATTTGCGTCAATTTGATACGGCGAAGTAGTCTCAAAACAAGGTACTCTCTCCCTCCTCGGCAACCAAAGTCAGTCAATTATCTTCCTTTCAGCAATCCTATGATCAGAAGCACCCCAGAGCCGACGAAAATCAAGGCGCATCAAATCGCCACGCTGAACCGCTTCAATCTCCGTCCATATCCTCAAAAGTACCCGGCGCTGATCGTCCGCGGCGATGGAAGTACTTATCGAGTTTGGAGCACTGAAGAGCCCCAGGAAATTGTCAGATTTCCAATTGATGTTTCCAACATGTCGGAAATGGATAGAACGCGTCTTTTGAGGTTGAAACTTACAGAAATTTCGCTTTTACAGTCATTTTAGTAAACGATACGGAAAACAAGTTAAAACTCGAGTTGTTCAAAGCATTAATGTCGAAGACGAAGATGATCAAGAAGAAGAACTTGGCGATTTTTCGGACTATGACCAGCGCTAATTTTGACAAATTCGCTGTCTTTATCTTCAATAAATCTCCTTCTTAAGGGACCCAGTTAGGTAGATTTAGGCGCGGGTTCAGACGCTCCCTTGATGATCTGTTCTCAAGATTTTTTAATTTTTTCTTCTGCAAATCATATCCTTAGACTCTCAGCTTTCATTTGCTGCTTTCGAAATTTTTATACGGCTAAGAGTTTTGTCGCTAGAGCTGAATGAAGTTTATTAACTTCAAAAGCTATCTAGTCCTACAATTTTGATTTTACCGAATCAAAATTACTACCAGTAGAAAGCGGAGAAAATTCTCTACAAATCCCACCTAGTGTGCAATTTTCAGGTCAACACTGATTGTAATCAGGAAGCGATTCTTGGAAGTACTTAGCGCGGGCTCAGTGGGAATCCATCGCAAACAAGCCTTTTGAGCGCACTGTGACACGGTGCGCGCGCTAAATTTGGTTCATTTGAATGATTATCAGTTTCTGTACGCCATTTATGACGACAAGATAATTGCACACTAGGTGGGATTTGTAGAGAATTTTCTCCGCTTTCTACTGGTAGTAATTTTGATTCGGTAAAATCAAAATTGTAGGACTAGATAGCTTTTGAAGTTAATAAACTTCATTCAGCTCTAGCGACAAAACTCTTAGCCGTATAAAAATTCCAAAGACAGCAAATGAAAGCTTAGAGTCTAAAGATATGATTTGCAGAAGAAAAAATTAAAAAATCTTGAGAACAGATCATCAAGGGAGCGTCTGAACCCGCGCCTAAATCTACCTAACTGGGTCCCTTAACATTGCCGAAAGCGATGCTATTGAAATTTAATTAAACAATCAACAATCAGCTTTGATTGGAGAACTTTTCGCTTCTTTTTATCTTTCCAGCTTAGATTCTTTTAATTGCAGTTGAAAAATGCAGGTTTCTGAGGTTTATTTTTTGAAGAAAGAACAATGAACTCGAGACAGGACGATAACGACCCGTATCCTTATCAAATCGACGAGAAAGCGAGGGATGAGAAAATGTGGAAGCTGGTCATTCCAGCTCGGAAGCGGCTGGAAGGGATGAAGACCCAGAAGTCAGCGCTTTTGGAGAAACACGATGATCTCAAAGACGGTGAGATTACTTTTCATCCCGTTTTTTAAATCGATTTTCTCAGCCTGCATTTTGAAGTATTACAAAAGCTACCGAGTCGCAGCGGAGAGGGAAAAATGTCCTTACAAAGAAAAATATGCAAATATAGAAGATGAAAATCTGCAGTTGTCCGAGAAGTTCTTGGACAGCAAGAATGTAACTTGGTCGGCGATGAATAAGGAGTTGATAACTGTGAGAATCAATGATTTTCATTTTGCGCCGAAAGTCAGAAAACTCCAGCCGATTAGGTCAGAGAGGCATATTGCCGTCTTGCACGGGCTTCATGCTCAAACTAACGCAGGTGAGCCCCTTATCTTTAGGGTCGAGTTGTGACTGTAATCTTTGCAGACATTCAGTCGGTCTTCGAAAGCTCCGATCAAACTGGCACGCTGAATCAGATCCTTTTCGAGCGAATGCGAATTCACCGCGTCTTCGATTCCGTCAAAACCAAAGAAAACTCAAAACCTGCTAGGATGAGAAGGGTTCGCTTTCCTGATGCGCAAACAGAAACCTTCGAACAGCACAACACGCGAAAGAGGGACTACACGGACATGAGAGCCAATCACACCCTAAAAAATTACCACCTTCATTTCAAGGTTCATTTCAACAAATTTTAAATTTCAATTTTCAATTGGCTTTTTAGGAAATAAGCGAAATCTTCTCCGCAGAAAGAGGCCAAAAACGCGACTTCTCCAAGTTCAAATATCCCGGCAAACCGTCGAGCCATTCTGAGACGACTTTCTTCAATTCGAAAAAGGAGCTTCTCGATGGATTCAGAGGAGGAAGAGGAATTCCGGACATGAAATTTGGTCGCTTTTCTGGAAAGGACTCTATTTTAAAATTTCGCTCGAGCTAGGGCGGCCTAAATCTTCAGATGATGTTGCCTGAGGAACTGTTGGTTTCTGATTGGCTGATTGCCCCCCTAAAAGTACCTCAAAATGCCCAGGACCTCTAAGTATTCGCCCACCCTAGCAGCTTGTGGAAACCTTCTTAAAATAGCAAAAAAGATTTGACTTCAAAAAGTCAGGATTCAGTCGCCAGGGATCGCCAAATCCTTTCCGATTTATTGAGAGACGCTGGAGCCAAGAACTCAAATTTCCAACTCTCAGCCGCTGATCGACAAGCTGTGAACGAGCGAAAGGAACGGTTTCTTTCCAAGCCAGAATTGAAGCTCTTGAGAAAATTCGGGAAATGAAACCCTTGAAAAAGCAATGGGAAAATAGCCAACGACTCAAACGTGAGAAAGAACACCGAAACAACCATCAATGGTGACATCTGTAAATTGTTAAAATACTGCCTTTCAATATCTCTTTTCTCATTTTAAGATGAGATTCTTCACCTCATAAAAGACATGTTCTTTTCCATCCAATTTTCTGCCTTTCACAAATGTGTATTTGAAATTTCATTTTCAATTTTCAGTTTCAGAAAAATCGAGATCGAAAATCTTCCTTGATGGCAGTTCGGAAGCGTGAAAATGCTACTCAAAAGAGCAAAAAGCTCGTAAAAAGAGAGAAAATTGAAGATGACTCTACTCCTTCCAGTCCTAGTTACGGCAAATACTCCGTCTTGGTGCTCGTTATTCTTTCGCTTTTCCTCTTGAACCGATCCGAACCGGCTCCGAAAGCAGAGTCTACGAGTCGTTTTCAATCCGGCCCAGCGATCGTGACAACTTGGAAAGGCGTTTCCCGGGAGTGGGCCGAAAGTTGGATCAGTTATCACGCCGCTCTTGGATTCACTCGACTTTTTATCTTCTGGGACTCGCCGGAAAACGATAAAGAAACAATCGCCTGGCTTGATTCCGACCCTGCGTATTCCTGGGTCGTTGATAATTACTCCCCCGACGATGAATACAAAAAGCGCTTTTGGATGCCAAACGAGGAAAGCGACGACTTTGAGCAGTGGGTTCTGCCTGCTTACGGCGTTCACGCGGAAACGGAAATTACGGCGAGACAGAGCTTGTTCGCCGCTCGAGCAGCTCAAATTGGACTCAAAGAAGGCGTTTCATGGTTGTTGCACATTGACGCGGACGAGCTCTTCTGGGTTGATGAGAAGGAAGCGAGTGGATCAGCAAAGAGAATTTTTGAAACGCTTTCGGATAAGAGGTTTACTCATGCGAGCTTTATGAACGACGAGATTTTGCCGGAGACGCCGAATTTTGAAAATGATCAGGTTCAGGGATTGAAATTATTTTCCGTTAAAATTTTTTCAAAGCTTCCAAAAACACCATTTCATCAACGAACGCTTTTCAAACGCAGCTCCTCAGTCACTTTCGATCAGCAATCGCGCTCCGTCGCTCAAGAATGGAAAGCCGAGCATGATGGAGTCAATTTTTTCATGGGCTACATGTGCGGAAAAGGAGCCATCAATCTTCAAGAGTGGAATCTCAGAAATCCAGGAGCGGCGGTCGTGCCACAACATGTCGTTCGTTTTGCGTAAGTTTCATTTTCTCTTTCCCTTTATTAATCAAAATACAAGCTCTGATTATCGAAACCTCGGCCTCATCACGCTCCTGAAACAACTCGGCATGTCTTACGAGCACTTCGATGTGCCAGTTACGAATTATCAATCAGCAGCGCATTTTTACAAAGCAAGAATCATCCACTACATCAACTCGGACTTGGACTCAGCCAGATCGAAGTTTGGATTCCGGGAAAAGTTCGACTCCAAGATTTTCGATGCCAAACTCGCCACTGCTGAAGAAAGGGAGAGATTTGATTTGTGGAAGGCGAACTGGACTGAAGAAGAAGGAATGCCGAGTGAAGTTTATTACAATAACATGTGGAAGGCTGTCCAGGTTCGTTTGAAATGGATACTGTGGGGATCACCATGTTGTCTCTTATTGGCCCACGTTGATAAAACTTGCTTCTGATTAGACCACAAACCCTATAAATCGAGACACGCTTGATTAAACCCCCTAAACCCGCTAAGAATTTTTCATTTTCAAAAGTTCTTTGCTGACAAAAATTTAAGGAGGAAAAGAAAACCGGCAAGAACCAAGCAGAACTGTACTACAAGAAAACCTCCCTCGTCAACCCGAAAAAGCTCAACCGCTATCTACAAACGGGCGCAATTTACCGCAACACTGACATCCGCGACTACCTTCTCAAACTTTCCAAAGAGCTCCATTCCTCTTCAACTCCCGGAGAAGTCCTGAAAGAACACAACTCTCGAAAATCCTCATCGAAGCACAAATATCACGGCTGCTCAAGAGGGCCTCATTTTCAATGCGATCACAAGGTCAGTTTTGAATTTATTAGAAGTGTTGAAGTCGGACGATGTTTTCTCTTGAAAATTTCTTGTCGTCTTTGATCGGGTCTCTTCCTTGATTTCAATACTAAAATTTTTAATAATCAACTGACCCGAGTCCTACTGGGCATCGTTTCGCCGATTTCAGTAACTCGTTCGCGCATCGCTCGCACATTTGGTGCCCGCAAACCGAAATGCAGCACTGATACTTGTCCGTCAAATTGTAAGGCTCGTTGCACTTCCCGCACATTGGCCTCGTCGTCAGCCTTTGAAGCTCTCGAGTTTCGTTGTCGATCGATTTTTTAAGAGTTTTTGCTTGTCTTGTTTTTTCGCTTAGAAATGCTTTCAGCTCATTTATTTCTTGCTGGAGCAAGTTTTGTTTTTTAGAGCATTCTTGATTTCGATTGAGTCGGGCCTGGGAGTTGTGCGTGTTGCTTTCTGCTTCGTTCAGAATGCACTGCTTTATGTCAGTTGTCTTGAAAAGGGGCGAGTTATCGATATTTTAAAGGCCTTAGATCGCGTTTCTTACTATTCTAGGAAGGCCTTGATTTATTAAATTCGCCCCAAGCCATAATGTCCTTGAAATGATCCCTTTTCCCCCATCGCTCAAAATGCTTGTTTCCTTTTTCAAAAGCTCGATTATTTCATTGGAAACGCTTTTCAGCTCTTCAAGAGCTGCCATTTCCGCGGTTCTCTCCTTTATCTCACTTTCAATCGTAGAATTTTCATCCTTCAACTCTTCGTAGCGCCGGAAATCGCTGAAAAGAGCCTCTTTTTTCTTCTCTATCGAGTTGATGCTCGAATCAAAGACCGACTCGATCTCATTCTCGCTCAGAGAAACAATGTCAAAAGAAACTGTTCGCGACATTGAAGATTTTTTCGATTAAAAATGAAATCTGCCGGCCGATTTAGAAATTAGAAAAAGTGCTGATTAAAATATTCAGGATTGCTGTTTCCACTTGCGATCTCCCATGTTCACTTTCGAAAAACGACTGCTTGGCTACATCAGATACGACAGTTTCGAATGGTGGAAGAAGGGCATCACCTGGCCGCCTCGTTCCCAGCACTAGAACTTTTAAAAACCTAAAAAAGAGCTGCTTTATCCGTTTATTACACATTTTTCTTTGCCAAAAATGATTGTGCAATCACTTCGACTTTCTGTATTTCTGTAATGCTAAAAAATAGTTCTAAATAAAAACTCACTAGTTCGGAAAACCTAAAAGTACGAATCTTCTTTTCAATAAGATAGATTGGTGCACCTCTGGTTTATAATTATTAATTATAAATTTTTAAATAAAAATTAAAATAAAAAGGAAGTGACGTGAAGGCCGTTTTTTTTAAATTCTTTGAAAATATTTCTTTCTCGTCAGGGTTGTTGTTTTTTGGTAGAACATAGATTATTCTTGAGGGAGAATGGTGATATTCCATCTGATGTAGTACTCAGTGCCAGGCGCGTCGGGGTTTTCGCTCTTTCGGGCTTCTTGCTCTTCTTCTGTCTCGCCGCATTTAATCTCACCGTCGTTTTCATTTGGCTCTATGTTCTTCATGGAGTAGAGCACTCGACCATCTTGCTGGATGCAGTCGGCATTGGCACGTAGAGGAATGGTTTTGTCTGAAAAGAAAATGAGAAATACGCAAGAATCAAGCACAACCGTTTTTGGTGATCCAAAGTTTCCACTCGTCTCTTTTGCTGTTGTCAAAACTGGCGATTTTGAGCTTGTATTCTCCCTCGGCTACTTCGTATTCTTGAGTGCGCATGAATTTCAAATTGAAGCTCTCGACTCCGTCCGAAATCGCTTTCAAAATCTTCTTCGACTGAGCGTCCGAAAGACCGCCGGAAAGACGAATGTCTTTGCTATCGAATCCATAGTAGCTACCGTAGCCTTCTTTCCAAATGTCAGGTCGGATGAATTCAGCGCCTTGAGTTGTCGCTTCAATTCTGCGTTTTCGTCAGCGAGGGTGTCATTGACAACTTCCAGAGTCTTTGTTTCGTCGAGTGAGAACTTCATGTCAGCCGGCTCAACTCGGTTTTTCAGCTGTTTGACGAGGCTTTTAATCGACCCGTGGTTCATCAAAAGAGAAGCGTTCCCAACTCGATCTTCAAGATTTTCCTTCAGGCAGCAGTTTACGAGAGCTTCCATTTCTGCTTGAGGAAGCTTTGACGGAGTCCGTTTGTTTTGAATAATGTTGTTCCAAGTAGCCGGAGGATGTTCGCCTGCGAAGGGATTTTCAAACGTACAAAGCATGTGGAAAATAACGCCCATCGACCAGATATCGCGTTTGAAAGTCACGTTCCCAGTGTCAAGCCGTTTGAAAGTTTCGGGAGGATAGAAGTAATCGCTGGGTCCTCCAGTCATTCCGCCAGAGCAAATGTGCAGGTCGAGGATTTTTATCTAAAACCAATAAAGACCAAACATAAGAATCATTTGCTTGCCTTTTTTCCGTCAGCAGAAATGAGGATGTTTTCAGTGTTGAGTTCTTTGTGAACTTGCTTTTTCTTTTTGTGCAAGTAGTCTTAGAAAGGTTATGTTTCGAAGCAAATCAAGAAAGGCCTACCCATTGCGAAGACAATTTGAGCAGCAAGTCGGAGAGCATCGTTTTCCGACCAGATGCCGTTTCCGCTTGTTCCACTGCCGCTACTTTTCAGGCTGCTCTTTAGCGTGCTTTTGAGGGTGCTTTTCATGACTTCACCATCATCGTCATCTTCTCCCGCAGCTTCTTCCTTCTCTCCTTCTTCGTCAGTATCGTCGTCGTCAGAGGGACTCTCAACTAATGCTCAATTACCAATGTAGCTTTAAAAACTAAATCTTACGATCTTTCTTCATATTCGCTAGAAATTGCCCGAGATCTCCTCCAGAAAGATATTCAAGAATCAATCCTCTGTATGGAACGCTATTTGGACCGGTAAAAGAAACATCGTCGAGCAGTTTGACGATGAATTCATTGTTCATCTGCTTCAGAAGCTTGACTTCATCCTCGGTATCGGATTTGACCTTTTCGCTCAGAAGGGCAATCGCTTTCAGTATCTTTAGCTCCCCAGCTAACAAAAAGTGTCAAAAAAGGAAAAAGAATTAATCTACCGAAGGTCTTATCCTCCACAATCCAGTAGAGTGTTGATTCTCCTAACTTCGCCTGCCTCAGTTCTCTTTATAAACATTCAAAGACTACTGCTAGAACTGCTATTCGATTTTGCCTGTGAATCTTTCCTGATACATTTGTAGCGATTGCTCGGGCCGAACTGAAAATTTTCCATCCTCTCTTTCTCTTTTTTTAGCAAAAATGCGTTAGCGAGGCTCGGTAGTGTTATTTGAAGGGTAACCAATGCAAATAATTTCTGTTTGAACTAAGGATTCTCAAGACATGCAAAGTTGACGTCACATTTCCAATTTGCCACATTTGATAGAAAATTTGTTCAGTACGAGCTGAACTTTCTGCTGAAATAATTTCTCCTTACGTTTTCGTTTTCTACTTTCAGGTGTATCCATTATTCCACTTTTCAGAATAGCCTTTTCTTGTTTCTGAATTTGACTCTACTATTTAATTCTGATCCATTGCATTGTATTACAAGTCGTTTCAAAGTAGCATTGGCAGTCATTAATTTTTGATAAGCATTTGAATAGAGGAGAATGCTAAAATAGAAGCATCTTCTCAGAATTCATTCTAAGATGCTTAATGCATTTTTACTTTTTCTTTTTCTTGAGAGAGTTTCTTCATCCGCTCAGCCAGAAATATTGACAGCTGATATCTGTTCTAGCGGCGTGAATCATGAAGTTGGTTCTCCAGTGATAATCACGTGAGCTTAATGAAAGAAAAAAAAATAATTTCAGACTGAAAATTCAGCTCTCCAAACTATCCAAACAACTACAATAATTATCATGATTGCAAAGAAGCGTTTAACTCAACGACAGATGGGCTCATGTTTGTGCTCCTTGATTTTAACGTTGAACACGCCTATGATTGGGTGCATTTCTTGGATTCAAGTGGCAGTACTTTTTTGACGCTCACGGTTAGTGTATTCAACAATTCTTATTGTCCGAAAGCTAAAATTAAATTAAAGGGCGTCCAAAATCGAGCCCCGATCTGGTTTCAGATGCCAATAGTAAAACTTCGATTTACAAGTGACGTGGATACCACGCGAACTGGATTTCAATTTCAAGTCAATAGTCTCATAAACGGTAAATTTGAATATTTTGCGGCTCATGGGAGAACATTTACCCCGCACCCCCTTGTTGCAAATTTCTCGGAAAAAAAATTCCCCCGCGAGTTGCACAGAAGGCTGCAAAGAGCTAAGAGTTAAATTCAAGAACCCGGCTACCAATGCTTCAATTGCGACTGCTTGGACGGTCTCATGAAAGTGGGCTATATTTGCGAGGAGATTCTTGAGTGCGAAGACGAAATTAACCCTGTCTGCGGGACGAATTCGATTTGTAAGGACGTTTTTACGAGTTTTGAATGCTCTTGCGGCGCTGGTTTTATTCCAGCGACTTGCCAAGGGTACCAGGGCTGCGCAAATTTTGAATGTATCGACGTCGATGAGTGCGTTCATGATCCTTGCGTCGAGAATGCGATTTGTGAAAACACCATCGGAAGCTATACCTGTGAATGTATTGACGGCCTCGTGATGATCGAAGACATCTGCGAAGAAATTTTCGAATGCGAAGAAAAAATCGACCCTGTCTGCGGGAAAAATTCCATTTGCAAAGACATTTTTGCGAGCTTTGAGTGCACTTGCGCCGCTGGTTTTCTCGAGGACACTTGCCAAGGCCATGAAAACTGTGCGACTTTCACTTGTTTCGACGATGATGAGTGTACTGCTGATCCCTGCGCGGAGAATATGCACTGCAACAATACCCTTGGCAGTTTTGACTGCTTTTGTTTCGAAGGAATGGAAGAAATTGGTGGAACTTGTGTCGATATTGATGAGTGTTCTGCAATTATCAATCCATGCAGAAGCCATTCTGCCTGCAAGAACACGCACAGGAGCTATGAATGTCACTGCAATGCTGGTTTTTCTGGTGGTTTTGCCGGGGATCAAGCAATTGCTTGGACTTCAAATGCGATGATATCGATGAATGCTCTATTGGAGATCATCTGTGCGATGAGTTCTGCACAAACACTGTTGGGAACTACAGTTGTTCTTGCGATGTTACCATGCGTCAAGTGGGGCTGTTTAACTGCGAGGCTGTGATTTTTAACGGGCAAGATTTATTAAATATGGACGAAGACGACTTGAAGATATTTTTGGAGAATGAGCTCATTGTCATCGAAGAGAAGATTGAAAGCGCATTGAATGACTCAGAAGCTGCGGCGGAAACGATCAGCGAGGTCTCAGCGAGAACAGAGAGTTTGTTATCGAACTTGCTCGCGCCAAAGGTTTCAAATGATGATTTTTTGAATAAAATCTCCTCTTCCAGAATCGATTTACTCCTAGAGTCGAGTGAAAACATTGTTAACATAAGAAAAGGTCTTGTTCATCTTCTTGAGTCCATTTCCGCCGAGACAAAGTCCACTGATTTTCTCACGATTGGAGAAGACATTTCGACTGGGGTTATTTTGGGAACGTCGAGAACAAAGGATGACCCAATTATCGCTGAAATAAAAGCCAACCCGTTTATTTACTCTGAAGACGATTTGCGACTTGGCAATAATGTTCTCTATTCAGCCAATTTTGATGGCCAAGCATTGGTCATCTTCGATCAAGAAACTCAAACAATAGAAAAAGAGATTTTAGCTGGACGAGGCGAAGTGCTCCGCTTCAATCTTGAAAACAAGGAAGACTTTTTCCTCTTCTTTGATGTTGACGAAAATCATCAATTTCAAATATTTGTCGATTTCTGGTACGAGCCTGACCCAAAACTCATCTCTTACCGGCATCACGTGATCTTGCCGGTTTTCAAAAACGAGTCGGAAATATCATCGACGTTCTGCTTCGGAGATCGATGCACTGGGGAACCATTCGGCCTCCATTTCGATGAGAAAGAAATCAACCTGTGTTTTTCAAGGCAAAAGTGCTCAATTTTCGTTCTTCTCCAATCTTTCTCGACCGAAAAGATGAGTGTCAAAATCTCCACACTCTCTGGTTCCTGTGTTACCGATAAATTTCAAAGCTGGAATAGACAGTCTTGCTCTGTAAGAAGCGATTCAAGTCGCGGAAAAATCAAATGCTCTTGTGAAATTGAAAGCAGAGACAAGATAACCTCAAGGTTTGGTCAATACGGGACGATTGCAAATTACAGCTCACTAATTGTGAATGAAGTTCTAACAGTCAGTGTCAAGCTATTTCCGATTTTATTCGTTATTTTCTGGATAATATTGATTCTCCGAGCCCGAAGTCTCGACCGACTGCAGGAGAAAGCGAGTATTCTGCACCCACCCGCGATTTTAGGAGACTTCAGGACAGCCAATTATTATATAATCGAGATCGACACGAGATTTTCTTTCAGTCGCGCTCCAAAGATGCTCAAAATCGAGATCTTCTACGACGACCTTTTGGGTAATTCGGACCGAGTTGATTTTTACCTGGGCTCAAGAACGAAGCGACTCTTCGAAAACGGACGCTCGACATTGTTCCTTTTGAAGAGTCCAATGATGAAAATAAAGAGTCTGAAGCTGTCCGTCGACTTTCATTCAGAACTAGAAGCAACTTTTTTCCCACGAAAAATCTCATTCTTCATAGTCCATTCCTTTCCCGAGGAATATTCGAAAGGACGGATTAAGGACATCGCATGGCATGAGTCCACTGTTACTTTCGATTTGGAAGATGAAATTTCAGTCATGAAAGCAGATCGCATTACTTCAACAGAAGTCCACCTAGAATCTCCTCCTTTTCAACATGAAAGTCTTTTCGAGCGATTTTTAACGAACAATCATTGGCTCGGACCAGCGGCATCGAAAAGACAGACCGAAATTTCAAACTCTTCCAGGGTTATTTTCGCGTTTTTACCTCTTCTTTTATCGATCTTTTTGTCCTTTTTGCTTTTTCAGAATACAAATTGGATTGCGGAAAAAATCGTTTCTCCGAAATTTCTTGTCTTTGGGCCAGTTACTTTGTCGACTCTTCAACTGCCTGTTTTATCGTTGGAGATTTTATTATTGACTGTCCAATTTTTAAGTCGGCCTTTATTGTTAAAAATTCAAAGAAAATTAATTTTCGTGGCCAATTTATTTATATTTATTGGTTTAATTTCTATGGCTACGATTATACTTGTTCGACTTTCCTCCCTTAGAAAAGGTTCATTTCTTTGTAAATTTTCATTCAATTACAACAAATTCGAACCAAATTCTAGTGAAATCAATTTTGAGTTATGGATGACGACGAGCTATTTCTTCATATTTGCTGAAGTCTTCTTGAATCCACTCATCGTCTCTTTTGTGATCAAAAGAACCGAAGCGAACAAGCAGGAGTTCATCTTTCTCAGGAAATCAGAAGAATACGAACAAGGAAAGTACACAGAAGCGACAAAATCCTTGCTTGACCGAGCAGCGATAACAAAACTTGTCTACGCAGCAAAGCACAAATTGGACCTTACCATCACTCTTCGACGCTTTTTCTCTTATTTCTTCCTGACACTGAGTCTTTACGGGCTTTCAACAGTCATCGTCCCGGCAGAAAAATACGATGTCGACAAAAATTTTCGCGATAAAATTTCCATTTTCCCGGGAAAAACTCAACTCAATGTGGAATCTGCTTGGAATCTAATTCAAGAAGAGCTTTTGCCGCTCATCCACGCTGGCAACAGTAGCAATGGGGAAATTCCAAGTCGAAAAGATAAAGCTTTTGCTCGAGACAGCGTCAATTTCCGACTTGGGCCTTCGACTCTCGAGCAGCATCGAGATCAGTGCGGCTTTTTCACAAAATATTGGCAATTTCAACCAAACGCGACGCAAAGGACGATGCAAAAAGTGCTAAAATCGCCACTTTTAGCTTCCTACTTTTCCGAAACCCAATCGTCCCTTTCTTCCGACATTTTTCTCCAGGCTCCAAATAGACTTTCCTCGAACAGTTGCAAGTTTACCGCCGACCTCGGCACCTCAAAAGAAAGTGCTGAATACATGATCAATTATTTACAAGAAAACGCTTGGTTCGATCAGGAGACCAAGCTTCTCATCTTCGAACAAAGCTTTTTGAACATGAATATCAACTCTTTTCTTAAACTTCGGGTCGTTTTTGAATTCGTCGATGGAGGCGCGATACTCCCAACTCTGGCAAGGCTTAAATACTAGAATAGTTGGTGATCATAAGAATCGAGATCTTGAAGGAAAGCCTTCTGAAGAATATTCAGCAGCTCAAAAACACCGAGTTCTCTGACTACACCTTTTCTCTCAGCCTCACGATTTTCGTCGCCCTCCTTTTGACTGAAACAATAGAAATAATCAAAACCATGAAAAATCGACAATGGAGCTTCTTATCATTCTATAAAACTATTTTATTCGCCCTAGATGTTACCATTCTCGTTTTTATCGTCCTGAGAGCGCATTACCTCTCCGAAGGAATTGCAAATTTCGTTCTCGATCCAAAAGGCTCCCCAAAATTTTCCTCCGTTTTCTTGGTGCAGCATCACTTTCTTTCTCTCGTGGCGATTTCTTCGTTCCTCCACAGTTTCTTGCTTATTCATATTTTGTCGACTTTGAATGCCGTTGGACGTAAGTGATTTTGGCTGCTTCCTTTTGAATCGTTTTTAGAGTATAAAAGCATCCTGAAACAGCTGAAAAAAAGCCTAGCTCCGTTTTTAATGATGCTTTTGCCGATTCAATTTGGACTTTCTTCCGTCATTTTTATCATTTTCCGCTATTCTTCCTTTATTTTCCGGTCCCTTTTGAAGACTTTTTTCATCATCATCTGGCAAGGATATTTGAAACCTTCAGGTAAAAGCGACCAAAGTAACTCATTTCTATGTTGGCTAGATATGAGGATAGAAGTTGATCAACTGTCAGATCCGAATTGGCGGTTTTTGGCGCAATCAATCTATTTCGCCTTGAATCTGTCGATGATGTATTTGACGATGAATGTGATTGTGGCCATCATTTGCGACACAAACCAAAGCGTCAGGGAAGAGGAACTCGAACTCGACTGGCTCAGTCTCGTCGCCAACAAATTGAAAAAACTGAAGCTGCGGAAAGATTTTTTCTCGGCAAAAAAGTTTTCTGGTCAGAGAAGAACGAAATATGAAAAAGATCCCGGCTGAACAATTTTATAAAAAAGAAATACTGCAATAAAATATTGATTATCATAAATATTATAAATTAGAAATAAAAAACAACACGCTGAAGCTGGGTTGGGCTTTGTTATTTTGTGCGCATCCCAGCTCGTAGAAATCTGATTTTTTTTTTGGTATTTATTTTCGATAAAAAGTTCATAAGACATTAGAACCCAAAACCACAGCCATCAATTTGCGCAGATACCCAAAAAGGTAAGGAACCAATTTGTAGATCATCGTGAAACCACAGCTTCGCGTGCACGGAGTGAATGCATGGCTCTTTCCAAAACCAAGAATCAGCGACGCCTTTAAGATTATTGCAAATCGAAAGGCCGTTTTTATGCTGATCATCGTCGCATCTATATTTACTTCGGTTCCACGGAAGCCCCCTATAACTGTAACACTGATCATGTGACAGACAAGCGGCTTCTAAGTCGTCGATGATGGGACCAGAACACCAACGCTCCCACCAACCCTTCGGCTGCCAATCGCCATGGGCGGAACATGCTGGCGGTGTTCCGCACCTAAATTTCATTTCAAAAGCAGTCAAATTACGAAAAAACACGATTTGTCAAAATTTCAATCTTACTCTCTCAGGACATAATCTTGCAAATCATCACTGGTGAAGAAGTCACTCGTCCATGATCCATCTGAGAACAAACATCGACCGTCTAGTTCGAATCTCGGGATGTAAATGTGACCTCCGTCTCCACAGTACCATTTTACCGAGGAACATCTGTTGCCGCCAGTTGGAGCCGGAGGGTTTGAACAGGCGGAAACGACTTAATGTTTTTTAATTTTTTTTCGAACTTATTTTTTTTTGGCTGAAATTTTATTTATAATTGAAGCTAACTTATCAATAGTGAAAAACCTTACCTTGGAAAATAATAAATAAATCTTTCATTGTTTTAATGTTGCTAAACTTTTCCCGCTTTTAAACAGTAGAACTCCTCAATAGCGCCACTCCGTATTTTGGCGCACGCGGTCTTTTCGCATAAAAATTTTCGTTCTTGACGCTGTCCTTCGCGTATAAAAACCGGCGATTTCTAAGATTGTTAAGAAAAGATGATTTTCTCTCTTTTATTCTCTGGTACTAATGCTCTCTACAACGAGGAGTTCGTCGGAACATGTAATGCGCCGACAACGCTTGATTTCCAAAAGCTCAAATTCATCCCATGTAAGTTCGAAAAATTTTTATCAGATGCGATGACTGCTATTTTTTAGGGCAAATAGACTTTGAGTCTCCGTGGCTGAAAGTTTCGAACCCAGTTTCTCCAGAAGTCAACGAGTTTTACTTGGATGAAGGCATCCGAGATGACATGTGCTGGGGAATGCGCTATTCGATAATGAATAACGTAAAGGAATGTGTTTTTATATCACATTTTCATGTACGAAAAAACTTAACTGTAGTTTTGAGATTGATTGCTGAGTTTTTTGATTGTGAAAATCAACACATTTCAGTTTCACTCAAGAAACTTGGGCGGGAAATTTGACTTGTACATCCCAAAAGAGATTCCAGACTGGATGAGTGTCCGTTGCACATCAGAAGAAAAAGAACCGTGTACTTCCTTCGAAATTCAATACTGCTGCCCATCCACATTCGACAATGATGAGGAACTTGAAAAAGCTGAACGACCTTTCCCTGTCTTCAATTACGAACAACAAGGGAGTTGTTCAGATGGCGCCCTACAATTCGAAAACGACGGGAGTTTCATCGATATTGATGGTTAGAAATTTCTCATAAGGAAATTGAGAATGACATTCTTTTCAGACGACAGCGAGTTTTTAAGCCATTGGTTTGAAGCAACCAACCCAAGCTCCCCAGAAGTAAATGGTTTATTTTTCAACCCAGGTACAAGGCGAGACATCTGTCGCGGAATCAGACTCAAAAACATGGGATACGATTTTTCCTCCTATCTTTTTGGGGGCGAAAAAAATGTCACGAGCGCGACGCCAGATTGGATGACCGTCAGATGTGGTGATCCAAACTGCCATACTTTCGAAGCGAAGTATTGCTGCCCGGCATTAGAAGAGCTCGACAGTAGCATTGTCAGGCCTGATATTAAACTACACGATTCAATCAAAAAACTCGTCGATACGATTACCAATGCTCCAGAAATAAAGCGAGGCAGATTCAAGAACAGAATGACGCAAAAATTGAAAACAATCAAGGATGTTTTGCTCGTCGATTTTTGGAACAGAGCAAAAGATTGTTTTGCTGAGTTTTCTGCTCCTAAAAAGTAAGTTTTCAATTAGATAGAAAAGGAAAAAGGAAATCTGTTAAGTCTTCTCGAATCCGGAACAACAGAAGACGAGATTCGCAATTCATTCACAGAGATAAGGTCTTGGATCGGGCAGTTCAACAGTCGCTGCGATGACAAACCTTCCAAGTACGCAGAAAAAATGATTCAAAAAATGACAAAAGAAGAGAAAAAGACGCTGAAAAGAATAAGAAAATGATTATTTGATGTGCTTCTTACTGTTTGTAATAAAGTTTCGAAACTTATAACATGTAAAAATTGAATTATATTTTTTTTTAAATTTGAAAATTTCGTCAAAATCACGATTTATAAAAAGAATAAATACAATTTTCAAATCTAAAAGGATGGTGCCGAATAAATTAATATATATAATTCTGAATCTTTGTTAACATCCTTTACATCGGCTCGATCCGCGCTGCCATAACCCGTTTTTCACGTAGACATAATATCCGAATGGATTCAGATTTTTCAAAAACTCAAACAGATTCGTATTTTTTGGTTCCTCTTCGATTACCCGAAAGGAAAGAGAATCGGTAACAAAGGACTCTGTTTAAACCGCGTGTTTCCTTCAAATGACATTTTCTCCTTTTTATGTTATCAAAATCCTTCGAAAATTATATGTTTTTGTAAAGAATCGTCTGTTCGACGGTTCCTCTGATTTAGATTTTTCTTTTATGCATTTCAAATATCATTATTTTAATTATCATACAGTATTGTAAAGAGTAATGAATAAATTGGCGCGCCAACTAGTGCCCGCTGAGCCGTAACCCAGTCGATAGCATACTCTCACCATAAGTTCACGCTCAGTTTAGGGGAGGTGTCTGGAACCGACAAAAAATTTCGACAAATTTTGCGTGGAAATTTTCAACCAATCAGAAGCCTTAATTCAGCAAACCGGCCAATCAGCAGCCGAGTAGCCGCCTACGCAAAATTTGTCGAGATTTTTTTGTCGTTTCCAGACAACATCCCTCAGTTAATGGACCAAACTAAACTTTTATCCCTTTTACCTCCATCTTTTAAAAATTTTCATATGTCGTAGCTACGCTGAGTTGCGGCAAAAACTTTTGCGCTCGATTTCAAGTGTACATAAGTACTCGAAATACTCGGATTGAGATTATGAGACTCAACTCATTTGAAAGCACGTTGTCTCTTCTACAAAAGTTACGCTGTGAGATTTCCAAGAATTGTATCCATCGAACCTGTCACAAAAGGGTCCGCAAATAAATCAATTTATACCATTGAAAACCTCGCAAGCTCAGCTTTCAACTGGCAAGTTAGAATTTTACCATTTAAAATGGTACATAGTAAAATTTACTTGCAAATTAGAAAAGGTACAGAAGCGACAAGACGCCGCGTCACTGCTATTTTCTCGAATTACATGCATCCGTATGTATCCAACTTTGCGTTTAGAGCTACTGTTGTGAGCGAATATGACATTTCTCCATAGCAAATTCAATTAGAGAGTACATGCAGATACGTGGAACCCTTATTTGAGCAGTTTATTGCGTTGACAAATTGAGCTATCGTATTTCTTTTCGATAAAATTTTGTGTTTAGATGGGCAAAAACTAAACTAAAAGACAAATTTTTGTACCGTGTGCATTCAAGCGTTAAGAGCAGAGAAGAAGTCCGCAAAAAACAACAAATTTGAGCTGGCTTGGGCACATTTTTAAAGTTCAAGTGAGGTTTCTTTTTGTACAATAAAAGGGGTGGTGTCTGGAACCGACAAAAAATTTCAACAAATTTTGCCTAGGCGACTACTCGGCTGTTGGTTGGCCGGTTTGCCGAATCAAGGCTTCTGATTGGTTGAAAATTTCCACGCAAAATTTGTCAAAATATTTTTGTCGGTTCAAGACACCTTCCCCAAAAAGGCTTCTGATTTGATTAAATGATGGAAACTGGACTCTTATTGGTTGAAAAGCTTTACACCTCACAAAAAAATCAAATTATGTGCCCAACCCAGCTCGAGAAGTGTTCATGATTACGTTTTATTTAAATATTATCTTGGATTATTGAATTGAAATGTCTGCTTTTTAGTCGGCTTTTCTGGCAGCGACGATGTCGTGTTCTTGGTAGGGCTGTTTGACGCCAGTAGTTCGTTCCCGGACGCCGAAGATGTCGTTGTCTCGGTGAGACTGAACTTATTTTGAGAAGAAAAAAAGGGGGTTGAGTTAACCTGGATTGCTTCTCGTTTGCCCTTGTTGATGGGAGCTTCCTTGGCAGCGTTGATTTCTCCTTGGTGGAAAATGTCGGATTTCATGTGAGCCGCGGACTTGGTCGAAATTCGCCGGTCCATCTCGCCGGTGCCGTTGAAAAAGTCGCTATTGAAAGTTTACTTTTCTTTGCAAATGATCAGGCAAAGAATGGTGAGTTCGATGAGTCATCAAATGAAGTCTCGGAGATTTTTTTAGGCATCTGAAAATACCTATTGAAGTTGTTGGATCGAGACATTTCAATTCTGAAGTTGCTTGAGTTTGGATTTGTGATTTTCTGAACTGATTTGCTTTCTGCGAATTTTGGCGAAAAATAAATCGGGTTCTAGAGAAAATAAATTTTTCAAAAAATTTTTTTTTGCGATATTTTGCTGTTTTCGCGAAGAAAAAGCTCGAAAACAGGCTTATTGTTGGTGAACTTTCCTCCATGATTGCAATTCGACTGCCCTGTCAATTGAAAAGTGTAATTGATAGTAGCTGCTAATACCCATTCTTGATTTATTGCAGCGCTTGAGTCAGGATAATGAGATCGCAGGTCTCCCGCCTAAGCTCTCCTCTGACTACCTCTTGCAGCGCTGAAATTATCGCAGCGCGAAAAAAGTGTTCTTTGAACGTTGCGACGCAAAAGAGAATAAGCACAAAATATGAGCCAGGCCGTACTTGACCGTAAGTTCATCTCAGTTTTTCAAAAAAAATTTTATTTTTTGGCAAAATTTTGGTTCCCTAGCCCTAAGCCTTATGTAAATAATGAGAAAATTTTAAATTTTTGCTAATTTTTTGATATAAAAAAATAAAATATTTTTGACGAAAAATGTTAAAATTGACGAATCATGAATGACGATTTCGTATCTTTTTATGCAGAAAATTCAAAAATAAACAAGGTTTTGCCAATTTCGTCATCATTTTTAGAATCATCAAAGTTAATTTTCATTTAAAAGAAATATTGACTTTTTTAAAAACTGGCTTTCCTCCAACTTTCAAAGCAACCTAAGATTTCGTTAAGAATGCGTTGCTGCTTTTGAGCTCTTCACCAAGGACACAACCGACCAGCTCCTTGGCGTTGCTGAGCTCGATCTGGTTCTCCGAGCTCTTGGCCAGGAACCCAACCCAAAGGAGCTTGGAGAAATCATGCAGGGATACGGATCCAGTAAGTTATATTCTCCCTCCGCCCCTGTTCAAGTGTTGATAAGAGTTCGGCAAGATGAACTTGGACGACTTCCTCGAACTCATGCAGCAGCAGATCCGAGCGAACACCTCCGACCGAAATGCTGACTCTCTCCCCGCCGCCACCATTGCCTTCTTCGCCGAGGCCTTCCGACTTTTCGACAAGGACCAGGACGGATATTTGAACATGGACGAACTCAAGGTATTCTCCATTCAAGCTTCAAAAACCTCAATTTTCAGAACGCTCTTTCTCTCATCGGCCAGGACGGCTCTGCGGAAGAATTGATGGTCGCTTCCGACGCCAACAAGGATCACAAACTCGACTTCGACGGTAACAGAATTTGCCTTGAAAGATAAATTGAGATTTATTTTTTAGAATTCGTCGAGATGATGAAAGATATCGATGTTTGAAAAATTTGTGAAAAATAAAGAACACCTGGACATTCGAAATTCCACTAGTTTTTACGAAATTGCTTTCTAATATAACTGATTTTTTATAAAAAAAAATTTAATCAAAAAAGAAAAGAGAAAACAAAGATTGGATAGATTGAACAGATGACTTAAGCCAAGAGAGCTGCGAAAAGCATCAGACTGATGCCATCAGTGCAGTTGGCAGAATCATCGAAGCTGCTGAGCTTGACCCTCCTTTTGAGCCCCCACTTGGTCCGCTTGGTCTACTAGGTCGGCTAGGTCGTCGTCTGCGTAGCTCTTTGGACAAGTCTTCTTCGTTTTGATATTCATTGTCCGCATTTGGACCGATGGATGCAGTCGAATTGTCAAAGAGAACGGCTTGGCAAGCGAGAAAATAGAAAAAGAAAATGAGAAATTTCATTCTCGATTGGATATAGTGAATAGTTTTTCAAGAGATTCAGACTTTATACTTACTGAAAAACAATGGATTTTCCCTTTTTGAAAAGTCTCCATGGAAAGCCGGAAACTATTCTGCTCCAAGCTGAGCTTTCTACATTGTAGAACTACAATCAATGGAAGATCCAACAAGTTACTGTATTAGGAGAATACAGATTTCTGACGCACAAAAAAACTACTGTCGCTCTTTCTATCCTCGGGCGTCGGAGGGAAAAATCAGGATCAACGAACTTTCTCAAAATTTTCAACAAGCTCAGGTTGCCGAGTCGACAATGCATAAATATGACGCCATCAAATTATTGCACTGTAAAACATGATGCACCTACTTATCAATAAATTTTTATTCTTGATAGCTGTGTTGATAGCCAGTTAAGATAGCCAAAAGCGAACCTCGCTTGCGTCGTCAAAAATTGCCAGAAAAGCTACAACCTTCTGACATTCAGAAAAGAACAAAAACGGAGGCGAAACTATCCAAGAGTAAGCCAAGCAGTCGTGACTATCATTCCCATAAAGCGTTTTATCCTTTTTCTCCCGGAAAATCTTTCTCTCTCCGCGAGCTCACTCGCGATGGTCATCGAAGAAGAAAACGAGACAACAGAAAATCCAAATTTCCATACGAGAATCCAGGTTACCCGAATTTGAGCTTATTTAATAAAGTTCAATAATAGTGCCTTGACTGCGACTGCTTAGGCGTTCTGAGACAAAAAGGCAAAAAAGTTTTTTTGATGCCCGTGGAAGTTTTGACTACTCGGAGCATCCTTACTCAGGAATATGATGTAAGAAAATTGGAAAAGAAGAAAACATGGAAGAAAAAGGTCACTGCGAAAATGAGCTTGGAGAAACACGGAAACGCCACCCAGCCACAGCAGTACAGCTATCTTACTCTTGGCACTGTTTTCTGGGTCACTGTTATTCTCATAGGTACCTCTCGAGTAATTTAAATATCTAATTTTACAAGCAAACTTCGCTTCCTTGAAAAAATCGCGCGGCGCAACGACTTTTCTGACGTCGAGCTGTCACCGAAACTACAAGAAATGCGTTAAAACTTCGTCAATGGACTTTTGCGGGCATTTGATGAAGCAATGCCGTGACACCAAGGAGTTTATCCTTCCTGAGCCGGTTTCGAAGGTCGAGCATGTCAAAGCGGCGCCTCTTACTTTTTCGGAGGAAGAAAATGAAGTGAATCTCCGCCGCTGTCAGAAGAAACGCTTTTACGACCAAAAAGTGTGCCGCCATCTCTGCTCAAACACGCTGGTTTTGAAATCAACGAGGACCAATCCGATCACGCCCTGCGAGTCGATCTGTTTTGGGCTGACTAGAAGCTTCGATTCTGCCGGGGAGGTCTGTCCGTTTCAGAAATACTGCTCCAAAGGTTGTCCTTGTCCTCATTACGAATGCGAGAAGTTGGAGTCGCCTCAAAAACTTGTTCCAGTCTTTGATCTCCGAAAGTCTGAAAACAGTTCAACGCCAATCGAGTCAACTTCAACTCAGTCGACATCAACTGTGTCAACTTCGACGACTTGGTCAACAACATGGTCTTCAGCGCAGTCAACATCAACTTGGTCGACTCCAACAACAACAATGATAACATCTCCAATTACCATTTCAACTCAGTCAACATTGTCCTTGATCAACTCAACCGCTCAATCAAAGGGGAGCATAGGGCTTCCAAGTAGTAGTCAACTTGAAGCACCAAACTTTGCGATTTTTCTGGTCGATTTCAATGGACAAGAGCGGCCAAGAGTGACAAATGCCTCAGACTTTTTGTTTTCTTATGAACGGTTTTGCTTATTCGATGATGACTCATCATTGATGAGGGAAGCTCCTACAAATTAGGTTAAATAATTTTCGAGTCCTACTATTATTTACAATCATTCAAAACTAAAAAGTCAATTGGTGTTACCTTTCTCAACGGGGAGCATTACTTGGTCGATGCGATCGGAAACTTGATGAGAGTGAAAGAAACTGATGCTGCTCCGATTATCATTCCGAACCAACTCAAATATGTGTAAGTGAATATGTTATTCCGATTATTTGCTAGATCTCATGTTCAAAAAAATAAATAAAGATTTTCTGATCTAAAGAAGTCAAGGCCCAGATAATTTTCTCGTTCTAAAGAGGCCGCTTCGTTTTCCACTTTGGGTCATCGATTGGAACCCACCACATTGAGATTCGCATGAAAGACAGGGACAGCAAGATCTTTCCGGTCGTTGTTATTTGAAAACGGTCGAAATTACACAATTTTATGATCACAAAGAGGCGCTATTGCCTTTGAAAGCAAAGTTTTGACCGGTAAAAGCGCCCCAAGCGAGAGTCAAGACAAGTGCTTCTATTACGCGCCGGATTACAATTTGAACAGATTTGAAACGGCTCAAGGTAAGGATAAGCTCCTTTAGTTTCGTTTAACATTTTTGAGGCTGGATCGCGAGCAACCACTTCAACGCTCGAACTTCCTCGGTCAGCTTTGGCGGAACATTTTATCTGATGAGTTTGAGACTCGGCAAAAAATGGATAACCCTTTCAAAAACGATTGCCCTGAACTCGATCCGATCAACGGAAGAGTTGAATAAGGGCTGGAGGAAGGAAGAGCTAGCGATTCCTGCAACTTTCCGCGACTTCGATCCTGTGCACGTGATTCCTCTGGAATGGATTTGAAAGAAACTAAACTCGTTCTGTGTGATTTTCTTTGAATCCAAAAAGACCGACCTCGGTCAATTGATGCTTATTCTCGTCACTAGAAGCATCGCCCTCTCGAACACGCAGTACTCGATTTTACTTGAAAAAGAAGGGAAATTCTTGACGCTTGGGAGCGAATGGATTGGGTCCTTGATCAATTACGAGCGAGAATCGCGTTGTTTCTCTGGTTTGTACGCTCCGAAAGATTACGCTTATTCGAATGAATTCGGAACCAACAACGACGAGTGCGAGTATTTCATCAATGGCTTCATCAACAACGATCGTATTTACCTCCAGAATATCGTTTTCGACACGACTTTTGAAATTTATTTCGACTTCGGAGAGGATCTTCACTTTAGTTAATATGGGAACATAGGTTCTCTACGGGCCGTAGACTACGGCAAATAGAATCCTGACTTATGGTCCATAACTCGTGTAGCTCTAGATAGTTGATCCTCCTATGAGATCACATCGAGCTTGATTTCCGGCAACAAAGTGCTGAAAACAAAATGCTTGTGACTAGCAACCCGTATTTCGAATTCCACAAAGATGTCTTTCCGTACTTCGCGAAAAACGCTGTAAAAAATCAAACCGCGTTTCCGCAATCAGGCGAGGCTCTTGATCAAAGAAGCATAATCATTTAGTCGCAAGTCTTGACTAACGGCGATAAACAGAACCCAAAAAGCAAGCAGTTTGTCTCCTCCCTATCCACTGGCAATTCTACCCGATTTCCCCTTTTCGTCTTTCAATGAGTCCTTATTCCAAATTTCTTCATTCGAACTGGACTTTAACGTAACGCAAAAACTCTCTTTCGACATAAAGCAAGGAGTCTTTACATTAGAATCTTAAAAAATATTTTATTAAAATTCAGATTTTTATTGAAATGATATTCTTGACTCTCAAAAGACCAAATCTTCCCTTAGAAAAACTGCGAAAATCCTGGAATTTCGATCTTACAATGAAAAATCGATCATTGCAGTTGAAACTATCGAGAAAAACTCGATTGCGATTTCATCAGACTTTTTCGAGGAATCGATCATTTTGGACGATCCGTTAAACACGAATTGGAAATCTATTGAATTCGTGTTCCAAGTCGAAGAAGACTCGCATTTTTTCTTCGTCCAGAAGAATGATGATGATAAGATCGCTAGAAGACAAATGGACAGGCTTCGAACGATGGGAGAAAAGAGAATCAGAGTTTTCAAATTCGACGACGAAACCGAAATTAAAAATGTTTTCTTCTTTCAAAATCGACCGAGCCTGATTTTCGTTATCTTATCCAAAGCAACTGAGTTACCACATCAATCTGCTCTGTTTGGAGATGGTTTCATAAGCGAAGATAGAAAAATAATTGTTCCAACGATTCTTGAGAATAAAATCTACGAATCGAAAGCTGCTCTTGTGAAAGGCCAGTTGCATCTTTTCGGCGGCTATCAGAGAGCAAAGCTAGTAGACAACTCTTTGAAACTCCTTCTTGACTTTTTTAGATTATTATTCTTGATGGATGCGAATTGAAGCTTCTCCCTATTCGGCTTCAATATAAATATTTTTTTGGAAGCGCGGTCCTCTCAATTTTGAACGGAAGTCAAGGTTCTTCGCAAGAAAATATCATTTATAAGTTATAAATTATAACACTTTTCAGCTCTTGTTTGTTTTGATTCCCCAAATGACAAGAAATGCGAGATTTTTAACGGCACTGCTGTTGAAAAACTCGCATTCGAACCAAAAGAAGGGCATTGGGACGGTGGACTTGGTCATTTTAAAGGGAAGCCAACAGCAGTCGGCGGTCAGAATTATCCTTATACGAACGAAGGATACACGGAAACCCTGACTGAAAATGGCTGGAAAAAACTACGTCGTCATCCAAGGTTATTTCTTATTTGCGAATTTTTATTGAGCATGATTCAAGAGATATAGATAAGGTCTCCACGCAAATAAATGATCAAATTGGGAGCAGTTCTTATTGTGGATACGATTTTTATTGAAGATTTGGAATAAGCAGCTCAAGATCTTCAATAAGAGGTGTTAAACTTTTAAACTCAGATATACTAAGAATTATTTTCCAGTCTATTTTCTTTTCAAAACACTTTTCTGGGCCACTTCCGGTTCAGCACCATAAATGCTTGCGGTGCCTACTGAAGTTTTTCACTTCTTCAAGAGATGGTGAGATTTTTGCAAGATTCAAAGGACAATGCGACCGATACTCCGGCGCTGAACAATATTCCCGTCAGTGCTTTGCTCGCACTGATCAACGCTAGGTAAGTTTTTCCGATAAAGTTAATTGATTTACGATTAGTAATGTGACCATCGTCGAAGGAGACGTTGTCCCTGTCGCTGACGAAGAGGAAGACGAGCATGTTTACACCGCGAAGAGCGCAGCGGAAGTGCAGGAGATGTTTCAACTGGACATGGAAGCTATCAAAGCTGGTCGCAACGCCGCTCTGAACTGGCACAATGACAAGCGCAACCTTCACGAAGGGACTGGCCCTATGACAGTATGACATATTTGGCTCTTCTTTTCTCACTCTTAAATTTTCAAGCTGAACAAGCATGCAAGCAGAAAGGCGCAAGCTTGGGCGGATAAAATTGCAGCTGGCGAGGAGTTTGGTTACGATCCCGAAAATACGTATGTATCTCGTTTTGAAAGGCACCGAAAAAGAGCCTTTTTAGACTTTGCGGAGAAAACGTCGTCTTGATCCACATCAATAACGACCTGGACTACATGACCATGAACGATTTCGAAAATACTGGAGAGGAATGCGGGACAGCCTATTGGTAGCTTTACCCAGGCAATCTGGAAGTCGTCCGCAATTCTCGGCGTCGGAATCTCCCTTGAGAAAGACGGGAAATACATCATTGGTGGGCATTGTTTTCTTGTTGAAAGATAACGCTTTTTTAGTTGTTTGTCGCTACTTCCAAAAGGGCAACATCAGGGGCAGACGATCCGCGCAAATCGGAGCACTCAAGAACTGCGATTAATCAATTTCTGAATGAACTGAGTTCTTGAGAAAGACTGACTCTGTACTTCAATAAAATTTGTTGTATCTCTAATTGTTAGTGAGTGCACGATGTGTGTAAAAAACTTATCTGTTATAGACCGTAGTAGACGGTAGCTGACTGCACAGCTACTGTCATAATGACAGTGTCACTCCTGTAATTAGGTCCTGCCTCCAGATAATTGCATTCTGAGTAGGCGACTCAATTATAGAGCGAATAACCATCGATTTCTCAGGCTATAAAAACCCGTGATCTTTCTCACTTTTTGGTCTCTCAAAAAACTCTTGATTTTGAAATAAACAACTCTAGTCTTCACAGCCAAGCAGACTCTTCCTTGCCTCCAGATACAAGCATCCTAGGATATAGGTTTTTAGAAATAGAAACAGTCATATCTACACACTATATTGGTTATGTGTGAAAATAGCTTATCTGTGATAGACCATAGTAGACAGTAGCTGGCTGCACGGGTACTGTTATTCCTATTGTTAGGTCCTGCCATCAGATAATTGCATTCTGAGCAGGCGGACTCAATTATAGAGCTTATTACCATCGATTTCTCAGACTATAAAAACCCGTGAACTTTCTCACTATCTTGTCTCTCACAAAACTCTTGATTTGGAAATAAACAACTCTACTCTACTCAACCAAGCTGACTCTTTCTTGACTCCAAAGGCCAAGCATCCCAGTATATAGGCCTTAGATTTAGATACAGTCATACATACACACTATACTGGTGACTGAAGTTTACGAACCGCGCCTGCTGCTACTTGATAGAAAGGATAAGTGATAAAAAATTCGAGAGACCCAATTGAGTAGTAGTCCATCTTTTTATCGTATAATTAGGCGATTGGCCCCGGTTTATTACATTTCCGCTTATAGACAAATTAAAAGCGGCGGTTTTTTAGAAATTGATAGGGGATGAAAGTTTTGAGACTCGATCATCCATCCAAAAAGACGCTCTTTTGCGTCAAGCTCTAGGAAAGGGGCGTAATGTGAAATGCATACTACCAGTCATTTCTCAAGTTTGTTAACAGGGATAGAGCGCCGCTTGTTAAGAAACATGGGTTTGCCGAAAATAGATGGGCGCTCGCTAAGCCTGCCTTTCTCGGCTTGGAAAGCGGAGCTTCGCACCCCTTGTTAAGAAACTTGGGTTTTCCAAAAATAGATAGGGCGCCCGGTGTTAAGAAACATGAGTGCAAATCGGTGTTAAAAAACTTGAGAAATGACTGTAACGCACAGGATTTTTGGAGCCAAGTGCGAATTCCACCTTGTTCCTATTGACATCAGAGATACCAAGGAGGATATGAAATATTCCCAACTCCAAACAAGATTTTCGGCTGAGCGTGAAGATTACATGAAAAATTATTAAAATAAAATCACGCCAGAATTAGAAAACGAGGAATATTTCAAGAATATGCCTAATAACGAAACAAAATAGATCATTCAGGGTCTTGCAGCACTTGACACCAAATATTATTTATTTTTGGCGTACGCATACGGTCTTACTTTAGAGCCTGTTTAGAAGAAAGTGGTTCTGAGGGCGAATCAAGGAGAATCCCTAAGGGACAGCCCAAAAATAAAACAAGCCCTCAGACTAGAGTTCAGAAAACCCCCAAGTACAAAATCAGCCACAAAACCAATCTGGACAAAAACGGGAAATAAGTACTCAACCTGGTCCAAGTTCGAAAATCGGAAATTAATCCCCAAATATTTCATTAACTCAGACAAACCAAAAAATTTCGGATCAAAATTTTTAACAAATCAAATCAAGATACCGCTCTGAAAAAGTTACATAATGACACTTTTATGTTCCAATTTCAAAAACTCACTTCCGACTTTCGCTACCTCTCTTTTCTCACTTCCAATACCGCCGACAAAGAAGAAATTCTACTTGTTGCATCAAAAGTGTTGAAAACCAGCTCTAAAAAACATTTATTTTGACAACAAAGAAGAGTACAAAAAAAAGATAAATAAAGAAAGAAATGTCGGAAAGAAACGTCGACGTTGTCCGGAAGGGACTTGTTCTCCTTGACGTCCAAGATGGTAGACGGACGAAGGGCGATTTTGTCCTCATTCTTATTGACCCAAGCACTGTGCTCATCGCCGTTAAAGACGATGCCAAGGTGCGGGCCAGATGGAGCAACGCGAGCCGAGCACAAGAGACGACCATTGTCGCTGATCGCGAATCCCAAATCGCTGGGTGGGCCCATCCTCTGTTGCTGTCTTCCGAATAAGAACAATCGACGATAATGATATGCTCAGAATGCAATTATCTGAACGCAGGACCTAATTATAGGAATGACAGTGGCCGTGCATCCAGCTACTGTCTACAACTGTCTTTAACAGATAAGCTTTTTACACACTGTACTTTAGCCTCCTAAAGTTGTCAGCGAAATTCTACGAAGAATTTTGATCAAATATCTACTGAGTTAACGAATAGTGAGCTTTTGAAATCTAATTAAGCGCGAAAGGTGCTAGTTTCAGAGAAAAATGAGAATCTGCACGAGCTCAACTTTTTTTCGAGGAGCATTTTTCCGTTGTAATGCGTTTCCTCTTCGCTTTAATTGAGATCTTTGACGTTTTGATGAGGTTTCTGCATTTGATGGATGATGTTGGAAGTCCTGATGAGAAAATGTCGGTATCAGCAGGTGGCGGTGTAAGAAGTGTGCATAAAACTGCTGGTATTTTCTGCAGAATCACCACTTTCCGAAAAATTAAACTTTTCCGAAAATCTTCAAGATGTCTGAGCCAGCCACGAATAACTTTTGCAAAACGCTCAATGTAGCTGCTGACCTTCTTTTTACGGAGATGACGAAGCATTACAACTTTCTAGAGGACTTGTCCAGGAACAATGCGCTCCTCATCTATGATGACACCGAGACGAGATACGCTGAAGTTTTCCAGGTGATTTTTCGTTTTTCTATTGATCTTGTTTCTTGAAATGTTTATCTTCAGGGTTATTCTGCCGACCGTGTCTGGAGTCCAGTTCTTTTGAGTCGTGATAGTTCCGTTAAAAATCCTCTGAAGGACTGGGTGCGCTTTCCGATGACTCAAGGGTATGTTCTTCTTTGTAACCCGGCTGGCAAGCTCTTCGTGAGCCAAGTAGGAGTTCTAGCGGGTCCGATTATTGCTTGCAGCTTCTGCAAGCACAACAACGGATGGAAGACGGGCAGCCACTAATGATTCGACGTTTCCCGCCAAAAGGCCTTAAGAAATCACTAGAATCAGCGAATAGGAAAATCAAACCTGAATCAAGGCCCCGTTTGACGTTGGCTTCCGGACAGATTCACCATCCAAAATAAGCATCTCGTTGTCTTTGGCGTACCGGAGATAAAAGGGTTGAAGTTCAACGAGTTTCTTGAAGATCGCGTCCCCGACCTCGTTGAATTTCGTGACAAAACCGGAAGTTACTCGATCACTCATTTGTCGTGGAAAAAGTCCTTGGTTGCCCGTGGAAATTCTTGAAAAAGAATGATTTCTAAACATCAAACACGATATTTTATCAGCCTACGGAAGAACGCCATCAAGTGGGAGAAGAGAGCTGCACCTGTTGTCAAAAAATCACTCTTCAAAAGACAAAATCTAATCAAAAAGCCAATCAACAAACGGAAGACCTTTATTGCCACCGAAGAATGAAAAACAATTCTGAAAGATAAGTTTTGAAACCGTGCCAACCTAATTTAACCTCTGAACTTACCTTAGATTTTCCTTCCCAATTATCTTTCCAATCAACGTTTCTTCCTTTATTACTTTCGCTAATCAAGCTGACTTGAATCTGCATTTATTCTGAACAAATTCCGTAGAAATTAGTTCTTTCCGTAAGGGGGTGGAGTAAGGGTGTAAAACTACTGTTGCTTAGCCTTAGCGTCCTGTAACCCGACTGTATCTCAGAAGGCATCCTTCTGATTAGAAAAAGGCTCTAAATTAGTCTCGTGCCTCGGGCCGAGCTAATTGCTGATTTCTCTGAACTTTGTCTCTCAACAAAATATCTTGATTTTTGAAATAAACAACTCTACTCTCCACTCCAAAGCTGACTCTTCCTTGTCTTCAAAGCAAAGCATCCCAGTATTAGGTTTAGCTTAGATACAGTATATTTACACCTATAGTATGTGTGTAAAAAGCTTATCTGTTATTGCATTTTGAGCAGGCGGACTCAACTAAAGAGCTTACTATCGATTTCTCAGACTAAAAAAACCTCATTTGCGTCAGGCTCAAGAAAAAGGTCGTTATATAAAATGTTTACTTACCCACAGAAAAACAACAACTTGCTGCAACCGGTCCTCTGAAGGATCCTGCAGAAAGACAGGAAAAAAGAAGATAAAGAAAAACAGTTGGACAACAAAGAAGATATGAAGACGACGAATAGCTTCTGCAGCAGAAGTATTCAAACCTGTGGACCCCAGACGACAGCGCTGGAAATCCAGGCCTTGTTGTCGTCGTTGTTGCTCCAGGCATTTTCCAGATCGCCTCCATAAGTGACGCAAATGACGCTTCCTTTCTTCACTTTGTCGTCACTGGCAAGAAGACGGCCACTTTCTGACAGGATCAGATGGACTTCTGTCTGCTTGGAGCTAATGGGCATTACGTCTAGGCCCACGAGAGAATTGCTGCAGTCATCAAAATATTTTGACAAGCAGACAGGTTCTCACTACGAGTGGAAACTTTAGAAATGAGATAGATCGATTATTCCATGGAATGAAGTACCTTGTACACCATGCCTTTGTCGTCGAGGTTTTTCATCTCTCCGACATCAGAAATGACAATTTGATTACCGATGTTATAATCCCAGAAAAATGGTTTGATTTAAATAATCTTCGCAAAAATCATTTGAGCACGGTGGTGCATAGAATTCAGGAGCTCGTCTCTGAAATGCTCCATTTTTCTACGGCTTAGTCTTGTGAATGATAATAATTTTCTCCAATATGGATAGTGATGACTTTTGGAAAATCAACCGTCATTTTTATCAGTCAAAGGAACAACGACATCAAGTGGGAGACGATAGCTAGATCTTTACCAAGAAAATCAAACCTTCAGAAGACGAATTTAATCATAAAGACAATCAACGAACGACATTATTTTATTTGCGACGAAGAGTTAGAAACAATTCTAAAGATGAGTATTTAAAATCGTGCCAAACTAATATTTAAAGTCTGAATTAACCTTAAATTTTCCTTTTCAATTATCTTTCAAATCAACGTTCCTTCCTTAATTACTTTTTTTAATCAATGTCTCTTAAATCTTCATTTATTCTGAACAAATTCAGTAGAAATTAGTTCTTTCTGTAAGGGGGTGGAGTACGGGTGTAAAACAACTGTAGCTTAGCGTTTGCTTACTGTAACTCGACTGTATCTCATGATCGGATTGAGAATCTAAGACGTTGGTTTGGTTTACAAAGACTTTCCCTGACGGATTCGCTAGAATAACTTAGCTTTCGGACATTTTCAAGACAGACCAATTTTTCAATGGATCTTCTTTAGATGAAGTAAAGCGCGATAACAGAACTGGCGACCAGATGGTATCCGCCGATGTCCGGAAATAGTCCTGAAGTTCACGATTCGTAGAAAATGGAAAATATTCACCTTGAAGATCTGAGTGTTGTAATAACCATATTCAGTCTCATCAAAAATCACGAGCTGATTATTGACGGCTCTTGCTTCTAGAAATAAGAGCTTTTCTTCATCTCCTCAAAAAGTATATCCGCGGCTTGATCTAATGTCTCAGCGAAGTCTTGGTTTCGAGTATCGCTAGATGACCGTGCTCGCCATCAAGCATTTGCGGTCATCGTGGTTGGACCAGCTAGATTCAAGGTCTCCCCCATATGTGACGCAAATAGCGCTGCCCTTTTTCAACTTTTCATCGCTGGCAGATTTTTCTGTTTTATACAATTCTTCGTGTGAATTGAGATCCTTCTCCAAATTTGCAACTCCCGGAAAAGAAGCGAAGGAAAGAAATATAAGGAGAAATATTGAAGTTGGCCGGCTTGAAGGTAGCTAGTTCTCAAGATACTCCCAAATGGTAAAGGGCGCACACCGAACTTGTCGGCATCGTTGCTAGTTCAGACGCTGTGCTCTGTTCCGTTGTATGCGATTCGGATATGAGTCTCAAACTGATGAGTTCGGCCGAATTGAGCCTCAATTATTGTCAATAATTTATTGAGGAAGCGCCTCTCATTGCTGATCGCAAAGCCTACATTGCTTGTTGGCCCAACGAAGAAGTTTGTAGTCAAGATGGTGGGATTATTCGCCTTAGCGTCAAAAGGACTGCACAATAAAGGCAGTCATTCATTGGCCAGAGGGCCTCAAAGAAAATACGAAATCGGCAAAATCAAACCTGAATCAGGGCTTATGAGAAATTGGATTCCGTACTAATTCATCATCAAGAATCAACATCCTAATCTCCAACCTCTATGAATTTGGAAACGAAACCCATAGATCATTCATGGCTCTGGGGCTTAAAGTCTTTGGTTGCCCTTGAGAAATTTTCGAAAGAAAATGATTTTGGAAACATCATAAACGATATTTACTCGCTGAAGTTTCCAACACTTTTTCTTCTTGAATTACTTTTTCGTATCAGCGTGTCTTAAATCTGCATTTTTCTCTGAGAAAAAAACTTCTCGTAGAAACTAAGTTGACTTGTTGGGTTTGGAGTATGGTGGTAAACAACTGTCGCATATTGTCATCTCGATGCATCGATATATCGATATATCGATCTTACCACGTCAAGTTTCCTTTGAGATTGAAAATGATACAAGAAAATTGATTTTTTTCCATAAAAAAAGCAATCAAAAGGGGCAAATTTAATTTTGAGAAAAACAAACGAGCAAAAAAATTTTTTGCTGAAAAATTTCTTGTTTAGGCTACCTTGCTATAAGGAGAGGTGTCAGAAACCGACATAAAAATTCCGACAAATTTCGCGTGAAAGTTTTCAACCAGATTTTTGATATTCTGGTAGGATTGAAAGCCGGAAAGTGAACTTTGAGAAAAACAAGTCGCTTCAATTTTATTTATTTTTTAGAGAATGCAGTAGCCATCAATGACAGGCGTGATAAAAAGTACTGGGAATTGAGTTCTAGCAGTTTGGTTCGCAACAATGTTTATCCAAATTATTTCTTCTTTTGTAGAATTGAAATCTTTTAACGCTTCGAAAACAAGCAATTATTAGATATAATTAGATATAATTTCGACGCAATGACCTAAATCTATTTTTTGAATCGGAGAAGCCGGTAATTTTGAATTTTGGTAAAGCCCTGGTATGACATAAATTGAGTTTTCCAGAAGAATCGATGAGTGGTAAATAACACCCTGAAACAAGGTGAAATTTAATACCTTAGTGGAAGAACGACAAACCTCTAAGAGAGAGTCGATTCGTTTCCAGTTGTCGTCTTTCAATCGCCAAATATCTTTCAGATATCCATGTGAAATAGTATTGATACCTCCAATAGTCAAAACAGAACCTGAAGGGAGTCCGACTGTAGAAAAAGACGCAATCCATCTTAATTATTTTCTAACTCTGTTTATTTTTTTTCTTACTTAGGATGTTTTTTTAAATAGATCCAGCCTTCTTCCTCAGTCAAAGTTTCAACTGCTCCTTTTGCACGAAAACCTCCGATTGCTGTCGGACGACTGTTATAAAGGGTTAGTTGACCTTGCCAATGCAATGCTCCGAATTCAGAAGAAATTTTTTCGACTTTCGTTCCATCGAAAATCTCGCAGAATGTCAATTCATCTAGCCAACTAAAACAGATCATTGCTTAAAAATAAGATGAAATAAGGATTGATTTCCTGGTGCACTGCACCTTTATTTCCTCCGTCCAGAGTTATAACTCCGTGACCACTTTTATACTCGGAAATGAGTTGGACATTTAACTCGGAGAAATAGCATCCATCTAATCGGGATATCTAAAAATTTTTATCAATTTTCTCGAAATAAATTTCCTTACTCTTGTTATACTATTACGTCCACCAAATAAGTAAAGCTGATCTTTAACTAGTGCGTGTCTAGATCAGAGTTGCAAATTTAGTCTTTTTTTGCTGAGCTGAGTAGAAATTTCGCTTGTTGAGCTGAGCTGAGCTGGAATTTTTGAGAAGTCATTGAGCTGAGCTGAGCAGAGTTTTTTGAAGGCTGTTGAGCGGAGCTGAATTGAGCACTCACAATTCTGAGCTGAGCTGAGCATGTTTTTACTGTAGTAAAAATGGCAAAATTGTGTGAGCTGAGCTTAGCTGGTTCTCTCATCATTGAATCGAGCTGAGCTGAGCTGACTTGTCTCAAAATTCATCGACTTGAGCTGACCTGAGCAGGTTATTTAAGAAATCATTGAGCTGAGCTGACCTGAGCAGATTCTCTTCTGAAAATTGCAGTCGCTCAGCTAGCTCAGCTCACTAAATTTGCAACTCTGGTCTAGAATCTTCCGTATATTTGGAAACTTCTCTGTAATACCCAAAGGAGGGACGAAAGGATATATTTTCTACTGATCCATCCTTTAATGCGTATGGTGCGTAATTTTCTTTTTCATGTGGGAGAAGAACATTTATCTGCTTTGATTTGTCGATTGAATAAATAAAATTTTTGATTTTTGTGCTCCGGTCAAACTTGTAAATTCTGATTTTCTTGGCAGTTGTTGCCAAGTTCATTTCAATTTGAGATTTTTCTTCGCTTTTTTTCCCAAAATTCTGATCGAGTTTCAATTATTTTATCCGAAGACTTCGAAAATCTTTAAAATCAAAATGTAACCGTTCCTCAATTATTTCAAGAACTGATGATTCCGAAGAACGATTTGTACTGAAATACAGTCCCAACTTCTTCAGCTTTTGTGAATGCAATTTCAAAAGAGAAGGCTCAGCCTTCCGAAAGTAGTCCGAATCGATCCAAATCGACCCATTCCCATAAATCCCGAGATTTAAAAGAGCAGTTCCATCGAAAAAGTGAAATGCTAAAATTTCCACTTTTTTACGTTTAGGCTGGAAATCGATTGAAAATTCAAGATTTTCTGTTCCGTTGAGTTTGATTGGAATTGTTGAAATATGAGTTAATTCTGCAAGCGAAGAAAAGAAGTTATCGGGTATAATTGTTGTATGGTACATGTTCGGGCGAGGAAAACGCAGTTGATTAACAGCATTCTTTGCAAAGAGAGGGAAGACATCGTCGTGAAAGGAAAAGAAGGGATTGCTGGTCACATGCATTTTCTTCTTAAATTTCTGTTGAACGAACTCGAGCTCGACTTTTTCTGTTCATGGGATTTTAAAAATAAACAAGTAAGGCTATCATTTCTCTGGGAGAATTTAAATCCTTTCCGAAAATAAATTCCACTTCAAAAGTAGTGTCAAAAATATAACTCTGAATGTAGATCTTTTCATCATTGATCAGCCCGTTTCCAAAATATTCACATTCGTCGTTGATTATTCCACCCGGAGATGTATAGAAAGGATCATCGACGAACTTTGAAAACAATTGTGAGAAGCAGATTGAGTGTTCTTCGTAGTCAATAAGAGATCCGACCCACTCGCTCCCGATCGTGATCCAGCCTGCACCTTCTACCTTTAGTAATACCGAGTACAGTGTATTTGAAAGTGCAATACTCCTCGTGACGAGTATCAGTAGGAGTCTTTCCACATCTATCTTTTTTCAGTTTGAAACATGATCGCGCAAATTAGGGTAGTAGGGGCTTTCATTCGAGCTACGCCCCCGAGACCCCTCAACTAAGGCCTAAACCAGGGGGTAGAAGGGGGTTAACCGACCACTGACTCGACAAAAACTCGACCATCGACTGACCAACGACAAATCTCAATGTCGGGTTGGGTAGGTACCGACCATAGCCCGGCCAAAACCCGACAATGTCGATTTGGTCGAGTGTCGACGCCGACCCTAGGCTCCAGGAGGCATGTAGTGAATTCGAGGCAAGCTCGAAGGATAGCCCCTCACTACGAGCCAGGGCCTTGTCTCCCGGCCTCCCCCTAAGAGTTCTCACTCACTGACCATAACCACTTGCCCAGATTCTAGAGATATTGGATGGCTCGAATCAAAGGCTAAAATGGTAGCCCCTCTCTACGGAATATATTTCAATCCGTTTCAATGGGACAACATGGACGGGATCCATGTCTCTATATTCAGCCGGCAATTGAATATCGTCTTTTCTCCATCCTTTTTCCAATTCTTCGTCTTTTCTGATTTTATGCAGGGCAACGGTAGTCGAAAGTGTAAGATACTTGTTACCAAGCTCAACACTCATCAAAGTAAAGACTCCTCTAAAGCTAACGGAAGATGTCTTCGCGTTGAAATGGTTACTAGCAATATGGCCCTGTGCTTCTTCAAATTTACCCGAATTGAAATCGGGAGCATAGTAGTAGCATTTATATTGCCTTTTCGTTGGTGAGCTTTTACTGCTCAAAAATTTAACTCACGTTAAAATATCTTCAAATTTTTGAACGTTTCAAATGACAATGACGGCAAACACTTTTCTTCCCTTTTCTTGGTAGCGACTCTCAATATGGTGAGTTCCGATAGACGCGCCAAAATGAAATACGAAATATCCCCTATAAAAAGTAAGCTTCGTTTTTTTGGGAAAGACATAATCTTATCAGGGACCCCATTTATGAATACTTACAATCTCCGTCTTTTCAAATCATTAGCAATTAGAGTTGTACCATTATTTTCAACCACCATCAGATCTCCCCAAACATCTACCAAATACTGTTTGCCCTGAAGAAAAGTAGCACCGAATGACTTTTGCGTTTTCTGGATCTTGTTTATACTGTTATGAAGTCTTATCTGTAAATTTTAAAACGTTCATAAGGGAAGGAAGTATGTGATGAGCTCATGTTTACTGGCATAGTTTTCCCATTCCAATCGGATAGAATAATAGGATACTGCTTCCAAATGTCTCTACTTGACCAACGGTCAGTTATTAATGTTGCATTATCAGGAATGTCGTCTTGGGAAATGGATGTGGTGGAGTTGATCCGTAAATCAAAAACGGGAACCATCTTCTGACGAGAACCGAGCTTTTCGCACTTGTAATAAGGACAAGGACAGCCATTTTTGCAGTATTTCTGAGTTGGACAAACGGCTCCTGCAGCATCGGAAGATCGAGTCAGCGCGAAACAGATCGCCTCACAGGACGAGATTGGATCCTTCTTCGTTGATTTCAAAACCAGCGTTGCTGAACAAAGATGACGGCACATTTTCTGGTCGTAAAACTGTTTCTTCTGACAGCGGATGAGATTCACTTCGTTGTCTTCTTTTGTAAAAACAGCAGCTTTTTCTTCTTTTGCTTTGATTTCGGAAACTGGCTCGGGAAAGATGAATTCTTCTGTTTCGTAGCATTGCTTCATCAAATGTCCGCAAAAGTCCATGGTGTTCGTTCGAACGCATTTCTTATAATTTCGATGGCAAGTTGAAGTCAGAAAAAGGGTGGAAAAGTGGTGACGAAATTTATAATCGACAAAAAATCTGCGATAACTTTTCGTCGCACGATTGAAAAATTTTCCACCCTTGTCAGGAAAGTCGTCTGGGCTCGAGATCTTTCCAATGATACCACATTGGCTTAAATTGTTTAGTCGACTACCTAGGTAGTGTTTCTAGGGGCTAACGGTCGGTCTAGTACTAAAGCTTTGACCGTTTTAGTTTTCAAAAATTCCACTTTCGGCCCGATTCTAGAGCCGGAAGTTGACGAATTTGTGAGTTTGGCCAACTTGTGACCTATCAAATTGACTATCAGAAGGTTCTCTATCATCTGAGAGAAGAACCAATGCCGACTGCGGTCAAATTAACCGCTAAAAACAAAAAGAAAAATCACAAATTTATGCCTTTTTTCCTAGTTTTGCCGGTCGGTTTGACCGTGGTTGGGATGGTTTTTTTTAATGACTTGAAGATAAGATGACTCAAAATCTTCTGAGCATCAATTCGGTGGGTCACACTTTGCCTTAATCCCTATATTTCGTCAATTTGCGGCTCTAGAATCGGACCGGAAGTGGAATTTTTGAAAATTAAAACGGTCAAAGTTCTTAAAATTTCCTACTGATTCCAAATATGTATGGTATTCCCGGTACAGAAAGACATACAAAGAGAAATAACTTCCTTAAGGGTACGGGTGTCGGCTTTCTATCGCCCGTAATAATATGATGTGGACAAAAACAAAGTATTTTATCGAATTCTACAGAAAATTTAAGCTCGAGTCATAATTAATTGTCAGCTGCTATCATTGTTATTTTACGAAATATGCTCTCATAAAAAATTAACGAAAAAAAATTTTCGGCTCAGATTTTTTTCATCCAGGGCTTTTTAGAAAGCTTAGAAAATGAGGATCATCATGATATTCTCGGTTTTACGTGAATCTGTCTAAAAACATTTTTAGAGCCGAAAATGTGTCGCTCAGTTTCAAAAAATGCGAATTTTCGGTGTAATAACAAGGATAGTTTTTTTCAAAAAATCAAATTCCATACGAAATGTAATTCAATCTCAAAATTCTCTTGACAAAATTAAGATCAGAGTCTGAATTTTCACATAAAAATATAAAAAAGGTATGTTTACAGGCTCATTTCTTCGGAATTGAAGCCTCTTTTAGGCCCATTTTCACCATTTTAGGTCGAGATCACGACTTCGAGCCAATTTTTAAAACAAAAAATCTTTATAAATCCAAATTTTCTCTTGACAAAATGTAGAACTAGGATGGATCTTTGCTCTTAAGTAGGCGAATTTTTTCTACCACTTCTATATCCCGAGGAATTGAGCCCTAGTTAGAGCCTCGCCGACACCCGTACCCTTAACCTTAAAAAAGCACGTCTTTGTGGCCCCCTAATAAGGGGTCTCCAAAGGAAGGAAATATTATCCAACAAAAAGATAATAAGATACGATTGTCTGAATCCGCCCGAATGTATTGAAGACTACCTATAAGCATAACAGTAATCCAAAAAAGAGAGCCAAGTCCCAAGTACATATTTTGCTGTTTATCCGTACCGAACCCATGCTTTGCCAGGCTAGCTTTTTCTGATACTTTTTTCTTCCATGTTTTTTTATTCTTTGCTTTTTCTATGTCAGCTTTTTGCGTATTTATGCTTCTCGTGGTCAGAACTTTTTGAGTCAATAAGACGACTTTTCTTCCTTTTTTCCTCAAGACGCCAATACAGTCGCAGTCAAGGCACTGTCATATTTTATTACCGAATTCGAGAAGTAAAAATTACCCTGACTCTGGTAGTTTTGAAGAACGCATTCACAATCCGTTCAGTTTCTTCTTCGATTACCATAGCGACTGATCTCTAGGGAAGAAACTTAAAGTCTGTAGTTTTTTTTCAGAAAAAGCTCTTTTTTATGAGCAACCGTCACTTCTTGCTCCGACAGCCAGACAGGAGGTTATCCTGCCATTCTGAGTTTTAAGGGGTCCCCTCCCGGAATTTCAACTCTTCAGGACGGGTTCCTTTTTGGCATATTTAGATTCCTCATGTTTCGAGGATCATTTTCATGTATTATAGTCCCCCCTAAGAAACATCCAAACCCGAAATTTTCGTCTTCGAAAATCGCAAAAATGCATGTAAATTGTACTTAGCGTGAAATTCGTACTTTTTTTCGGATTTTCAATGTCATCAAAAGTAGACAAATAAGGGGTCAATGGAAAGCTAAGAATGAGCTGATTAAAAATTTAGTGACCGCACAAAAATTTTTGGCCATAATTCTGCGCTAGAGAGCAATTTTATGCCAAAATTAGGGTAAATATCGGTTCCTTAAGTTCTTCTTAAGAATTTTTTTTTCTTTCTTGGTGAATTGTGCTAAAGCTGCGCTAGAATTGAGGTAAGGGTCTAATTTGTCTATAAAAGAAGTTTTCAGAGACTGTTGAAAGCTCAAAAAAAAGTTATTTCCACGCGAATACCCCCCTAAAACACGGTTTTTCAAGAATTCGTTTTTTTCAAAGGAAAATTTGAGGATGTTTCACTATTTCAAAAAAGCTAAAGCTGCGCTAGAATTGCAATGAAGGGATAAACTTTCAAATGAGAGTCAAATTTTAAAAATCCATAAGGGAAAACGAAAGTTATTTCCAAGTAAAGTTGGTCATTCCGGGGGGGGATCCCTTAATGTCAATTGCTTCGCTCTGCTTCTTTTCGAAAAACGTTGTACACGTCGGAAAAACTATTTTTTATGTCCCTTTGCTTATCCTGCCAGCAAAATAACAGAGCAGAGTCAATTTTCCTCGAATTTTTTATTTCTTTCAAGGGAGAACCGGCTAATCATAATGATAAGATATTTTTTTTCTTCTACTCTTCTTTTTTTACTCCCACTTAAGTCGATGAACGTTGTTCTTTCGCTTGAGATATTTATTGCTTCTGCTGGCAGAGTATCGGCAAACAACTAGAATGAAATCATAACTGTTACTCTAACTATTTCTTGATTACCGTAGACTGCTTTCTTATCAGCCGTGAGAGCAATCCCTACACCAAGGCACTTCGCGGCTTGCCAAACCACCTGGATAAAAGGCCTGACGTCCAATCCATTTTTATTTCGCTTGAATTCCGTAACGTAGTTGTAGTTTTGTTCGCCCTTGTACCACTTCTCGACGGCATATCTTCCGAATTCCTCGAAATCTTCTTTGTTCGTAGCGGAGACCTCACCCGATATAATGATTTTGGAGATGTTTTGCCCACAAGCTCTATGAAAAAAAAATAAGAAAATAAGAAAGATTGAGATACTGATTCGGCTGATAAGTCCAAGGTGTATCAGGATTTGCTGCGAGCTGTTCGGCCCATGCTTGTGCCAGTTTTGAGGACTCGGGGCCAAGCTTAATTTGAAAGTTATTTTTAAGGAGGTAGTCCCTGCTTTGGAGAAAATCAGAATTTTGAAATTTTTTTTCCAGATTCTAAAAGCTCGTTAGAAAAGCTACAAATTTTGTATTGATCATTTGTTCCGAATGGAAGAGGAAAATCCCCAAAATCGGCCTTAAAAATTGAGATTTTGATGAAAAATTTCAAAAATTTGAAAATTTTTGACTATTTCATCCAAAGTTGAAGCGTTGTTTTGATGATTCTTGGTCTGTAGATTATTCAAATAATAAATACATGGTCTTATATATAGGCTACATAAGATTAATCTTCTTCCAAAAACTCATTTTTTCAAGTTTTTCAGACCCAAGTTTTGATCGATGGTATTACATAATGACTTTTTTGAGTTTCTTAATTTCGTTGTGTGGCAACTTAAGACGAGGAAATGAACTTCTTAAGAATATTTTTGGTTTTAATTTATTTTTAAATTTTAAGGGCTCTATGTGTGTTTGAAAATAGGCAAAAATGGCGATTTTGCTCGGGCTAGGTTAGAATATAGCACCCTAGCCCCTCGAGCAGCCGAAAAAAATATTTTTTGGGAAATGGCAACTTTAGAACAGCGTTCGACCTTTCTAACGATATAGTTTTCATCCTTCAACTTAAGCCCAAATTTGTGTGAGCGCTGTTCAAAAAATGTCAAGATCGCAAAAAGCAGGGACTACCTCCTTAAGGGCATCCACTTCAAAATCTGAAGAGTGAGATTTAAAAATTATCACCTCGTACTTTAGCTTTTCATGTCGATTTATTTTTAAGGGAGTAGCCAAGGCGGTCAAAAATTTTGTAAATTAAGGGTGTCTTGAAGATATCCGTGTCTGAATACTCGATTGATACTTACATATAAATCTTTGGTGAATCTGTGTTGGCGACGTTTTCCATTATGTTTAGCCAAGCAAGCTCGTCGTCCGGCTTCCAGAGCTTCTTCATCCATCTTCAGTAGGTTAATCACGTCCTCGACGTTCAATGTGGTGTCGACATTTGTATCCGCTTTTGTTGGCACAGTTTGTCCCCCAAAGGTGGCACTAAAAATTTGGTTGATGTATTTTGATGTTTTTATTACCTTGTGGTGGTTTCATTCAGTTGCAAGCCAAGGAAATCGACCATTGCAGAAAGCTCGTCATCAGAATCGTTTCCGTCCACGACAGTTGGGTCTTCGGGGACGGTGCTTGAATCAATTTAAACTTCTGAAAAAAAAAGAATCGTGTCTTACTTTTCAGCTTCAGAAATCGTCATTTTCAAAAGCAAAAATCGAAGTTTTCACTCTTTTTGATGATTGAATTGAATAAAAATCGGACCGCTATTTGTTATATACCTTTGAACCGGAAGGGACCCAGATAAAATTGTTTTAAATAAAAATAGACAAAATAATAGGCCTTGGTATATCTTTCCGGGCAGACAGGAAAAATGCGACTCGAGGAATGCTCTGAGCTAAGCGAAAACGGAAAAAGATGAAAAAGAACTGTAGTTTGGAAGTATACAACTTCGCTAACCGAACCTGAAAATGAGTTCAAATCGAAATTTCAAATTTTGATATCAGTGGAAACTCGGCAGCTTATTTTTTCTTTCGTAAGGAACCTTGTTAATCTTGCCAAGAGTAGATCAATTGGAACCTTCAGTGTCATATAAGGGTTGGGATTTCAAGAAGTCCGGCTTCCGCTGGACTGTCTTTTCACAATTTTTAGCATAGTCAATGCCTTATTTTTTCTCCTCAAAATTATTTTCTGGCTATTATCTACTTCTTTTGGTCGCCAAAAATTTAGATTTCCTCTGATGTTGAGGTCCCACAATGCAAATCTGGCACCTGCGATTGTTGTCAAAATGAACATTTTAGGAAAGTAAGTGATGAGGATTGATGATGAATCAAAAACTAAAAAATTGCAAAAGGGCGCTCCGATAGAACTGGGCCGCCCGTCACCCTGTAAGGAGGTCATTATGTAAAATTTCGAAAAATAGCTGCAGCAAATAACGATTCTTGATATCGTCAAGTGTCGATGAGACTCAAGTCTTCAGGATAAATAAATCGTGGCGATAATTCGCTTTTATAAAAGCACAGATCTATCAAAAATTTCTCATGTTATAGCTCTGTGAGGGAATCTTTCGCGCCATCATTATAACGATCATCAGATCATTAAAAATCCCTTTATATGGACTAGTTTCGGCCTATAAAGTTCTGTGGCCTCCCTCTATGCTATGGGTTTTTTGGAAAATATTATCCTAAGCTTACCTTTAAAGTGGAATAACTCCACCATCACTGATCGAGACGCCATTATTGACAACTGAGAAGCCGGGACTGAGGTCTAAGAAGCTAGGATTGAAGTGACGCTAGGATAAGCGTAATGAAGCCGGAATCGACGCTGGAGATGCCAGGATTGAGGTTTGAGCCAACAGGATTGACGTCTGAAACACTAGGATCGAAGTTATTGAAGCCGGGATCGACTGTGGAGAAACCAATAAAATACTGTCAGTCTTAGGGTCAATCAATTAAAATTAATTCACATCCCCAAGTTGGGGAAACGGCGACTTGGGCGAGCGTCGGGGACTCGCAGTACCAAAAAGCTTTGGTACTGGCAGTACCAATTTTGGTACTGGGAGTACCAATTCCGGCTTTTCGGGTGATATTTTAACGAAATATTTCAGTCGGAACAATAGTAGGCGGGTGAATAGAAGTGCAGCCTGTCCGAATCAGTAAGTTTTTTACTACAGAACCCGCGGAGCGGGCGTTCCTGGCTGACTAGAATTTTGCCTTGCCAAAATTGATACTGGGAGTACCAAATTGATACTGGCAGTACCAATTGGTACTGGGAGTCCCTGGTAGCCACTTGGGCAAACGGCAACTTGGGCAAACGGAGACCACTCAATTTATTCCGATGAAAGAAGACTCATATGCGTAGGCCTCGGACGTAAAAAAGACGATTTTTTCCATCCGGTTATCGTACAGGGACGCGAGTAGGCTCATTCAAAAGCTCTTAGAAAGAGCCAATAAAAAAACTGGGACCTCCCTCCCTGTTTCGAGTAATTTTGAAAAATATTTTTCCAAGCTTACCTTCAAACTCAAATAACTCGGAGCAGGGAAAGAAGGGTCCAATTTTTTATTGTTTCAAGAGAAAGCCCTTTAGCCCCTTTAGAGCTTTAAAATGAGCCTACTCTCGCCTCTGTACGATGACCGGATGATGCTGTCGGTTTTTTCGTCCGAAGCCTACATATGCGGCCCGCATAATGCGGGCTAATGAACATTCCTCGGCAAATGACTGTTTTTTTCGGGCGAAAGCTTGTTTTAGTCCGTACATGTAATCAAACGGTGACGCAAAGGTAACAAAGGTAACTCAAACTACCGTTTTTATCAAAACCAATGAATAATTTTCGCATTTTCACGAGCATCTCTTTGCGGCTTATTTCCGGTCTACGCGCGAAAATATACGAAAAGCCACCATCGAGTCTATTTTCATTGAAAACACTTTTATCTGGGTGGCTTCCTGTTCAGAAGGTATATAATCTTCGTATACACACTCCATATTTTCAAAAATAATCCGAGAAAACCGACCCTTTTTAGGCCGATTTTTTGAGAAAAATGACTGACGCGGAGACAAAGTAAGCCAGAAAATTTCCGAAAAAAAAATAAGCTGACGGTTTTCAGCCTTGTCATTGGCACCACCGAACTTCCAGCTAATGAGGTTGAGCACGACGAAACCGACTTGAACATTCCCGAAGTGATAGAATTCTTCAAGCTCAACGCAGCAGCTTTGCGAGCTGGACGAGAGGCTTGCTTAGCTCGACACAATGAGAAGCGTGCGCTCCACCTTAATACTGACCCTATGACGGTATGCAATTTTTACGGGGTTATCGGTCGGACGCCCTTAAATGCCTGTTACCTATTTTTAACAGACTATTAGCCCTTATCTCGGTTAGGGTAAGGGGACAGGGGGTTCCTACTAGGACTCCCGGGGCCCCCTGGGTTAGGGTAAGGGGGGTCCCGGGGGGGGGGACGTTGTCCCCTAGGTTAGGCTTACGGCTAGGGACTGCCTGACTTTTAACCCCCTACTACCACTCTGTTGTCCCGCTTTGACAAAGCGGCTTTGTGATTAAATAATTTTCAGCTCGACATAAACATAACTCGCGACGCTCAAAATTGGGCTGAAAAAATCGCTCGCGGTGAAGTAACCGGATACGATCCTGATACGTAAGAATCTATTCACAGCATTTCGATAGTTGAAAATTATTTTTTGAAGGATCTGTGGCGAAAACATTTCGCTCATTCCCTTTTCGAGCGCCTTGCAATACTTGACCCAGGGAGACTACGTTGGCGTCGCAGAATTGGTCGTCGACAACTGGTACAGCCAGGTCAGCAATTACAACTTCGCGCATCACACAATGACCGACCCAAATGGAGCCAAAGTCTCAAGCTTTGTCCAAACGATCTGGAAGAATTCCACGCTTTTGGGCGTTGGAATAACCCTCAAACCTGATTTTTCAGAGGTCATCGGTAAGAAATTCCAAAAAAATAACGGAAATGATTATTTTTAAGTTGTTTGCCGATACTTCCAAAAGGGAAATATCGAAGGCAATCGACCTCAGCAAGTCGGACAATTGAAGCCGTAAAAAACTCAATAAGAAGAAAAAAATGATGAAGAATCATAAAAATTAGTCGAGAGAAAAAAAATTATCTAAATTTCGTTATCACATTGTTGTTTCTGTATTTTCATCATTGTAAAATTTGAAAATAAATAAAAAAAAAACAATTATTACTGGACACAATAATCTACAGGAGAAACGAAGATGATCGGACTCATAACTTGCGTTCCTTGATCTGCGACAACATCAGTCGATATAAAATTATCTTCGGCGTCTTTTTCAAAGGTTCAAAAAACTCAAAACATTTTTAACTGATAAAATTTTGAGAAATTTAGCAGCTGGAGCCTTTGCCTAAACTTATTTTTTGAACTGAAGATTCGTATCCTAAGAATGCGAAGATCATTGCAGCTGAAGACTTTTCATCCGCAGTATAACCAGGAAAAACAAAGACAGAGTTTCCCAAATTAATTGCTGATGGATATTCAACAGCCTAAAAGAAGAAAAGTAGCTCAAGAATGAGAAGCCATTACCAATGACTCATTAGTGAATCCTCGAAAAAACTAAGAATACCTTTGAAAGAGAGCCAATTTTCGACCACTGGTTGTTCTTCAGTTTCCAAATTTCACTCGACTTTTCGTCTGCCGTTAAATCATCACCTCCAGCGGTCAAAAGAACTCCTGAAGGTAGTCCCACAGTTGCGCAGCTCTTCAGCGATCTTCAACTTTTAAAAGGGTTCAGCAAAAGCTCGCTTACCGTGGATGCTCCTGAAGTGAAGTCCATCCTGCTCCGTCCCAAGCTTCAACTGCCCCCTGTGCGCCTTTTCCTCCGACAGCCGTCGGCTGGCCATTGTACAGTCCAAATCCACCGTAGTAGTGTTTTATTCTCGTTTCGTCTATTAAATCGGAAGTAAGACCATCGAACACCTCGCAGTTTTGATCATTGACTTCGTCGAAGCAAATGATGGCTTGAAATAAGTTATCATAAATAATTTTCAACAAAAAACCCAAAACTCTGATGAGAGGAGAAGATGGGCATTCTGTTACCTTTATCTCCTGTTTTAACAGAAAGAGCGGCGTGACTATAAGAATAAGAATAAATCAAGCGCACCGGTAATTCGGTCATCATGCAGCCATCTAACCGAGCAATCTATAATTTTATAAGTGTTTTATGAATAAATTATGATAGAAGTTAAAGTTACTCTATTTTCGTCGTCGTATCCGCCAAAGATATGGAGCTGGTCGTTGACGAGTGCTTGCCTTGAGTGGAGAGTATAGGACGAGATTTTATTTTTGTAGATGTTTGCCGCCATATCGTATAATTTATAGTCAGCAGGAGATTTGAGGGATAGTGATTTGCTCTCTCCGTTCTCGAGTAGCGCGTACGGGCGGTACGATGCAAGGGGAACAGGAAGAATCACATTTATCTGTCTCATCTGATTCGGAGAATAATAAAAGTTCTTTAATTTGGTGCCTTTGTCAAACTTGAAAAGTCGGACTTTTTTGTTTCCTGAATTTTGAAGGCCTGTCATTTTTATCGTTGATTTTGCCTTTGGCATTCTTTCGCCATTCTTTATGATTTCCAAAATCGACGATTCTGAGGAAGCACTAGAATGGAAAAGAAATTCAAGTTCCTCAATTTCGGATTCATTTGATTTTGAAATTACTGTCTTCTGGAAATAATCAGAATCGACCCAAATCGAGCTATTAGCACCCATTCCAAAGCTAAATAGACTCTGCCCGTCGAAAAATTTCAGCTCGAATATCTTTGCTGTTCTTCGCGTTTGGTGATGACTCTGATGCGGTTGGAGATGAAGTCGGAACCTCTGCGTTCCATTGAAATTCATTTCAAAAGTCGAAATGTGGCTCAATTCTTCGAGCGATGAAAAATAATTGTCTGGAATCAGAGTTTTGAACTGGAAACTTGGGCGAGAAAATTGAGACTGAAACACTGGATTTTTCGAAAAAAGAGGAAAGACGTCGTCGTGAAAGGCAAAAAACGGATTGCTTGTGACATGCATTTTCTTGGACGATTTTCGCTGGACGAATTCGAGCTCGATTCTGTCGAAAAGGAAGACGATTTCGAATGTGATCTCGAAAACGTAGCTCTGAATAAAGATCCTTTCATCATTCACGATTCCATTGCCGAAGTACTCGCACTCGTCTTTGTTGAATCCCATCTGATCAGTGTAGTAAATGTCGTCCGAGGCAAATAATTTCGAGTAACAAACTGATTTTTCCTCGTAGTCAACAAGAGAGCCGATCCATTCGCTGTCTAGCACCAGAAATTTTCCGTCTGCCTCTAGCAGTACTGAGTAGAGCGTGTTGGAGAGTGGCACACTTCTTAAAACCAATATCAAAATCAGTTTTCCCAAATCGATCTATTCAGAGTTTCACTTGATTTTCGGGGGATGATAAACGAAAATTATATAGTAATGTTCAGTTGAAACTCTTGTCAAGGGGATCACGTGAACAGGATCCAAATCCCTAAAATCAGCCGGAAGAAAAATTTCGTTCTTTTTCCATCCTTTTTCAAACTCTTCGCTCCTTCTTATTCGATTCAACGCCATTGTCGTTGAAAGCTTGATGTATCGATCGCCAAGCATCATGCTCATTAGATGGAAGACCTCGTTGAAGCTGACGGAAGAGAGCTTGGCATTGAAGTGATTGCTAGCGATGAAACCTTGCGCTTCTTCGAAACGATTCAAGTTGTAGTCTGGAGCGTAGTAGTAGCATTTATCCGACCTTCCTGTTGGCGAGCTTTTCAAGGTCAAAATCAAAGAACCATCTTAGCCCACATTAATTTTTGACCATTTTCAAATAACGACGACAGGAAAAACTTTCATATTTTTGTCTTTCCGACGGATCTCAATTTGGTGAGTGCCGATTGATGAACGAAAATGGAAGATGTAAAACCCTCTTTTGAATGCAGTTTGTTCAAATTGCAAAGAAAAATAAAGAACTTACATATCATTGCGTCTGTTTGAAATAAAAGTCGGGAAAAATCCGTCTTCTTTCACGATCAAAAGATTTCCCTTTGCATCAACCAAGTAATGCTCGCCATTGAGAAAGGCAGCACCAGTTGACTTTGCCGTTTTGACGATTATTTTAGAAAAAAAATTATTGTCAGTTTCAATAATTCAACAAAAACCGTTCATATGGAACAAGAGAGTCAAGAGCATTTATGTTGACATTTTTGGAATTCTCCGACAAGTCATGAAGAAGAATCGAAAATTGATGAGTTGGTAGAGACTTGCGACCCTCCCATCGGCCAGTTATCTTTTCGATTGATTGGTATTCGTGTGTGTTCTTTTTTGCTTTTGGCACTGTACTTGACTGAGTCGTTGCTGAAGAAGTTGTTGGTGGCTCGACAGCATTCGCTTCTTGGAGATTAGACTCTTCCGCTTCGCGCCCTGAAAAAAGTGCGAGATACCATTCTAGTGACATGCTAAAGTCTGTTTCCTCGTCTGTATCGTTGTGTGTTGACATCGTCGATTGCGCTGTCGTGGATGTTGGCTCATACGAAAACGTAGAAGTTAGCATTGCCTCGGCGAAATTCTCTTTTTCGCTTAGATCAAAGACAGGGATGAATTTTTGCGGCGACTCGAATTTCTCACATTTGTAAAAAGGACAGGGACACCCACGAGAACAGTATTTCTGAGTCGGGCAAACTTCTCCCGCCGAGTCAAAGGATCGAGTCAGCTTGAAACAGATCGACTCGCAAGGCGGAATCGGGTTCGTCCTCGTTGATTCCAAAACAAGCGTTTTCGAGCAAAGATGGCGGCAGATTTTTTGATCGTAAAACTGCTTCTTTTGACAGCGGCGGAGATTGACGCGATTTTCCTCCGCTGAAAAGAGGATCGGGTCGCTTTCTTTTGGTCTGATGTCGAAAACTCGCTCAGAAAGGACGAACTTGCCCGTTTCACGGCATCTCTTCATTAGATCAGCGCAGTAGTCCATCGTTTCAATTCGCACGCATTTTTTGTAGTTTCGGTGGCAAGTCGAAGTCAAAAATGTTCTAACGGCTCGGGATTGTTCCAGAGAATAAAAATTTGCTGATAATAAAGAATTGAAAAACCCGATTAATTCAAGAAAATTTACCCAAGAGCATAATTGAAACCCAAAAAAGCGTGCCCGTGCCGAGATAGGTAAGCCTTTGAGGCGTCGTTGAAAAGCCATGCTCAGCAAAGCTTAGTTTATCGTTCACCTTCTTCTTCCAAGTTTTTTCTTCTTTCAGATCTGCTTGTTGTGTTTTTATGTCTCGAGTAGTAAGAACTTCGTCGGGAAATAAGAAGACTTTGCCGTTTTTTTGTTTAAGAACGCCGATGCAGTCGCAGTCCAAACACTAATTATGCTTTCACAACCAATTGAACAAACTACAGGGCCTCTTGTACAGGCATTTTAAGGACAATCAACTCTTTAAGAAAATGAACCTGAACTTTAGATGTGTTCTTTCGTCTCAAATTCGTCTCATTTTCGATGATCAAAACCATACCGAGTGAATTTTATCTCAAAAATATTATTCTCAAACTAAACCAGCATCATTTCTGACAAGTTCTTCTGACAAGGCTGTGCTTACAGGACATCATTGGCATTTTAAAGTTCACAAGGTTGCCTCGGTTTACAACTTTAAGTTGAACTCTTGAACTCTTTTTGCCTTTTTAGTTGAAACAAAGATCTTCTGCACCCTTTGTTAAGGGGGTAGAAACAGCTTTTATCCGAAAAAGGCGATTTTTGACCGGCGCTACAGACAAGAGAATCTTACATTTTCAAATTTTCTCTTCAGGTTTAGATAGATAAATCTTAGATCTAGGAACATCTCTCTCGAAATTTGTTTTAGTCATCGAATTTTTGAGTAAATGGGCTCAGAAGCAGCTCATCTCTCCGAAATTTTCGATTTTCGCCAATTTTCAAACACGAATATATCGAGTCACCTGATAGTTAAATAAATTTCATTCACATTTTTGTGAAGCTCAACCCTTTTTCTAGGAACATTTATGAGGAAAGTTCGAGGAAATAAATAAATCTTATGTTTTCTTTTATGTAGCTGCAGTCCAAAATCGAGGAAACTGTTTCTACCCCCTTAAGCATCATATATTCTTTATCGATTCATTAAGAGCTTCGCCCCTTTTTGATGATTTGAAGCATCGTTTAGAGCAACTTGCTTCGAAGGTTCTTTCCTCTCCATGCGTAAAATAAACAGAGAGCCATTTTCCAGTCTATTTTTATCGAAAACACCTTTTTCTGGGTCGCTTCCGGTTCAGCATCATAAATGCTTGCGGTGCCTTCTCAAGCATCTCACTTCAAGAGATGGCTAGGTTTTTGTTAGATACAATCCACGACGCAACCGATAACGGGGATTTGATTAATCAAGACCCTGATGATATAATAGCAAATAACACCGCAAGGTGAGGCGTAGGTATTAAGACATAATTAATTGATGTAACTTAGTGATGTCTATATCACTGACACGCATATTATACCCGTTGGTAACGAAGAAGTAAAGAGGGGTCCGGTAGACAAAAAGGAAGTACAGAGGATGTTTCAAACTGACATGGAAGCTATCAAAGCTGGTCGCAACTCCACCCTGGCCAGGCACAATGCGAAGCGTGACCTGCACCGAGGGACAGCTCCAATGCAGGTCCGCGATATCTGACTTATCTTTTCCGATTACTTAATTTTTCAGCTAAACCAGCGTGCAAGTGACAAGGCGCAAGACTGGGCGGAGAAAATTGCACGTGGTGAAGCATTTGGTTTCGATCCAGATAATACGTATGAATCATACTCTATGTTCCACAACCTGTGTAGAAAACCTGAGTCTGGGTCTGAAAAATATTTGATAAAAAGGAGCGCAGTGGCTTTTAAGGAAATAAGGAGAGTAACTGAATAGCGCCGCCCGATTTAAGTCGCCGTGACCCCTAAAAACCCGATCCGATCCGATCCTGGTTTCAGGGAAGAATATAGTATTCGGATTATCAGTTCAAGTGCCAGTAGACTCGGATAAGCAGCCAGGGAAACGACAGCGCCATGACCCAGAAAAGAAGTGGGAGATGATACGGGCGTAAGAGAGCGAGTCATTTAAGCGGCTGTCCGGTACTCACGCAAACCAGTTCCGAAAATTATAGTCAAGGGCTATAATATTCTTAGGGGAAAAGTTAAGAGAATTTTGAGAGTATCAAAACTCGCGAAGCCGAGAATTATGCAACTCTCAAAATTCTCACTCCATCCCTAGAATAAGCTCATTTATATTTCCCCTAGCCTAGGCTAATTTCAAAAAAATTCTTTCGGGCCCGAAAATCATGAAAAAACTGCTTGTGTAGGATTGTAGAGCTCGTCGAGACGAGTCGATTGATACCTGTAACTCTTGAAAATTCCAAGATTTTCCGCCTACGCAACTGATAAGAAGGTTGCTCAAACAAAATCGTAATTCCACTGCCGTTTTTGTTCTAGAGTAGCTACGAGGGAGTTCGACCCCTAGAAATGATCCTCATGAAAAGTTGTACTGACAGAGGAAGTTTGAACCTCTTATCTCGTGTCATGCCGAGCTTATCAGTGAAAAATCGTTTTTTTTCCATATATTCTCACAAAACATGTAAAATGATCAGTTTTTTGCACTGAATTCATTAATGAATGAAATATTTAACCTAAACAAACGATTAATATCAATCTTAATATCGCTTTGTAAGAAAATATGGAAAAAACGATTTTTCACTGATAAGCTCGGCAGGACACGTGATAAGAGGTCCAAACTTCCTCTGTCAGTACAACTTTTTATAAGGATCATTTCTAGGGGTCAAACTCCCTCGTAGCTACTCTAGAACAAAAACGGCAGTGGAATTACGATTTTGTTTGAGCAACCTTCTTATCAGTTGCGTAGGCGGAAAATCTTGGAATTTTCAAGAGTTAGAGGTATCAATCGACTCGTCTCGACGAGCTCTACAATCCTACACTAGCAGTTTTTTCATGATTTCCGGGCCCGAAAGAATTTTTTTGAAATTATCAGGTAGTGTGTAGGTGATGAGCACTTGCTTACATACTACCCAAACCGTAACCTTGACTCTAAGGCTGCTAAGAGTCATCCATAGTATTGTTGTCGCGCGTGCTCGGGAATATTCCTCTTACCATAGCTGTTATGCGTGATTACTATACGGTAAAGTCTATACGGTATAGACTATACCTTTCTTGAACCTAGGTTGGCGGGGTCAAGCTCTCGCTCTTTTTCCGAACATTTTGTTTGGTCAGTATTTGGTCTGACGAGACCCGGTTCGTACCGGACCGGGCGGCGCAGGGTGGCGCAAGGCGGCGGTATTCAGTTTCCCCGAAATAAGGGGCAAAACCGCAGAAAAACAAATATTATATTTGAAATATATTTTCATTTCTAAGCGGTTTATTTAGAGTCTGTGGGGAAAACGTCATCTTGCTCTACACCAATAATGACTTGGAATTCATGACCATGAACAATTTTCAAGAAACCGGAAAAATATGCGTCGATCGTTGGTATGAGCAAATCAACAATTACGATTTCGACAATCATGCGGCCCGTCAAGCGGGAAAACCAATTGGTAGTTTTACTCAGGCAGTCTGGAAGAATTCCACATATCTCGGCGTCGGAATTGCCAAGGAGAAAGATGGAAAATACATCATTGGTAGACATTTTCCTCTTTGAAGAAATAACTTTATTTTCAGTCGTTTGCCGCTACTTTCAAAAGGGGAACATCAAGGGTAAACGAGCCCGCAATATCGGCAGACTTAAAAACTGATTATTGATTTATGGAAATTTCTGAGTTCTTGAGAAAGACTGACTCTGTACTTCATTAAATTTGTTGTTTTAAATTTATTGAAATTTTTATAATTTCTATTGCAAGTTATAGCGGTTCCACTGGCAGCAGAGTTGCAAATTTTGTGAGCTAGCTGAGCTGAGCTATCTGAGCTAGCTGAGCTTCAGCTCAGCTCAGCAATTTTGAGGTGAGAGTCAGCTCAGCTCATCTCAGCTCAATTTTTCTGAAGAAAGCTAGCTCAGCTCAGCTCAGCTCAATGGTTTCTCGAAAAAAGTCAGCTCAGCTCAGCTAGCTCAATTTTAACCTCAGCTCAGCTAGCTCAGCTCAGCTCAGTCTATTGAGCTGACAAAGATCGAACCACTTTTGATTGGTCCTTCTTTCAAAAAAAGTCAACGTATTTTCTATACATGCTTTCCTGTTGGTCAATTTCAACAGATAGAAATAATTCGAGTTTTCTTTGAAGCAAGAGCGAAATTAGATAAAAAAAGGGTTTCCAATAAAAAATAATAAAGTACAGATGGTAAATATGTGATTGCGAATGTGAGAGACTGGTCTAGGGGTGTGCGAGGGCAGGAGCTCCCTGTCCATCTACTCTAGAAGGTTGAAACATTGGCTCACCCACATAAATGATACCACTGTATAATATTTTGGAAGATTTCTTATTTTTAAATGACAGAATAAGTTTTTAATGTCAAAAAAATGCGATGTTGCGAGTGATATGCTGGTCTAGGGGTGTGTGAGGGCAGGGGATCCCTGTCCGTCTACTCTAGAAGGTTGAAATTAGCTTCAACACATTTTTTTGGCATTTTTTGTAACAAATGAAAATCAGTTCTCTCAGATCAGCTCAGCTAAAAAAATGGTCAGCTCAGCTCAGCTAGCTCAGTCTGAGAAATCGTCAGCTCAGCTCAGCTCAAAAATAGTCAAATATACCCCAGCTCAGCTCAGCTCAATTTTTTTGAAAAAATCCAGCTCAGCTCAGCTCAGCTCAATTTCGACCTCAGCTCAGCTAGCTCAGCTCAAAAAAAATTTTCAAAAATTTGCAACTCTGACTGGCAGCAATAACAAAAAAATGGTACAGTTGGTTTTCTAATTTCCGGACTAATTTTGTCCCCTGGTTTCCAAAAAAATGTCCGGAAATTTGGGTCACCGGAAAAAATTTTATGTCCCACCAAGTATTCTTAAAAAAGCGTTGGTACGGACTCAATACAAAGAGATTATGAAAGAAAAACCAGTGAATGACCCTTAGTTTTACTGTTCTTCTTCAACCTCGCGAACAAGCTCAGCTTGCGCCCAAAAAGAAGTTAATTTAACCGTAAATTGATCGCTTTTTAGAGAAAATGATCGCTCATCAATAAAATTTTGAAAAAAGAGGTTATCATTCGAGCCATCCAATTTCTCTAGAATATGGTCCATATTATATGGACTAGTGAATAGGGTAAGGGACTGGGAACTCTTAACGGGGAGTCCGGGGCCTAGGCCTTAGGTGGGGGCCCCCGGGGGAGGAGTAGCCCCCTTTGGTTAGGTTAAGGGTTAGGGGCAGCCCGAATGATACCCCCCTACTACCCCCAATATAATATTGGCAATATTCTTTGCTTCTTAAGCGTCTTTAGCAGGGTTCGAAATGTAGCAATATATTGCTGCTACATGCTACACGTGCTACATCCCTCAAAAAAAGTCCCTGCTACATGCTACATGTGCTACATTCCCCTTAAAAAACCGCTGCTACATGCTACACTTGCTACATAAAATTATGCCGGTCTGCTACCATTTTCGATTAGATCTCAATAATATATGAATTTTTTTATGTTTTTCAATTTCTTAAAGTCAAACTAGATAGAAATTAAGCTAAATATCATCATTTTCTATCAAAAGATACATTAAGGGTATAGTCATCGCTCTTTGGCAAGTCTCAAATTTTTAATCTGAGTGCATTTTTAGAATCCTCATGAAATTCTGAACAAAAAAGTCCTTCTGACCTTTATCTCTATCTCAACCAGTTTTTCGGAAAACGCGACAGAAAATAGCGAAATTTAATGCATTTCGCCCAAAAGCCAAATTTTGGCCATCTTTAGAAACTTCAGAAAGGCTTCATATGACACATTTTTAGAAAGCTTATGCTCAGGGCTTCAAACTGGTAAAAAACGGTTGAGTTTGGGCAGTGCCCTCAGGGCAATTAAGGAGGTTATTTAGGTCAAAATTAAGTACAATCGATTTTCGAAAATTTTTATAAGAAAAAATTTAGTAATTGAAAAAAGCTCTTGTTAATTTTTAGATAAGGGTCTCATCTTCATAATCCACGCAAAAAAAATCTGGACCTTATTGAAAACTTCCGAGGAGTTCGGCCGTTTATATAGCCTATTTTGGCCGAGATGCCAACTTTAAGGAGTTGTCACGTGGTAAAAATGATGGAATTTCAAAAAAAGCTCTTGTCAATAGTAAGATCTAAGATAGATCTTTAATTCTAGCCATTTAGGCTATTTTTACTACTTATAGGTGCTGAGGAGTACGAGCTCAAAGTAGGCCTGAGCGATTACTATACCCTTAAAATATATTTGCTATGAATAAATCGTCTTTTTTGATAATAAAAATCCTCACCTCCTGAAAAATGTAGCAATGTAGCAAGCTACACTTCGCTACACGCTTTTTGAACGCTGCTACATGCTACACCTGCTACATCAACATGTAGCAAAAATGTAGCAATTGCTACATTGCTACATTACTACACTGCTACATTTTGAACCCTGGTCTTTAGCCCCCAACTGAGAGAATTCCTTTGCGGCTTCTTTCCGGTTTGCGCGCAAAGATAAACGAAAAGCCATTTTTCAGTCTATTTTCAATAAAAACATTCTTATCTGGGTGGCTTCCTGTTCAAAAGCTATATAATCTTCGCATATCTACTCCACAAATTTAAAAATATACTGAGAAAACTGACCGTTTTGAGGTTGACTTTTTGTGGAGATGAGTGCTACTGAAACTCGAGCCAAGTAAGCCAGATAATTTTTGATAAAAAACATATTTTAATCACGTTTTAAGTTTTGAGATTGAAACGTCTGAAGTCCCGACTGATGATAATGAACACGAGAACCTTCCGGATATTTCTGAAGTGATCGAATTCTTTGGGCTCGACGAAGCAGCTTTGCGAGCCGGACAAGAGGCTTGCTTAGATCGACACAATGAGAAGCGCGCGCTTCACCAAAGTACCAAAGACATGAAGGTATAAAGATTTTATCTTGTTATCATGATAAAAACCCCCTTTTCAGTGCCTTTCAATAAGAAAAAGTATTAAGGACACCCCGTCGGCTTTTTCCTTCGAAAAATGGAAATTTTTAAAAACACCATATTTTTGGTTCTTAACGCGTCTGGAAGTTAAATTTGCTTCAAAAAATTGATAAGAGGCATTTTTGACAAAGAAAAATCAATATTTTTGCCAAAATTAGGGCAAATTCGTCCATTTAGGTCGAAAAGTCCAATTTTCTGAAAATTCATATCATCATAAATCATATTTGACACAAATTGACAAACATGATTTTGAGGGTGTTAGAGTTGAGATAGACCCCCAAAAAAAGAAGCCTCAAATACGAATCCATTTCCGAGGTCAAAATTTAAAATTCTGAAATTTGATTTTTCGAAAAAAGCTGACGGGGGGAGGGCAATATAAGCACTGTTACCTTCGGTTGTGTGATGAAGTTTTTTTTAGCTCGACAAAAATTTGACTGACGACGCGCAAAAATGGGCCGAAAAAATCGCTCGCGGCGATGCGACCGGATACGATCCAGACACGTGAGAATTAATTTACAAATTCAACTTGCCTATCACTTTTTTTAAGAATCTGTGGCGAAAACATTTCAATCATTCCCTTTGAGAGCGAATTGCCTTACTTGACTCAAGGAGACTACGTTGGTGTCGCACGATTCGCCGTCGACACCTGGTACAACCAGGTCAGCAATTACGACTTTCCGCAGCATACAAAGAAGAATCCGAACGGCATCACCGTCTCCAGCTTTGTCCAAACAATCTGGAAAATTTCAACGTATTTGGGCGTCGGAATCGCCCTCAAACCTGATGGATCAGAAGTCGTCGGTAGGAACTTTTCGAAAAACTCGCGGATAATTTAGCCGTTTTAAGTTGTTTGCCGATACTTACAAAAGGGCAATATCGAAGGCAATCGACCTCAGCAAGTCGGACAATTGAAACAATAAGAATAATGAATAAGAAAAATATAATGAAAAAAGAATATTTTAATGTTTGTTATTTCTTTGCATCTGAGGTCGGCACCGACCCGACCTGGTCGGAAATGATCGGGTTAATATGAGCACCGATCGACCCGACCATGGATTTTTTTTTCTTGATTTGGTCGGTGGTCGGGGTTGGTCAGTGCGTGGTCGGTTTTGTCAGTTTCTTTGAGTATTTTGGTCGGGTTAGTCGGATTTTGGTCGGTTTAAGCCTACCACAAGACCGACCAAACCGACCACGAATTCGGCAAAACCGACGATGATAAATGGTGGTCGGTGCCGCCCCTAGCTTTGCGTATTGACAATACGGTATTGTTCATGAATCGTTTATTGATATCGTAAAGTTGACGAGCATTCCAGTAAACTCAAAATTCTCTCTAGTCCTGCGGATCTCTAGTTGTAGTGGTCGAGAAGAGTCGAAGACAAGGAAGAGGGAATTTCCCAAAAAGTTGTTTTATTCTTTTTCTGATTCTACAAGATGGCCTTGGTAATGAGGATATTCATTTATGAGATTCATGAGCAGATGCTCATGCACGAGCATGTAGCTATTGTAAGGTGTAATTACGCGCACGGCGCTAGAATTGGTTACGAATGTAGAATGAGCAGAATCGCAAATGAGATTACTGGTCATCCCTCCCTCTCATAAAAATTTTAAAGCAAACACGTGTACGATAAATAATAACAGCGATTCTAGAGCATAAAAACAGAGTGGAAAAACAGAAATTCATCAAATTCGCAAAAACACTTTTTTGACAAGCAATGAGCGACAGCGATTCTTCAAGTTGTTTTTCGGATTTTGCGCCAGAGATTTCCAGATCATCGACGGAGGACTCGACCAAGCCGCGGCCATTGAATTCGACAGCTGCTCATCGACGGTTCGAAGTTCGTGATGTTTTCAGAGAGGCTAGTCAAGCGATTTTTTGGGTGGCGGACCTGGCCAATCATTATCCGGAAGTCTGGTTTTACGGCGGTTACATCAGTTATAGGCAAATCGGAAGCATCCCGAAAATTACGAGCTGACCATTTGCACTGACGCTCAGATTGCGTTTGAAGGGAAGACAATGCGCTGCGTCGCCAAATGTCCAGACCGAGACCGGACATGGTTGGTTGCTTGTGAAGGGAGTTACGGTTTCGCTGAAATGGAAGAGGGAGCGCCAGTCACTTTCCAGCAGCGAACAGCAGTGCCAGTTCTGGACATGATCAATGGTCCTCATCCGGCGCCACAATACAACACATACTTCTTTTATGATTTTTGATTATGATTTACTGGAATAACGAGTATTTAATAGATAATCTCGTTTATTGCAGAAGCTTTTCGCCTTTCGGCATCATCAGTGCTACAGGAAGTTAGAAAACATACAGAAAACAAAAAAGCAGTTACCTTTAGAGATGCAAAGTTGTATCTGACAAAACCACGAAAACAAACACCGAAATCCCTTCTATTCTAGAGAATTTTTCCTTTAAAAACAATAACAAGCGCAAAGATGTTGACAATGAGACAGGGGCAACCGTTGAGGCCCATAATCGTTTATTGCTTATCTGTAGGAATGGTTAGTGCAGATAGTGCGGATAATACAGAGAATACAGCCAGCATGATTATATCTTGGGAATATACGCGTGAGTGAACTTCATCTCCGAAATGTGAACTGGCTTGCCGTAAGGAACATGAACTTAAATTACATAAGGGCTTGCTAATAACGAGCTTCGATACCAGAAGAAGAAGGCGCGTTCATTCGGTAGAATCTCCTGTCTAACGATCGGCTCGCCAGTTGAGGCGAATAATCCGGCTCCTAAGGAGGGTTAAAATGAGGATAAATAAAAAATGGTCTTACGATAGCTCTTGTTCTGTAAGGTGATTGGAGGGTGAGGTATTCAGACCGGATCAGCTCTTGGTAGATCGCTTCTCGATGCAGGCGTCGTCTAAATATATTTTTCTAGCGTTATGCAATTGTTTTCAATGATAATATAAATTTCATTTTCGACCTTGTCTCTAGAACCAAAGTTGTTGTGAGGACGAAAATTTTCAATATTCTCAGTCTACGGATTTTTTTAAGTCCGACCAAGCAAAAAGAGGAGGTGTGTCGATTATTTTTATGAAGGCGGAATTTGTGTAACGCAGTTTTAGGAGCACAGCGAACTCGTCATCGGTGAATTCAAAGCGAAAAGGGATCCAAGAGGTGGATACCTTGACGACGGGAGGATGAAATGGATCGCAAAAACGCCTACCTCGAACGCGATATTGCCCAAAAAAGCAATAAAAACCTATCTTTTCAAATGCCTTTGTTAAATGTCTTTTTCTTGGCAGGTCCGAAAGGCGGTCCGAAAGGTTCTTTTTTGACAGTTGAGATTTCGAAAGTGATTTACCTGAGTTCCTCTTCGAGTTGCCTTTTACGCTCACGGTAGAGAATAAGTTTGATTTCTAAATAATTTATCAGTGCGGCTTTTAAGATCTGAACTTACCGCCGTTTTCAAGTACGCTTTCGTGAATTTTTGATTTTTGGACTTCGCTGCTCATAGTTCAATAGAATTCTTGGCCGCTATTCTGAGTAGTGAAAAGAACCTTATTTGCGGTTATGAGGATGGAGCTTCTTTTGAACTTGTCCTGATGCTCAGCGGTCGAGGGATGATTTCGGGAGAGGAAGGTAGCGAAAAATCGGAAGTATTTTCGTTGTAAAAAGAAGTCCCATGAAGAATGCTGGCTTGCTTCTGTAGTGGAGGATTTCTGAAAAGGCGGTAATTAGATGCTTTTGCAATAAAAACTAAGATGCCAACACTGCCAAAGTCGGTAGGGCCTACCGGGTTGTCAGTAAGGGGCAGATGTCCCCTATGTAGAGAGGGGCTATCAATGATAGCCTATCATTCGAGACTATGATTCGAGCCATCCAATATCTCTAGGATCCGAGCTAGTGGTTAGGATTAGGGACTGGTGACTCTTAAGGGGGGTCCGGGGGCGAAGCTCCCTGGTTAAGACCTTAGGTGGGGAGGCGGGGGAGGTCCTGGGGCGTAGCCCCTGGGTAGGTTTAGGTTTAGGGGCAGCTAGAATGATAATCCCCTACTACTGTCCCCCAGTAAATCATAGCCTATGAATCATAGCCCACTATACAGGCATCCCACTCAAGGACATCCAATCCCACTTCTAGTTTAGAGTCTAAAGTCTTTAGACTGGAGGCACTAGAGCAAGAACATACTTCTTCCTGGAAGATCTTGATGACTTTGTAGGAGACTCTTCGACAGATGTAACAGGACTAACTGACTTTAGAACTTCTTCTTTTTTGACTTTTGGATCAATTTTCTTGATAAAATCATCGGGGCAGTCCTTGAAAACGAGATTTGTAACGGCCCGTCTGGCGACTGGATCCTCAGTTCTTGGGTCAAGCGTCTTCACTTCTACAGGAGCAATGAATTTCGAGTTTCTAAAGGAGATATTCTCAATTGATAGAGAAGAGCTGTAACAACCTGTAATTTGCTTCCAAATCTCCATCTGGTGATTTTTTCATCGAATTCGACAAGCTCGCAGCTTTATTCGACACGATTTCTGCCAAATTCTGCGGCTTCTGACAACACAGCCAGGTTAATCCGCCCGTAAAGAGGACCATTCCAGTGCCACTAAAAGCACAGGTTATTTTGATTGAGTGTGTTGACGCGTCAAATACGGTTTTGAGTCACTTAAGAAAATGAACATGGCGCTACTTACCAAATGCTCATCCCCAAGATGAGCCCAAAGAGGCCAGTTTCTGCATCATCATCGATAAACTCGAGGGTTATTGCTATGCTGCCAGAAATAAACATCACGATGCCGATTATCTATAAACAGTTGATTCTCTTCCTTGATTTCAAAAAGCGCCAAATTCTTACCACTGTGCAAATTGACGGTCTCTGGTGCATCTTTATCTTTGCTTTTTTGAGCCGCTCTGAAGATGAGAGTAAGTAGAGACCATAATGGCTTGTTAAATTATGCTGATGATGTTAGTTACTGCGCTTTTCTAATTGAGTCGAAAATAGAAAAAAGCAACTGTATGTTGATTGTAACAAAACAGGTCGATAGGAAAGGTATTGAGAGAAGCGATGATGATAATGATCATTAATAATTTATATTGCGTAAAGGATAGTCTTGATTTGGAAGGGTTGCCGTCATTTAGACCTACTCTTACTTTAAGGGGGTTGATATCAAGAATTTGATTTCCTGTCAGTGTTTTCCCGAATTAACAAAGTCTTCTTAACAAAAGTGATCTTAACAAAGTGACTCCCTTATTTTTTCTGCTCAAGATTTATTTCAATCAACTATCTATGGAAGCCAAAAATTAGACTTCTTGAGCTTTCGAGGTGCTACAATGCAAATCGAGCACCTCCGATTGTCGCCAAAATGACCATTTTAGGAAAGTTAGCGATCTTTGACGAAAAATTTTGTGAAAAATTTTTTTGAAAGTCGAAATTTCGGCTTCATAGGAAATAGAAAAAGCTCTAAATTCTTGTTTTCAAAGTTAATTAAAGGTGTTACTACTTTAACTTTTGGAGAAAAGTCTGGCAGAAAATCCTAATTCTTGATATCTACCCCCTTAAATGCTGAGTAATAAAATACCAGAACTAGCCGAAGTTACCTCTTCTTTTTGCTTCTCTTTCTCTAGCTCGCTCTTTCCGTCCTTGTTGCTGCGTCTTGGCAAATACATGGTTGATTAGCTATCCAGCGAGTCACTCAGTAGCTGTTTTTACTAATTAATAAATTCGTTAATTAAGACTCTAGCGAAAAGTAGGCCGCGCAAATCATTAGGGCGCTAGTCTATTACTCGATTGGATTAAAATAGACCCTCCAACGAGTCGCTTTATTGATGCAAAATTACAAATATTAATGCGCTTCAAAGATTTTCTCAATAAGAGAGTGGTTCAATACACCGAAAGGAGGAAACGCCCTGTCAACGTAGAATTAAAAATGAGTCCTCCATGATTCCAAGTGATACAGCGCTCTTTTTTGATAAAAATATATTCATAATTTTTTAAGTTTTGAAGTTGAGCGACCCAATATCGAAAGCTTTAACGGGCTGGGTGGAATTTCTCTTTATTTGAAGATTTTACGCCTTATATTTGAGGGTATGGTACGCGCACAGGGTCAAGTCTCAGAATCGGTTTTTGACCATATATTCTGAATCCCCATGAAATTCTGAGTGTAGAAAGATGTGTCAAAATCTCTTCTGATTAGACTTTAGCGTTATTGATTTTTTGGAATCTGATTGGATGATCCGCCGAATCCAGATATCTTATTGGTCTTTAATTTGACCCAAGTTTCAGTAAAAATTGTCGCATTTTTTCCCTTTCTGAATCAAAATTCTTTATTAAAAAAAAAGTTAAAGTAATTAACTTTTAAAAACTCGATCTTATTGAAAACATAACTTATAAATAATTTGTCGAATTCTTACCAAAAAGCCATATTTTGTCTCTGTTTCAATAATCGTTATTCTATTCTCAAGTCTGAGCGGAGCGTAATGTTTTGAATTGATTTATTAAAAATGCATCTGAATCGGTGCAGAATGATGATCTCCGCACGCTCTGCCGTCTCGCCTCATCGCAACCCACGGCAAAGCTCATCCCCCTTTTTTCAAGAAAGCGGATTAACGTCCTGTCACTGCCAGTCCGTCTCAGAAGGCTATTTTTGTCCGTCTATTTGCGACGCCTTTATTATTGAAAAAAAAATTAGACCGTCCGACTTATTTTTAATAAAGGGCGAAAATGTAGTGTTTCTCATTAGTCATCCGCCACTTGAGTTCACCGCGCTGCGCCGCGCGCAGTTCACGACCCGCGAAGCGCTATTCACGACTCGCGAAGCGCATTTCACCACGCGCAAACGCTCCGCCGCAAACCGCGAAAGCACAGTTCACCACGGACTAGGATCAACTCACGACTCACGAAAAAGTCACTCACCACGATCTAACAGCTCACCACGGTTTATGAAAACCATATATAAACGATCTTATTTCTCACTGACACAGTTCACACACACACAACTCTACTTTTTACTCAGAGACACCACAATAAAACTTGCTCTTTTTAACAACGTTCGTCGCTCACTATTTGTATTCCCGCTCGCGAATACGATAAACGCAATTAGTTATCCAACTTATGTACTGTGAGAAACACGTACATATTTTGGTGACTGAAGAAAACGGAACTACAATCCAGCTAGAGACAGAGAATTCCTGCTGAAATTATCCTGACGCTCTACAGACCGTGGTTATCGAAGAACTGACTCAAGTTACTACAGGTTAGTCCATTTGCTCCATTTTAACGGTGTCATGGGAGAACTTTATTATAAGTTCGTAGTCGATTTGACTGCGAAAGAAATTATGCTTATCTATGACGAAAATCCGAGGCGAAAATATCCGCTCCCTATTCCTCGATTTGACAAGTCTGGATGTGTCCTGAATTTGCTCGATATTCAGCCTGACTTGTTCGATACTATGGATAAGAAATATTTCTTTCGAAAAACGGGTCAAAAACTCGAATATGATCCCGATTTCGATGTGAACAACATTCAAGAAGCAGTTCAGAAGACTGCCCGGGCGGATCATAAAATTGATATAGCTAAAATCAACGAAATCGTTGTTGTAGATAACCTGAACTCAATTTTTGCTCGAATTGAGGAGTCTGAAAAGAAGGAAACAAAGTTCCAACCACCACCCTCTGACTCTAAACCAGCTGGTTCTGCTCCAAAAACCGGAAATGCTCCTAAACCAGATCCTGCTCAGAAAAAGAAGGAAGCATCACCGGATCGATCAAAGCCCTTTGGACAAATAAAAATGAAAACCCCGAAGTTCGACTCGCAACTACCAGTTGAAAATTGGATCGTCAACATGGAACTCTATGGAAATTGCTCTAAAATTTCAGATGCAGATCTTATAAGCGTCGCTCTATCTCAAATTCTTATGGAAGAAAGTGGAACCTCTTTGATTGAAGCCATTACAGAAGAAGAGAAGAAGAACTGGGAAAGTTTCAAAACAAAGCTCATCCAAGTTCTCGGCAAAGATAAAGAACACTTTAAATATCTCTACACTTCGTTCCAGAGAGGCCAAGAGACTCAGCAAATGGCAGTTACGAAGCTTCAAGCATACTTCAAAAAGGGATACGGAAAGCTGGTACTTGACGCTGCAGATGAGTCAATTATTTGTGACCGATTTATCGAATGCCAGGATCCGCGACTTGCCGAATTGCTACGACGAGAAAAATCTCTGCTCAATCTTCAAAATATCGCTCAACGTGCTATGGAACTAGAACGTAGCTTCTACAAACGAGAAAATATCTTCGCAGCTGAATGCCTAAATAATGAAAAAGAATCTGAAATGGCTCAGCTCTGCTCTACGCTCAAAGAAATGATCGCTACCGCCAAAGAACCTGCAAAGGAGAAAAAACGAAAACCAAGAGCGAGAATCCCTACTGACAAGCTCCAAGGACACTGCATCGCCTTTGTTCGAAATGGTCGATGCCGATTTGGCGAAAAATGCAAATACCTCCACTCAGAAACAGTTCCAGAAGAAGTCGAGAAGATCATCAAGAAAGAGGCATGACTATCAAAAGTCATTGAAACTTGCGAAAGTGCTCTTTTCGCACCGGCCTCCCTTAAATTCGTCAACATTCAGCTCAACGGACTAAAATTTCCCTGCCTTATCGATAGTGGCGCAAGTAGGACATGTTTACGCTCAGACGTCCTAGATCTCCTTCCGTCTACTATTAACAAACAAATCCCATCTTCAATAAAGCTCAAGTGTGCGAACTCAGAAATCGTCAATGTGAAAACGCTCAGCTCTCCAATCGACGCCAAATTTGAAACCAGCTCCTCGCCACTTAAATTGAAGCTGGACCCGCTCATCGTTCAAAACCTATCTTGCCCGATCATTTTGGGGATGGATATCCTTAAAGGAATAACAATCGAAGAAAACTCAATTACGCTCAAAAATAAGGTTATTCCAACAATTGATCCAAATTCCTCTGATATGTTCCTAACTGGTTTGATCGAAATTGATAAGGAAACTAGTCGCGAAAAAGAAGAGTACGAAAAATTCGTAAAACTACGATCAGAAAAAGCTCGCAAAATAAACTTTGTTCCCAAAATTGGATCTTATGGCTCGACTGATCCAATACAGAAGAAACAGCTCGAAACTTTAACTCACAAATGGCGACTCTCCTTCAACATGGACACAAACGATCTTGGTCGACTCTTTGGTTTCAGATATTCGCTCCCATTATATGACGAAACAAAATCGGCACACCAACCGCCGCGGAAAATTCCCATTCACCTAGTGCCAAAAGTCAGTGACCAGATGGAAAACTGGAAGCAGCTCACTGTCATTCAAGAGACACAATCAGCATTTAACATTCCGCTCATTATACTCCGTAAAAACGATTCTTCAATCAGAGTTTCTTTGGATGCGCGAATGATCAATGAGCTGTTGCAGAAAGATCGCTTCCCATTGCCAAGTATGCAAAGTGTTTTTACGTCAATTGGGGAGAAACTTACTGGTAAAGAATGCTACATTAGTTCAGTAGATTTCTTTCGCGGATATTGGCAAGTGCTCATTCATGAAGCTGATGCCCACAAGATGGCCTTCAGTTACGACAACCGACATTACCAAGCTAACCGGATGCTCTATGGATCATGCAATGCCCCAGCCTGTTTTTCTAGAATCATGAACAAGCTGATGGAACATGACTCTATTCTGCTTTATTTGGACGATTTGATCGTGATTGACAATAATTGGGAAAACCATCTGCAAGCACTAGAATTTGTCTTTAAAACCTGCTACGAACATGGGCTAGTCCTGAATGCCGCAAAGTGTAAGCTCGCCAGTACAGAATTAGATTTTCTTGGTCACAGAATCACTTCTGATGGTATCAAACCGCTCCGAAAACATCTTGAAGCGATTGAAAAGATGGAACCACCGACAGACAAAGCTGAACTGAAGAGATATTTGGGCATGGTTAACTTTAATGTTAAATTCATCAAACGCGGAAGTGAAATCCTGTCCCCGCTCTATCGTCTGACATCAGCAAAAGCGAAATACGAGTGGTCCGACATCCACCAGAAAGCTTTTGATACAGTAAAAAGTGAACTCCTGAAAGAGCCGACTCTCGCGCACTTCAAACCCGGATGCAAACTCGTCCTTGTTACCGACTCATCTGGATACGCAGTCGGAGGAACACTTTATCAAGTTCAAAACGATCGATTCGCACCCCTTGGATACTTCAGCAAAGCTCTTACGGGTCCCGACCTCAAGCGACCAATGAGAATCAAGGAACTCTTCGCTCTCTGCTGGGGAATCCAATTTTTTGAGTACTACCTGATCAACTGCGAATTCGATTGTTATGTTGACCATAAATCATTGCTCTATCTATTTCGGGAATCACGAAAACAGAAATTGGACATAAAATTATGTAATGTACATAATTACCTCCTCGCTTTTAACTTCACGATCATTCACAAAAGCGGATCAAGTCCTGAAATGGCCTCTGCAGATTTCTTCAGCCGTTTACCAAAGTCAAAAAGCTCTGACCTTGAGAGAGACTCCGAAAACTTCTTCGACGTTGATGAAACAATCTTTGCATTGTCAACGTTAACAACAAGTGATGTTATCTTCTCGTTCGAAAACCGATCATTTACAGCAGAGGAAATGGCAACTGCTCAAGACGCATGCTCAGTTACAAGAAATCTTCGAGTGAAAGCGAAGCTGAACAAGTCACCGAAAAGACTTATGCTCAAAAATGATGTTCTTTATTCAAATAACAGATTGGTTCTTCCAAGCGCTGTTGCTGATGAATTTATCTCTTATCTGCACTCCCTGACAGCTCATGCCGGAAGTCAACAGCTCCTGCAGATGCTACGAAAATTCTTTATAAGCAACATACAACAGAAAGTTCGCGCGATCACAAGCTCCTGTGAAACATGCATTCGACTCAAGCCGTTCAAACAAATGAGACCTTCGCTCATAAAGGATCGCCAATTTGCTCAACTCCCTTTTGAAAAGGTCCATATTGACCTTGTGGACTACGCACGACCAGATCAAGCTGGAAAACGATACCTGCTCACCGTCGTTGATAGCTTAAGTGGCTACCTCGATGGAGAACCGCTCTCAAACAAGTCCGACAATCTCGTTGCTAAGGCTCTTCTGCGAATAATACTGAGACACGGAATATCCGAAAATTGTATTTCTGATAATGGCAAAGAGTTTGGTCCGAAAACAACAGCCATCCTCGACAGATTTGAGATACGCCGCAGTACTACAAGTGCCTATTACAGTAAGTCAAATGGAAAGTGCGAACGAATCCACCGAGAAATTCACCAGAAGCTCAAAAACCAACTCGCCACAAATCGCACTTGGTCCGACTACTGGCCAATGGTACAGTACTTTCTAAACAACACTCCAAAAGGCTCCTTGGATGGTTTATCAAGTAATGAAGTTGTGTACGGAAGACAATTTCATGTTCCTTATTCGCTCAAAGAGCCGATCACAGAAAATATCCAGCCATTCATTAGAGGGTTAAATTCATATTTCAAGAAGTTACATCCTGCTCTGCTTAACTTCCAAGTCCAACGATACCAGTCATTGTTAAAACGTGACAAGAACAACTGTCCGGTTTTACCAATTGGAAGTAATGTTCTCTGTTGGAAACCTGATCCTTACTCTGGAAAACTTGGATTGTCCTGGTCTGGACCGTTCAAAGTTCATAGAAGGCTTTCAAAAGACAGCTACATTCTGAAGTGCCCGCTCACCAGAAAAGAGTACCGTAGAAATATTAGTCTGATCCGACCGCTCAAAGTCAAAACTGAGGACGATAAAACGCAAGTGATCTGCAGTGACAAGCCTCAAAACGACTTCAAACCAGAAAAAGTTCAAGCTCAAAAATCAGCTCCTTGTTCAAAACACACTGAAGATCCAAAACAAGCTAAATCTAGTAAATCTGCTCTGAAAGATGAAGAAGCTCAAGCTCACAATCCTTGCTCAGAAGACCCTCCTAGTACAGTCAATGATCGACTGCTGATCAATCAAAAGGATAAGAAGGATTCAATATGGAAAGATCGTCTTCGCTCTAGACAAAAACAATAAGATGAGATGTTCAACTCATGAATTGCTCAATAGAAACTCGAATAATGAAGTATAAAAGCCCTGTTTGCCGTTCGAACGATGCTCAAATACAATGATCACAACTTTAGCGATATGATGCACACTCGTAAAGAGAGAGAGAGAGTCAAGTTCCGTTCAATCGCCGTGAAAGTTTATACAGGCCACTGTGGATTTACGACCGCATAAAATTGATTATGTTCAAGTAATCGGCGCCCTCTACTTGCACCGCTATTCCTAACCTTGCGCCGTACTTCCGCAGATGTTGGCAATGTGTGCAGTTGCCAATCACCTTATTCGAAAATATGTTCTTGCCGCATTCTCCCAGCTCGAATGGAACGATGCGAATCTCCTTGTTCTTAAAGGGGGAAGAGAAGAAATGAAAACTGCTCGTTTGCTCACAAATGTTCAATTGCTCACTTGGTTTTTCGAAAAGCTCCTGCTCGAGTTCGCAGTCGAGAATCCAAATCGATGAAAATGGCTGTTCAAACAGAAAAAAACATCCCCGCGCGCTGCAACACTCGAAATCTCCCGCGCCAGGACAAAAGGGACCCGTCGTCACATCCCTGTTCCCCCAACGTGAAAATGGAAATGCACCGACTGAAACAAGCCAAATCGAAAAATGACTTTACAAGAAGAGACAAGAAGCTCAACAGATCAACCACGCTAGTCACAGTTCCTACGATCACACTTATCCGTGTTTCAAGTGGCAAAAAGAGAAGTCCGGAAGTAATTAAAAGAAAAAGTGTTTCTATCATGTAAATTGCTAAGCAGAAGAGAAATGCCGACTAACCTTGAAACAGATATTTTCCACCTTCAGAGATGCTGCATAAAACGAAGATACCAACAATTCGCGCTCAATTTTGTCATGGGAATAAAAATACCAATTGTGGAAGAAATCGACTGTGAGAAAACTCTAGTTATTAGAGAGCTTCTCGAAGAAATCGAAGTATCTATCAAGGAAAAGACAAATTGGTTCCAAATCTTGACTCAAAAATCGCTCAATCTCAGCACGATCGACAGTAACCTGAAGTGTCTCCTTATCTTTTCCTGCAAATGCCTAATACTTACTGCCCAAGGAGCAAATCCGGAAACAAGAAATTCAATTGTCTCCGAATATGCAAGGAAATGGGCAAAACAAAGGTCTGTTTGGAGAAGACTTGAAAATATCGAAATTTCCGATCTACGAATTCTGAAATCTGAGGTCACCTTCATAATTCACGAACACCTGAAGCACCTTGGGTTGAGAGACTCACGAACAAACACCTCGGCTCATTCAGAAATACAGTTCATCGAAGAAGTAAATGATGTTCCGGTTGGCCCAGCTCAACAGCCGCTCGTTGACTCTCCCGTCAACCAAAACGATCCTTTCGCCACGATTACTGCTTATGGACAAAACATCCTTGATGAAATCTTGGACTTTCAAACACAGGACATTCCTCTACCAGAAAGACAAACGATCTAAAAATAAATGGAGGAGGAATTATGTAGTGTTTCTCATTAGTCATCCGCCACTTGAGTTCACCGCGCTGCGCCGCGCGCAGTTCACGACCCGCGAAGCGCTATTCACGACTCGCGAAGCGCATTTCACCACGCGCAAACGCTCCGCCGCAAACCGCGAAAGCACAGTTCACCACGGACTAGGATCAACTCACGACTCACGAAAAAGTCACTCACCACGATCTAACAGCTCACCACGGTTTATGAAAACCATATATAAACGATCTTATTTCTCACTGACACAGTTCACACACACACAACTCTACTTTTTACTCAGAGACACCACAATAAAACTTGCTCTTTTTAACAACGTTCGTCGCTCACTATTTGTATTCCCGCTCGCGAATACGATAAACGCAATTAGTTATCCAACTTATGTACTGTGAGAAACACGTACAAAAAGGGATCAGAATATCAAGGGATTAATCAAGAGTTCACTTTCCAGCCCAGCCCTCGTTGGACTTGTGCTTCTTTCCACTCCATCTTTGTTTGACTAATGATTTGAAGATCGCTTTAGCCATTTCGTTTTTCTTTGATTCTCTCTATCTAAGCAAAATCAAGACCTGCATCCTTCTTTGTTTCAATATATGGAATTTTATTCGACCCAAATGGATCGCTAACTAGTAAAGCTAATCCAGCATTTTAGAAAGATTAAATTTTTATGTCGGGATAAAATGAGTCCCGATCGATTCCGAAAATCAATCGAGAATTATGAAGAAAAAGCTGAGTTTAAAAATTATTTTTCAGGAATCAGGGATGCATTTATTAAATAAAAGGTCAGGGAAAATCAGGAAAGTCGGGAAATGGGCTGATAGTAGGCCGCTGATTATAAATATTTCTTTTCAGATTTTCATGAAGTCATTTTTTCTTCAATAATATAACTTGAGTCGATCGACATTTTGTGGCCGCTGGTTTTGGGCGCTTGTCCATGCGGCATATCCCAGTAACGGCAGACAACTACGAAGCAATTATGACGCTGAAGTAAGAATAAAGAGGCAGTACCGTAAACAGATCTGCCATCTCTGGAAGCGGCTATTCCTACACCGACTTTTGTGGCGCCTTTCCACACGATTTGGGTGAAATTGGTGACGTCTCCGGTTCCGTCTTTTGAATCATGAGTGTCGAAATCGTAGTTGTAAAAGCCGCTGTACCATGCTTCGACAGCACTTCTTCCAGCCGCTTCCAAATCTTCTCTTGTGAAGGATTCACGAGGCGCTCCGGTGCCCTTGTAGACGTTTTGTCCAGTATTCGACTGATTTGGTTGGATTCGTAACTCATCGTTTGATGCGAGATGCTCGGCCCATTGTTGCGCGTAGGTATCAGGAACGTACGGCATAGACTTGTGTAAAAGGGAGTTTAAAGAAAAAGTAAAATCACTCTTACAAAGTTCGGCGTATTTCTATGCTTGGCGCGTTTTTCATTGTGCGCTGCTAGACAGGCTCGGTAACCTGCCTCCAAGACTTGTGAATCGAGTTCAAAAATGTTCCTGAAAAATTCATGATAGTAGAATTTAATCGAAAATGATAAATATATATTTAATCATTTTAATAAGAAAATCACAAAAAAAATATTTGAATTTTTATGTTATTTTGGACTTAACCAATTTATGGAAATGAATTTTCAGATGACCAATGAGAATGCTGTATTAAGCCTACCGGCCAATCAAAACCCAGATTGATAAAATCACCTCCATAAATTAGTTTAACCCAAAATCCGCAAAATTCTCAGGCGATTTTGAATACTCTATTTAGTCTGAAAATCTTACTTGAGTCGATTGACGTTTCCAGGTCTGACATCATCGTCGACGTTCCAGTATCGACAAACAACTTAAATTCTATAATTGACTTTTCAAACTGGATTGATCACCGTAAAGAAATTTTTTATCCTGGGACAACGCGATGCCTACTCCAAGGGCACTGGTTGCTTTTCTGACAACTTGCACAAAGGAATCGACACTTTCTCCATATGGATCCTTTTTGCCGTGCGTATCGAAGTTGTAGTTGTCAATCTGGCTATACCACTCCTTGACAGCATCTCTGACACTTTCTTCAAAATATTTTCTATTGATTAGCGTTATTGGAGCCTTGTAGATGTTCTGTCCAGTTCTTTCTCTAGGAAAAGGATAATCAAAAATGAAAAATCCTGTTGGCCAAACTGATTTGCTTGAATTTCGAAAACAGCACCACCTGCGAGACGTTCGGCCCAGCTTTGTGCCTTTGGATCTACACGGCCATACTGTATGTATGACTCATACGGCCTCGACTTTTGGAGAAAAATAGTTAAGTGATAGAGCTTTTATCGTTTTTACCAAGCTTCCAGTGTTGGTATGCTGTTGACGAAGTTCATTGTGCGCGTTCAAGCAAGCAACTCGTGCTGCGTTGAAATCTGCTTCGTCAGGAACAAATTGGGATCTTAAGTATCAATATTAAGGAGTTGTCCTTTTATTCAATAAAAAAATGAATCAAGCTTGTCTGTTTCAGCCTCACATTTGTCGCTCAACATTTTGCCCACAATAGTGAACGGAAGTTAGTGGCCACTGTCCATCCGGCATATTCCAGTATCGGCAAACAACTTAGATTAAAATTATCAGACGTCGATAATAACCCGGGTTATTACCGTATACGTGCTTGAGATCTCTCGAAATCGCTATTCCAACTCCGAGATATTCCACACTTTTCCAGACAACTTGGGTAAAAGAGTAGACTTCTTTTTCATGCCAGTCATTCGAATTATTGTAATTGTATTCGTTTATCTTGCTGTACCATTCCTTCACGGCATTTCTACCAAACTCTTCGAAATCTTCTCTTGTGAAAGATCGTCGACCAGCTATGGAGGCCTTGTAGATGTTCTGACCAGTGTTATCTCTTAAAATGAATGTTTAAAAATCATTCAGCCTTTAACTTAAAGTAAATTACTGATTGGGTTGGATTTGGAATTCACCGCCATTTGCAAGATGTTCGGCCCAGAACTGCGCTGGTGTATCCGGAGTCCAAGGCATCCACTTGTTTAAAAATGAATCGAATTCATTCAAATAGTATAAACTGCCCTTACCACACTGTTGGTATTTCTATGCAGTGCGCGAAACTCATTATGCGCCGCTTCACAGGCTCGGCAACCCGCCATCAAATCCTCTCGATCAATTTCAAGTTGGTCGCTGGAAGATTATTATTGAATTTGAGAATCATTCTCTTCATTTTCATCTTACCTTGCTGGTTCAACGTTTTCCTCTCTATTGTCATCATTCACGCTCCAATATCGGCAAACAACTAAAAATTTTGATTCAAAATTATGTACAGCCCTATTATCATTAATAATTTATTAGTTTTGGTATGATTAATAAATCAATCATATCATATGATATGGGCAATCATATTGTCACATCAATCTGGGCTGGGCAACCTGCGGGAACAAATCTGGCCGCCTTTTAACTCAGGTCAGGCTCAGGCTCAGGTTTTTTTCTTTAGCCTTAACTTTACTGAAGCCTGCAGGTGAGGACACAGGTTTTTTTCGAGGTCAGATTGCCAATCCCAGATATGATATGAGTTATATCATATGACACAAACAAGGATCTATCGCGGTGGTAGTAGGGGTTATCATTCGAGCTGCCCTTAACCTTACGCCGCCAAATCTATATATATCATAATATATATATCATCATATATGATATATGGCTGGGGTTGCGCCAGTGGGAAAATGGACTTTTTTTGCACTTGACCTGGATGGATGAAATTTTGTGGACATATTTCTGAGGTCCTAATCAAGAAAAAAATCAAAAAAAATTTTCGAAAAATTAAGGGTATAGGGGTCGAAAAATCGATTTTTTCATTTTTGCAAAATTAAGCCTGAGAAAACCTAGACTATCATTTTAAAGGCTCAAAAAAGTCGAAAAAGTCGATGCGAGATAAACAATCCGCAAATAGAGAAATTAAAATTTTAAAACATTTAAATAAAAACCATAATAAAAAGAAAAACTTGAATAATTTGTATTTCCACCTCGAATGGAAGTGGGTTGGGTTGGGGACATAACTGAGATTGATCACCTCAGAGTCCAACGCCGATCTCAAGCCCCTTAAATTTAAAAATCAAGGAACGGGGCTGAGACGGCCCCTTCTATGACGTGCTTTTTTAAGGTTGTGCAATTTATTTCACCTACTTCCTCATGTTAAGACCCAGAACACCATACATATTTGGGATCAGTGAAAAAATCTAGAAACTTGACCGTTTTAGTTTTCGAAATTCACTTCCGGTTACGATTCTAGAGCCGGAAGTTCACGAAATTTATAAGAAAAACGTGCATATTACCTATCAAATTGAAGCTAACAATGAATCAAGTCATTCTTTATCGGAAAAGAGTCCAACCGCAGTCAAAAACCGCCGGTAAACGACCGGTAAAAATTGAAAAATTCTCATTAAATCATGCTTTTTCATAATTTTACCGGTCAGTTTAACCGCGTTTGAGACTGTTTCTTCAAATAAATCGATGATGAGATGACTGAGAATCTTCTGCGCATCAATTTGATAGGTCACACTTTACCATGACTCCAAAATTTCGCCTACTTCCGGCTCTAGAATCGTAACCGGAAGTGAATTTCGAAAAACTAAAACGGTCAAGTTTCTAGATCTTTTTCACTGATACAAAATATGTACGGTGTTCTGGGTCTTAAAATGAGGAAGTAGGTGAAATAAATTGCACAACCTTAAAAAAGCACGTCTATACATTTTTGAGCATTATTTATTATATTTTTCCAAAGAAAGGTGATTTTCGGCCAAAACGGAAATTTTCAAATCGGCCGCATTTTCGTTACCGGGCGTTACCGGACGAGATTAGAATGGATCTATAGAGAGCATCGTCTGAGCTTTCTTGTGGTGGTCTCGGTTTGGTTGTGGGTCGTTGTGGTTTCGAGTTATTCGACGAAATGTCCGAAATTCGTGATATTTTTCCGAAAAAATCGCGATTTTACCACCAAAAATCAAAAATTATTAATTTTAACTATTTTTTATGAAATCTCCGCCAATTTTTACACATGGTCTCTTGGTTTCAGAATTTTTTGAAAACAAACCATTTTTGGCCAAAATCCCACCAGCGCAACCCCATATATGGCACATCATCTTTTCCGTCGTCCTAGGCCCCATATAATGGCCGAACCCGAACCTTAACCAAGATCCGAATTCAAACCAGAACCCGAGCTCAAAAATGAACCCAAACCCAAGCCCAGACTATTGCCCGAAAATGAGTAAAAATGGAAGAGCACGAAATGATGACGGAGAGAAAAATGGGTGTTGGAAAGCCCTTGTGCCATATATTGCACATTTGGCGGCGTAGGGTTAACCCTCAACCTAACCCAGGGGGCTAACCTAACCCTAACCCCCATCAAAGGCATAAACCAGAAGGCTCTGCCCTCGGACGCCCCCGCGTTCAAAGTTCCAAGTCCCTAACCCTAACCACCAGCCCAGATTCTAGAGAAATTGGATGGCTCGAATCATAGGCTCGAATGATAACCCCTTTCTTTATCGCGGCGCGGGTAAGGTGAAAGAAGAGGTTCTTACCGAAAACTTGTCTTTTATCGCTTGACAATGCGATCCCAATTCCGAGGTGACTCGTATTCTTCCTCACAACTTGGACAAACGAGTCGACAGGTTCTCCATTGGGATCTTTTTGCTTATGCGTCTGGAAATTGTAGTTGTTAATCTGGCTATACCATTTTCTGACAGCATCTCTGCCAATCTCTTCGTAAACTTCTTTTGTTATTTCTTTGTTTTGGTTGTTTCCGCTTAGATTAGCCCTGTAGATGTTTTGTCCAGTTCGGTATCTACGAATGATATTAATAAAAAGAAAAAGAAAATTTCTCAAACTGATTTGGTTCGATTTCAAATGAAGCACCAGATGCAAGGTGTTCGGCCCAGCTTTGTGCTTTTGGATCGGGCTTATACGGCCTCCACTAAAGAAGGAAAAAATAAATTAAAAATGAATATCGCTTTTAAATCTACCAAGTTGTTAGTAAACATGTACGAGTGTCGTTTTCGATACTCATTATGCTGTACTAGACAGGCTTAACCCGGGCTCCGCAACCTCTGTAGAAAACCTGAGCCAGGGTCTAAAGGATTCTCAATAAAAAGCCGTGGCTTTTCGGGTAGGCTTCATTTCCGCAAGGGCTTCATTTCCCCAGCCTTGGATAATGGAGGTCTTGGGGAAATGAAACCTACCAAAAAGCCGTGGCTTTAGGCTCTCACTCAGCTTTTTTACACAGCTTGTCGAGCCCGGTCCTTTTCGTCCCGCTTCTATAGCTTCTTCTCGCAAACGAAGTGTTTTTATCACGTCTTCGGCACTCAATGCAGTATACGCGTTTGTTTCCTGCTTATCAGGAACACTTGGATTAAAGTATCTTCCTCTTTAAAACGTTTTATTTTTTGAACAAAGTATTTGAAAAATTACTTCTGATAAGATTGATTGAGCTCCAATCCCAAATCACCTATCAATTTAATAGCTTCTTTTTCAGGATCTGGGACCAACATTTCCCCGAATGACTCGTTAAAAAGAGATAGGCACCAAGAATAGGGTTTCAAGATCGTAAGAAACGAGCTGTTTACATAGAAAATTTAAACAGACCTTGGCCGAGTTTATTCGCATTATTTGGCCCAAATTTGGGGTTTGTTTTTGGGTCCTGGGTCCGGGTTCGGATTAAGGTTCGAACTTGGGTTCGGGTTAGGAATCGGATTTAGATTTCGGTTTCAGCATGGCTCTACCTGAAATAGCCGAAAGGTGGCCTTAGGGTAGCTCATCGATATTTAGCCCAACAGTTTCTTTCCTTTTTCAAATTAAAAATCACCTTACCGGAAGAGTAGATTCTTTGACCGGTTATCCACAGATGGTGAAAGCTGGCCGGCTAAGGATAACTTGCCTAGTCAAGCGATTATTAATTTTGTATGCCTAGCCAAGCTTCGCCCAGCAGTTTTTGTGTATTATTAAGAGCCCAAGCGCCGCACAGGAGCGGAAGTAGATCAAATTTTCACCAGTCTCTCTCGCGCGGGCCGCCTTAAAGCATTTACATGGCTTGGTATCTTGCATTTAGCATACTCTGACCCAGTAAAGTTAACGCTTGAACGCACGTTTGAAAAGTTTCGCTGAACGCATATTGCGCAGATTTCTGCGCAGTGCCTTTGAAGGGTTCTAGCGTCGACTTATTAAAAGATTTTAGAATATTGAAGATACCTGATTAAAGCTGAGACGCTTGGCGACAAGAAAAATATAGTTATGAGTCCTAACCCTAACCTTAACCTAGCTAGAACAGGTGATTTCGAGTACCCAAAAATATGCCATTTTCTCAAGTTTAATCGAATCAAATGCAAAAGAAGTTATTATTTTAAGAATAAGTCGTCATTTTGATTCTTCAAAGAAGTTAGTTTTTACTAAAATTTAAATAGACCATGAAAAAACAACTGATTTCGCCAAAAAGAGTCAGTTTACTTGTAAAATTTTGAGGATTTGAAATCCACGGAAATTTTCGGTCTGAAGCCAAAATTTTTACCTGAGGTAGAAAAATTTTTTGATGTCAGATTCAGATTCCTCGTCGAAAAAGAGTCTGAAAAGTGGGGGTTCATTTTAAATTTTGATCAAGTAAAGTTTGAGTTATCGAGCTTCGAAGGTGCTCTGCGCAGAAATCTGCGCAATATGCGTTCAAGCGTTAAGGACCCCCCCGTCCCCCGTCAATAATTTTCGAAAAATCTATTTTCGGAATTTCAAAATTTTGACCCCGGAAATTGATTCTACGGGTCAGAAAACGATTTCGACCCCTACTTTCTGGGGGTCTATCTCGGCTCTAACACCCTCAAAATCGCGTTTGGAAATTGGACTTTTTGACAAAAAATGACAAAAGATCACAATTTTGCCTTAAATTTAGATTTTTATTGGTCAAAAAGTGCTCCTTACAAGTTTCTATGATAAATTTGATTTCCACACTCAGAAGCCAAAATATGGCTGTTTTGAAATTTTTGATTTTTTGAGGAAAATTGTTGACGGGGAGGGTCCTTAAGGGATTCTCCCCGGGATACAAAATGTTTGAGCCTGCTTTGCTGAGTATCTGCTCACGTGGTAGTTTTTCGGTCTTCAAAAGTAAATATTAGTGCCTATCTCTTTAAAACGACGTCAATATGCCTAATCGATTTTTAAGCGAATTTTCAATATAACCGCAGCATAATATAGCATCAAACCGGAAGTGACCCAGATGGAAATGTTTTTATTGAAAATAGACGGTGCGAATAGCTTTAGGTTTTTTTTTTGCGGTGGACCGGAAGAAGAATCCTCCAAATACTCAGCTTATGTATCATTTTATTGCTCGATCAAGGAGATTTTTATACCAGTTAAATCAGCTGAAAAATCTGTTATCGGATTGTTTTATGAAAATTTAAGGACCCCCGTCAGCTGTTTTCGAAAAATCATATTTCGGAATTTTAAAATTTTGACCCTGGAAATGGATTCTACGGGTCAAAAATGATGATGAGGCTGCATTTTTGGGGGTCTATCTCGACTCCTTCACCCCCAAAATTGCATTAAAAATTGGACTTTTCGCTGAAAATTGACAGATTTGCCCTAATTTTTGCAAAAATATTGACTTTTCTTGGTCGAGAATCTCTCTTATCAAGTTTTTGAAGCAAGTTTAACCAGAAGACGTATATAGAACCAAAAAATGATGTTTTTAAAAATTTCTATTTTTCGGAGGAAAAAGCTGACGGGGGTCCTAAGTACCGTGAAAATCCCAGGTTAAAAATAAAAACGATGGCTTCTTTTCTTCTGTGAAGCCACAATAAATTAAATTATCTTCGGCTTTTCGACGATACTTGGAACCAATAATTTGAATAATTTATTGAGTGACAAGAGTCGACAAAGGATTCCAGTGCTTTTTGAAGGTTCATCGAATTAACAAACGTTTTCATAAAACACTTGACATGTCCCTTGAACAGGGAAACGACAAGCGCAGGTGTTTTTTTAATAAACAATTGTTCAAAACGAAACGTCTAAGAAAGAAAAAAGGTTCCTCTTCATGTTTTTCATAACACAGGTGCTTATATTCTGCGCCAGTATATAATCAACGGGTTTCGTCTTTAATTTCATTCATTTATTAATCCGCTCTATTAGAAATTATTTTTCTATAAAATAGGGAATAATGAAGCTCTCGCTGTTTTTTCTCGCCAGCAACGTCGCCGCCAACTACGAAAAGAGATTTCAGAATTTCGTGTGGCAAGTTCAAGCGCAGCGGGCCCAACTTTGCGCGGACAAGTTAGAAGAGACCAGAGACCAGGGAGAGTTAAAACTTATTTCGAAAAATTTTGAATGTTGGAAAATTCAATAACTCTGAAGAAAGCTACCAATCGAAAATGGATATTGGAACTGTCCCGATCTCGACGAGATCAAATCGAATAAGCAATGCTTTCCACGATGCAACGATGGATTTAAGAAAACTTGGCAAACTAAACCAAGAAAAATTCAGCCAACGATTCTTGCTACATGCTACAAGTCGCCGAAAATCGATAAAAAGTATGAAAAAATATAATAAAGCCTTGCCATCCTAACTTTCTTTCAGAAATCTCCCAGAAGAAACATCGCTTTCTTGTGCTCTCGACGTAAAGCCGCCTCATCCGTGTCAAGAAAAAGCTGCAACAATCGAGATTTTCAACGGAACCCTCGTTTTGACCGACACAATCAGCCCGAAGAGGGCGACATTCAACATTGTCTGCGATGATGGAACAGTGAAAGACGAAATCACTTGTGCAAAGCAAAAGAAAGGTGTGTTTTTCAAAAAGCCGAGCTGGAGCGATCAGATCACCTACTGGCAAGACTCGTGGAGAGATGTTTGCATGGAGTTCGCGCCCTTGACCAACTCGACGACTACCGATCTTCAAACTTGCTCTGAGTCTGACAACTTCCCCCAACTTGCAGGAACTACGGACAAAATCATCGGCGGAGTGCAAGTCGAGGAGAACGAGTGGCCTTGGATCGCCCATTTGACATTTGACTTGAACGATGGCGAGGAGCGACTTTGCGGAGGAAGCGTCATCGCCAATAGATGGGTCATCAGCGCCGCCCACTGTTGCCTGGACGTGCTCAACATCGTCGGGCGCTTTGGAGATCTGAACGCGACGGAATTTGATAGCAACGAGTATGAGCTCGAAGCCAGCGCCTGGTTCAACCATCCCGAGTACGACCGCCATGCTGATGACAAAAACAACGATGTCTGCCTCATCAAATTCAACGGAGACATCATTGCCAGTGACCCAGACAGCAAAGTTCAGCCTGTTTGTCTTCCAAAAGAAGTTCATCAACACGGCGCCGCTTGCTGGGTCGCTGGGTGGGGATCCTTTGAATTTATGGGTGGTCCCCAAAACCCGGATCTGCACTCAGTCGGAGTGAATGTCTTTAGCGCAGAATATTGCCTTGCGAATTCCCTTATTTCCCTCGCGGCTGACGACATCTGCGCCTACAAACCAGATCTCAACGGTGACGGACTCGTCGATGCTGGCGCTTCCTTTTGCGATGGGGATTCAGGCGGACCTCTCATCTGCCCAACCGATGGAAAAGCAACTCTCGTCGGGGTCGTTTCTAGAGGAACCGGATGTACCTTTGACGGATATCCTAATAAGTACACTTCGACCTTCGCTACTTCCAATTGGATCCACGAGACTGTCGCTGCCGAGGGACTTTAACTTCTGTTCCTTTGAAACTTATTAAATATCTTCATTAAATTTGTCTCAGTTATATTCTTCCGAGCGTAAAACCTGCCAAAGCAAGTTCAACTTATTTAAGCGAATTCTGTCTTGCGGTTAATTTTAGACCAAAATAACTCTCACTGCTTCTCTTTGTTATGAATACATGAAAAGATCCATCAGAGCTTCTGCTTCAAAAGTCTTGTTTATCGCACGCATGCTGCTATCTCGATTTAACGAATGCAAATAATTGAAAGCTCGTCAAAAATTGATTTCTCTTTTCGATCTTCTAGTGAATTCAACACAAACATCAGCCATTATCAAATCTGATAATCAAAGAATCAAGAACAAAAACAAACGTATTGAAAGTATCATTTTGTACCTCTGGAATTTACTGAAATCACTTCTTCTTCCTTGTCTTGATTTTTGATAACACAACGAGTCTACCGAAGGGTCGGCGATCCAACAAAAAATCCGAAAAAACTGAAACTGCGAAAATCAGCCCGAAAATGGCGACATTCAACCTTGTCTGCGATGATGAAGGCGAAATTACATGTGCAAAGCAGGAGAAAGGTGTGTTTTTCAAAGCGTCGAGCTGGAGCGATCATTTTTCGCTCCATTGACCAACTCTATCACTGCTGATCTTCAAAAAGTATACAATAGGCCCTGGGCTCAGAGCCGGGATTCGTCTCAAGAGAAACCGCCGGGTCTCAGACCTGGGATACCCCCTAAGAAGTGACGTCCGGATCCACTACCCAGGATTCCTCAAAAGAAGACCGAACCTTCAACCTAACCCTTACTTTGTTGATTGATTCTTTAAAAATGCCCTCAAATCTTAGTAAACCTCCCTAGCCTATCCCTCTCGGGTGATTTTTTCTGAGACGGGAGCTTTTCCAGCCATTAGCTTTTCCAGCCGTTAGCTTTTCCAGCAAATTAGAATTTCCAGCAAGGCTGGAAAAGCTAACGGCTGGAAAAGCTAATGGCTGGAAAACTTCTTTCTGATTGATATTTTTCTAATGAAAATATAGTTTGATAAATAAGTACTATTTTTATTAAAATGTATTTACTTTGTGAAATATCATAAATTATGATTCATAATTAATTAATAATCGTCGATTAATATAAGAATTATCAAGAGATCGTTTTCAAAGGAGGTCAGGATTCTTGGTACTCCTTTTCCAAGTTTGATACTGGAGTAATGCTACCCTTTTTGCCACTGATCCCTTTGAAGGGATTAGCGCCCGACGCCGGAGCCACTTTCCGCCCAGAGCGAGAGTTCGAAAAGTCCGAAAGTCGAAAGTGACAAAAAGGTTGAACATTACTCGCAGTACAAAAATCGGAACAAGGAGTACCAAAATCCCGACCTCCTTTAACCCTACCCGGCCAAAAATGATTTTTCTCGGGTACCGGTCAAGATACCCCATATTTGGCGCCGGAGATTTACCCGCAAATAAGACTATACAAATGATAAAGGTCAAATTATATGTCTTTGAGGATGCAATAGAAAAACCGCTCTAGAATGAGTTTCTTAGAAATTATACGTTAAATATTGTGAGGTACTTGGAAATGAGTAAAAACCTGCTCCATATTTGGAGTACCTTGACCGGCTAGGGTTAAAAACGATCTTTCGATAAATTTCATATTAATCGACGATTATTAATTAATAATGAATCATTCTTAATGATATTTCACTAAGTAAATACACTTTTTAATAAAAAGTACTTATTTTATCAGTTTATATTTTCATTAGAAAAATATCAATCTGAAAGAAGCTTTTCCAGTATATTAGCTTTTCCAGCAAATTAGAATTTCCAGCAAGGCTGGAAAAGCTAATGGCTGGAAAAGCTCCCGTCTCATTTTTTCTGTCATTTTGCCCAGTGCCCCTAGCCCTTACCTCAAAAATAGATAGTATTTTCAGCTAGAACTAATTCTCATCAGCAAAAGTCTTTTCGCCATTAGATAGAGGCTGTTCACTGATTTTCGACAACTTCCCTCAACCTGCAGAAACTTGAAGGATTAGTTGTTTTCAACTACAAGTACTTTATCAATTGAGAGCCGCACTTTGCGGGTGCATCTGTCTGCCTAATAGCGGTTCTAGTTCGGCGTCTTATTTATATCAAACCACAGGCAACTGCTATAAAATCCGCGGTTGTTCATCCACAAGATCACTTTCATCCGCTCAGAAAGAAATTGACTTTCAATTTTGAGTTGAAATAGAGATGAAATTTTCCAATATTATTCTCGCCACTAATGTTGCCGCAATATACACGGATAAGTTTCAAAATTTAGCAGCCCCAGTTCAAGCGCAACGAGCAGCAACCTGTTCGGATAAGCTAAAAGAGGCGAGAGACAAGACAGAGTTTTAATTTCTTTAATTCAATTGATCTGAACCAGGATCAAAAAGGTTTTAACAAATTATAACTCTGATTCAAGCTTACCATTGAGGATGGACATTGGGAATGTCCTAATATCGATGAAGTAAAACATCATCTCCGGTGCTTCCCAAAATGCGACAGTGGGTTTGAACCAACATGGTCCGTCAAGCCTGGTAGAAAACAACCAAAGCTCAACGCAAAGTGCTTTCAGTTCCCGAAAATCATCAAAAAGTAAGATTCAGCGACCATTTGAACAGCGTTTATCTTTTTTAAGAAATATTGAAAAGGGAACTTCCCTCTCCTGCGTTCCACGAACACCTCATCCGTGTGAAGACAAAGCTGGCTTCATGGAGATTCTGGATGGGTCTCTCGTTTTGACGGAAAAAATCAACTCAAAGAGAGCGAAATTCAACCTTGTCTGCGATGATGGAACAGTGCAAGGCGAAGTCGTCTGTGTCAACAGAAAAGAGCAGGTCTATTTCCAGGAACCGGAATGGAGCAATCAGATCACGTGGCAAGACTCGTGGAGAGATATTTGCAGAGAGTTCGCGCCTCTGACCAACTCGACCACTACTGATCTGGAAACTTGCTCTGAAGCCGACAACTTCCCAGAACTTGCATCAGTTGAAGGAAGAATCATCGGTGGAGTGCCAGTCGAGGAGAACGAGTGGCCTTGGATCACCCATTTGACATTTGACTTGAACGATGGCGGGGAGAAACTTTGCGGAGGGAGCGTCATTGCCAATAGATGGGTCATCAGCGCCGCTCATTGTTGCCTTGACGTGCAGAAGATCGTCGGTCGCTTCGGAGATCTGAACGCGACGGAATTTGACAGCAACGAGTATGAGCTCGAAGCCAGCGCCTGGTTCAACCATCCCGAGTACGACCGCCATGCTGATGACAAAAACAACGATGTCTGCCTCATCAAATTCAACGAAGACATCATTGCCAGTGACCCAGAGAGCAAAGTCCAACCCGCTTGTCTTCCAAAAGAAGTTCACCAACACGGCGCCGCTTGCTGGGTCGCTGGGTGGGGATCTTTTAAATATTTTGGTGGTCCCCAAAACCCGGATCTGCACTCAGTCGGAGTCAATGTCTTTAGTGCAGAATATTGCCTTGCGAATTCCTATATTTCTCTCGAGGCTGACGACATCTGCGCCTACAAACCAGATCTCAACGGAGACGGACTGGTAGATGCTGGCACTTCCTTTTGCGACGGAGATTCAGGCGGACCTCTCATCTGCCCAACCGATGGAAAAGCAACTCTCGTCGGCGTAGTTTCCAGAGGAATCGGATGTACCTTTGACGGATATCCTAATAAGTACACTTCGACCTTCGTCACTTCTAATTGGATCCAAGAGACTGTAGCTGTCGAGGGACTCTAACATCTGGTGCAATGAAACTCGTTATATCTGCATCAAATAATTATAACTGCTTCTCTCTACTATGAATAAATAAATAGATCCATCAGAGCTTGATGATTTGTTACCTTCACAAAGAAACAGTCATTTGAATTAATCGCGTAGTCTTAAAAGAAAAAACAAATAAGAATTTTTTTGAGTGAAAATTCAATTTAAATAAAATCCGCTTTCAATGCTATCAGGAAAGTTGAACTCGGCTTCAATGACATTCAGGAATGAACTTGAACTGCGCAGAACCTGCTTACTTGGGAGCGTCAACATGTCAGAGTGAAAACGGCGGGTTCTAGGTTTGTTCCGCTACGAACTCATAAAAGCGCTCTCTTCTTTCGACATTCGTTATTGAAGTAGAAAACGCGATGATAGAAAAATCAATTTTGAAAACCAGAGTCAGGGTAGAGCCAGCTTCAATCTTTGTTTGAAATCTTACTTTTTTAAAGTGTTTCGACTGCGACTGCATCGGTGTCTTGAGAAAAAAAGGGAAAAAGGTTTATTTATTCAGCGACGAAATTTTAGCAACTCGCAGTATTCATACTCAAGAAGCCGATTTGAAAAAGGAAAAATCATGGAAGAAGAAGATGACCGATCAACTGAGCTTTGCAAAGCACGGAAACTCAACGATGCGCCAAAAGATTGCTTATCTTGGAAGTGGCTCTCTTTTCTGGATATCGATCATGCTCCTCGGTAATTTTTCCTTTGATTTTTTGAAAAAAAAAATTTTTTTTTTCAGCAAATTTTATTTCATTAGAGAATTCTCGAGGCGTTTTAACTTATTCGACTTCGACTTGTCATCGAAGCTACAAGAGCTGCGTCAAAACCGAATCAATGGATTTATGCGGACATCTGATGAAGAAGTGCTATGAAACGAAAATATTCCTCCAGCCCCCGAAAATTGTCAAAATCAAAGCCAAAGAACACAAAGTCCCTGAGTTCACCAAAGAAGACAACGAAGTCAATCTGCTCCGCTGCCAGAAGAAACAGTTTTACGACCAAAAAATCTGCCGACATCTCTGTTCTCAAACGCTTGTTTTGGAGTCGAAAAGGAACGGCCCGATTTCGCCCTGTGAGTCGATTTGCTTCGGATTGACAAGATCGTCGGATGCCGCTGGAGAAGTTTGCCCAACGCAAAAATACTGCTCCCGAGGCTGTCCATGTCCCTTTTACGAATGCGAAAAATTGGAGTCTCGTCAGAAATTGATTCCTCTTTTCGATGTCCAAAATTCAACACAAACATCAACCATTTACAAATCTGACCGAGAAATAACGAATGGCGATGTTGAATCAATCACTGGCCGATGAGTGGTCGCCTCTCGCCCAGATCGCCTCTTGCCCAGATCGCCTCTCGCCCAAGATCGCCTCCCGCCCAAGTTGGGCAAAAGGCGACCTGGGCGAGAGGCGATCTTGGGCGAGAGGCGATATGAGATTATTTTAAATGTAAAATATCAATGACTTGGGCGAGAGGCGATCTTCGGAAGGAGACGACCACTTCGAAATGACCCGATTTAGAATTCCCTGTCATGATATTTACCCGCTCAGCAGGTACCTTTAGCCGCTATAATGTTAGGCAGTCTATCTTTGGCAAGCTTGAAATGTTCATAGGGTGAGCTTGAACTGTGGAGAAAAGTTCGAACTTATGACATCACAGCACGCTACTGAAGTTCCATAAGTACCAAACTTTGGACACTGCGCGTCGGTTAAAGTAGCAGGGGATGCGATACATGAAAATATTTCTTTCAAATGAGTTTATTTAAGGATGGTTTAGGCTTAACGACGATAGGTACTTGCTGAGCGGGTGCAAGTCATGATAGGGAAGTCTAAATGGAGTTATTTAAGAGTGTTCCAAGCCTTCTTCCTTAGATCGCCTCTCGCCCAACTTGAATTAGTCCTTCTTAGTTTACATTGAAAATAATCTCATATCGCCTCTCGCCCAAGATCGCCTCCCGCCCAAGTTGGGCAAGAGGCGATCTGGGCAGGAGGCGACTTGGGCGAGAGGCGATCTGGGCGAGAAGCGACCACTCCTGGCCGATGGGAGAAAAGAAAGACGAAAAACCAAAAGTTTCCAATAATTCTGTCTGATTTTAGTGGTCTTGGCGATCTAGTGATAACAAATGCTTCATCATTTTTATTTTCTTACGAACGGTTTTCTTAAGATACAGTAATTAACAGTTAGTACTTACACTTTTTATGGAATTTTTGGACATTTTTGAGCAAATCATGGGACAAAAAATGTCCAAAAATTCCATAATTAATTGTAAATAACATACCCTGATCGAAAATTAACAAACCTGGAAAGTCGACGGGTTCCACTTTTCTCAACGGCGAGCATTACCTTGTCGATGCGATTGGAAACATGATGAGAATGCCCGAAGATGGTGATGCCCCGGTTTTTGTATCGAATCGAATCAATAGTAGAGGAATGTAAGTTGCTGTCTTCGAGTCAGATTCTTCCTTTCCTCCTTTAAGGGGTTTCTTTGTTTTCCACTTTTGCTCTTCAATAGGAACTCATCAAATTGAAATCCGCCGCAAAGAGAAAGGCACGAAGATATTTTCTGTGGTTGTTATCTGGCAAAGGTCAAGAAAATTCTAGTTTATTTTTTTTCGAATAAGTTCTTGAGCCCTAAAACCTCACCGACACAAAGGGATGAGAAGTGCTACTACTACGCGCCAGAATACAACTTGAATCGCTTCGAGGAGGCCCAAGGCGTCATTGCCAGTAAGCACTTCAACGCGAAAGTCTCGTCAGTAAGCTTCAAAGGGGTCTTCCCTCTGATGAGCGCTCTGTTGATTGCGAACACGTTCTAAGGAAAAACTCGTTTGTAAGCGTGAGCTGGAATTTGAAGTCTAATTGACAAGAAAGACTGATAGTCTTGGGAGTCGAGGAATTTAATATTTGATAAAGAGAGTTAGACGTAGCAGAAATCGTTGGAGCAGAATTCAGAGCATTGATCTGGATCGGATTCGAAAGTTATTGGCCGGATGCAGAAAGATTCGTGCGAGAAAAGGGTTTGAGATGAGGTCACGTGAGTGCCATTCCATTCAGCGCGCTCAACTTGATTGTCATTACTGAATTTTATAAGAAGGAATTCTTTTATCATGTTGATATACCTGTCACCATCAAAAGCAATAAAATAATCATTGAACATCATCATCGATCCTTTGTAGAAATTCTAAAAATACGCAACTCGGAAATTTGTGAAACTTACGTTTTTCAGTTCGCCAACAGATGTCCATTTTCCATTCTTGAATAAATAAACTGTCTTCGTATAGCTGTAATTATAGCCGCCAATAGTAAGAACTCCACCATCGATTGAAGCGCAAGAAAGTCCAAAAAGTCTTCCTTCTGGATGCTCCGCTTCTGATTGCCAGCCGCTTAAAATATTGTTATTTGTTAGTTTTTCTTATCGATCTTACCTGACGCTGAGAACTTCCACTCCATTTGTGTAACCAGCAATAATGATGGCCTTGAAATTGTAAAGCGCCATACAGCTAGATTGATGCATTTCTTTCATCTCGCTGATGGCCAGGGAAGTCGTTCCGTCGAAGCTTTCGCAGGACTTTGCACTAAATCCGTCGCACAAAATCGTTTCCTCGTGGACCTCGGGAACCGTTACAAGAGCACCATCGTTAGAATAGAAGTCGTTGATCAGTCGTTTCCCAGTGTCGCGCAGATTGCAGCCGTCGACTCGCCCGATCTTAATTTCGTTTATTTCAATGAAAAAAAGCCATAAACATACCTTTTTCAAGTCTTGATTTCCGCCATAAATCATCATCTGGCCATTAAGAAGAGCATGACCAGCGTTTTGAAGAAACGGAGTGCTTCCTTATCAAGCTTACTCAAAATAAATCAGAAAATATTTACAGTGGTTTTCCAAAATAAGAGGACCCGAAATAAGAGGACTTTTGCAAAAATTTGGCTTATTTTGTCATCTGAAAAAAATCCAAAATAAGAGGACTTTTTCACTATTATTACTCTAAACAAGGAATAATTCAGACTCACAGCGAACCAATTACTTAAATGTTTGTGATCTTTGAATTCGCGTGTTTATAGACGGGTTTTCGGGGACTCAAAGTCGATTGCTTTTTAGAGTTGGCTATACTTCTTTTCCTTAACCCCTTTTCTTCATCCAAAAAGTCCTCTTATTTCGAAAAACCACTGTATCATAAAGAAGGTCAAAAGTAAAAGCCATGCCTTGAGGACTGTTGTAGAATCGATTTTCCTTGTAATGCCCATCAGCAGAGATAACATATCCAAAGTGTTTCAGATTGTACGAGGTCCTGTACTGGCAAATAAGAGTGATAAACGGCTGGCATTTGTATCCATCATCACATGGGCAGCCGAGCTCGCACTTCGCATTACAGGGGCATTTCTCGCTGCTTTCCGCAAAGGTCGCGTAGCAACCATCGTAGCATGTTTGACTTGCGGTGCAGCTCTTCACGCATCCGGTGAACTCCGTCGTGACCTCATCAATGCACTGTTTGTACAGGCTGTTATTCTCCTGGGGCGAAACGCAAGTACAGATGGAGTTCGCGCAGTCAACACAACCAAGTGGACAATCGGAGAAACACGGGCACGCATGAAAGCACCCTATGAACTCATTAGATCATAAATAGATGACTTTTTCGTACGAGTATAAGTTGATGAACATTCTCTCTCGCATCCGCTAGATTCGCAAGAATCCTTGCAAGTGACGTAGTCTTTATAACAATAAGTTTCACATTTGAGCGCCAATTCCTCATCCCTTATTTTAATTTAATTTAGGATTCTTAAAAAATTAATGATTCGATTAAACGAAGCCTTTTTCAATAAAATCTGATACCGTCGTTTTCCATCTTAAGAGCGTTTTTCAGATGACAAGGGTAGACCAAAACGCTCTTAAGTTGGAAAATTTACGATCAAACTAGGATGACAGTGGGAAAAAATGATGAATGAAAATGCATAATATGAATTTTTTCCAAAACTCTAAAAATGCATCTGAGGTCATTTTTACCTATTTATGATAAAAAAATTACGATCTTTGAATCAGAGGCTATGATTTCACCTGAAACAAGCGTAGAAAACAATTTTTTCAATGATTTTTCAGGTTGAAATAAACGTTATTCTAATTATTAATTAAAAATTCCAAAAAGCGCTCTAAAATTGGGATTTTTTCAGATAACAAAATTTGGAAAATATTGGCAAAAACGCTCTTAAGTTGGGCGCTCTTAAGATGGAAAACCACGGTATAAAATGTTGCTTACGGGCAATTAGCGCGGGGTGTGGGTCGCAAAGCTTCAAGAGCAGGAATGAGCAAAATCCATACGAAATACATCTCTAACGATCTGTGAGAATACCGCACTTGTCGGCTTATTTAAGTCGCGATATTTGCTTTCGGTTAATTTTATTGAATGAAAACACTTCTTTTTCCTCCGTGAAAACGCTTACATTAGATCAAGAAATACAAGGTCAGAAAGGAATTTTTTATTACTGTATCAAAGACAGGCAAGTGTTTTTATTGAATAGCCATTGGGTTGACCATTGGGGTTTGTCTTCGATTCGGCCTCCGTGGATGGTGATGTCCCGTCATGCAGGGAAGAGCATGCGATGCACATTTCGATGGGCCACTGGAGTCGACCTGCTGTTCCGGAAATGATGAACCATGCTCATCACAAAATGGAAGAAGACGAGAGTGATCATGATGAGATGCATAGAGGAAATCATGAATCTATAGGCCATGAAGATCATCTCAGAATGATGCATGAAATGAATGATCATTCTTGACATTATTAGACATGTTAAATTATTTAATTTCTAATACTGTATCTTAATTTTAGCGGAATCAAAGACATTTAAAAAGGGTCACCGAAAAACCTTCGATGAAAATGTTCCTTCTCTTTAATTTTTTGATTTTCTTCGCATTTGCAGGCGATCCAAACAAGCAGCTAGCATTTTCATATCTGAAATATTTGAACGATAGTTTTGAGAGTCCACTTTGCGCCATTCTACCGGGTAAGACATTTTAGTTTCCGATGAAAATTGAGCTTAGAAGAATGGAAAAACTCCTCGACAAATTGTAAGAACATCGAAAAACGCGCAATTGGGCAAAAACAAAACTCCATTGACCAACTCTATCACTGCTAGTCTTTAAAAGTATACAATAAGCCCTGGTCTCAGACCAGGAATTCGTCTCAAAAGTGACGCCCGGGCCAAATACCAAGTATTCCTCAAAAAACGACCGAACCCTCAACCTAACCCTAACTTTGTTGATTCAAATCTAAGTTAACCTCACTAGCCTATCCCTCTAGGCTGAGTTTGTTTTCTCATTTTGCCCAGTGCCCCTAACTTTTACCTCAAAATAGGAAGTACTTTCAGCTAGAATCAATTCTCATCAGCAAAAGTCCTTTTGCCAGCAGATAGAGGCTGCTTCTTGATTTTCGGAGCCTGGCGTCACTTTTGGAAGACCCGGGCTAATTCCATCCGGTCACCAAATTTCCTCTGAGTCCGACAACTTCCTTTAACCTGCAGAAACTTGAAGGATTACTTGTTTTCAACTGCAAGTACTTTATTAATTGAGAGCCGCACTTTGCGGATGCATCTGTCCGCCTAATAGCACATCTAGTTCGGCGTCCTGTTTATATCAAACCACAGGCAACTGCTATAAAATCCGCGGTTGTTCATCCACAAGATCACTTTCATCCGCTCAAAAGAAATTGACTTTCAATTTTGAGTTGAAATAGAAATGAAGTTTTCCAATTTTATTCTCGCCACCAATGTTGCCGCCAAGTACGGGGAGAAGTTTCAAAATTTAGCAGCGCCAGTTCAAGCGCAGCGGGCAGCAACCTGTTCGGATAAGCTAAAAGAGGCGAGAGACAAGAAAGAGTTTCAATTTTATTTATTTTCAATTGATCTGAACGAGGATCAAAAAGGCTGGATCAAACAAATTATAATTCTGATTCAAGCTTACCATTGAGAATGGAAATTGGGAATGTCCTAACATCGATGAAGTAAAACATCATCTCCGGTGCTTCCCTAAATGCGACAGTGGGTTTGAACCAACATGGTCTGTCAAGCCTGGTAGAAAACAACCAAAGCTCAACGCAAAGTGCTTCAAGTTCCCAAAAATCATCAAAAAGTAAGATTCAGCGACCATTTGAACAGCGTTTATCTTTTTTAAGAAATATTGAAAAGGGAACGTCCCTCTCCTGCGTTCCTAGAACACCTCATCCGTGTGAAGACAAAGCTGGCTTCATGGAGATTCTGGATGGGTCTCTCGTTTTGACGGAAAAAATCAACTCAAAGAGAGCGAAATTCAACCTTGTCTGCGATGATGGAACAGTGCAAGGTGAAGTCGTCTGTGTCAACAGGAAGAACCAGGTCTATTTCCAAAAGCCGCAATGGAGCAATCAGATCACTTGGCAAGACTCCTGGAAAGATATTTGCAGAGAGTTCGCTCCATTGACCAACTCGACGACTGCTGATCTTCAAACTTGCTCTGAAGCCGACAACTTCCCAGAACTTGCATCTGTTGAAGAAAGAATCATCGGTGGAGTGCCAGTCGAGGAGAACGAGTGGCCTTGGATCACCCATTTGACATTTGACTTGAACGATGGCGGGGAGAAACTTTGCGGAGGAAGCGTCATTGCCAATAGATGGGTCATCAGCGCCGCTCATTGTTGCCTTGACGTGCAGAAGATCGTCGGGCGCTTCGGAGATCTGAATGCGACGGAATTTGACAGCAACGAATATGAGCTCGAAGCCAGCGCCTGGTTCAATGATCCCGAGTACGACCGCCATGCTGATGACAAAAACAACGATCTCTGCCTCATCAAATTCAACGAAGACATCATTGCCAGTGACCCAGAGAGCAAAGTTCAGCCCGTTTGTCTTCCAAAAGAAGTTCATGAACACGGCGCCGCTTGCTGGGTCGCTGGGTGGGGATCGTTTGAATATATGGGCGGTCCCCAAAACCCGGATCTGCACTCAGTCGGTGTGAATGTCTTTAGTGCAGAATATTGCCTTGCGAATTCCCTGATTTCCCTCGCGGCTGACGACATCTGCGCCTACAAACCAGATCTAAACGGAGACGGACTGCTTGATAGTGGCGCTTCCTTTTGCGACGGGGATTCAGGCGGGCCTCTCATCTGCCCGACCGATGGAAAAGCAACTCTCGTCGGGGTTGTTTCTACAGGAATCGAATGCACCTGGGAAGGATATCCTAATAAGTACACTTCGACTTTCGTCACTTCTAATTGGATCCAAGAGACTGTAGCTGCCGAGGGACTCTAACTTCTGCGCTAATGAAGATTCGTTATATCTGCATCAAATAATTATAACTGCTTCCCTCTGCTATGAATAAATAAAAAGATCCATCAGAGCTTGATGATTTGTAACATACACAAAGCAACAGTCATTTGAATTAATCGCGTAGTCTCAAAAGCAAAAAAAAATTTAAAATTTTTTTGAGTGAAAATTCAATTTTAATAAAATTCGCTTTCATTGCTATCAGGAAAGTTGAACTCGGCTGAAATAACATTTAGGAATGAGCTTGAACCGCGAAGAACCTGCTTACTTGGGAGTGTCAACATGTCAGAGCGAGAACGGCGGCTTCAAGGTTTTGTTCCGTTTCGAACTCATAAACGCGCTCTCTTCTTTCGGCATTCGTTATTGAAGTTGAAAACGCGATGATCGAAAAGTCGATTTTGAAAACCAGAGTCAGGGTAGAGCTAGCTTCAATCTTTCTTTGAAATCTTACTTTTTTAAAGTGTCTCGACTGCGACTGCATCGGCGTCTTGAGACAAAAAGGGAAAAAGGTTTATTTATTCAGCGACGAGATTTTAGCAACGAGAAGCATTCATACTCAAGAAGCCGATTTGAAAAAGGAAAAATCATGGAAAAAGAAGATGACCGATCAATTGAGCTTTGCAAAGCACGGAAACTCAACGATGCGCCAAAAGATTGCTTATCTTGGAAGTGGCTCCCTTTTTTGGATATCGATCATGCTTCTCGGTAATTTTTTTTGATTTTTTTTGAAAAAAAAAATAATTTTTCAGCAAATTTCATTTCATTGGAAAATTCTCGAGGCGTGACGACCTACTTGACTTCGACTTGTCATCGAAGCTACAAGAACTGCGTAAAAACCGAAGCGATGGATTTATGCGGACATTTGATGAAGAAATGCTATGAAACGAAAATATTCTTCCAGCCCCAGAAAATTGTCAAAATCAACGCCAAAGAACACAAAGTCGCTGAGTTCAGCAAAGAAGACAACGAAGTCAATCTCCTCCGCTGCCAGAAGAAACAGTTTTACGATCAAAAAATCTGCCGACATCTCTGTTCTCAGACGCTTGTTTTGCAATCGAAAAGGAACAGCCCGATTTCGCCCTGTCAGTCGATTTGCTTCGAATTGACTAGATCGTCGGATGCCGCTGGTGAAGTCTGCCCGACGCAAAAATACTGCTCTAGGGGCTGTCCCTGTCCTTTTTACGAATGTGAAAAGTTGGAGTCTCGTCAGAAATTGATTCCTCTTTTCGATATCCAGAATTCAACACAAACATCAACCATTACCAAAATTGCTCAAGAAATAACAAATGGCGATGTAGAATCAATAACTGGCAGATGGCGCAATAGAAAGATGGAAAACCAAAAATTCCCGATAGTTCTTTCTGATTTTAGTGGACTTGGCGATCAACAAATAACAAATGCTTCATCATATTTGTTTTCTTACGAACGGTTTTCTTGAAATAATTAATTAACATAACCTGATCGAAAATTCATAAACCTGTGAAAGTCGACGGGTTCGACTTTTCTCAACGGCGAGCATTACCTCGTCGATGCGATTGGAAACATGATGAAAATGACCGAAGATGGTGATGCTCCGGTTTTTGTTCCGAATCAAATCAACAGTAGAGGAATGTAAGTTGTTGTTCTTGAGTCAGATTCTACCTTTCCCCCTTTTAGAGGTTTCTTTGTCTTCCACTTTGGCTCTTCAATAGGAACCCATCAAATTGAAATCCGCCGCAAAGAGAAAGGCACGAAGATATTTCCTGTGGTGGTTATCTGGAAGAGGTCAAGAACATTCTAATTAATCTCTTTTTGGAGGACTTCTTGACCCCTAAAAGCTCGCCGACACAAAGGGATGAGAAGTGCTACTACTACGCGCCAGAATACAACTTGAATCGCTTCGAGGAGGCCCAAGGCTTCATTGCCAGCAAGCACTTCAACGCGAAAGTTTCTTCCATTAGCTTCAAAGGGGTCTACTCTCTGATGAGCGCCCAGATGAGTCAAAATTGGGTGAAGCTCTCCACTACTATCGCTTTACACAAGATCAGAAAAAGCGAAGAAGCAGAAAAAGGCTGGAAAAAAGACGAGATCGCTCTTCCAGCTCAATTCAGAGATTTGAATCCGGTGCATGTGATTCCATTGATCGATGTTGGCAGACTGATGCTGGTCCTTGTGACCAGGAGCATCGAGCTCTCCAACACCCTCTATTCTCTTCTGCTTGAAGCGGAAGGAAAGTATCTTACTCTAGGCAGCGAGTGGATTGGTTCTCTTGTCAAATACGAAGAGAGATCAATCTGCTTTTCGAAGATATTTTCTCAATACGACCCTTACTACACCGATCACAGTGGAATCAACAACGATGAATGCGAGTACTTTGGCAATGGAATCGCCAACAACGAAAAGATTTTTATCCAAAATACCGTTTTTGATACTGTTTTCGAAATCGGCTTTGATTTCGCGAAAATTGATCTTCAATTCATCCAACTCAAAACTAGAAACAAAATGCACGTGACGAGCAACCCCAATTTCGCCTTCCATGACGACGTTTTCCCTGCTTTTGCCAAAAATGCAGCCTCTCAACGACAATTTCCTCGTCCAAGTTTTTACTACAAAACTATCATTCCGGATAGTAACTTTTCTTCCTTTGAAGAAATCAAGCATATTTCAACGATTGAGATGGAACTCAATGGAACAGAAAAATTCGAATTTGAAATCAATCTTCCCTCGAAATCACGCGTTTTTGACGAGAAAATTCTCGAATCTCAGTTTTTTGATGGAACCTCGCTTTTCAGCTTTGGAGTTTTTCGAAATAGCTCGATTTGGATCGATTCTAGTTATTTTGATGAACGTATAATTTTCCAAACAAAATTGGAAAAGGTTACAAAATTCGCGCTATATTTTCATTCAAATCACTCATCGGAATCGGCTTATTTTGAAGTTTTCCAGGAAACGTTTTTAAATAAAAAAAAATTAAAATTATCATTGCTTAAATTTTAATACGCGCAAAGAATGACACAGAATTATCAACAAATCAAACGAAAATTGAATTGTTCGCATTTCAAAGTTTAGGGAGCAAAAAATTGTCCATTTTTAAATACGACCGCGGTACAAAAATCTCGAACTTTATTTATTCGCCGGACAAATCGACAAAGATCAACGCAATCTTACCGGCAAAAAAAGCGGGTCAAGAAAAACATTCATCGGCTTACGCTCTCCTCGCTGGTGGAAAAATATATAAAAACGTCTTTTTCGAAGCTCCGAGTGAATTTTCTAGCCTTGGAAAATCTCTGTCTCAGTATCTTCGGGGGTCTAAGCAAGCGCTCGTCAATGGACAGCTCCATGTCTTTGGCGGAGAAAATAACGAAAGAGATAGCTTCAGAGTAATTTTTACTTTTAAAATCTTAATTAATACTTTCTGATAGATTGCGCGGCTAGACGGTTGTCAGTTTAACCAGTTATCTTTGTCGCTTTCTTCAAGATTTTTTCTTGGCCATTCGGCGACTTCATTTAACGACGGTAGACAAGGTAACTAGACTCCTGAGTTAGGTTTAGGGATAGCTGACCGTTAGGGGCAGCTCGAATTTTTGCCCCTACTAACTATTCAGACTTCAAAAAAAAAATAATAGCCATTTAGCAATTGTTTGCTTTGACCCAAGAAGCGAGAAAAACTGCGAAATATTCGATGGATTTTCAGTCACTGCAGCCCCGCCGACGAAAGGAAGACACTGGTTTGGAGGAATGAGCATTTACAACGGTCGGCCAACTGCAATCGGAGGGGACTTCGCAAAAGGACAGGTTGAAACTTTTACTGGTGGAGCTTGGGTTAAACTGACAAGACATCCGAGGTACGGGAATGGATGCAAAACTCGGGATGGACATGTTTTAGACCGATCACCGATTTTTGTGCGATCGGACTGCCTTCAGGAAGTCTTCTGACGATTGGAGGAAGAATGGAAACAGACTCGATTTGGGACCCTTTCGGCTATCAAGTGGCTGAAATTTGGATATTGAAGAACAACGAGTGGTCAGAACTCGGCTCCCTTACGACTGTAAGCGTGAATTCACCTCTGTGTCGTTAAAATATTTCAGCCCTCTTCTGCTTCTTCAGCGATTCTTTTCGACAACTCAATTTTTCATTTTCCAGGCTCTTCGGATGAAGGCAAACTTCCAATTCACAAGATCACCCTGGACCCAGAAGAAAGTTTGCTCTCGGTAAAAAAGATTGCAGAGCAAGAAAAGGAAACTTTCAATCCGATTGTTTTCGTGTCTCCCGTTGATTACTGTACTAAGTTGAAATAAAAGACGAAACGGAAAAAAAACCTTGAACCCGTCGTTTTCGCTCTGTCATGTTGACGCTCCTAAGTAAGCAGGTTCAACGCCGTTCAAGCTCATTCTTAAATGTCATTGCAACTTTGATTTTTTACGAATATGTTTGGTTGCCATACAAAAATCTATATTCTCTTTATTTCCTTGAGATAAGAAAGTCTATTTTTTTCTTGAGATTGACCCACCATAATCAACGAAAAAGACCCAATGTATCGAAAACTCTTCAAAATTATCACTGGCAATAATCAATATTAAATCCCAAAACTCAAATTACGGTCCGTTTATATTTTTCAATTATTGAATCATATTTATGCTGCAAATGTTATGTTAAGATAATGCATCAGCTTAACCGTAACACAGAGCATTTTTCTGAATGATGATTTATTCGAAGAAATAATTCTCAGACAATCAAAGAAAAAACCAGAAATTGTTTTCAAATGGCTGACATGTTAGTTGCCACATTTCATCTGCTTCAGTTTCCTGTTAACAAGCGCCTTTCTTTGGCGATGAATTGGGCTCAGAACCTTCGAAGGTTTTGCTTTTCTATCGGCCAAGCAGACGAAAGAGTCGGTGAAGGAGACGAGAGAGGCGAAAAGTCCTTGCAATTCTTCGCAAGCATTGTCGGAATCGACCGGTTTCACGAAAGTAGTGTGATCGTTTGAGCCAGCGGGGAAGGCGCACGCTTCATCGGAAGATAAGTCCTGAGAAAAAGGGTTGATATGTTATCGATTTCGATTTCGCGACTATTCTTTTAAATTTGACCAAGATATTTCGCAAAATTATCGCAATATTTGTCCATTTTTGCCATCTAAAATAAACAATTTTCAAGAGAATACTTAGTTTTTAATTTATCTGACCCTTTCCTTAAGCCTTTTCATCGTATTCATGAAGAAATTGAATGAGTTGACCTTTCTTGTTCCGATTTTAGAGCCGATGCTGCCGTAGAAGTCGGAGATCTGGGTGGAAACTTCTGCGGCTTTCATTTCAATCTGGCGCCAAGCCAGGTCGTTTGGCAAATCGTTGATCTTGACTTCGGCTTCGTAGCCTCTCTTGGTAACCTTGTCGTCGGTGATGAAGCTTACTTGCGCAGTGTTTCCGGAGATGGTGTAGGTTGTCAGTGGATTTCCAGCGTAGGGCGGGTTTTCTTCGTTGGCATCGCCGCAGAAGTTCACTACGACGCCGTCGCCGTCGATGATTTGGAGCCTGTCGCAGCTGCAACCGGTGCAAAGGTAGGGATCAGTCTCATGATCTGGGGCTCGATAGCTCCAGCTCTCGACGTTGAACGAATGGGCGATGATGCTGAAAGAGGTGACGGCGGGGTCAAGTTCGATCTCGTAGTGGCAGTTCAGGTTGTTGAGGTAGAGGGAACCCATTGCAGGGTTGCCGCTCATGGCGGGCGAAGCGAATCTTCGCTCATTTTCAATTCGATAGACTCCAGTGCAGACATCCGAGCCGTCCCAATATGGGCCATCAGAATCGGAGCTGGAGCTGGAACTGGAACTGGAGTAGGCACTGGCAGCAGCAATTATATTTGCCAAAAGCTGAATAAAACAATTTTATCAAACTGCTTGAAATTAAGGAATCATCTTATAATAGAACCGCAAGAATCATTTTATTTTATGTTCATTCTCTATTTTTTACCTTCATTCTGAATCTCTCTTAAATCCTATGAGTTTTTCCTTTGAAAAGTCTTTCTTTTTATTTCGGTTTTACTTCGGCGCCACCACTTGCGAAAGTACGGTGGCGCTACAGCCAGCAGAACGGAGTTTTCTTGAGTCCAGTGAGAGCAAGTGACTCTTGAAATTCATCCGCAATTGACTTGAATTACAGTAGACCTAGTAATTCCTCAACCCTCTTTTTGACGCGAAAGAAGCTAGCTCACCTGAACTCAGCTTATAAAGGTGGCAGGCTGCTCATGTTTCATGATAAATTGTCGTTATTCCCGTAAGCCAGATATCCCCGTTTTTCATCGTTAGGTTAGGCTTTTACAATTGGCATCCGAGTAAGGGGGTCAGCTTCAGAAAGACCTAACTTAGAGATACGATTGGGAAGATACGACTTAGAGATTTGCGAAGGGACAGCGGATATAGCAAGCCAATCTCTTGAGAAGTGCGGTGCGGACCGAATCCTCGATTGGGAAGCGGCGAGTCAAAGTGACCTTCCCAATCGAGGATTCACCACTGTACTGTAAATGAACAAGCGCTAGTCGCGGAATATAATAGAGCTTTTTAACATTTATACAAGTTGTAATGTTTCTTATTGGAGAGGCAAAGTCTTACTACAACAGATCATTCTAATCTGCATTTGTAAATGACAATTTTAGAATTCCACCGACAATAAAAAATAACAAGCATTTGAACTATGTCTTGTGCATTTTCGCGTTTCTGTTTGGCGTTTAAACACAGACTGCGAGGAGACAAGATTGCAGTTAAGTTTTAAAGTTTGTGGCGAATACAAACTCCAAGAGTCTGACGATTCGTAAGCCGAAACCGTTATGTTGAAACATGCTTACCCAACAGAAAGCGCAATTACAGCAATACCGAAAAACCCCGTTTTAAAAACAGTCAAATAATGCTTTTTCTTCTTCGAATTCATCGAATTCAACTTGTTTAATCTAATTGCTTCGCAGTATTTTCCTTGAAGGAAATGCCGAAAGACTTCTTTTAGTTTTGAACTTGATCGTACCAGTACTTCTTCGTAGCTGGTACAGACAAAACGGACAATTCCGGAACGGGCAATTCCGTAGATTTGAGGGAAATTGGAAAAATTTTGCAAGCGCACAATTCCGGATAGTTAAGACAAAAAATTCAACTTAGAGGCCTATTCTCTATATAGGGCCACCTTTTTCAAATAAAAAGGAAAAAAGAAATCAGAGAAGGGTCAAAAAAGCCTTGTGCAGCACTAAAAAAGCCCATTTTCTGGTTGACACCCTTAAAAAGGCACTTCTGACGCAAAAAAAATTTCAAGTCGAGTTCGGACAATTCCGGAGATTTGGCGCTTTTTCCCGAAAAAAAAACTTCCGGAATTGTCCGTTTTGTCTGTAAATAGAACGGTGTTTAACAAGATAACACTGGTTAGTTTTAAACATTCATTATCGCATCTTAGTATAAATGCAGGAACGAGAGGTTCTTTGCAATTAAAAATGTCGAATAGAAGCAAAATTTACTTTTTCTTTTTTCTTTTTGCAGTTGTTTCGGCAGGGCCTTGGTCGAAAATGCTCGATTTTATTAACGAAGAGATCCATGATTGTTTTGATGGGTAAGCAACGGATTTTGGGAGCAAGAGAAGGATGCAAAGGAGATCATCTTCTTTTGCCTAGGGCTTAATTTGTATTTCAGTTGGACGATACTGTCGAGAGGGGATTTGAGGCAACTCTGGTCCGCGTATGAAATTCTCCACGGAAAGAATTAATGGTCGAAATGGTTCAAAATCGGGTCAGCTTTTGCATTTTCTGTACTTTTCTTTGTTGATTCGTAAAAATAAACCTCCTAAAACGTGAGAAACTGTATCGAACTTTGAGAATGTGTGTGTGCCTCAGGCAAGTGTCAAAAGTGTCATCTTCATCCTCGCCTGTTGCGAAGATCAGGTGATCTGATCCCAGTTCATTTCAATAACTTCAATACACTTTTCACTGGTTTATTCTGTGCGAAAATCTTCTCGGATAGGATCTTCATTTATCTAAGCAGCTTTTGTGGCGCACTTTTAACCTGCTTTTCTTTTTCTCGTTGTCTGGGATTCGCAAGATCCGTTTTTAGCGAGAAATAATATTGAGAAAAAAGTTGAAATCAAGGAAGAAAACTGACTGTTGTCTATTAATGATGTTGATTGTTTTCAAAGTTTTTGTGCTCTTTATTGGCTCTTGCTCTGGATTTACTGTTGGCTTACAGTAAGTAGAGCTAAAACTTCGGTTTAAAAGTTTTCAAAGTCGTTTGACCCCGAAATAGGGGGTTGGGGGTTTGGGTAACATCTCAGCCTATCAGAAGTCAGTATTTTCTGCGTCAGCCAATCACACACGAAGAACCTCTCCCCCCTTTCAGGACCCAACTCCCCCCCCCTTCTCCAGCTTTTGCCCACCCTAGCTCCTAAAATGATCGCTTCTCAGCCAACTTTTCAGCCAACTGATGTCCGGGGATCAGAACGCTGTCCAAACCGCTTGGAATTCCAGAGAAAAGCCCACATATTATGGAGGAGCCTACTGGCCGTACAGTAACGATTCACCAGCTCTCCCCGAGAAAATAGAACGGCGAACATTTGCTTACAGCTCTCAACCATACATTTTTATTCCAACATTATTCTAAATTTGCAGAGAGGAGAAAAATAACGAATGAACTTATTCGAAAAAAATACAGGTGTTTTTTTAACTTGATGAACTGATAAAATGATAAATAAAGAACGCAATTTGTTCACTAGTATTTACAAGTTTTCTTTATAAAAGATAAGCGTTGCTATCGGATGTCATCTTGAGCTGAGCATGTGGCGCAGCATTTGGTTCGGAAGAAACTTTTTACGCAAAAGTCGAATCGCAGGACCATCGCACAGTAGGTTGTCTGAATAAGTGTATCTTCTTGAAAAAAATTAAAAAAAATTGTGCTAGCCCGAAAATCCATACACCTAGATTCTAGACGATTTTTAAAAATTAGGAACCATAATAAGGGACTCTCAAAAATAAGTTTAATCTTTAGACAACTATATTCTATGATGTCTATTCAACAGAACAGTTAATCCACGACTGGTTTCGCATGGAAAATGTGCCTATGTAACAGGCTATGTTACACCCCCTGATCTCAAGTTTGGACGGTCAGAAAATGCCTTTATTTTTCTCTAGATGGAGTAGAAAACAATAGAAAGCTATCCAGATTTGGGATCAGAGGGTGTATAATAATTTATTAATAATAAATATTTAAATTATACAGTTTTACTATTCAATAGTGCCTAAACTTACCTCAGGAGTATCAACACATGCATCATCAGGATTTGCGCCTTCAATCACCACCGGGTGGAGACATTTTCCCTTGCAAGTTTCCGAGCTGACAGGTTTCGTACTCATGTTGCATCGATAATTCGGCAAAATGCGATCTTGAGAAGATTAAGCGCCTTTTTGCCCGATTTATTACCTCGAATATCGACACATTCGACATTTCTATGTCTCGATCCTGTTCCGCATTCTGAGTCGCACTTGAAAATTTGATGAGAGACAACAGTTCTAAAAACGCCCACCTCATTCCACTTTGACGTCCTCCATTGCGGGGCAGGGCAAGGTCGATGACAGCGCTTTCGTTTTGACGGCCTCAGAGCTTGATTGCACGAGCTCAGGTCCAAGTGCACCGTCGGGTCTGTCATGGAATTCAATTTGAAGGGGTGAAAGACCGTAAAAGAATGGTTCCATTCCTAAGCTATCAACGCAATTGACGTTTCGTGTTGTCCAGCCGGGTCTACCGCACGTCGGATTGCACTTATTTTCAAAGTTAATTTTTTAAGAAATCAAAAGGCACTTACTTCTCCCCATTTGCTTACTGTCCAGATCGGTGGACAACGCTGAGTATTACAACTTTGGAAGTACTCTGGCTTGTCTGATTCACAATCCGTGTCAGCAACGAGCTCCTCTTCGTACTTATCCAGTCGTCGTTTGCAAACCACGGTTCTTAGTAGTATTATCAAATTAATATCAAGCCCTCTGAACTTGATTTACCGATGCTGAAATCCACCTCCGCAAGTTTGCGAACAAGGGAGCCACTTTGACATGTGCCAAACTGGAGCGCAGGGTTGATTGTTGCACGATTCGAGGAGAATATCCGGCTGGGTAGCACTTGGGCACATTTCTTGATCAACGATGTTTTCTGGCTCGGAAGGGGACGATTGAAAGTGACACAGGGGAATCTTTTCGCGATAGCCGCCACCACATTCTGACGAGCATTCCGTCCAGTTTCCGAATTTCCAACTGAAAAATCATTAGAGATTAAAGAATCCAGAACCATAAGTGGATACTTTTAAAGAGGACTCAGTTTTTTCATACAACTTAAAAATTGATATTAAGTTCAAAGAGTGCCTCTTGAAGTGATTATCCAGACTACCAAATCTTACCTCAGTGATCCGGCTGTTTTCTCCCTCTTAACTGGAACATAATAAGATACAGTTAGGTTTAACGAATACTGTCTCGGAACAACCCGAATCCGCAGTGGTGCTTGCAGCGGACCGAAGCTGCTAACATCCCATGCTCTTGTCGCATCTTCATTCAAAAGAACTCTGAAATAAGAAGACGACACCGAGTCGTATTTGATCATCTTGTTCTCGCATGATTCGCATTTTTGAAAGTATTCTTTGCCAATGACTCGGTTTCCCATTCCGGTGTCGATCAAAATCAAATTCTTGTCTCCCTCTTTTTGGGCAATCTTTATGCTTGTCGCGTGGACAGGAATCGAGAAGTTGTCGATATCTTCGAAGGAAATCGGGAATTCGCTGTTGCAAGAATCAAGGTTTTCGTCTTCGTCGCATATTTCCGTCGTGTTTGGATAAACTTTGGCGAATTTCTTGGTGACGAGTTTGCAGGCTCGATTGTCGCCATTACAGACTCTTACAGAAGCTACAATTATGAAACCACAGATCACAATCTTGTTGGGTGTAGCGGAGTTAGGGTTAGGGTTAGGGCATTTAGGGGGACCGGGGCGAGGCACCCTGGGTTAGACTAAGGGTTAAGGGCTGCCCGACTTATGAGTCATAAGTTATGACACCCTACTCCTCTTGTGTGTTTGAAGCTTTTCCTGCAATTATCAAACTTCTTATTTCCATTGAGTGATCTATCGCAGCCAATTTCTTCGCAACCGCCTCTTATGCATAAATTAAACTGCTCCGGGTCATTTGTACAGCGAGTTCCATCCACTACCTGCGGCGACAGTTCAAGAAAGAACCACGACTCGTCCTTTGAAATATTGATTTCTCGATTTCCAGAAACAAGTGTACCTTTGGTTTACAAGTGAGCGAACATGAAGGGCCATTGGAGGAAATGTGCGGGACCCAGTCGTAGAACTTCCCGGAGAATCTTTTGCTATCGTATCTTGAGCACTGTTTCGCGCGAAATGATGGCTCTTCTGGATCGCAATTCTGAGTGTTGCAGGTTCTACGATTCTCGATTTCTAGCTGTAATTCAAGATCTCTACCTGTAACGACGCCGCTCTCCTAGGCAGTATTTCCCTCCATACGCCGGCCGTGGTTTATCACAGCTTCTCATTTGGTAGCTCACTCCCACTCCACAGCTTCTAGTGCAATGAGACCAGCTACTCCAAGTATTCCAGCGACCATCAACAGGAATAGGCTGAAATCCATCAGGAACACATTCGCCTTTGTAGCACCATCCAGTTGCACCTTTGCTGACCTGGGGGTCGAGATATGATGGGTTGAGAATTCGACATGTTGTTCCCTGCGCTGCTGGAATGCCGTTTGTGATGCATTTCATGTTGGAATGATAGCAGTACAGCTGCATGCAGATATTTCCATGCATACAGTGTCGGCTGGATGGACCGTAGATGAAGCGGCACTAAAAAATTATGGGTTAAGGATAAATTAAAATCGAGCATCTTGCAGCCAATCATAACCAAGTATGGTCAGGCTAAGCCAATCATAGACGAGCTACGCCCTTTCCTCCCACCCCATCTATTCCCTATTGTAAGAGCTACCTGAGCATCAGCATCGAAATTCCGTCCAACAAGGCCCGACCTCCCATCATTGGTATACGCAAGTCCATTCATATTAATCGGGTTATTGAGAAGACAGTGTCCAGCACCCGAATCAAGAAAATTATTAATCGAGTATCGAGAGCACCTTGACCAGGAAAAAGGATACGCGCCGGAATTAATCTGCGGCGCCATGATTTGCTTGTCCACGTCTTTCGAGCAACTCTTCGAGCTGCCATCTTCGTAGCCGTCGTGGTGCATTCCGAAGTTGTGGCCCATTTCGTGGGCGATGATGAATGCACTTCCAAGGCCGACGTCCTGGTTGATGTTGCAGCTTTTCAACGGATTGCACATTCCGTTTCTATGGGCAATTCCAAGAGTGCCACAAGGAATGTTGTGCTGCGAGCAAATGTTGTACCCAGTCAGCAGGATCGCATTGTCATGATGGAGGATTCCAGAGTCATCAGCGACAACAGAATCGACGTTTTTCAAGTTTTGAAAGTTGCAAAATCCATGCAGCGAGTTTTCAGCGTGGTGGACTAGTTCGAGGGCTGGATTGTCTTCGACGAGGACGATGATTCGAACGAGAACGACCTTCACGCGGTTGCCCAGCGTCGGATCGGCGTACAATTCGGAGACAATGTGCATGATCGTTTGTGTGTACAAGTCCACGTACTCGCGCCCGTGGGTCATGACGACTCGTTTGTCTAGAGTGACCATTGCTTCGACGATGTTTTCATGCGACTCGATAAGGCCATATCGCCTCTGGCTGTTCAAAGATCTTCGTTTTCTTCTTCTTCTTGGAGGAGGTTCCTCTTCTTCGTCGACTACGCTACAGCTTTCGACGGCGCTTTCAAAGCCCTCAAGCTGCATAAAACTAGATTCCTTTTCGATCATCACGTGGGGATGCTCCTCATGGTCTTCCATCGTCACATTCCAGAGCGGCTCGAGAAAGTAATCTTTTTCTCTCAGCCTCATAAAACCCTGGAGGCCGTTGCAATTGCTTATCGCGATTTTTGAATCTTGATGCTCTTCATTTGAAAATCGACCGGAAAAGTGGCAGTGTTGGTGGCGATTTCCAAAAAAGCGCTCAGTAGAATTTGAACTTTCGAACTCTATCGTGAAATTGGGGTGGATGAAATCGTCTCGCCGGGAGAGCTCCATCCGATGCTCAAGTCCATCGATTTCGACTTGGTAATAAATATTTTTTGGGCTTTCTTCACTCTCTGAACTCGAATCTCTTTTTCTCCGACTTCTTCCGCTTCTGAGGACATTTTTTCTGACAACTTCGCCAAGCTCGTCGATTTGGACCGGATGAATGATGTGAAACGAATCTGATCGCTTCAGCAAATCATCTAAAAAAGAAGGATCATTCTGCGAGACAGAATAAGAGAGCGAAGCTACGGCTTTCCATTACACAAACACTCGAACTTTTCAACATCAATCTTCTCTGCCGATCTTTCCGGCGCGTCTAACTAAGATGAATCTATAATTAGAAGCCAAGGTTGCCAGTCAAGTTTTTTTTTTCAAGTCAATTCTATCATGAACTAAGCAGATGATTGTTAATTAAATCAGTAGTCTATTAGACAAGAAAATTTTTACCTTGCCGTTTTCGAATTTCATCGGAGTACGCGTCAATTACCAGAGCTAAGTTTGACCAAAGTTTTATTGCTGAAAATTTGGTCAAAAAACAAAATATAATTTAAAAAATTTGACCTCTTGAAAGGACCATTTCGACGGATTTCGACGCAATTTCTTTACAGAATTTTCATTTTCAAAAATAATTTCTTCTTTTTTCTGTATGTTTTTTCGTTTCTCGTTTGGTTCTTCTTTTTGAAGAGGTGATGTTCTCAATAATTAGATTTTTTTTTCAATTGTTGGGAAGGCTGAATGGGAAGATGTTTATCCTCTTCGGCGGCTGCCCTCCCGCGTCGATCACGGCCGCCCTTGTTTAGAGCGCTCGTCGGAATAAAGCTTTATGTATTTGAGAGTTCAATGTCTTGGCGAAACGACGATGAGGGCGAAGTAAGGCAAAAGTTTTGAATAAATGAGGAGAATTGAGGAATTTTGTTTTTGGGAGAATTTTCAGAGAAAAAAAAAAATATTTTTTTTACGAATAAAAAAAATTCTTGGTTTGAAAGCAACAAGGAATAAGCCTTGATCAAATTTAAACATCCCCTCGTCGAGCATTCCTGGCACACAATCAGTTAAAAATCAAAATCACAAAAGATTTTTATTAGAGACAAATGCTTCCTGGAAAACGTAAAACAGAATCAAAGTGATAACCGCTTCATTGTAACCATATTTTCATAAGAAAAATCATCAGCTGTCGTTTTTTTTTCTTTTTGACTTTTCAGTGATTGAACTTTCGCACTTGTCAAATCGTAAATCAACACTCATAAGGACACATGTTTTTTTTTTAATTAATTTGAGTTCGAAAATTTATTGCTTTTGAATAATTTATTCGGTTGAAATCACGAATGTCAGGGTTAAGCAGTCAGAACCACAGTGAAAATTTTGATCGATGATTTAAATTGGGATTTCTTCGAAGGTTTGATAGTAGAAGTTTCGGACGAGCATGCCGGTAGCGGAAGCCATGAAGTTGTTCGAAACGAAAACTTGGAGATCGTAGCTCTTCAATTCCTCCGTCGCAGCGTAGGTGCCGGTGTGAAGTTGGGTCTCCCCATCTTCGTGGTGAATCGAATCGTTGATGGATCTGCTTTTTCTTGGCGGACTTCTACAGAGAAGGTAGCCCATTCGCCAGGAGCGCACTCGTAATCGCCCGAGTACTGAAACTGCGAGAGGTCGGCAGGGTCAGTTACGGTCAAATGAAGTTTGGTGTCTTGGCCGGATCGCTTCCAAAGACCAAAAGTTCGATCGCCGAGGTTTTTCGCATTGTTTCCTCTCGTCACCTGGAAAAGATTCTCCCAATTTCCGGTTCGGTACAGATCGCAAAGGACGTCAGCCGAGAATTTGTAGTTGAAAGCTCAGAATCAATTTCAATTAATATTTTTAAGATAAAAATTAACCCGATGAGTTTGATTATTATGAAATTGAAATCCCTTCCTGAGGAGACAGTTGCGAGCTGGTTATTTCTGATTGGCGCGATTTCGCAGCCATTAATGAAGGTTTGACAAGAGGCAAGCCCATCGCATGGGTCATTGTTTGCGCAGGGAGGAAGCGTAGTTGCTGCCTCAGTCGTTGGCTGGGTCGGCGGCTCAGTTGCTGGCGCAGTTGATGGTTCAGTCGGTGGCTCCGTTGGTGGCTCAGTGGATGGCGCGACGGTGGTTGTCTTTCCCACACAAGAGCTCTTCCAGGCGTCTCTGTTCCATTTGGGATTGTTGAAGACTCCTTGGAAGCAGTGAACTCGACCACTGACGCTTCCATCTTCGCAGACAACCTGGTAGCTCGCTCGTTTCTTGTTGATCTTGTTGGCAAGCTCGAGTCTGCCGTCCGGGATAGCAATCGTCTCAGCTTTGGCGAGGCATGGATGAGCAGGCTTGGCGGAACATTTCAGCTCCATTCCGACCGGAAGATTTCTGAATTAAAAATCAAAAAATGATTTTGAAATTCGAAAACTTACTTTCTGACGATCGTAGCTGGATCTCCGCATCGAGCCATAAATCGGGCGGCATCTTTTTTCGGCTTGGAAATCGACTTCTCTGTCCAGTCAGGAAGGTAGCCTTGGCCGCAAATTGGATGGCATCGGACCTTGGATCTGGTTTTTCCATAGCCTGGGCAAACCCACGATCCGTTCTCGACAGGAAAGGCAGCTCGAGTCTCGTCGACCTTGGAGTCGCAAAGGACTCGTCGACTCTCTCGTTCTTCGGCAGTCAACGAGGCGTACTGCTGGAAGTAGCCGGCGTTAGCGATTTGAGCCAAAAGACAATTCAGGAGCTTCATTTTCGAGATTTGCTTTTTGATGAATTTTCGTTTTTGACCGAGTTTTTAAAGGGAGCAAGCATGTTTTCACTGCAACTAGAACCGGCGGGGGCGACATAGCGCTCTTCCAGGGAAACACACATTTCGATAAGCTACAAGTGCTTCTCAAGAACAATTCCAAAATGATAGAAAATAGACATTTTTCGTAATATTTTTAAGCATAAACTTTATTTTTTATCTTTTGCTGACGGTAGTTTTACAATAATATGACTAGGGCCGACGCGCAAAAAATCAACCCCAAGAAAGCATCAACGTTGAGAGCTGAAACTTCGGGATATAATGTAGTTCGACCACGTGACCAGACCAAAAAATTTTCAATAACAATTTTTTAGTTGGGTCGAACTACATTATGTCCCGAAGTTTCAGCTCTCTACGTTGATGCTTTCTTGGGCTTGATTTTTTGCGCGTCGGCCCTAAATATGACCTGTTTAAATTTAAGTAAATTTTTGTTTTCTTAGAAATTCTTAAAAATCTTCAGAAAATTAAATTCACTTTTGATAGCATTTTTGGTTTGGCAAATTTTTCCGGGCTGACGCATAACTAGAAACTGCGCTCGCCAAAAACGTTATTAGTGAGTACAACACGTTTTTCCCAAATTTTGTTTCGCTAATTCAGTTTCTAGTAATACGGGGTCTCAATTTTTACGCGGAATTTTCGATATCTTGTTCAAAATTTGAGGAAGGTTATCCATATTGATTCTGCCGTTCATTCGAAATCTTCAGAAATTTTCAGAAAATTTTATTTTTTTCACCGGCGAGTCTTCTCAATCCTTATCTGCTCACTTTTTAGACATTTAATTTAGACACGATGTGACCTAGGTCTTCAAGCGAATATTGACTCGTAAAAGTAGACAAGCATCAATGTTTCTCTCTTTGTAGCAAAAACACGGCCGCTTGTTTAGCCATAATCTCTTTACGAAAAGCAAGGCAAAAAAGAATTCAAGCACTCAATTATCCTCTCAAACAAAGTGCAGTGGAAAATTAGCCATATTGTGACCCACGTCTCCGAAGCAATTAGAATTTGGGTCAGATGTTTGTATATGGGACACAAGGTGTCTAAAATCATTTTTTCTACTTATTTGAAGCAATGAAAATGTTGGTCATGCGTTTAAAAATGATCCGACAATACTTTTAAAGCATTTAAATTATTATCTAAATGCTCCCTTCCGGTCTGCGCGCAAAAACTAACAAACTCTACCATGAGTCGCTAAACTTATCGCTTCCGGTCTATTACTATATTATACTGCGACTCCAATTCAATTTCTAATTTCAAGAGTGAAGCAACAAAGAGGTAGGCATTGAGATGACGCTTTTTTGAGGGTTGGGGACTCGCAGTACCAAAGTTTTTTGGTACTGCCAGTACCAATTTTGGTTTTGGGAATACCAATTTCGGCTTTTTGAGTGATATTTTAACGTAATATTTCAGTCGGAACAATAGTAGCCGGGTAAAAAGATGTGTATCCTGTCTGAATTAGTTAGTTTGTTACCACAGAACCCGCGGACCGGGTGTTCCTGGCTGACTAAAATTTTGCCTTGCCAAAATTGGTACTGGGAGTATCAAATTGGTACTGGCAGTACCAATTGGTACTGGGAGTCCCCCCTTAGTCGGCTGTCTTCAACTTTCTTACTTCTGACTGCAGGATTCATAAGCCAGTTTTCCAATATTTAAAATTTTCTATTCTTTTGCGAGGTTCAGGATTCTGCACCAATTACTTCGGGGGTACTGAATGTGCCGCCCTGCGCCGTCCGGTCCTAAACCTACCCAAATATTTTCGGCTCCGGCGAGACCGGGTGACGCTGGGCGGCGAAGGGCGGCACAATTCAGTGTCTCCGATTTCTTCTCATGATTTCCAAGACGGAATCTACGAATCAGGAATTTTAAGAAGCGTAAAAACGATAAAAGCTTTGAACCCTTACCATAATGCCCACCCCTGTCCTGCGCGCAAAAGTAAACAAATTTCAAGACTCGCTTAGCGCACACCGTCGACTAAGCCGCTTCCGGTTTAGTACCTTTTTTATACTGCAGGGCTTATTTACTTTATAATTGCTAAGACTGAAGCAACATAGAACTTAGCAACGAAAATCGGCTTTTTGGGTCCTTTCTTCTACATAAGATGAATGACTGATTTTAGGAAAAATGGCCGATAATGAAATAAAAGACAATTTCTACGACGACCATGATGATCCGTATGACGGATATCCTGAGTCAGAATCTGACAATTATTCGGACTCGGTGGATGGCCACGATGATACTTCTGAAATCATCGATCTTTTAGGATTGCAACTTAATGAAAGCAATCAAAAGTAACATAGAAATTTTTAAGGATAAATTTTCATTAAAATTATAGCGCGGTATTCGGCGCGACCGTTGTTCCGGAGAAACAGGATGAAAATGAGGATACCGAGTTGGATGTCAATGCTGTAGTAGATCTTCTTAAGCTACGGGAAGAAGCTTTGGAAGCCGGGAGACAAGCCTGTTTAAAGGAGACCAATATGTATCGTTGGAGGCATAAGAGAACCGCTAGATTGGTAAGGAGAATATCAGAACAATAGCATTTTATTATATCCAAGAACATTATATCGTCAAGTTCAAATGAAATAGCGCAAGCATGGGCAGAAGAGCTTGCATCTGGGGCCGAGTTTCGCAAACAAATACACAAGTATGTGACTCTCTTTTTTACATTTAAGGCCCCCCCCCTTATTTTCAATTAATAAATTATCAATAGCGATTTTGAGGGTAAAGGAGTCGCCATAGACCCCCGAAAAATATATCCTAAAAATCCATTTTCGGAGTCAAGATTATGAAAAGCCGATTATCGATTTTTCGAAGAATGTTGACGGGAGGGGGGTTCCTTAACGCAGTTATTCGTAGGAGAAAATTTTATGATGACGGGCAAAATATCTACAGGGGCTCGATAGAGGGATCTGTATCCAACACAGGCTCAAAAGAACTTTACGAAAAAATTGCTAAAGAGGCCGTCAAAACATGGTATAGCCAAATCGATAACTACGATTTCGAGACGCAAGATAAAAAAGATCCCAATGGCGGAGAAGTCGACTCTTTCTGCCAAACAGTTTGGGGAGAGTGCCGCTTTTTCGGAGCGGGAATCGCGCTGTCCGACGACTTGAAAACTGCTTACGGTAAAAGTCGTTATTTCATCTTTTTGAACGATATAATTGAAGTTGTTTGTCGATACTTTCCGGGGAAACCAGTGCATACACCATACAATCGATACCGGAACGTTAACGTTTTAAAGTAAGGAGAAAATAGTTATAATGATTCAGTTATTTATGTCTATTTAGGGGGATGAAAGATCCTACCCCGGTTGCCAAACCAGTGGAGCCAGTAGTTCAAATGTAAGATTAAAGTAATTAAATATAATATTATAAGATTGTATTGATAAGAGACCCCTATAAAGAAGCTCAAACTGCTGCACGCGAAGAATGTTTAGCAGCGCACAATGAATATCGTGGAAAACACATTACCGTTGGTGGAAGCAACATGGTATGAGCGATTTCAATGATAAGCTTTATTTTTTTAATTTTCAAGTATTTGTTTGGCCCGCAAACCAACAAAGCACAAAAGGTGGCCGACAAACTTGCCTCTGGTCGTAGCTTATTGAAAAGGTGAGAAAGCATTTTTTGGGGGGTACTGAATAGCGCCGCCTTGCGCCGCCTTGCGCCGCCTAGCGCCGCCTTGCGCCGCCCTGCGCCGCCCGGTTCGGTACAAAGCGGGTCTCGTCTGACCAAATCCTGACCAAACTAAATGATCAGAACAAGAGCGAAAGTTGGGCCCCGCCAACCCGATGAGTTCTCTACCAGAAAATGCGCGCGTAAGGGCCTTTGGCCCGTCGCGTGCTTAATAAATTGATGATTTGATGCGAAAATCTGGAAATAATTTAGACTCTCAATAATTACACCCTAAATTATTAGTTTTCTTTTTTCTGGTGGTCAGATTATTCAAATATACGAGAATAAACGTTTTGATAAGAAAACAGAAAAAAATCATCATGGAAACGCCGAAAATCTTCGATAAGAAAAAATTTAAGCAGGACTGGGCGGCGCAAGGCGGCGCTATTAAGTGACTCCCCATTTTTTCGTTATCTAATAGGATTTTTAAGGGAGCGGACTGGACATAGCATTTACGAAGCTTCAGTAGATGGTTCCGAGTCGGTTTCGACCAAAGAAATTTTGCAAGAAATTGCGAAAAATGCCGTGACAGATTGGTATAGCCAGATCGACAACTACGATTTTGAGACGAATGGAAAGAAGGATGAAAATGGAGGAGAAGTTGACTATTTTACCAGACTTGTCTGGAAAAGCAACAAATGGATCGGCGTTGGGGTAGCGATGACGGAAGATCGAAAATCTGCATACAGTGAGTAATCGTTTTTTAAGCAATGTCGGGATTACGAATTGAATTTTTAATTGTATTTTAGTTGTTTGCAATTACCGGGCGCAGAAGGGCCTTCCAACAGAGGAGCATGAGAACGTTCTTCCCGTCCAATAAGAAAAAAGAAGAGACCTGACCAAACCGAGCAACAACTTTATTATCGGATACAGTCATTCTAACGCGAATAGAGCCGATATATTCAGATAAAAGTAAATGTTATAAATTCAATCAAAAATTCTGTTATATTTTCTTGTTTGTCTATATGTAACTGGCTTTTTCAGGACTTAATAATAAGTTATTATTAATAACATGGAAGTGCATTTTTAAATAACCAACAAGATTGCTGTATTAGGCCTACCGACCAATCAAAATCCTGATTTTTTTCATGCTTTGATTCAAATTTATTTTCAAAAACAAATGATTATTTCTGGATAACTGCGACAACGTCCGCGTAAACTAGAAAAAGATTTGCCACTAGTAGTGTTATTTCGAACTTACTTGGGGGAGGGTCGTTCTTGCCGACTTCGATGACGGTCAAATCGTCTATGATTGTATGCATCTTGTTGCCGGCTTCGATCCGGGCGAGTTCGCGCAAATGACCTCTTCGGTGTCGCTTTTGCCGGAAAATGCAGCGAACAATCGTCAGCAAGACCAAGATTGAGACCAAGACTGGGATGACGATCACCATTGTCCTCGCAAAGGCATTATTTTCTGAAAAAAGGCTTTTGTTAAAATGAAAGGAAGAAACGTCGCTTACGAACAACTCGTCGACATTTGGGAATAATCTCATGATCCGTGGGGACCTTTGGATCGGTCATGAGCTTCGAGCACATTTCTAGCGTCGGTCGCTTCCCAAGACAGGTCTGCACGAAAGTTGGCGGGGCTTCCGGTTTCGTGTGCATATCAAGTTTGCGCATCATCAACCAGTTTTCCCAAGTTGACAGTTCTCCGTTCTTTTGCGAGGTTCAAAAAATTTTGAAAAAAAAAATCTTGTCAAGAAAACCTAAAAAAAATGCACCAGAATTGTCAATATTCGGCGACAAGCAAAATCAAAAAATGAAAATCTGAACCGTTCCGGAAAATAATCAGCATTCGCAGTGCCCCAATAGTAATCGCTGAATTCGTCGGCGGAGCTGAAAAGCATTTTCGGATCACTATCTTCGCTCATGGTAATCTCGACTTCGAACGCTTTGTTGATCTCCGCTTTTGCAACATGGATTCGGTCGTCGTCATTCTTGTGGAAGACCCAATCTACGAATAAATAACTCAAGGAAAGGGGAAATAAACTAACATCGCTGTGGCACAGCTGGTGATGGAAGTCGAAAGTCGATTCCAACAGCTGGATCGACAGTCATCGTCACATACAACTCTTGAAACGCCTGTTCTTGCTCGTCAGTGAGCTCGAATCGATGCTTGAGAATCGTCATATCAAACGCAGTAAAAGACTCGATAAAGCTCTCTAAGACCTTATCTCCGATTGCCTTGTAGTTCTTCTCGTCGAGTTGGAACTCTTGAAAGAGACTCCGATGCATATCGAGGGTGTCGATGTAGTCATTGAGACTGATCGTCCCGAGAAAAAATTTATTCGCGCTCACCGTGTACTTCTCCATTTTTCACAAACTGAAGTAGTCGTAGCTGTGGATCGAAACCTTTTGCAAAAGGTCGAGGGATTTTCTTTACGACTCCTGAGGTTTTGAGGAAGATATTTGGAACCCTGCTTACCCGTTAACAGAATCGCAAATTTGTTGAGCTGAGCTGGCTGAATGAGCTTATGAGTCACTCAGCTCAGCTCAGCTCAATGATTTTAACACAATTTCATTACTACAAATAGAGTAAAAAACAGCTCAATTCAGCTCACCCAGCTGAGCTCCAATGACGGTCTGCTCACCTCAGCTCAGCTCAATGACTCATTGACAACGACCTCTGAAAAAGTGCAGCTCAGCCCAGAGAATTTTTCACGCAGGTCAGCTCAGCTCAGCGAAAATAAAGCAAAATTTGCAACTCTGCCCGTAGACATGTCCGTATTACATCACTTTATTTAAAGGAAGAAAACCCGGTTGTTTTGAAAATAATCGGAGTTCGATCAACCTATCACACTTCTGAAGCATGATCAGCTCAATATAAAATACTCCAATCTGTCCCGAGAGAGCCTTTCTTTATTTCTTAATTTCTTCAACTACCGTTTTCAAGAGATTTCTTTCAGAATGCTATCAGTTATAAAATGGGCATTTCAAGTGAATTTCGCGCTCGCAGCTGTCTTTCGATGGAGCGAACTGCCGAAGCCTAATTGTACTGCGATGCCAACGCCACCTTGCTGTCCGGATACTCTTTGCACTCTTTCAATTTCGGGGGCAAATATTTTAATCCATCCAAATTTCGGATTCCAAAGTCGTTTTTCAGAGTAAAATATGGAACTTAAAGCATAGGATAAATTAATTTTGGAACCTTTTTTCATAAAAAACGTTTTGATTGGTCTGAAGGCGAAATATAGCAATCTTATTGGCCATACAAAAAATAGTACTTAAATATTGTATTTTCAATATAAGACCCATTTTTAGGTTCGATTTTGCATCCGAATTAAAAGATAAGCATACAATAATTTTAGACGAGTCCGCCACGTTGGGAACTCTTGAAATAGAAGGCAAAGTAATTTGGGACACAAACAAAACAGATCTGGTCCTCAGCGTTCTGTATGTTCTCGTTAAGCCAGGAGGGCATTTCGAGCTTGGAACAGAGGCGAATCCGATGATGAACAATGCCGAGATTTACATCCGGAAGCCCTCGGAAGATTGGCATCCGAAACTGAGCGACTCTGGCAGTTTTGGATTTCACGAAAATTTTGGCAGCAGATTTTTTGTTGGTGATAGAAACAGCAGTATTGTAATACATGGGCGGCCGCTTACCAGGTTCAATCTTCGGATCAAGTTTTGAATAAATTTTATTAAAATAGAACTTGGACGCTCTTGTCTGAGGATGCAGAGAAAGATTCTACAGAAATTGTTCTTCGAGATGATCCCATAGCGATGGGATGGAAAATGGGAGATCAGCTTGGGATTGCGATGACAAACCGGGATCTCGGCTCAATCGGGCACATTACTGCTATAAACGGCCGAGCAGTTACTCTTGATAAAGCACTTGCAAGCAGCCATTTGGGCGGAATGAGAGATGTCCAAGGATACATGTTGGAGCTAGCTGCGGAAGTCATCAACTTGTCGAGAAATATCAAGATCCACGGGCCAGACGAAAACTTTATGAACGCGTCTCACACTGATTGGCACAATGGCTTTCATTTCGGCACTTTCACGTCAGATCATCATGACGACTCCATTTTCGATGTTCGGTACATTCGAGCCCAAAACTGTGGTCAATTTGACATAATGGGCCGCTATTGTTTCCATTTTCATTTGAAAAAACGCTGCCCAAGATGCAAGCTGATCGGCAATTCTGTCTATAACGCGATTCAAGGCGCGATGGTCATCCACGGAACTCATGAGTCCCTTGTCGAAAACAATGTCATGTGGAACACAGCTTCTGTCGGAATCTATACGGAAGATGGAAACGAAATGAACAACACTGTTTCGAGAAATGTTATGTTATGCGAAAAAGTCGCGCTCTGCAAGTACAACACTCACAAGTGGCAAAAGAGTTCCGGCGTCAAAGAAGGGGGACTCTTCTGGTTTGCTGCGTCGAATCACGCTATCGAAAATCGAGTTGCTGGACATGAACATGGCTTTTGGACTAGAACTATCGGAACTGGCAAAGGCGCCGCAAAAGGAAAAGTTTGTACTCAAAGTGCACCTTTCGGAACGATCCAAGGAAATGTCTGTCATGACAATGGTCGATTTGGAATTTACCCAGGCAATCAGCATCCTCGCAGGCTCGATCGGGACAAGATGGGATTTGTTATAAAGGATGGTACGAGAATGCCATCATGCGATCGATTCACGGCGGATGGGGAAGATAATGGTCTCGTCAGCTACATCGACGATCAATTTGACTGGAACAACATCTTCAGTGGTCAATACGATGCGAGGGACATCTCCTACCGTCGAATGATTTCTGTCGATACAAACAGTGCTATGTACTGGAAACGCTCAAAAACTATGGCAGATCCTAGTGCCTACCACATTGAAAACAGCCTATTCCTCGCTTTAGACGGCCTGCAGCATTTGGCCATTCCAGGGATGAACCATATCTTTCGAGTCAAAAACGCAACATTCATTGGCACTCGTCAACATGCTGGAGGAGCGTCCTTGCAAGCTCCTCATCATTGTGGTTTGCACATGAAGCAAGCCCCTTTTTGCATGGTCAATATTCTTCTTGAAGATGTCAAGTTCGAAACTCAACGACATCTGAAATTCGGCGCCGGAGGAGGCTATCCCGTCGCGCCGAGTTACATAACTACCGATAACTCATTGATGGGATATTCCCAGGTTGTCTCGCCAAAGATGACGGGATACAATGTTTTTCCGGGCTGTCGTAACGATGTGTCAGAGTATTTGGGTGGGTATGCCTGTGATGACAGCGTTAAGAGTAGGATCTTGATGATCTGGGGACCTGATATGGGCAATTTAACCTTGCATGGACCAGGTTACGATTCGACGCATCCCTGTGAGGATGATATAGGATGCGCTAACAATGGAAACTTGATGTTCTCAACGCCAAAGGAAACGAGTAATCCTAAAGATCTCCTTTATGCTACTGGGTACGGCGGCTGGGTTAAAAATGGGGAACTGTATCATCTGCACGGATTGAGCTGGGAGGGCGATATTTACGTCATTTACTCTGACCCGTTGCTTGCAGAGCTTACTGGATCGGCTCCGGAAGAAGAGTACATTGACTTGATGATGCATACTGAGGATGATTACGTCACGTGCCGTGTTTATGCGTCTGATGATCGGCGTTTTGTTGCTCACGACGGTGTTGCTCCAAACGTATTGGATCGAGACTGCACTATCAAATTCCGCGAGTTATTTTCTGATCGTAAGTTTCTCATATTTATTTGTTTCCTCCTTACTGAAATCAGAAAGAACGTCATTCATCTTAAATTATAATTTCTAATAATGAATCATTAAATGGTTTTCACAATAATCAAAATTTTTGATGATTGTCCCGAAAACTAGTGCCCGAATAAGCGACACCAAGCGATCACTTTCTCGTGCCTAGAAGAACTGAAGCCAAGATCATATAAGCAAATGTCGTTGAAATAACTGTCAGGTTCGAATAGTCCGAATAGCAAGCTATCATTTTTGTTGTTTGAGCGTCAATTATTTATTCACTGCCAATTTGAGTAAAACTCGGGTGACCTGTGCCACTGGCTATTTAATGGATAACGCAATATTGAATTCGAATTCGAATATTGAGCAGTTTGTTTGCCGGTTCAGAAGGCAGACATTTACTGACCCGTTATCAAGATGCCGCTATAAAATGATCAACGCTTTTAAGATTTTCAACTTACTTCAAATTGTCCGAGAAAATGGGACTTTTCGCCAGCAAATTTAAGAGAAAGAAGAAAAGGAGACCAAGAAATCCGTCTGAAAAACGAGTTCGATTTTTGCTCGACGAAGTGAGAAATTTCTCAAAAAGTATAAATTTGATCATATTTTCAGGAAGCAGAAGAGAATAGAATAATTAGAGGGATAGATGATAGTCTCAGAGAAATGGCAATCAAGGAAGAGGATGAAGAAGGGGAGATGGAGGAAGATGAGTCTGATTCTGGGGATGACAACTCGATGGCAGGAAGGAGTCTTTTCCATGATTTTTCACGGTTTTCAAAGATGGACTTTTTCTCCGATTAAGTGTGTCTCCAACGATTTTTTTAACAGCTCATAGTTTGAGCTAATAATAGCAGTCGAATCCGATCGTTAGGGACGCCCTTAATATTTTAAAAAGAGAAATTTTTTCACGAAATTCTGATTTTTCAGAATATTTTTTGAGAAAGCTTTTATTCATCCATGGCTTTTTGTGTCGAATATAATTTTTAAATTCTTTGGGAGACTTCAAATTGAGAGCAAATGGAAGACGAAGCAATTCTCCAAAATACGGATAACATGACAAATGATGTTGGAGACAACGAAGAGGGCGAGCCAGATGGAGAAAATGACGATAAAAGCCTAGTTTTTTTAAGGTTTTTTTGTTGAAAATTGGACGATTTAAAAACTGAGAAACAGTGCTAAGAAACTCGCGGCCTTACAGAGTCACATGAAGTCAGACTGAGTATTCATTACTTTCCGAACAAAGGGCTTATTTGCTCCAACCTTTGTGCTTCAGAAGCCGAATGGAGACGCAAGTGATTCTGTTTCTTCTCGGCCACGGCGCACAAGTGGAAGAATCGAATGAAGAAGACTCCATGGCAAAATGTTCAGAAAAATCAAAATTAGCGAAAATTTTATTGACATTTGCTCTTTTTGAACCTTTTTTCAAAGAAGCGTCCGACGACATTTCCTCGATTCTTAGCGACTACAGTCTTTGAAGCCGGATCGCAAATAAGTGATGAAATTTGTCGATTAAATTTAGTTTGTCTAAACAGCACCTTATGATCCTTTTCAAAGCTCATCAATCTACTCGAATTGAAAAAGGAGAAAAAAGGTCAACGGAAATTGCCACAAATTGTTCCCTTTTTATAAGTCTTTAAAAAAATAAATTAGCTCTACCTCGCTTATTTGAGTTTTACCGCAAACTTTATTCAGAAAAACTAGAATATTTTTTCAGAATTTTATCTTTGAGCCCTGATTGGCCGATCGGCCGAATGCTCAAATCTGATTGGTCAAAAATTTGACCAAAATTTTGGCGAATATCGTCGCGGTTTCGGAAGGCTGCAATTATCCTGAGGATTATCCAAAAGCATCATTTGGATAAAATAAAGCTTTTGGATAAAAAGAAGACGAATCAATCATTGTCGTTCACTCTATGTCTCTCCAAAAACCTCTCTCCGTCGTCATCATTTCCACCGCGGTGACCACGTGACCGGTTGCTCCCAACATACCCGCGCCGCCTCGATGTAATATTTCCATTTTTATTTTCGCGTGTTCCGCGCCGCCGGACCTCAAATTGTGGTGCACCAATTTCGGTGAACATTCAACTTTATTAAAAAAAAGAAGAAGCGGAGGGTTGATTTTACTGGAATTGCCGATGATTCATCGGCGATGAACAAAGCTCATGATTTGCCAGGGTCGAGAAAGTTACGTCCGGGGTCAGGGTGACGCTCTTTTCGAGAATGTCGCTACAGCTAGGGCGGGCATCCGAAAAGCGCGTTCTCAACCTTTTGTCGTATTCAGAAAACGTTTTTCAGGAAATGCATAGTCTTAAGATAACGTAGATATCATATCGATCAAAAAAATTCTTTCTTTTTTTACGTTTTACGTCATATTTAACAGTAACATATGCAACAAGCCAGCCTTGCCTGATAATCGAATGTGAAATCAACAAGAAGAAGCTTTTTGAGGAGGATTCGGAGAATTATCAAGAAGCCATCTAAAAAACGAATCTTGAGTCGATTTCTGTAATACTCATAAAAAGAAGATAATCATGAAATATTATTCATAAGGTCGAAAGACAGAGTTTGACTTAGGACTTTGACATTTCAATAAATGGAATCCCTTGATCTAAACAAACAAACACCAACGAATATCTTTCGTGAAGAATCGTAGAATTTAACATTCATGAGAGACGTCGCGATACTCCAAATTCAATGAATGGGACAATTTTCTCACTACAGTGGGTTTCCATCTTTAGAGCGTTTTTCGGATAACAAGGGTTAATCAAATTTTAGAAATCCAGAAGGGAAAACTAGTATTATTTTAACGTAAATTTTGCGATTACGGGGGAGGACCCATTAAGGGGGTGGTGGTCGAGAATTCGACCCGGATTTTCATAAACTTCCAATAATTCCTTTAGTCGAGCAATTGTTTCTTTTCGAATGGATAGATAATGGTTAAATAAGTAAGTATGAACGAAAAATAAGGTTTCCCCCAAGTTAAAACCGATTATTTAGGCCGAAACATTCACAGGGCGAAGCAAAAATCCGCAAATTTCACTTTTTGGGGGTACTTTGAGCAATTTTTTCGCAAAATTTTTCAAAAATTTTTTTTAAAACTTCACGCGCCCACATCCGCTTAACCTTTATCTTATGAAAAACTAAAAGAAAATTCTGATATCTGAGGCGGTTTTTGCTCAATCTTGGTTTGAATGAACCCCATTCTCGACCACCACCCCCTTAAGCTAATTTAAGGGGGCACTGAATTGTGCCGCCCTGCGCCGCCCTGGGCCGCCCAGCGTCGCCCGGTCCGGAACTAATCGACTCTCATTCGACCAAACTATGACCTAGGAAAGAAATCTGAACAAGAGCGAGAGTTGGGCCCCGCCAACCCAATGAGTTCTCTACCAGAGAATGCACGCGTAAGGGCCTTTGGCCCGTCGCGTGCTCAATATTTTAGTGATTTTATGCAAGATCTGAATTTGATTGAGATCAACGCTACTGGCACCCTAAATTATTGGTTTTACTTATTTTAACTGTTTGACAATATAAATAAGTGAGAATAACTAAGTTGACATAAAAAGCTTAAATTATGGCCTTTGAAAGACCAAATATCTTCAAACCCGGTGAGGCTGGGCGGCGCAGGGCGGCACAATTCAGTGTCTCCCAATTTAAGCCTAGAAAGCACTTAACTTAGCAATTGCAAATTGTTTCAGGTTGAAATTTAGGTTTTGCCGATTCCGAATAAAAAATCCCAAAAACGCTCTAGAGTTGGAATTTTTGCAGATGACAAAATTTGCACATTGAACAGTGATAAGTTATCACTGATAACCAATTATAAGGCCGACCAATTTATACCACTTATTTTGAAAAATTCCCAAAATTTGTCATCCTCAAAAAATCCATTGTAAGACCATTTTTGATAATTTTATTTCATTTATTATCATTAATTTTCTATTTACAATTTAAAGCCGATTCATAAGGCCAGTGTTTGAAAAAATGATGAGCGCTCATGCTCACTCACTTACCTTAATTTCGAGAACCTCTGCTCGCGTTCACTCACTCACCATAATATTCCAAGGCCCCTGCTTACGTTCACTCGCGCTCGATCACAGTTAATTTTAGTGAATTAACCCTCAAGACAAAGTCATTTAAGAGGGGGTCGTCAATATGGATTTTCAGGGTTTATCAAAATCCCACTTCTACATACATAAAGTGTGCATATGAAAATTATATTTTTGAAATCTACAGATCCTGACGAGTCTGTTGAGCCTACAATTATTATATAAAAATAAGTTTAAGGGGGTAAAATCGATGAATTTGTGACAAAAATGACCATTTTTGGTGAATTTTCGCGAAATGGTCCTACTTTGGCGGCATTTCTAACCGATTTTTTCTGGCCAAATTTTTTTCTCGTTTGCGCCGATAGAATTTTACAACCCTTTTCTTTCCCCCTAATAATTTTAGTTTTTTCTATCCAATCAGGTTTTTCCGCTTTTTTGCTCAAGAGAAACCCCGATATTGACGACCTCCCCCTTAATATTCATGTAATCTATCTTCATATTATCCTTTTATTTTGTTAGAATACTCATTATTTACTTATGATAGGATTAAGTCCTTCAAACTGAAAGCATTAGAATTTTTTAGAAAAAACTCAATCAAAACGTTGCCTAAAAACTGCGAGTGAGCGCGAGCGAGTAAGCGAGCGCTCATGCTCGGTCACTCATAGAAAAATCCCGTTATCTGCGCTCGCGCTCGCTCGCTCAAGGAAAAATCAAACGGTTCTGCTCGCGCTTACTCACTCATGTTTTAATTCTTGGGCCTAAGCTCGCGCTCACTCGCTCGCGAGAGTTTTGACCATTATTTCAAACACTGCATCAAGCCAGATTCGCTCTTGAACAAAATAGAATAATGTTTGATTTCAAATTATCCAACCCTGATCTGCTTCTGGTTTGTATCTTTATTGTTATCTTATTATTGCTTGGTAAATGACAACTAACAATAATTTTCTAATTTTTCTTGAGGATTATTTTTTCTGTCGTATATCTTTGAATCATTGGCTGGTTTATTGGCGATTTTCAATAAGAATTTCTGAGTGAAATCCTGAACCCCCCTTTTTATAAGCTCATTAGAAAGAGCGTAAAAATTAACTCAAGTAAAACCCAAAAAAAAATCTTGAAATTTTGTCGAAAATGGCGTCACAGCACGTGATCGAAGTTCCAAAGTACGGGATTTCTCCTACGTCCGCATTTCCAAGTACCTGGCGTGTAATACATGAAATGATCGTCTTATTGAGCTTTTGAACAGCATCGAGTTTTCGTCCCTTCTTGACCGTTTTCTCTCAAAATCAATATTTTATCATATATGTGATTTCAAAAAATAGGTAATTTCGAAAAACATGAGTAAATGAGATGAAAGTGAGATGCTGTTCTCGAGCTCAGTGAGACGATCATTTTCATGTACCACGCTCTCGGGTAGCTAACAGGACTTGTAAATGCAGACGTAGGAGGAATCCTGTACTTTTGAACTTTGATCACGTGCTGTGACGTTATTTTCGACATAATTCCAAGATTTTTGGGTTTTTCTTGGGTAATTTTTTACGCTCTTTCCAATGAGCTTATAAAAAAGGGGGTTCATGATTTCATTCAGGAATCCTTATTGAAAATAGTATGACTACAATGTCTTCAATAAGGATTTTTTGATGATTTTCTGGCCGATGATCGCTTTGTCGACCTTGGCCATAATAATATTTCTGTGGTTGAAATGCTGTCGAAGTTCGGAGAAGAAACGAAATGAGTTTTACGTTGAAATTATCGAAAGCTTACAAAAAGAAGAAGTTCCTGATGAAGTGAAAGCAGATCTGAAGAAAATTTTTATCTCGAAGAGAATGCTCAAGGTTGAAAGTAAAGAAATTGGTGCTGGCCATTTTAGCAACGTTTTTTATGGGCAACTTAAATGCTATCAGGATAAGGTCAATTAATTCTGTGGGAGACTAACATCATTTCTATTTATTCCTTAATATGCTGATCCAAAACAGAACTCAATGACAAGCAGCCGAATTTCGGGTATTTCTGTTGCTGTGAAACGATTCAACAAAGAAAAATGCTGTGCAAAACTTCGTCATAAAATTTTATGTCCGAACATCAGGGAATATTTTAAGGAGGCTTCTTTCGTGCTTCGAGCAAAGAGTAAATTTGTTGTTGAAATTTACGGTATAGGAAATGGTCACCATTCTTTTGAAAACTATGATGCTCAGTAAATATTACATCAATTTTTATCATCAATTAGCAATCGAAGATGACAACCATCCTGTTATCGTGATGCCTTTATATAACAAAAACAAAAGTATCAGCGAGTATGTCAGTAATTCTTCAAACATCATACGATTTACAAGCGCTTTGAAACTTCTCTTTCAAGTTAGTTCAAGAAAGAAAGGCAGCAAATTCGTAGTTTAATTATTAGTGTGCTTCCGGTTTCGATTATCTCGCGCAAAATAGAATTGTCCATCGCGACATATCGGCCAAAAACATACTTCTTGATGACAACCTTATTCCAAAAATATCGGATTTCGGCCTCTCATCTTGTGCGATGGATGACTATGGAAGTTGTTACTATACTATGAGAACTACGGACAAGCCCCAACCACTCCGAAATTTTGCCCCGGAAGTATTTAATTTGGAGTTTTCTACGTATTCTGATATCTACTCCTTTGGATATGTTATCTGGGAAGTATTAAATAGAGGTGGACATCCTCTTGATGGTATAATAGGCTTGAATGATTGGCACTTGATGAAGAGATACAAACAAACCAAAAGAATTAAGCATAAACTGCCCCTTATCTTGGAAAAACATCAACATATTGAGGTTTCTACCTTGAAAAGATAATGATTTAATTTTTGAGGTTTTTTCTGACGTAGCTTATCTTCTGCGCCAGACATGGAGCTACGAGCGGTCCGAGCGAAAATCATTCACACGTTATTTCGACGGTTTCAAAGCTGCGTACAACTACATCGGTCAAAAAAAGGGCAATATTCAATATAACTTGCTCAATATAAATTTACAAATACCTTCCATTCTCCGAGTGAAACTGAATCTTTCGTCGAACCACTACTTACATATTTCTGCAGCAGAGGTGAACAATGATTACAGAAATTGGCTTATTCAAACAGAATCTGCTCGATTTCTTCGGCCGGAAGATGTTACCTTTCCGAGAAGAAATCTTGTTTCAGCATCAAGCTCTGTTTCAAGTAAGGAAGTTTTCTTTATGCGTCACTCACGGCATCTTCGAATCCTAGACAGGGGATATCGGAATCAAATGAACGAGAACAGCAATAATTCCGATCGAGATCAGCACAGTGAAGCCAAATGATAAAAACACATTTTCGATGACAAATCATTATTAAAATTCTTTCATCTTAAATAAATCATAATTTGAATTAAATATCATCTCCTTACAAAACTAAAGAGAGACTCTAACTGCGTCAGACAGATGCGTTTGTTCCCACTAGGAAAATTCAACTGACGGAAAAAAACTGACTGAAAAAATCAAGGCAGAGGATGAAGAAGGGGAGCTTGGAGAGGACGAATCTGATTCTGGAGATGATAATTCGATGGCAGGAATGAGGCTTTCCCCTTGATTTTTGAGGGTTTTCAAAGTGCGAAGACGTCAAAACTGCTCTTTTTTCTCCGAATAATATTTTGAGAATAAAAAATTTTCCGGAAAAAATCTGATTTTTAAGAATTTTTTTTGAGAAATAAAGCTTTTTTTCACCTATTTATGTCATTTTTTGTAAATTCTAATGAGGACTTCAAAATTAGAGCAAATGGAAACGAAGCAATCCTCCAAAATACGGATAACTTGACAAATGATGTTGGAGACAACGAAGAGGGCGAGCGAGATGGAGAAAATGACGATAAAAGCTTAGTATTTTTAAAGTTTTTTCGTTGAAAAATCAGTCATTTTAAAAACTGAACAGTGCTAAGAAACTCGCGGTCTTACAGAGTCACATAAAGTCAGACTGAGTATTCATTACTTTCCGAACAAAGGGCTTATTTGCTCCAACCTTTGTGTTTCAGAAGCCCAATGGAGACCCAAGTGATTCTGTTTCTTCTCGGCCACGGCGCACAAGTGGAAGAATCGAATGAAGAAGATTCCATGGCAAAATGTTCAGAAAAATTAAAATTAGCGAAAATTTTATTGACATTTGCTCTTTTTGAACCTGTTTTGAAAGAAGCGTCCGACGACATTTCCTCGATCATAAGCGACTACAGTCTTTGAAGCCGGATCGCAAATAAGTGATGAAATTTGTTGATTAAATTTAGTTTGGCTAAACAGCACCTTATGATCCTTTTCAAAGCTCATCAATCTACTCGAACTAAAAAAGGAGAAAAAAGGTCACCGGAAATTGCCACAAATTGCTCTCTATTTAAAAAACTTCAAAAATAAATAAGCTCTACCTCGCCTATTTGACTTTTACCGCAACTTTTATTTATCAAAACCTTAAAATCTAGTAAATGTTTTTCGTGATTTTATTTATTAAAATTCCGACAAAATAGCAACAAAAAATTCGATTTTTCTCATTTTTTTTTTCAGAAGTCTGATTGGCCTATCGGCTAAATGCTCAAATCTGATTGGTCCAAAATTTGACCAAAATTTTCGCGGATATCGTTGCATTTTCAATGTCAACTCAAGCAAGCATCCGTGATGATTCAACCCTTATTTTTTCATTTTTGCACTTATAGTCTATAACAGGGTTCGGTAATTTGAGCTCAAGCTAAAACTCATTTTGGCTGGACGCTCAAATTTCCTCAAATTGAGAACTCAAAGTGACTTGAGAAATCATTTTGAGAAGATTTGAGAGTTTTGAGAGTTTTGAGTTTTTGGGAGATTTGAGAGTTTTGAGTTTTCAAAACTCAAATTAAGCGAGCGCTTCCTTGATTGGCTCATGGATCGCCAGAATTGATTTTTCATCTCTGAGTTCTCAAAACTCAAATTAAAAAACATGAGTCTCAAGCTTTGTTTCCTTGAGTTTTAGCGTGAGCTCAAATTACCGAACCCTGGTCTATAAGTAGGGAAACTCGATGAAAAATGAGCTTTTTATTTTTTATAGAAAAAATAAGGGTGTCACTTTGTTATTCATAAGGTTCGTTTTTGTCAGTTTATTGGGCATATTTTTCAGTTTTTTTTTGTTAATTTTGGTAGTTGTTGAAAGTAACATTATTTTTAAAAGCCTGATTCTTTAAAAGTCCAATTGTTAAATATCAACAAAAAGTGCTGGATGAATGGCCACTACTGAAAGTTTAACTGCGGTTGGACATTTTGTTTTCTGAGGAAGAGGGGAAGGGTTATTTACATGAAGAAAGCGAGGGCGAGAAAAAGGGTGAAAGAGAAAAGGATGGAAGAGGCGGAGGACTCGGGCTCGTCGATTTGGGGGAGAAAGAGCTGCTCGATTTTCGATGGTTTGTAGTAGTTCTCCGCTTCGTGGAAGTTGCAGCCGTCTGAAAAAGGAGTTAATGAGGGCTGATCTTGAAATGAGGGGGTAGAAATGATGCCAAAGGGAACAATGTTCCCGGAACATCTGAGCGGTCTTTAGTCTAATTAAAAATCCAGGCCTAAATTTAAAGGAATCGAACAAAGAAGAAAAAAAGCGCCGCAATTAATTAAGGTCATGGCCGAAAAATAGGATGAATCGAGGAGCCAGGAATGCCACTGGGGAGCGATCTTTTTTATTGCTGTTTTATCATTATTCCCCAATTTGTCTCCTCGATCGATTTCTTTTCATGTAACGCGTCCTAAAGCCCAAATGATCAAACGAAGAGTCTTCCGACGATCGAATAAAAATCGAACTACGCGCACTTCAAAAAAAAAAAGTTTGAGACGCGTGAAAATTCTCCAAAATTCGCAATCTCGATTTTTCAAACCAAAATTTTACATTTTCAAAAATTTTTAAAAAATTTCGAAAAATTAAAAATCTCAAAAATTTTAAAATTTTTGGAAATGAAAAATTTTGGCACGCTCGCTCAAAATAATAATTTTTCAAATTTGAGCACTTGAAATGAAAATTGAGCGTTTGTGTAATTATTTGCGTTTAGGTCAATTTTCATTTTTGTCAATTTATTTACGCTTCACCACCAAATATTTAGGCCACACTTGACAATCGCCTCTGTGTGTAAATTAAGGGGGTACCACGGGAAAACAAAGGAAACAGTTGGATATTTCAAATTTGACCGTTGCTGTTTTTTCTTCTTATCGCAATCATGTGTTAGCTCTTATCCCCCGTATCATCCCTTTTTTAAAAACTTTGGCACTGACTTTCACACTTTCACACCTCTCTGTACTTGGCTGGAGACCTGTCACGTGATGATCCCTTTTTTAAAATTTTGGGTTGACGAAAGCGTGTGAAAAATTTTTTATCTGGTTGGAAAAAAATTGTCCGATAACCGCCAACTTTGTCAAAGTGTCGATAACATCGCCCCTGACATTTTCGCTTCGAAGAAATTTCGCGGAATGTTGTTTTTCCAGCGCTAGAATACCGGATTCCAGGGTGGGAGGTCACATTTTACACGCTTGTACCCACGTGACCGGAAAAGATCGATTGAATATTCCTTTTTGGCTCCGAAATTACTGTAATCCCTGGTTTTTAGGGACCCAGGCTGCGAGCAGGCAAGGATTTGGGGATTGGAGTTTCCGACGCCTGGGTGGGGCTGGATGAGATCTCCGATTGTATTGATTTCGAAGAAGAGCTCCAGATGGCGAGCCTGGATATCTTTCATTAGAAATTCAAAGTTTACCGGATAACGGGGAGCATATGCTTCTTCGCAAAATATTTGACGCCGCGTTTATTCGACTTTACAAATCGACGGAAAAAGAATTGGCGAGTTTCATTATCCGTTGATTACTTGAAAAATAAGGGGGTTGACCCCGCTAAAATGATTTTTTCTATATTTGAGGATATAAATAAGGATCTAAGCGTCATTTTGGTGAGAAAAAATAAGGGGATCAGTATGATAAATTTTTCTTTAAAGCCCATTTTTCAATAAGGGTTTACACCTTAAATAACCCATATTTCGGACAATTTTTTAGCAAAAATTAACGAAATGATCCCCTTATTTAATTCACCCAAAATCAAGCTAAAATCCTAATTCATACGCTAAAATGAAGAAAAAATAAGTTAACGACGTCTACCCCCTTATTTCAGCTTAGTTTTAGCGGCGAGAAAAGTAAGCTTGGCCCCCTCTTTAGCGAAGTTTAGTCAACCTTACTTTTTTGTGAAACAATAATACTTGTTCTCCCATAAAAAAGAGAGCATTGACAAAAAATGTCTCTTCAATCCGTACTCCTCCCTTCGCAACAAGTGTCCCCTTGTTCCGCCTCATTAATTTTAGACAAGTACCCGCTGCTATTGTCAGCGGGGATGGCGACGCGCGCAAAAAAAAATGAAATGAGTAAATTTTCATGTTGATTCTCCTTTTCAACCCTCGTTACATACGGGCAGTGATGATCCCGCTGGGCGGGAAATTTGATTTCGTCGACAATTGCCCTAACTACCAGCGGGGCAGATTTCGATTACAGGCTCATCTGTCAGAGCAGAATATTATTATTGTTATTGTATCAGTTGACGAAGTTGATCAAGAGTCTTTTAATTATTCAATTTTCATTTTAAGCCCTTGGCAACATTTTAGCAAATCAAATCATCGCTGGGAACAAACCTTTGGTGCAGAAAACTTCTTCGATTTCAGTTTGAATTCGAGGGTCTTCTTCGCTGGGGTAGTGCTCCAAATATCGCATTTCTTCTTTAAACTGCTCGGGGGTTTCTTCCTTTGCCGCGCAGCTTCGTTCGATCGCCACTAGAAATGATGAGAAGGGAAGAATAATTGATGGTCTTACCAATTGAAGTGTTGGAAACGACATCATCGACGGTGATTGTTCTGGTGATTCGAGTTTTGCAGACGTCGGTGGCTCGCGGGCACGGTTTCAGGTGCTTCTGGGTGATGGTTGTTTGGCATTGGAGGGAAGCGCTGTCGTCGAAGGAATCGTAGCTGTCGAATGAGAAGAAGTCGGTCTGACCGCAGGTGAAGCATTGGAGAGTTCCCTCTGAAAAAAATGGATGAGATAAAAGAAGGGTGGAAAGATTATGGGCTAATTTCTACAGAATGTTCACTTTATAAGACCACCCCCAAATTTACCAAGTTGGCCGATCATGGCTTGTGCAAGAGCTGGGAAGAAAATGCTGGCGAATTTCATCCTTCTTTTTTTTCTGCTTGTTTGAAACTTGTTTGAAGATCGTCTTTTTCCCTATCAAATTTTTCTTCTTTTGACGAAAAAAATTTTCAGCTTTTTTGAAGTTTTGAAGTTTTGAAAAGAGTAAATCGAGGAAGCGGTACTTCTGGCGTTTTGGGTTTGGCTCTTTCTCTCTCTTTTGTATTTTTGGAGTGAAAAGGGTTCAACAAAAATTAGTGATCTGGACAGGCTCGCCGCGCCGCCCAGGACCGAAAAGCGGGACGATGGCGGCGCCGCGAGATGGCGCGCTGCAGGGTTTGACGAAAAATTTTGAAGGGAGGAATGAGGAGCATCATAAATCCAAACAAACAAGGCGATTGTGACCTGCTTCAAAGGAGACTTGCCGGCAGCGGGAAATTGGGTCTTCAGTCGTGCTCCTGAAGTCGGAAATGCGAATCAGAAAGAAAAGGGTTGAAAAATGGCACTCGACGGGGCGCAGCGGATTTTGGGGAAGTCAAGGTCAAGACTTGAAATTTGTCTTTTCTGAAGGACGAAAATATAAAAAAATAATCTTTCCAAGCAGATTTCAGAAATCATGGAAGAGAAAGACTGGTCTAGGAAAACCTGTGTAGAAAACCTGAGTCAGGGCCTGAAAGATCTCTAATGAAAAGCCGCTACGTCTAACCCTGTTTTTTTTTTCAGACCCTGACTCAGGTTTTCTACACAGATTGCTGAGTCCAGAAGTTAGACTTTCAGTAACAACAGTAAGAATTTTCGATACAAAAAAAAAATCCGTTATTAGCGAAAAGATGCAGTGAAAATCGTTTACCAGCCAAAAAGCGCTTTACAAGGCGAAATAATGAGATTTGTTGTTTATTCTGATTATCCCTCATTCACAATGAAAATACCAGTGAGCCATAAATGAGTGCACGCTTCGCCACCTTCCAAAAGAAGGCCTTCTGATGCTCGACAACTTTCTTGTTTCTCCTCTGGCACCTTTCCAAAATCCTCCAAAAGTCGAGATGCTTCCTAAACCCATCACTGGCAGTTCATAAAAGAAGAAAGATTCTTGGCTGTCGAAAATAACGGAGGTATAAAATTTTTGGACGAGGAGATGGATCAGCCAAAATTTCACTCAAACCATCCTTCCTCAAAATCCCCTGGCTTTGAGGGGAAGTGGAAATTGACCGTGATTAGACCAAATTAGATGAGCTAAAGGGCGGAGGCAGGAGGAAGTCCCAAAGGCACAATTTGTCAAAAGCAGTAAAATGAGACAAGGTTAAATTTAGCTGAGAAGGATGAATTTTCAAACTTGACTCGATGCTCGGCGGCCTGTGTAGAAAAACTGAGTCAGGATTTGAGATACTAAAGTCCTGACTCAGGTTCTCTACACAGGTTGCCGAGCAAATTCTTTGAATGTCATTTCGAGAATCTGGCTGTTAAGAGTCATCTGCTATCAATTTTTCCTACTCATCAGATTCTGTTTCTTATCAGTCAGAATAAGACGCAATGGAATTTGTTCTGAGCTTTTTCTGATGCAGTTCAACTTCGATAAATTCGCGGCAACTTGACTAAAGATAAGAATTCCTTCCGCGACTTTTGTACATTCCCCATGTTCACTGCTGATTCATCCTCCCGAAGAAAAGCCAGTTCTGGGTACATTTTTGGAATTCGCCATTTCCGGAATTCGGCAAACCGGGAAACGAGGCAGAGTCTTGGATCAAAGTGTCTGTTCAATTTGTGAGATTTTCCACGTGACCGAGCTCCAGGTGCCGCGCGGGACAAATGATGAGACAAGGTTCTTTCTGCTTCGCAGCGTTTTTTGCCCTATCGCTGGGGTAATTGTAATGAGACTGATAAGGTGCGAAAAATTCCAAAAAAAATTGGCAAATTTGAAATTTGAAAAATTTTTTTAAAAGCAAAAATTTTCTAAAAAAAAAAGGTGATTTCAACCGTGCCACTGGTTTCTTTACCTGCTCGTTTTGAAGCAGTTGGAGATCAATATTCAGAAAACGGGATGAATTGGGGGATTAGTGGTGGTCCTCCCCGCTGGGCTTACTGAATTTGAATTCGAAATAAAGACTGATCCGAGGAGGAATTATCGAGCACCCGCCACAGCCGTCAAAACACGTCCACTCCGAGCTTTCTTTCCTCGACACTCGATTGTGAACAACAAACTCGCAATTATCAGTTTCGTATCACTTTTTCAATAATTAAACCGACTTTCATCGGACAACCGACTCTTCGATGCCTCATTTCGTGTCAAAAAATATACATTTTCTTCAACCTTATTTTCCAAAATTCCTTTCATTGAAACTCTCAATAAGCAGTCGCTAGGTTAGCCTTAAGTAAGCGTTTGAAATATTTTTCATGAAAAGCCGCGCAGCGGCTCTTAAAAAACGAAGCCGCGGAGCGGCTTCGCAAAAAAAAACTTTATCAATGTATCATAAAATAACGGCGAAGGCGCTTTGCGGCTTCGTTTTATAAAAAAGCCGCTACGCGGCTTTTCATTTTACAGAAAATAATCCTGGTCTGGGACGGTCAAAAATACGCCTGGTTTGGGACGGTCGGGCCATTTAAAGATCAAAGGCGCACGCCTGGGGGGTGCTTTTTAATATGAAAGTGGCGCCAGAGGCGAGAGCGAAAATAATCCTGGTTTGGGACGCTTTGGCTGATTAAGACCGTCCCAGACCAGGCGTATTTTCTGTAACTCTTCAGAACCTGACTCAGATTTTCTACACAGGTTGCCGAGCCCATATCTAGATCTCCTAAGATTTACTTATCTTCGCTTTCATATTGTCAACTAGATTAATATTTTGTCCTTTAGGGCAGCCATACTTCTAGCAAGAAATTAAAAATTCATGAGTTGTTGAAATTTCTCGCACAAGGTGGCCCTAATTGCTCCCCATCGACGTTTTTTGGCCCTTGATCTAAGCGGCTCTGCTGATGAGCGTGAGCGGAAGGGTCTTGATCCCGATCCTTGTCGGAAATAAAGAGAAAAAAAATGCTCAAATAAGCGAGCTCCGACTTCACGCCAATTCCGGGCCTTCTTTCTCTCTTTGACAAATAGGTTTATTGAGTACCATTCAAAATCTTAAACCTAGAAATAACTTTCATTGTTTGTTCAAAGTCCAGCGCGAAATTTTTATAAATTTGAGCAAAGCCACGGGAACTATTCGCAAATTACACAAGCCCGAAAAGTTAAAAATCGAAATCAAAGAAATCGGTAATTCCAAAATAAACCTAGTAAAGAAATTTTCATAACATCGAAGAACTACAGAGCCTGAGGCGTTAATAGTGCCCCGCTGGGAGTTTGAGCATTGATAAGCTTAGGCAAATTCAAATCCTCTAATCCTTATATTCAAATCTGGCCAAAGATTAGGGCAAATGGCACGTGAAATTGACGAGGGCATTCATTCCTCTATGTTCTTTTTATAAACAGCAATCAAGATGAAGACCTGGCTCAGGTCACCTGAGTGCGGCAACCTGTGTAGAAAACCTGAGTCAGGGCGGCTTCCCCAGAAAAAGGGCTTCCCCAGAAAAAGGCATTCAAGATCTTGCAGACCCTGACTCAGGTCTTCACACAGGTTGACAAGCCCAGATGGAGACTTTTATCAGAGGAGTCAAGTCTTGTAGAATTGAGCACTTGTCCTGATGTGAACTCAAACTCGAAGGAACCGAGAAAAGAGAGTAAAATCACCGATCTGTTAATGGAGCAGAAGCATTGTACTTTTCAACATGATTTGAATTAATATTCAGAATCAAGCCATCCACCCGAGTAGGTCCTTCCTCATAAATAAAAAAGGAAAAGTATAAAAGGAATCATTTCCAACACGAGTTATCATTCAAAAATTCAGAAAAGAGAGAAAATGCTTTTTTCCATTTTTATGCTTCTTGGACTCTGCGCCGGAGGATTAACGAAACGCTTTTCAACAAACTTTTTTGACACAGTGATGAGTGGAGATCCTTCTGCACTGGATCAATACGATGCGAAGCAGCTAATGGAACATGCAAAGGAGATGCAGGAGTATGGAATTTTGCAAAAGGGGATAAATTAAGTAAAAGAATGAAATAACCAAATTTACTTTTATTCAATTCTATCGTCGAAACAACACTATAAATTTGTAAATAAAAATATTTATCCTCTCAAAGACCGGTCAATTTAGATAAAATTATAATTCAACATCCCTTTGATTAAAATGCTTCGACTCTGTACCTACGATTCTTCGAACTAAATAATCTATTTTATCCAATAAATAGTACCCATTCGCCACCAGTTATGGTTTTTATGATTCAACATCGACTTCTTGGTTCAATTCAAAATTTTTTTCTGCTCTATTCTTTTTATCTTCTTGCCCATAAAAATTTGCCGGTCATTTCAGGCTTTCAGCATAAGCTTTTTACGTGAACTTTTGTCCATAGTCTATTTACATAAGCTTTGGTAAATATTTAAAAGATCGCCTATAATCTGGTCACTGCCGAACATCTCCTTCAGTTCTGAGAAAAATGAAGGAGTCTTCGTTATCTTCAAAATTTTTGATAATAGGAAATTGTCTTATCATCTTGATCTAATTCTTCGTTTTTTTCTTCTGATAAGACAGCTACAGGCATTGGTGCACCACTGACTCTTGCAGCAATCAAATATTTTTTGACAAAAAGAGAAAAGAAATTTCATTTTGTGGATCCTATTCAAGGTTTGTCCAAAGATAAGTCTTTGTTATTGTGACTGAACATTCTGTAGGAATTGACGCTGATGGTCCTCTCTGGGCAATGATAAGCTCTTTTCGCGAGAAGGAAAAAGGTCGAAAAATCTTTGAATACCCACTTCTTCGATCGCTTTTCTTCAACATAAATCAACTCGTCGTTGTTGATGCTCAATTGGCAAGAGAACTTTTTACGAAATCAAGCTTGAGGGTCTTGCATTTATCACGCACTTTTCTCAATAAAAATTATGAAAAAATAGACCCCTTATGCAGCAATTTTCAAGGACATGGAGAAATGAAAGGGTGGTTTCAACTTATAATCGACTACCGCGAACGTCTCGGATTGAAGCATGAGGCCGACGCTGCTACCTCCGTCGGGATCATGCGCGACTTCGACAACAACAACGAGCATGGAACGAAGATCGCCAAACATTACAGAAAGAGAGTGACTGAAAGAATGAACAAAAAGTCCCTGGAGAGTGAATGGGTGGAAGCGATCAACGGACAAGAAGATTTCATCCTCGACGAATTTCGACGAAGAGGAAAAGAGGGAAAACTTGCGATTGACCCGGCGCCGGTGTTTTGGGAAACGGCTTTAGGAGAGAGCTCAAAAAGTCAGATTCAGATCCGGGCAGACTGATGCAAGTATTTTTTAAAAAGCTCGGATAGTGGTTATGTTCAAATTCGCGATTGGAATCGATCTTAGGGAAAAGCCGAAACGCTTAGAAAAACTTATTCGTTGCGGAAAAGCGGGGATAGAAGCGTAAGGACGGAAATTACCTTGATTAAAAAGGGTTCTTAAAAATCAACTGAGTTTAATCTTTTATTTCCAGATTTGATGGAATCGATCAGCATAGCCTCATCTTCGAATGGATGCCAAAATTCATCCGAAAATTCATCCCCATCAGTCTCTGGCCTGATTACATAAAGGAGCAGAGCGAGCTTCTCGACGAGATCATCGAAATTGTGGCTGAAGTGAAAGCCGAAAATGAGCAAAATGAAAATGAGTCCTCTTTAATCTCAGTGTTCGGTAGAGATTGGCAAAAAATATATTCCGTTTTGATCTTTTTCAAAAGAAAATGACGTAAAACTCGGGAAGATGAATCACTGGGATGCGATTTGGACGATTCATCAATTGATAATCGCTGGAAATGATACTGTCGCCATCTCGCTGAGGACTTTTCTCATTAACATGGCAAAACATCAAGAAGAACAAGAAAGAATTCGGAATGCGCTAAAAGGTATTCAAGCTAGGGAAACTGACTGAAAACTCAATTTAACTTTCAAATTTAGAAAGAAATTATGGTCAAAAAGAACTCAAAGACTGTCCGCGCTTATTTGCAGCAATTTACGAGTCGTTTCGATACTCCCCGACGGTGTCCGAATCGACTCCTTTTCACACGATTACAGAAGATACGACGATCAGGGACATGAAGTTCAAGAAGGGAGACCTCATTCGATCAGCCATCGGTAGGGCAGTTTCAAAAAGCAAGGAAATGATTTCGAAGGCGCGATGAGTTTTCATGTCGGCAAGGAGGACCCCTTTAAATTTGCATCGGACAGATTTCTGGACGAAAATGGCGACTTTCGAAAATACGACGCTTCAGTTCCGTATCACGTTGGCCGTCGAGACTGTCCCGGCCAAATTCTTGCGAATATTCAGCTTTTTCACATCTCGAAGATTATTCTCAAGTTTGACTTTGAGCAATGCTCAAAAAATAACTTTTAAATAATTTTTAGGCATTTTCGATTGACAACGAGTGAAATGAGCGTGTTCCAAAATCTTCAAGAATTTGAGAATATTTACAGCGGCGGAAAGTTTACCGATGCTGATCATTACTTGCCAAATTTGAAAGAAAATCGAGTTGTTTTCGTTCCGATTTCTGATGAATAAACATATGAATTAGAAGGATTACTTAATTCAGAATAAATTATTCTCCTTATTTTACGAATGAACAACTCATTTTTTGAATTTCTTTTTATGCAGAGTTTTTTTACAAAATACAAATATTATATCTTACGAAGGTACCATAAGGTCCTTCTTTAAATTTCACATAATGGTTGCCATCTTCGTCTTTTTCGCTCGTGAGTTCGTGTTGGTGCCTCACTTTTCCGTTGTAGCAATGAATTTGTTCTGCGATTGCTTGAAATGGAACGCCTCCATCTAATTGATAAAAAGTAAAATGATAACTGTTGGTATTGCCTACCACTGTTTGTAAGCGACAAGTAATAATAACTTCCATTTCCTCCATTTCTTTCCCAAGCCAATTTGAATCCGAGTTGCCATCCAGCTTCTTCGACTTCCCAGTTATTCTGCCACCAAAACTTATCGCCAAGTTTTTCGATCAAAAAATAAAGATCGTGTTAAAAAAAAGCACAAACTTTCCTTGAGATTAATTCTTTTTCCTCCAAGTGACAAAAGCTTCAGCACATTTCGGATATCCTCTTCTCTCATTGCATCTCTTTTTCCGAATTTCTTAATTCCTCGGTCGTTTTCGAAGAAATGCCCAGCTCCTCGAATTGCTCCCAGTTCTCTTTCCATCTTCAAAAGATCCATTTTTCTAACAGTGAATGGAATACTGTTTCAGGAAAGCAAAGATGATATTTGAAGAGGAACTGATAATTCCTATAAAATTGATGCTAGCAATCTTTTTACCAAGTCAAAGTCACCAAAACCATAATTTTGAGATAAGGCTGTTACAAGTTATTCAAATTTTAAGAAAAAAGTTATCTGTCAAATGAATTTTATTCATTGTTCGAGAGGAACAAACACAACTCGATTTTCTTTAAACAGTGGCAAGTAATGATCATCATCGGAGAATTTGCCGCCGCTGTAAACATTCTCGAATTCTTCAAGGTTCTGAAACGTGCCCATCTCGTTTGTTTTCAATTCAAAATGCCTAAAAAACTATTAACGATTCAGCAAACGATGCCGGCAAATCCAACTTGAGAATAATCTTTGACATGTGAAACAGCTCAATATTCGAGAGAATCTGCCCAGGACAATCTCGACGGCCGAGGTGATACGGAACTGAAGCATCGTATTTTCGAAAGTCGCCATTTTCGTCAAGAAATCTATCGGGCACAAATTTGAAGGGGTCCTCCTTGCCGACATGAAAACCCATCGCGCCTTGAAATGATGTCTATTTCCGAGGAAAGGGGTTATTCTTTGAGTCGAAGACTCTTTCAGGTTAGGGTCTTGAGGAAGAGTGTTAAACCCAAAGATGCCCTACCTATGGCTGATCGAATGAGATCTCCCTTCTTGAACTGAATGCCATCAACAATTGCATCTTCAGTAATTGTGTGAAACGGAGTGGACTCAGACACCGTCGGCGAGTATCGAAACGACTCATAAATTGCCGCGAAGAGACGCGGACAATCCTTGAGTTCTTTTTGTCCAAAGTTTTTCTCTAAATCTCGATCGAGCCATTTTTAAAATAGGCAAAAAAACCTTTGAGTTCGTCGCGGATTTTTTCTTGCTCAACAGGATGCTTCGCCAGATTTATTAGAAACGTTCTGAGGGAGACAGAGACAGTATCATTTCCAGCGATAACTAACTGATGCATTGTCCAAATCGCGTCCCAGTAGTTCATCTTGCCATTTTCGACGTCATTTTCTGAAAAGAAAATAGCACCGAAAATGTCCTCTTTTTTCACCGAAAATGGAGATCAAGGAGGACTCATCTCCAACTTGATCACTTTCTGCTTTCACTTCCGCCATTATTTCAATTATCTCGTCGAGAAGCTCGCTCTGCTCCTTTATGTAATCAGGCCAGAGACTGATTGGAATGAGTTTTCGGAGAAATTTCGGCATCCATTCGAAGATCAGACTGTGCTGGTCGATCCCATCGAATCTAAAGATTAATCTTAATTTAAAGGGACCAGCGGCGGAAAGCCACAAAATTGGATAAAAAAATTGACCAATAAAACGCCCGTATGAAGCCTCTCTGCAAATACGAGGCTCCCCTTGCTTACGCTTCAATCCCAGCTTTTCCACAACGAAGAAGTTTCTCTAGTCGTTTTGGATTTTCACGAAGATCGATTCCCATCGCGAATTTGAACATCACCACTAGAGCAATTTCCAAAAATACTGGCGCTGAATCGAACGCTTGCTTTCCGTCATTTCCTCTTCGAAGCAATTCCCGAACCATGAATTCTTCTTGATCATCAATCGTCTCAACCCATTTGCTTTCTAGTGATTTTTTGTTCATTTTCTCGATCACTCTTTTTCTGCAAAGTTTGCCGATTTTGGTTCCATTTTCATCATTTTTATCGAAATCGCGCATGATCCCGACGGAGATCGCAGCATCGGCTTCATGCTTCAATCCGAGGCGCTCGCGATAGTCGATTATTAGTTGATACCAGCCTCTCTTGTCGCTGTGTCCTTGAAAGCTGCTGTTTTAAGGGTCTTTCCTCGGGCTCGCGGCTTTTCATGGCCCCAAAAAGAGACCCCTTAGCTTGATTTTGTGAACAACTCTCTTGCAAACTGAGCATCGACGACAACAAGTTGGTTGATGTTGAAAAAGAGCGAACGAAGAAGTGGATATTCAAAAACTTTTCGACCTTTTTCTTTTTCTTGAAAAGAGCTAATCATTGCCCAGAGCGGCCCATCGTCATCGACTCCTATAAAGGAATTTTCTGAATTTCAAGCGTTCATGAACAAACCTTTAATCGGATCCACATAATGAAAACTTTCTTCTCTTTTTGTAAAGAAATATTTTATGCCAGCTAATGCTACTGGTGCGCCAAGGCCTTAATATGTTTTCTTTTCAAATTATCAATATTTTATTTAGAGAAAATAAAACATTTCCTATAAAGATAAATTTTGGCGAAAAAATAAACTCTTTCATTTTCTATGAAAAAGATTGAACTGCTTGTCCGCCGATGGCACTTCGAATGCACACAAATGTTATGTCATTTTTGCGAGGGTGTTCATGGAAGAAAAGAAATTTCAAGTTAGAATAACATTCAAGATGGGGCAGTAAATCTTTTGTTAAGGAAAAATAAAATCTTTTCATCAAATTTTATAAACATGGCCATTTCACATGTTTAGCTAGAAATTACAGATTCTAACAATATCGATTTCTTTTCTGAAATCTAATTGGTAAACCGACCGAATTAACGAATCTGATTCGAAATTTGCCGAAATTTTTGGAGAAACGGTCTGAATCGATGAATTTTGGACAAAAATTTTGGTCAAAATTTTGATAAGATTCTGAACGAATCAAATTCACGAATTCAGTCGATGAACCAATGAGATTTTTGAAAAAATCGATTATGTGGGAACCTGTGATTTCAAGCTAGACATGTTCCTTGTCCATAGAATTCGATTAAAGATTATATCTAATATATTTCCTAGACAAGAGATTTGCTGCCCCATCTTGAATGTTTATCGAACCGTATTTCATCTTTCAGCTTTTTATTCGTTGCAAAATCATTTTCCCTGAAAGTGATACTCGATTTCTTAAAAACGTGAATGCATCTGAGACAATCAGTCACTGACTTTCTTTACTGGTTTCTTGACTTCCGGTCTTCCCAACCCCACCTTGATATTTTCATTTCAAAATAATCACTTGTTTGGTTCATATAATTTTGTTTCTTCAAAAATGAAACTGGCTTTTCAAATTTCGTCGAAAAAAAAGAAAACTCGAAATTTTAACGTGGCTCTTCATCGCAATCCCTTTTAGATGGCGGGATAAAGTTCAACTTGATTTTTGGTCATCCGTGGCAAAGTGATTTGAGGCCGAAGCCGTGTGCCCCAAAGTCGGAAAATCAAAATGCTAACAGCGCTGCGCCAAAAAGGTTAACCCGAAGAGCGCTCCTTCAAAAGGGCCACAGTAGGTTCACTTCTCTCCACAATCCTTTTTGCAGCAATATCGGGGATAACTCGAAAATTGAAAATAAAAATGAAAATTTTCAGCATTTTTACTTTCCTGCTTGTAGCAATGGCAAAAGCTCAGAATAGAAAAACAGAGACGGCTCTAAAAAGAGTCGAAGATACAAGAGATGCAGCTTTACAATGGATCGACGAGGAAATTCCACAGTTCAGAAAAGCAAAGAAGCTCCGATCAAGGTAATTCTAGCGCCTCAAAATGGAACAAAATCAGCTTCAGAATCAACACCATTTCTGCTCAAATGCTGGACTCGATCGAAAACGGCTGTAAATTATCCAAAAAGGTAAGATTCGATTTCAACACTGCTTAAATTCTTGAAGGCAAGAAATGAGCAGAAAGAAGACGACTACGAAGAAGAAACTTCGGAAATCGAAAAGCGACGATTCAAGCTTCCAGCGGATCCTTGGGAGAAAACGCTCAAATTCGCCAAAAGTGGTAGGCGTGTCAATAAAATATTTCTCTCAAACTGTGTCGGATATCAACGGTAAAAGCGGAAATTAATTTCGTCTTTTGACAAGTTTTTAGAATCGAGAAAAAATGGAATCGAGTGAGAAATGGAATGCAAAAAGCATTTATCAGAGTCAACAAGCTTGGTCCCGATTTTAACCCCTAAAAAAATGATTTTTGAAGAGTTTCTGTGCACATAAGAATAAAAAAAAATAAAAACGAACTCTATTTAACCACATGGGACAGATCGGTTAAGGAGGTGTGTAACAACTTTTCAAAAATTGCCGATTTTAGATGGCGCTCAGTTTAACTTACGCTTACATACGTCTTAAAATTAAATTTTGAAAATAAAACTTAACAAATGGACCAACTGCAATTATTTTAAGAGTTAAGGTCGTTGGTTGTTTATTTTTTGGCGCAAAAACCAGCAGGAACTTCAAACATAACGGGCATAACATTACTTATGACGGTTCTGATGCCTTCGTGTCTGGTTAGCTGGTCATCTTCGAAATCGAGTCGCTCAATTTTGAACCTACTTGAAGAGGCAAATTCTGGCCCAGAGGCGATAAAAATCGAGCGATCGAGGATCAGTGCAGACCTACACGGGTCAGCCTAAAATGTTATCGAGTAGTAACTTTCGAAATTCCAAAAGAGTACATTTTTCAGATCGCCAATCTTCTTCCAAACATCATTTTGTAGAAGCCAAATTGCTGTTTGTGGATGCCAATCATAATTTTTATAAGTGAACCCTCCCGCAAGCAAAAGACTTCCACTCGGTAGACCCATCAACACGTGATGAGATATTGAACTGATATTATATGCTGTTCGTATAAATTAAAGATTGTAACAAAATACCTTGGGAAATAGTTCAAAGTTGACCAGCCATTGGAATTCAACGTCTCTACCCTTAAGCTTCCCGAAGGTATACGCTTCCCAGAACCTCCAACAGCTGTTGGCTTCCCTCTGTAAAGTCCGAGTCCGCCACCCAAATGTTGATCTTTTAACTCATCAGTCGGAGTCGAAGATATTCCATCGAAAACTTCACAAATATTCTCAAACATTGAATCGAAGCAGATTAATGCTTGCAGGCCGTTTTCGATTGAAAGTGCTGCAGAACGGCTTTCAAAAGTGTGTTTCATTCGAGCGGTCAATTCTTTTAATTCACAGACTTCAAATATGGCAATCTTAATGGTTTTTCAATTTAAAATTTTGGATTTTTCTTACTCTGCGTCCATTCCATGGTCCCACTCCACCAAAAATGTAGAAAAAGTTCTTGACAAAAGCATGCTTTGCTTCGTTGAAATAGTACTTCCTTGGTGCTTTTAATGCTGCCGATGTCGTTTTTGCCCCCGGAAAAGACATCAAAATTGCTGTGTCCATGATGCCTAAATAAGGCGAGTTGTCCGCCATTACTAACATTGTCTTTAAAAGGGTATCAACATTGACAGGGTCAGAGCGATTGTTCTCGGGCGCGAGTTACGATCGACCTCGTAACAATACACGGAATTACATACCGGAATTGCCCATGTAAGATTGCGGTTAATCGTTATGAAATGTATGGCACAGTAACAAATAGGTATTGGGATAGCTTAATGGTAAAGCACTCGCCTCATGAGAAAGAGGTCCCAGGTTCTATCCGAGGAAAAATCCTTAAAAAATATTCGTCATTTTGCTGATGTTTGTCTAAATCTGATTATCTTGAATCAAGATTCTTGATCTATCAAGAAGTCAATGATGACATCCTTTAATTTAGGATTCGGAGAGTAACCAAAATTCTTTATTTTCGTGCAATTGTCAAACTTGAAAATCCGGATTCTGCTTTGTTTCTTATTTTCCAGGCCGGTTATCTCGATTTTTGAGTGAGTTTTCTTTTTTCGCTTATTACCCTTTATTAGTTTTTTAAGTTGTTGCCGAAAAATCATAGGCTTAACTGGGATTGAACTTTTCCTGAGTGATTTCAATTGTGAACCTGGGCGCTCTACACCCAGATTTTTTGACTGCAAATGTCAGTTCTTCCAAATGTTTCAAATTTGACTTGGAAACATGTCGTTCATAAAAATAGTCGGAATTAATCCAAAGCGAGTAATTTCGGTAAAATCCAAAGCTGAGAAAATTCGATCCATCAATAAAATCAAATTCGACAATTTTAGTTTCTTCTGAAACTTGAGATTCCTTTATAAAATCGATTTCGAGATTGAAAACATCTGTTCCAAGGAATTTCATGTCGATCGTTGAAATATGTTTTAATTCTGGAAACGAGGAAAAATAGTTATCCGGGATGATTGTTTTCCAACTATAGCTGTTTGTGCGGCGAAATTGCGGCTGAGAGACGGCATTTTTGGAGAAAGCTGGAAACACATCGTCGTGAAACGCGAACAAGGGATTACTTGTCACATGCATTCTCTTGTGCGCTTTTTGCTGAACGAGTCCTATCTCTACATTTTCTTTCTAAGGATTGAAGACGGTTGAAGATAATACAATTGACTCGCACAATTTGAACCCACACAATTCGGCCCTTTTTTCGAATTTCGCAAAAATTAATGAAATTCGCTCATTTAGCCATCTTTGTGAATTTCTGTAAAATTTGCTTGCTCAAACGTATTTTGTAGATATATTTACGAGAAAAATGCTATTTTTAACCTTTTTTTCTAATAAACACGCAGAATTTACGGGGATAATTGACGAAAAAAGTGAGATTTTAACATTTTTGGGCTCCAAAATTGATCTTTTTTGAAGGAGTAGCAAATTTCGGACCCGCACGATTCGGCCCTTTTTCGAAAAATCTGTAAAACAAAAAAGGTCACAATTGTGCGAGTCAACTGTAAATCAAGCGATGTGAATGCGAAAATCTTCTGCAAATTTTCAATCTTTTCCGAAATCAAATTCAATTTCAAATGTGAGATCGAAAACGTAGTTTTGGAAGAAAACTCTCTCATTATCAAGAAAACCATTTCCTAAGTACTCACATTCGTCGTTATTCGTGCCAGTCTGATCAACATAGAAGCCATCGGAAGCGAACAGCTTCGAGTAACAGACGGAACTTCTGGGGTATTTAACCAAAGAACCAATCCATTCCCGACCAAGAGTCAAGAACAGCCCTTCTGCTTCCATCAGAACTGAGTAAAACGTGTTTGAGAGCTTTACACTCCTTGTCACTAGTATCAAAAGAAGTCTGTCGACGTTAATCTCTCTTGAGTTTAAAAATATCTAGTTTATGATTTAAAGTTGAGAGGGCCACTACAACCACTATTTGATCTAACTTGATCTCTTTTCCCCAGGTGCATCCTAAAATATTGCCTTTACGCTCTCTGATTGGTTCGTTTGGCTTACCCCGACCATCACGGAGGCTCGTCGGGAGACAAGCCAATCAGAGAGCCAATATTTCGGTAATATCCAGGGTAAAAGGATCGAGGTTTGTCAATATTTCTTTCGATTGAGCAGTGCCTCTCGAGTAAATATTTTCAGTCTTTAAATAATATACGAACAAGTATAAACTCATTCCAAAGGAACCACGTGAACTGGATCCAAATCTTTTTGATCAGTAGGCAGTTCAAAACTGCTTTTTCTCCATCCTTTCTCCAATTCTTCGTCTTTCCTTATGCGGTTCAAAACAATAGTCGTCGACAATTTGATATAATGATCTCCGAGTCTTGCGCTCATCAAATAAAAGACTCCCTTGAAGCTGATCGAGGAGACTTTCGCGTTGATATGATTGCTGGCGATGAAACCCTGGGCTTCTTCAAAGCGGTCCAAATTGTAATCGGGAGCGTAGTAGTAGCACTTGTCTTCCCTTCCAATTGGACGGCTTGAGAGGGTCAAAGATATTTGCATTTATAAAGAGATTTATTTTATTTCCGACCATTTCAGATAACAACGACTGGAAACACTTTTGTGTCCTTTTCTTTCCGACGAATCTCAATTTGATGTGTCCCGATCGACGAGCCAAAATGGAAAACGAAAAAATTGCTATTCAAAAATTGAATTACTTTTTTATGAAAATTGCCTTACATGTTTTTATATCGGCTGCGAATGAAAATCGGACGATTGCTAGTTTCTTCGACTATCATCAGATTTCCCTTTGCATCGACTGAATCAGGGATGGAGATATGGCCGAATTTTCTGGCGGCACCGGCACGTGGTGTTGGTGGTAGTGGTTGTGGTACTACCAAAAACTATTCTTATTTTATTTAAAGAATGAACAATTTTAACCAGAAAAATTTCCGTTGTACCATACCGTGCCGCTTTGCCATGCTGTGCCGTTCCGCTCATATTTCTATCCCAGGACTAAATAGTGCTTGCCATCGAGAAAAGTGGCACCAATCGACTTTTGCGGATTTATGAAATAAAAATTATTTTACGATTATATTTCAAAAGATTAAAACATTCATGAGAAAACAGATCATCCACGTGAGTTGAGTTGATTTTTCTTGAAATGAGTGGACCTTTTTCCTTGCTAATATCAGATAAAATAATCTGAAATTTGTTAAATGGAGCATCGCGACTATTCCATCTTCTCGAAATCAGTCGATTCTCCGTCTCAACTTTAAAAGTTGAAGGTAAATATGTCAAACGAGAATTTTTTTAGGTTAATAATAAAAACAACTTTCCTTGAATTTTATTGCTCTTCTTCAAGTCCCAAACAGGAACTAGTGTTTGCTCATTTTGTATTTTGTCGCAGCGATAAAAGACACAAGGGCATCCCGTTTTGCAATATTTTTCAAAGGGGCAAATTTCTCCTGCAGAGTCATGTTTTCTTGTCAATTCAAAGCAAATTATTTCGCAGCTATTGAAAGTTTTCTTCTTTCTCGATTCCAAGACAAGAGACTCAGAGCACAAATGACGGCAAATGAAACGATCTATCTTTGATTTTTCTTTGGATTAAAAATTTTTTTTTTATTTAGCAAAATCAAATTCAATGATTTAATTGCCATGGCATAGAATTTTTTTTTCTTGCATCTTTGTTGATTTATTTCATTTTCTCTGTCTGTGAAAGAGAGGGCTGGTTCGACGGGTCTTTCTTTTAACTCGACTACAGCTGGTCGAGTAAAAATTCTTGTTCCAATGCAATCATGAAGGAGATGCCCGCAGTAATCCATTTCGTTTGTTTTGATGCATTTTTTGAAGCCCAATTGGCAAACATCAGTCAAATAACTAGGTTGGATCCGAGCTGCAAGCATTGAATAGTAATTCGCTTAAAATCGCTTCGTTTTCAGATGATTATTTTATTTTCTTACTAATGCCGACGATGGTTCCCCAGAAAACGCATCCGAACAACATGTAAACAGCAAATTGAGGCATTGTGGCAAAACCACTAAAACAAGTGGTCATTTTATGTATAGCAGTATACAATATAGCGGTATGTATCCTTCTTTGAATACTCACTGAAACGCGAATCTTTTCTTTGATTTCCAAAAGTTATCTCCTTCGAACTCGTCCGAGAAAAAGCCCGTGAACCGGCAGGGATTATCTTGCGGCGGAGTTTTTGTTTCTTCTCGCTCCAGTCCCTCCATTATATTCATTAGTTCCGTTTCCTTTTCACTTCTCGCATTCTCTACTCCTCTTGCAAATCTCTCTCTGAATTTCTCTATTTCTTTGATCGATCTTTTGAAGAATCCGTTTTCTGATCCGTCGTCATTGTCGTTCTCAATGTTTTTGAAGCCTTCAATGAATTTCTTTGCTTTCTGACTGGCAGTCTTCACTGTTGGCTTGACTTTGTCGATATTTGGCATAAAAAATCCTCCACCGAGGTCAATAAGCGTCTTCTTCACTGTGTTCGGTCGGAGAACCACTTGATCTTTTGCCTTCATTACAGTTCCGACGCAATGGCATTCCAAACATTTTACATTCGCCAGTGGTTCTCCCTTCGCTCGCTTCTCTAAAGATTCTTTCACCTCTTCGGATGGGAGCAGAGAAGTATGCTTTTCCTCCTCGAGCGACGTCGCCTCTTCAACGGAGACGACCGCTTCGTCGATCCTCGACCGCATGAAAAATAGACTAGATTCAACAATAAAATTGAGGAGAAATACTTTTTGTGCTTGATAAAAACTCCTCTGGTAGTAAATATTATCTTCGAAAAGAGCCCTTTTTATTCCTGTTTCCGTGCCATCACTACGCTCAATGGGCTTACTCGAAGCCGGGTTGGTATTCAAGTCAAGGTGAAATGAAGAAAAAAGTTTGACGGAGGATTTGACATTTTTACACTCCTCGCAATGCCGAAATACCAAAACCGGCAAATTTTTGGGTTTTCACTTTATTTTTAAAAATGACTTTTGGAAAGACGGCACTTCTTCTGGGCTTTGCAGTTTACGTTCTTTCGATAATTGGAGTTGAACTTCGCCGTAAATTTGGTGACGCCTTACCATGGTAATCGCGATTTCGTAATAACGAGCAAGGATTTCATGGGGATAAAATGGTACCATCATGTCGTCAAAAATAATGATCGCGCGGAAAGTATCGTAAGCAACCAGCTGGTTGAACTTTGAAATGAAATTTTGTTAACTCGACGAGAATAAAAAATTTTTTGACTAAAAATTTGGGAATACCAGATAAAAAAGGCTAAATCTGAATTATTTAGTGAATAGAAAAGGGCTGAAAAAATGAATTGGCGAGAATAACCAAAAAATTTTGCCATTAAAAACGGCCAAAAATCCCGTCAATAGAGGGCCGTTTTCACGAAAATGTGCCAAAAATGGTCATTTTCAAACTATTTTGCCAAAATCTTAATTGGTTAATATTTCTTGGAGTGACTATGCAAATCTGGCGACACAAAATCTGGCTAAAATAGCGATTTAAGCAAAGTCTACCTGCATCGACCAAAAAACCCTGTAAAAGTTTTCTTTGAAATTTCGAATTTCGAATCTTTCACAGACCCTTAGTTAGGGTTCAAAGTTTCCATTGAAAAATGAAAGATTGAAGTCAATATCAAAATTTATTCAGAAAATTCCTCTCGCAAATCACCAGCGAGTCTACCCTCTAAAATTCCCTAATAAAATTAACCTGTATGCTACTGATGCGGTCTCTCTCGAATCTCAACCATCAGAATTTAATTTTGTTCTTCATTCTAAAGATTTTTTTTATATGAATAAGACAAAACTAAAATTATACTCAAAGCAGGCGGGTAATTCGATTACGCGTCTCTGCTCTCATCTCGCTCTTGCGCACCAAAAAACGGTACAATTTGTACCGTATAAATTCGCGTACCGTCGGTTGAGCAATCACTTGATAAAAGTCTCTTAAATATCATAAAATGCAAAGATTTTTTTGGTTATTAAGTTTATCAGCTGCTTCACATTACAGAGCCGGCAGTCTACAGGTATTTTTATAAGGAAAATTTATCCTTATTAGAAAATTATCATGTTAACGGTGGGAATACAATCTTGCTGTGTTTTTTTTCTTGAGAATTAAATTAATCTTTTGCTTAGTACCGAAAATCAGCGATTCCTGGACGCATGGAAGTAACTCGTTACATGGGCTGGCGACGAGGCAATGGTGGCTACAATGGCTGCATTCAAACCCATATCGATGAGAAGGCAGTGGCTACTATGGGTTCGGAAACTATAAGTGGAATCGGCAATGTTCCTGCGCAGTATATTGTGACAAATATTGAGGACTCTTCATCAATCGATCAAGGTATCTTTTTTATTTTTTCTTGAATCATGCTTTTGATCGCCATTTTTGATAACCGTATTTAAGATACGGTATTTTGACCATGTTCAATCTGAAATCAGTTCTCAAAGTTGACGATATTTTAAGCATCTCACTTCTGCTTTGGAAGCTTCACTTTTGACATCGATGTCAGCAACGTTAACGACTTCGTACACTCATATGACGGCTGCTGCACAATTACCCTGACTGTTGATGACGGAAGCACATATAGCGGAAGTTTCGGATATACAGCCTACGTCCAAGATGTTTCCAACAGCTCGCCACAGTTCATTTCGCCACCGATTTGGTACATAATGGAGGGGTGCAGCGAACAAACGTACCATGTCAATCCGATTGATCCTGAAGGAGATACTGTTCGCTGTCGATGGTCATCTGCTTCTGAGGCTTCTGCGTTCGCGAGAAACGCCACAACTCTGAAGCAATTTTCTCTCGACGAAGAAAATTGCATTGTTACATATCATCCTGAATTTGACGAAGTTGGACGAGGTTCAAAGCCAATCGCTCTTCAGGTCGAGGATTTTGATTCAAACGGAAACCTCCTGTAAGTTACAAGTATTTTATGCATCTTAATTTTATTTTGAAGACACTCTGTTCCGCTGGGATTTGTCAGCGTCGTTTTCACACCAGACATCACTGCTGCTCCAAACTCGTTAACGCGAACATCTTCACGAAAGAGACCTCTTTACGCTGGTCTTATGGAGGAAATTGAGGATGAAAACGACCGCCGTAGACGCTCTTCCGAAAATCCTGATTTCATGCTTTCTCGGAATATCCGATCGACCGAGCCAAATCATTGTCTTGGTCGACCATCTTTCAGTCGTCAATCACCCGCTCAAGGAGAGGAACGAATTTTCATTTGGAAAGCCGGCTTGAAAATAATAATCGACTGGGAAGTCTCCTGGAGCATTGGAGACTCCATTTACTACAATATTCCTCGATACCAATTCAGTAGTCCATCGGGAATGACATGCACCGCTTTCAATAGTGATGGAAAAGCAGTCTGCACATGGCTGCCAACGAGCCAGCAAGCAACTCAAGGCGAACATCCTCATTGCGTTGTCGCGTACGACTACTTCGGAAGAGCTTCTGATCGACAATGCATCACTCTGCGAGTCTTTCTTCCATGTCCAGAGGGCACCCAGCGGGTCGGTTCAAGCTGCGAATCGAGGCTTCAAAGTTGCAAAAGCGGTTTCGAGCGAAATGATGAGGGCGAATGCGTGGACATCGACGAGTGCGCTCGAGAAATGGACAACTGCTTGGCAGATAAAGAAAAATGCGAAAACGAGGAGGGTTCATATATTTGTGTTGATCTACCAATGTCCGGCGAAGATGCTCTAGCAACTCTTGAGCAATGGATCAATATGACGGCTGAGGTGATAGATGATCACCCAAGAGTGGGAAAATTCCGAATCCGGATTTACAAACTCATTCGAAACGCCATAACAAGCTTAGATGCGAATTGCATAAGCCCTTACAATCAAGAAAAATACGGGAAAAACGATTTTGCAATTTGGATAAAACAAGCAACTAAATCAGATGATCATTGCACCCAAACTTCGAGGCTTAAGGATGGCCTCTACTCTTGGGTGGACAACTACGCCTGTTCCGACACTCGATCAAGGCGTCAAACTCACAGAATCCACAAATTCATCGAAAAAATTACTAACCCATACTGCTGACATCCTGTCTCTCCAATTGGTATTTTGGTGTATTCATGAATCTTCGCTTTCTCGTTTATTTTTTTCTTTGTTTTCAATAAAAAAATGAGAATAAATCATAAAAGTCCCTCTTTTACGAATATTCATTGCTACAAATATGCTTTTTAAAAGCCTAAAACGTCTTAGACGACCTTATTAAGGGATCCCCCGATTTCGTCAACTTTGACTTCGAACTACTTTTTTAGGGCTGAGCTTTTTACAAGTATGAGGGCTCATTTTGAAGCAAACGTTGAACAAACTCTAGTACAGAAATTAATTTTCATAAGGGGAAACACCTAGAAAAGACGGGCTGAAAACATTGATACTCGTGAAAAACCCCATTTTGGGCCATTTTCAAAATCGAACTTGTTTTTTCTGCTCTTAGATAGAGCCCTAAATCAATAACAACTGTCTTCCTTGATCCCTGATCTATAATCTCTAGTACAGGCATGTGATTCCGTCAAGGATTGTAGAATTTTTCTTAACAAGATGTTTTTTAACTGATTTTTGCCATTTTTTCGACTTTCTTTGCTCTCTAGCGCCTTTGAGTGGTTAGATGTTTCATTTAATCTATTTTTTTCGAATTCAGTTTTCTCTAAGCTTTCTAAAGAGCCCTTATTCATCTGATTATGTCGACTTTGAAAAGTCGAAAAAATTGCGAATTTTTACTAAGTAAAATTTTTCGTTCAAATAAGCCATTTTCAAAGCTGTGTCACGGTTAACCACGTGACGGACTCCCCTTGACATAATATATGAAAATGATCGCCAGACAACGGAGATTCCGAAAATATATCACATAAAAGCCCTCGATGATATTTTTCAAATCGGGAGGGGATCCCTTAAGGTATTTTTATTGAATTGTTAATTGAGATTGAACAAAAGAATAAAAAGAAGAAAAACACAGAATACAGAAAGACAGATTTTTCAGTTATTTGCGATTGTTTCTTGAATCCAAGATTTGGCAGCAAAGACAGAAGAGTAGAGACCGGGGTATCCTTCCCAGGCGCATCCGGTTCCTCTAGAAACAACGCCGCTAAGAGTGGCACGACCGTTGATTGGGCAGATGAGGGGTCCGCCAGAGTCACCTTGGCAAGCATCTTTGCCGCCGTCGATAATATCGTCTTCGTTGAGATCGGGGATTCCAGCGCAGATGTCGTCGGCGACCAAGAAGCTTTGGTAACTGTTGTTGAGGCAGTATTCCTGGCTCATGTAGTTGACTCCGACAGATTGGAGAGTGCTTGAGAGCGATCCACCTAAAGAAATAAAAAAATGAAAAACAAACTCGATTTCAAAGTATCACCAGAAGAAGTAGTGCCCCAGCCGGCGACCCAGCAAGCTTCTCCATGGTCGGGCTCAGCATCGGGAAGGCAAGCAATCTCTGTCTTTCCCTCTGGGTCCGCAGCGATGATGTTCTGGTCGAATTTGATCAAGCACCAGTCTGAGTTTTGTCCAGTTCCATCGGAGCTGTTGCCGTATTCTGGGTGATTGAAGAACGTGCTGGATACGAGAGTGTACTCGTCTGATTCTTGAGCATTGGCATGAAGATCGCCGAAAGTAGCGAAAATCTCCGCCATGCCCTCGCAGCAATGAGCAGCGCTCAAAACCCAGTTCGTGTGAATGATGCTGCCGCCGCATCGGTATCCACCGCCGCTGCCGACCGTTTCTCGCAAGAAAAGACGAGTGATCCACGGCCACTCGTTGTCTCCAGCCGTGACGCCGCCGACGATCTTTCCAGATTCGAGACCGGGGAAGTTCAGCGCGTTGGAACAGGTGTCGAGGCCGGCGGTGATGAAATCAGTGAGCTCCTTGAACTCGGGACCGGGCTCTTCCGCATCACATTTTCGTCGGTGGAAATTCTGCTGAAGTCTTTTGCTTCGACGCGTTATTTGTCTGGGAACGTTTCCTCGCCCGTTGCAGGCATATTTTCGGGCAAAAGAGCGCAACGCAGACATGATCTGAGAGTTGAGCTTGCAGGGGTCGTTTTTGTCGAAGACATTGAGGTCATCACCAGCATCGACAGCCTCGTCGCACGGGGCTCCGTCTCGATCATTTGCGTCGATGACTCGTGCTGCCCATTTTTGGACTTTTGCTACGTGGCGGGCATCCTTCCGGTTTTCCATGTCCATGGACATCTCCGCCAGTCGCTAAATAATAGGTCAATACAAAACTATATTCTCATTAAATAATTCCAAGACAGCAGTGTACTTACATCAAGGTGTCCCATAATTTTATCGTGCCGTTGCTGCATGTTTCCAGCATTAGCCATTGCCGCGAGTCCTATGAAAAGTTTCATGGTTTTATTGTTTTCTATAATTTAGTGACTTGATGGTCGAACAGCGGAACTTTTTATAGAACTTTTTTTTGGTGGCGATCGAGAGCGGTATCAAGGAGCGCAAACGGTTAATGTTTTGACCATTGATGGCAGACACGTTTGGCTTATATTGAGGAACCAATTACAGATTAACGGAGAATAGATATGGTCATTAACCGCCGGAGTACCGTACCACCGCCCTATTATATTGTCAAAATAAACGTGAGATATCAATAAGAGCTACCTTCCTGCCAGTGATACGTTTTGCTTTGGTTGAGGAAGCGATTGTTGAAATGCAGAAAACTGATACTTTGCTGTGTATATTTTCCGCATCTCAATAATTTCGCTGACAGGAGCTCTCGCTGAAACGCTGTGCGTTCGGTACAAGCATAGATCCGGTTATATTCTTCGCAACAACGTGGCTCGGCAGCCAGATGGCAAATTTTCGAATAGCAACGCAGAAACTGAGCGAAATAATTGCGGCTTTCGGAATTTAAATTGAAAACATGAATGCTTTATAATTATTTTCATAGAATCAAGTGCCAAGCGCATTTTTTTTCATCCTGCAAGCCTTCAAAGTGAACCGTGTAAACTTTACATTACATTTGTAATGTAATAAGCTTTGCTTATAGTTTTCAATGTTTTTCTTTCGTTTTTGGAATGAGTAATTTTATTCTGATTGCAAGGAAGAAAGAAGAATAGTTAAATTAAGATAAGGAAGTATTGCATATCAACGTTAGTCGTCCCATTCCGAGTCGTTGTCGGAGTCGTCTTCGTCGTCCGAGCCGCCGACTGCTGGCCTCATCATTTTTAGTCTCTCCGCGAGTTGATCCACGATGGATGGTTCTGATGTTCAAGTTCAAAAAAGGATTCAAGAAGAATATTCCAAGTTTATGTTAAAAATAAAAAATGGAGAATATTTCTGTTACTTTGAACTTTTCCTGAGACAGATGCTCTTGGAGAGGGATCCTTCGTGACTTCAGAGCTCACTGGTCTCAGTTTATTCACACTCATTCCTTGAATACTTTGAAGCAGAGCGTTTCGACCTTCATCTGCTGGTGGTTTATTGTTTTGAGGAGGAGGTGGAGGCGGTCCACCGCCGCCGGTTGGCTTCATACTCGAAGGAGGGGGAGGTGGAGGGCCACCGCCAGCAGCTGGAGGTGCTGGTGGAGGAGGAGGACCACCACTGGGCGGAGGTGGCGGTGGAGGGCCTCCGAAGTTCGATGGAGGAGCTGGGGGAGTAAAGGTTGGTGGGGGCTTCGAATTGATTGGAGGTGGTCCTGGAGGTCTCCTGGCGTTTGGAGGCGGAGGCGGTTTCTTTCCATGAGTTGCTCTTGAACCGCTTGGCGAACCGTGGGGTTGAACTTGAGGAGGTGGCTTCGGAAATCCCTTCTGCTGAGGTCTCTAAAATTTGTATAAAATTCGAAGTATCAGAGAAATATTTGTTTTACGTGAATAGACTCTCGTCGAACTGGGAGAGCGGGTTTATGATCTACATGTGGAGGGAGCTGTGGTGGCGATTTCAACTGATTCGAAGGATAATTCGGAAAATTCGAATTGATATTTCGATGTGCTTCAATTGGTGGTGCTGGGCGCGCCGAAAAGCCCGAAGGAACCTGTTTCAGAGCTGGCAATCAAATTACACAAAATTACAATTCAAAAAGCTTTCTTTGGAAGTCCAAGAAACCTTTCTACCGGTACAACTAGCAAAATCAAACTTTCGATTTACAATCTCGACCTGAGGAGCTGGTTGCTTCACACTTTGAGCGCGGTGCTTTCGCTGAACGCTTTCGAGTCCTCCTTTTTCGTCGATGAATTGATAAATTTGCTTCCTTTGCTGATCGTTCTTCATCATTTCGTTGATGTCGCGCTCGTTCGCAAAGTTCATTTCTCGCAGCAATCTTACCACTTCTTCTTGGTCATTTCTAGGAACGTAAAATAAAGGGAATTGCAACTTAGCATCTGGGCTCGGCAACCTGCGTAAAACACCTGAGTCGTGGTACGCAGGAAAGCCGCGTTCAAACAAATCCACGACGAATTTTTAGAACCCTGACTCAGGTTTTTTTGCACAGCCAAGCCAAGCTAAACAACTCCTTACCCTATCTTCTTCATTCTTCCGTCAGGTCCAATATTCACTCCGTTCAAATGCTTGAAAGAATTCTCTACCGGCCCAGAGATGTCGAGCTTCGTCAGCTTTCCCTTCTTCTTCCCACGCATGTTGCTGGTGCTGGTGTCTATTCCGGAGTCCAAACTCTGCTGCGAGCCATGGTGCAGTTGGCCGCTGCTCACGCTTTGAGAAAAGTAGCTGCTCGAGTTGCCCATGTTCGAGCTTACATGGGGCGGCTCGTTAATCGTCTAAAAGGGAAATTCAGTGTCAGAACACAGCGGTCTTTGCAGACTCGTGTTCGTTGAAAATTGATTTCTACGAACTGAATCTACAATTCTAACTGTAAATGAGAGACCTTCGAAAGTAGAAGATCCGAGAATAATTTTGTTTTTTAGATTTCTTTATAAATGACTAAAAAGAAAAGTTATTGATGGAAACCATAATTAAAATTCACACCAGAAGAATCAGATCAACTAACTACCACAACCAAACGCAGTGAAAAATAAGTGAAACTAAAATTTTTGACAGCTCATTTCTGGAAGTTCACAGAATGAGCCCTACCCTCAACAACGCAAGACTTTATCTAAGCTGAAGATTCACCCTCGGGACTTCCGAAACCGGGACGTAATCAGTTCAAGAGAATCTACGGTAAAATACCGAATGAAAAAAGGTACCTTGACGACGAGTCCAGTAGCTTTTCGCGCCTTGAATTTCGCCGCTTTCTCTTTGATGATCTCGAGCGCGACTTGTGCTTCACTCTCATCGGCGAAATTGATGCCCATCTGAACGAAAACAAACCTCAATTAGAGCTTCAAAAGCAAACAAAATTTTAATTAAAGTACACATCTCCTTACTACTGAATCACTCAGAATCGAGCTGTACCTGACAATCTCGGCCAGAAAACTGCAAAAAGAAATTCCTCGTCATTTGGATATTCATGTCATCGTAAATTTCCTCTTCCCAGAGCGGCTTTGAATCGTGCTGCAAAAGCGAGTAAAGAGACAGAAAATAGCCTCTTCGTCTGGAATCCTTGACGATGACCAGCGCTCCGACGGCGACTTTCGCCCAGCTGTTTCGATCTGCGCGGAGAATTTGGGCAACTGCAGTTTGTAGAGCTAGTTGCTTTATTTCCAGCTTTTTGTGAACTCGCGCGTTTTCATTTTGATTCAGCCTCTAAGATGAATTCAATTACGAATATTTTCGTTAATTACTCTCAGTCTATAAAATTAGGGCTAGGCCCCCATATGAAAGGAGTTATCCAGTTTGACGACACTGTTCTTCAATATTTTTGATTTCCAGCCTAGACGAAATCAATAATAATGTAAATAGCCCCAAATAAAAAGCAAAGTTATGATTTCCAAAAAACGACAATCTGTTCTCACACAAGGAGGCCCTCTTTCGATAGAATCTAGCAAATTGGACAAAAAAAATTTTGGTCGGCATTAAGAAAGCCCTTCCAGGACCCTGACTAAGATTTTCTGTGACTAAGACCTTCTAAGATGAAGGTTGCTAAGCCTAGAATTGGGACCGGGTTGGGAAGGTCGAGTAAAATCGCTAAAAATTCTAGTCTATTCTTCACCCTCAATAATATCTGGATGAATAAACTCACCGATGATGATTTATGCTCCTGTGGAACTTTTTTCGGCCTCGCAGTTGTCATTTCAAACTTCTCTGTCGTAAAAGTTCATTCACGTCTTCAATTTACGCTTCTCTCTCTCTTTTCGTTTCTTTTGTCCCGCCTTCTCTTCTTGGTTACGATTCTCGCGTTTGTTTTACAATTTTCTGAAATCACGAGTCTCCTTATTTTTTTTTTATTTTCTCCAGTGAAGGGCAGCACGGGCGTTTTCGCCCGTTTCGTTACTCAATAAAAGCCGCAGAATGACTTTAGCGCCCGTCATCCATGAAATTTTCACAAAAATGCACCGGCGGAGCTATTATTAGCGCATTTCCTCAGCGCATTACCGGACAAATGAATCACAATTTACTGTTTCTCGTCGAAAAATGCGCAAAAGACAAAAATGGAAGAAATAAGGATTTAGTATTGAATTGCGATTGATCGATTATTCGAATTGAAGTCGAAAGGAAAATTGCACAGAAAAAATAGGAGTTTTGAAATCACCAGGGTTGAAAAAGAAAGTGAGGGGTCAGAAGAAAGGTCAATGTCGTGAAAAAAGAATGGAAGAGGTTTTCTACAGAAAAAATTGATACTAGCACAAGAACAGCTACAAAATAAAGATAGGTTTTTAATCCCGGTACTGCTGATTTCTCTTAGTCCTAGTCTAGGACTCCTAGAGCCCTCTAGGCAAGAAGAAAGACTAGGAAATTAAGGCACCGTTGGTGGTTTGGAGAAAATGTAGAACATCAAGCCGTACAATGCAAAAAGCAAACAGAGAATGCCTACTAATGCACTTCCCATCCATTTTGTCTCGTTCGTCACAGAAGTCGCTGAATCATTTTCCTTAGTACAATCACTCCAAAATTAGTCAAAAGTTACATTTTCGAATGTCCGCTTTAGTTTTGAAGTCTCTAGTCGCATCTTTGTTTGAATTGTCCCGCTGGTAGGTTCCGATGTTCTTCCTGTACTTTGTGATTGGCGGCTACAGCCTTTAATTTATTTAAAGCCCCTGCAAGTTAACCTACCTGAGCCATTTGCGCCTTTCCACCTCCTTTGCTGCCTTGCCCACCGCGAGCCATTTTCAAACAAACAAGTCCGAGACAATTTTCTTTTGACAAAAAATTGAAAAATTTATTTCCGAGAATATCTGATTAAATAGAATACAGTGAGTTCTGAGTCAGACAGAAAGTTGCAACTTGAAACAGGAACGAATTGTTGAAACGGCAATGTATGTGGCTGAAGAAGCTTTTCTCGAGCGGTGGTCAAAAACAGTATAAATAATATCAAAATTGAAGAAGGGACGGCGGTAACAGTGGTTTACAAGTCAAGTTCAAGTCCAAGTCCGACTTTGAGGTCTTGTGGCTGGCCAGTTGTAATGAACTTGGAGCATTGAGCCGCGAATGTAGCAGTAATTCCTGGGAATTGCTAGAAAAAGAGGATAAGCAGCGAAAAGAGATGAAAATTGGGCGCGTGAGATAATAATATTCGCACCTACTTCTTCCCTACCTTTACATATTGAACATCGAGAAGATCCTTGTTTGAGACTCCGAGCTTGAGTTCTGATGAATCCGACAGAACATGCTCGAATCCAATCTTGTAATTGTCCCCAAAATCGGTTTTTACGCCAATAAGCGTATTCGCATCTGTGCCCTTCGTTACGCAGAACTCGTACTTTTTCAGATCCCCGGTTGAGAGGATAGCCGAGAAGTATTTGTCCTCATAGCCAGCTTTGAGATCCGGCAGTTGCTTGAATTTATCGAGTGTTATTTTCCACTTGCCCTTTTTACGACTTACAGTCTCCGCGATTTCGGGCAAATGCGCGGCGACGAAGTAGTTGTCCCAGTCGAGTTTGATCTGGCCGGAAACGCTGGTTCTGATGCTTCGATCGAGCGGGACTTCGAAGTCGAAGCCAGTGTGGAGTCGGCCGAAAGCATGGTTGTATTTCAACTCCGCCATGCCGTCGCGGAAGATGGAGCCGCCAGGAACGGCGTTGAAACGGACAGCTGCGTTTTCTGAGAACTCGACTCGTTTTGACCAGAGTTTTTCCGATGGTGTGTACGTCACGTGCGTCGGAATTGTTCTGTCAAAACTTTTGATTCCAAAGTCGCCGCAGACATCGCGCAGATTCTAAAAAAATAATGAGTCTTAGCTGAAGATGCGATTTTTGCGTATTTATGTTCTAAAAAAGCCAGGAAAGCTTCAGAAAGCAGGAAATCGTTAGGCTAAGAATCATTTCCTTCGAGTATTTGTTTCTCTCAGTATTTTTCGCGAATTTTGTCCGCTTGAGGCATATCGAACCGCGGAAAAGCTGCTGTAAAATACAAAAAAATACAAAAAAATCGAAATGAAATGAATGCGAAATTTTCTCCGTCTGCCTCGTCTCTCAGAGAATAAATGAAAACTACTAACGCTGCCGATCACTGTTACTATAAGTTATCCTCATAGAGCTGAAAATATATTTCAACAATCAATCTTAGCCTACTAGAGAGAGTAATTTTAACTTACCGGAAGGAATGTAATCTCAGCCTTTCGATCATCTCCAAGAGCAGTAAGCTTCCAATGAACGGGAAATTGATTTCGAGCATCGGAGTGCCCAGAAACTCTGAATCCAATCTTCCCCAAAGTTTGCGACTCCTCAAACAGACTCGTGTGTCCGATACTTTCGAACAGCCGCGTCATTTTTTCTAAAAAAATCGTCGGTTAATTCTTCGAAATTTGAAACATGTATCGTATATTCAGTAATCAGCAGATTCATTTTCATACATATTAATTTTTAACTAGTGATTTTTCGACGAGGATAGGAAAATGGAGAAAATGGAACAGGAAGCGCCAGAACTTGGGCTTGCAACTGTGATTCTGTGACTGTAGCACTGGGACCAAACAATAAGTTATGAAAGTAATGGTGAAAGGACTTTTCTCTCGAAATCAAAATTATTTTGAGAAACAAAGAACAAAGCCAAGCCGGAAATGAGTAAAAATTGAGCGCCGCCGCGTATGGTTTTTCGATGAAAAATTGGATTTTTCTATTTTTGGGTGATGAATACAGATGTTGGTTTCAACTGGATTTTTCGCATGTTTCAAGCTAGTTTTACAAATAAAGGATTCAGGGTGGACTTTCTGATGAAACAAAAAAAGATGCGGACTTTTCATATTTTAGTGATATTTTCATTTTTCTGGACAGAAATTTTTGTGCCCATCGCGCTTCCACGAGTTAAAATGCATTTTCACCTTGCTCTTAGATTCTACGCAATCAACAGTCGAATTTAAACTAGATGAACTAGATTCGTCGACAAGATTGAAGATTATCTGATTATCTGAGCTCGGCAACCTGTGTAGAAAACCTGAGTCAGGGTCTGAAAGATCGTAAATGGAAAACCGCGGCTTTTTCTAAACGAAGTCGGGAAGCGGCTTTGTCAGAATTTAAAATCGATGGAAAAGAGAAATTTGCAAGAGCCCTGACTCAGATTTTCGACACAGGTTTCCGAGCACAGCTGATTATTGGTAGGATGCAGTACGGCTTGCTGGGATTTAGAATTTTTCCTTTGGATTTCAAACATTAAGTGCAATAAAATATATCTACGCGTAATAGTAATAAACTGTAACACTAACATCTTGGTTTGATGATAGAAAAATGGGATGAAAGAAAGGACACGAAGGAATAAAAACTAGTTTTGACGCTCTGTTTTGATCAATTTTCACTCACAAAACGGGGCAATCGCGGCGGATGAGATTAAAAAGTGTGGTGAGTTTTTTTTCACATTTTCACGAATTTTTATTTGCAAAAGTCAGTTAAAACTTCGGAAATCTGTTATTCTTCTTTTTATCGGCAGGTTTTAGGATCTTTCAAATGGTCTTTATTACATACAAAAAAGACGAATATGAAAAAAATATAAATCTGAAAGCAATTGTAGCCGCAAATCGCGGCTTTTTTTCTTAGCTCAAAGCCGCAAGCGGCTTCTCGATTGAAACGTCTATTGAAACCCAGACATTTCAAAAGTGGTGGTCCAAGATTGTGGATAAAGCTTCGAAATATAACGCTAAATTGTGGACTTTCGTAATATGAACTTATTATCCAATTAGAAAGCACAAATTGACAATCTTGGGAGTTTCTTTCGAAGCATTATGGACAATTTTCGACCCATGTAAAGTCAATTTTGTTAAAATCAAAGGTCGTTTTTTAATTAATAATGTAGATAAATGGTTGATAAATGGATGATAAAGGACCATGCCTGGAAGGAACACATGAGGGTTTCGTCCACTGACATCATAGCTCCCGCGTTGTCAAATTCGCCGCAGTAATTTGGCGCCGAGAAGAGTGTAACCAACTGTCGCTTTGCAAAGAACTCGTATCCGTCTTCCACCACTTGATGGGCTCTGCAATCAACGATGAGTATCACAGAAGAAGAGAAGGATGGCTTACCTGCATATTAAATCGAGATCGTGCTTGTATAAGAATTTGGCGACGACTTCTGCGCCGAATGTGTAAGAGACGCCTCTGTCGTTTTCGCCCCAGCCTTGCGTTTCTTTGTCTGGATCGGACCAGAGCAGATCGCATAGAAGACCCTGGTCGGGAACGTCTAAAAGAAGTTTGAAGAGGCGATGAAATCAAGGAAGAGTTATACCTGTTGGGCGCATGATTCTTCTGATCTGTTCCATGGATTCGAGATCAGGACTGAGACCGCCGTGGCAGCAGAAGATCTTTTCATCGATGATAGCCGCGAGTGGAAGGCAGTTGAAACAATCTGTGAACGTTTTCCAAAGCTAAAATACCGAATTATATCCACGAATTCAAAAGTTCGGCAACCTGTCCAGAAAACCTGAGTCAGGGTGCGGCATTTTATTACAGATCTTTCAGACCCTGACTCTGGTTTTCTACACGTGTTGCCGAGCCAAGTTAAAGGGGGTGAACCTTGATGTTATATCGCCGTTTGCATTCGTCGTAAAAGCCGTAGATTCTGTTGATAGAGGCGCATTCGTGGTTTCCACGGAGAAGGAAAAAGTTCTCTGGGTATCTGAGAATAATCATTGTTATGAAGAGCGAAAATAGTTCGATGTTTACTTGATTTTGTAAGCGAGGAGGAGGCAGATAGTTTCCAAGGACTGCTTTCCTCGATCGACGTAGTCTCCCAAGAACAAATAGTTGGACTCTGGAGGGAAGGCGCCGTACTCGAAGAGACGGAGCAAGTCGTAGTATTGGCCGTGAACGTCGCCGCAGATTTTCAACGGGGCCTCAAGCTCGAGAAGGATTGGCTGCGCCAGGAACACCTCGCGGGACTAAAAAGAGTAAAGGAGGAAGAGGGAAATGTTGGCTTACTTTTAAACATAGTCCTCGGATCTCTTGCTCTGTCAGCTGAACAGCTTTGCCAGGTCGGCTGCCTCGAACTTCAAGAAGTCTGGAGATGATCGAATCAATGTTTATTTTATCTGTATCCGACATCTACCAGATACAACCGACTCAAACCTTCTAGAAAAAAAAACAATTAACAACCCACTAAAAACCCATCCCCGGCCACCCCGAACTTGCCTCGAGTAAATCGGTGAGAATACAGGACACTTTTTTGTAAACTAAGGGGGCAACTTGGGATGGCCGGGAAAATAAAAAGCGTTCTAGAGACAGAAAATGTTTTTCTTGGAAATTGAAATTCAGTCAAAATAGTCGGCAATGTCGATTTCTGGGTCCAAAAGACCGTCTTTTAACTCGCCAATATTAATTTCATTTGAGATAAGATTTTCTAGCGCTAGGGTCGGCAACAAAAATCTTTTCTGGAAAGAGACAGAAACCCAATTAGCCCGCTGGTGCGCAATTATCGCGGTCATAAATCGCCGACCCCATTTTCTATGACCTCCAGTAATTCACAGTCTTCTTTGTAAATCAGAATAGCTCCTCTCACGCGATCCTCATAGATCACCACTTTTATGAACTCGGCTCCCTTGGTTTCTGCGCGGACGGGTTCGAAAATATTAAAAAATATGGGAACTCGAAAGCCAAAATTAAGGGAATCGGTAAAAGGAAAAAAGATCGGGAAGGTAAATTGGTTCCGGATGGTTGGCAATAAGGCCACTGCAGCCGGGGATCACGCATAAGGAGAAAATCGAGCCACAAGTGGTTCGGACTGGCGCTATTTAGGCTTGTGAACTTTGGAAAGAGGATCATAATGCATAGTTGCAGAATAAAAAATGGATCTTTTTAATAGGTTTTGTTTCGTTAAAAGGAATTTTTTGATGGATTAAATAAACAGAAAATGAATGAATAAAATCCTTACTTTTTTCTTGTTTTCTTTTTTTAAGCAATAATTGAATTTTTCCGCGAGAAAATCAACAATTCTAGAGATTTAAAAAATCAATTAACAGCAATAGTTGAAGTTCAATAATTGAATGAACTTTAGACTCGATTCATTTTTATAAAAATATATTTTAAAGCAGCAAATTTCTCGGCGGTAAATCTCTTGATGCATAAGAGAGAATAAATAAGAAATTAATCCTCTAGGCTTCTTTAAAATCTCTTAAAAAGGGTGAAGCGGCGCTAATCCAGCGATCTTGAGACGTTATTTATTGCTATATTTCAACCCATCGCCATTGAACTCGAATAGCCAAAAGAAAAAAATAAGTTATTTCGCAAAAGTAAAGCATAAATTAAAGATGCGCCTCTGAGATGTCTGAAAGCCACAGTAAGACGGAAAAGACACAGAAATCGCTGCTGAAAAGGTCTGAATAAGTTTTGCTTTGAATAATTGATCGATTCAAGAGCGACTCTCTCTTTTGATAATGACAAAGGCGATGGATGAATATTCGATTGGGCCAGTTGATCTTGAACGATCTTTCTTCTCAACGAAAAAAAACTTGAATCAATTAATTAATATATTTGATTTAATAAAATAATATATTTTTCGAAAATAAAAGTTTTCAATGAAGAAAGTTTGATAAACCAATAAAAAGACAAAAAAATGAAGATTTCTGATTGGCTAAAAATATCAGAAAGAGACAATCAAAAACAAGAAGTCAGAAATTTGAAAGAATGCTGTTACCTGGGGTCGGGAACTACCCACTTAAATTTGGTGGGTAGAGTAGGGTAGAGTAGGTCCGAATTTCGAACTGCTCTGGGTAGGGTAGGGTAGAGTAGAGTAGTTCGTGGGTAGTATATTCTAGAACAAAAAATATACAAAAAAATATTTTTTATTCACTGAAAAATGAGTTTTTTAGCGAAAATTTAAGTAAACAAACATTTCTAGTTGTGTACTAGGAATTTTTACATGAATATTTCTTGCTCAAAGCCTATTCTTCTTGCTTTTCCTAGAATTTTGGCTCCAGAATCTCGAGAATATGAGACCTACCCACATAACTACACACTCAAAAATAGTGGGTAGAGTAGGGTAGAGTAGATGGAACTACCCTACCCTACCCTACCCAGCCCAAATCTACCCACTTGGGTAGGGTAGATCCCGACCCCAGCTGTTACTAACTAAGAATATCATAATGTTGAAAATTTAAAATAATAAGAAAATTGAAAAATAGAAGCTTATTTGCGTTTTGGCGTTGTTTTATTTTCGAACCCGTTCTCTCTGAAAATGATCTCAACTTGGCGCTGGGGAAGCGTTTGCGCATTGTACAATCCAAGAAGCGCCGTTCTATTCATTTGGGATTTGACTTTCGTGAGTAAAAAACGAGAATAGCGCATTTTGGCCAAGAGCGCGGCAAGAACGCGCAAATATTTGAATTTTTTTTTTCAACTATCAGAAGAATAAAATTTGTTAAAAAATGATTCATATTCTGAAACATCGTTTAATAAAATTGAAGTTTTAAAAGTCATTTGAATAAAAAAATAGAAGAAAGAACTGTCAAGAAAAACATTCAAAAATAAATCCCGTTTCCTGAAGCCAAAAAAGCTGGTACAATGAGTAAAAGTCGTAAAACAAAAATCAAGCAGTGCTTCTTGCTCGTCTAAATGACTGTTGCTTCGTTTCAGAAAGCAAAATATTTGAGCAGCTAAATCGCACAGTCCTACTGTAATTATCGAATTTCGGAATCGTCAACATCGAAAATTGAAAACTCATCGACAGGGAATCATGTTTGCTCTCTCGAAATATTTGATTTTGAATTAGATCGACAAATCTTCGATTTCCGAGTGATTTATACAAGCATTTACGACCATTTCTTTGCGTTAAATTCAAGTAAATACTTGAAATTCTCAGTTTTTGTAAAAGTTTTGTAATAAGAGACCTTGATTTCCTTTTAACCTGACTCGGGAACCTGTGTAGAAGCCTGAGCTACGATCCTGAAAAAGCTAAGATGACCATTTGTCTATTCGTGAAAGCGATTTCAGAGCTCTTACACAGGTTTCTACACATTTTTCCGAGCCACGTTCAAGGGAAATCAAGGTCTTTTGCTACATAATTTCGACAGAAATTGAGAATCCTTGAATTTGAGGTAAAGAAAAAATTGTAAATGTTTATAGACACGAGAAAAAATTATAGAAGTCTGTAAAAATTTTCATTGTAAATCTTACACTGTAAAATAAAGCGGAAATCAGGGATTCGCTGATTGTAAAATCAAAGAAGGAAAAATCAAACAAAAATGGTCAAATAGATAACTCGGTTTCTGAAAAACTAGACTATCAAAATGCAAAACATCAAAAACTCGTTTGGACTTATTTGACATTCGCTTTTTCAAGCTTCTGAAACGCGCCTGACAAGACATCTGGCTGCATATTTACCCATTTGAATAGCCTGTGTCCATAGACGCATCTACGGAAGGGGCCCATCAATATTCCGTCTCAGAAGACTCTTCTATGTTTTCACTATTTCTATTTACTATTTAGAGTAAATATATGAAAACTTGGGCTCCGATCGATTTTTCAGACGACTGGAGAAAACTAGTTTTACGAGGCAGCGGCGCGCACCGGAAAGTTATTAAAACAAAAAAATACTCAGGAGAGTAATTGAAAATTTTACTAAAAAAACTATTTTCCCTTGAAAAAAATCCATTCAAAAAATTCTCTATTTTTGGAATTTTAGGACTTTATCAGTACGATTTTTGTCAATTTTTAGAGATCGCTTTTTTTTGGGCAAAATTCAATAAAAAAGTGGCCAAAAATGGGCAAAATTGCCATTTTTTAGCAGAAAAATCGCAAAAGCGAAAAAACTGTGTTTTTTGTGGGCCGGACCTGAAACCAATTTGGGATCTCATCAGAGGGCCAATTATGCGTAGTACAGCAGTCTCCAGCTGCGTAAATGCATGGATCAGAAATTGAACGCATGTTGGAATCGACTAAAATGCCTCTTAAAAGCGGGCTCTTCTTCTGTAAAACTGCTCTCTTCAAAATAACAAAAATCCATTTTGGTAAAAATTCTCTCAGCGTTTCAACTACTTGAATTCTGCTCTGGCAAGTTGAGCAAAGAAAGGGCCAAATTTGAACTGCTTGGTTCCGCCAGGCGTAGTATTTACAATTGGAGCAAAAGCACACAAGCGCGTATTTACGAACTGATTAATGCTCCTCGCGCTTTTTTCTTTGAGTAGCGCCGCCCGCCGATCCTGTCTGCTTCGATTGAGATTTCAAATGACGTCATTTTCATTTCTTTACACATTTTTTCACAAAATACTCAGGTGATTTTCTCTCATTTTTGATGCTGAAATCCTCTTCCTGGACTAAGTTCCAAAATGCCATCGACCAGTTCTGTCTGTAAAAAGCTGTAAATCAATCTTTCTTTACATTCTTTCAACACAAGATGCACTCAACTTGGATTAAACTTGGATCACCCTTGTCAAGATTAGAAATACTGATTCCCCTGGAGACTACAGACACGGCATTGTTAAAACAAGACTCTTTCATTCTGAGACTAATTAGTATTCAATCTCGAACTGAAAAGAGCTCCAGTAAAAAAGAACGGTCTAATTGCCCAAATCATAAATCTCGAATTTGTCCTTGAAGGTCGGTTTGATTTAGATATTGCAGCATTCCTGAGCTTGTACTCCGATGGCGAGGACGACAAAATCGACGACGAATTTGTTCCCATTGGCTAGTATAACCTGGGCAGCGTTGGATTCTGTTTTCACGACGTCGCGCAGCTCAACCCCCGAATCTGAAATGGGCGTGAGATGATCCTCCCTTGAGCTGTTTGGCTCCAATTTATTCAGAACGGAAAATAGATACATTTGAACCCGCAATGAAGGTTCAACAAGCAGCAGTTCAAATCCTCTGCTCCTGTCCTCGGCAACCTGTGTAGAAGACCTGAGTCAGGCTTAAAAGATCTCCTATGAAAAGCGTCGTAATTTTCAATCGAGGTTGCCGAGCTCAAAATCCAGCCCCCATTAATCCCTTTTTTTGATAAAAGCCGCAGCAAAATTGATGCTTTTTTGGAGCCTCGGGCACTTACTTGGTTTTTTAAATCGATTTATAAGCCCAAGATAGCTGAAACCTGCAGCTGTTACTTACGATAAGTAATTTTCCTTTCCGATTCGTTCGATGTTCCAGCAAGCTTGAGGCCCTTGTGTTTGTACCAGGAGGGGCCGAGAGCGGCAGACTGGCAGACTTCTGCTCCGATGACGTTTGGAACCGTGTACTCTGATTGAGTTAACTAAAGTAAAAAAATGCGCGGAAAACAAGTTTTCTCAAAGGGAAATAAAATGACTCACAATCAATTTCCTCCCTTTTTCTGATAAACTTGAACCAAATAACAATTTTAACGCTCTCACCGTGATAAGAGCAATTTTTCGTTTCCACCTTTGGCTTTTTCTCGTCATTTTTCTGCTCTGCCGATTCTAGCAAAAACTCCATGGCCACAGGATCGAGAAACTTTTGGCCAAAGCTTTTTTCTCTCGAGCACCAAACAATTTCCACATGCTTGAGATTGTGCACCAGCTCAAGTGCTACAAAATGAAAGAAAGAGAGTCTTGCTTGAATAATTTTTCTTTCATTTCAAAATTTAAAATTCTCCTCCAGAGGATTAATTTATTAAAAAAATTAATGCGTACCTATACCCCCATCGCCAAAAATAGCAATTTTCTTGGAGTTCTTTTTTGCGGGTTCGGAAAAAGCTTTAATACAGTCACATTATTCTGAGCCAATCAATAAGCGCCTTAGACCTGTATGTAACATTCCCCTGTCAGTACGCCTCCCATCCGAAAATGCTTCGGAAAAGGTGCTAGAAATGAAAGTTCTTAACCCAAAAGTGCCTGTAGCTTTCGCTCAAGAAGAAGTGCAGACTCTGTGTCACTGAAAGGTGTACCTGTTAGAAACAAGGTAAATAACTTCTTTCCACTGGCGCTGAAAATCAATGCCCGATCGATCAGAGGGCAACTCCTTCGCCCACGTCTCTTCTGACAAAAAAGACTGTATATACAGTCCAGCAATAAATAAACATTTACCGTAAAGACAGAACAAGCTCTGGACTCGTCAGCGAAGGTACTTTTCGAGGAACGGCGCCGGTGCAGAGAACCAGTTTTCGGTAAAACAAGTCGTTTCCGCTCGCCAATCTGACGATTTTGTTCTCTTTGTTAATTGCAATAGCTCTTTCGCCGAAAACCTTTAATTCCGCCTCATTGGATTTTTGACCAGTTTTGTTGTTTCGGTCGTTTGCTTTGGCAAAAGGCGCTTCTTGGACGAGACATTCCTCTAGGTCGTACTCTGGGAGAGAAAAAAGTTAGTATACACACACTTTGAATTTTTAATTATAAATAGAAAGCACTGAATATTTGAGCCTTCCACTTTCCTGTGAGAGGATGTAGCCTAGATCTACATGTAGGCTAGAAGTTGAACCTACCGACTAATCCAGAAGAAAGGATTTCGATGTTCTTGATGCGCTTGACGTAGTTGCCGCCAGTGACGAGAGCGATTCTTGCATCACGGTCGGAGAGCTCCAACTTTTTTGACGTTTGAAACAATTAAGAGTATATTTTATTTATATTTGAAATTGAAAAAATCTAAATAAGGAATTTAAAAGCAAGGAACAAACCAAAAATTTGATCGGCCCTCTGAATTGATATTATCTTAGGTCGATGGTTAGATTGATAAAAAGATCATTATCGTGATTTTCTAAATTTAAGGAGAAGTTGATTGTCCGAAGCTGTCTACAAAATAAAATGCAACGAAAAGATTCAGAGTTCTCAATTGTTTTTGGATATTCAAAATGATTCAACAATAAACGAATTCGATGCCCCAGTGTCTACAAATAAAGATAAAACTGATTTTGTAAAATGAGCAAACATAATTTTCCAGTTTTTGTCCATATATATTTAAATAAATGACTATTCTTTATTTTGCCATTTCTCACGATTCCTTGAGTTGATTGACGCATTCTACCGCAGCTATGCCGCCTCCAACAACCACAACATCAAATTTATTCATACTGAAATTTTTTATCTTCAAATCAGCCGCAAAAATTTTCAGTAAAGTTTTGTTAGAACTACTAATTATTCTGCTCACTAAAAAATTAGTAGCGAGAGAGTCATTTTGAACTTTGAGAGAGAATGGGGGAATGCAGTTAACTCAGAGTAAACTTAATAAAATACTTTCTTGTTGAGGAATAAATTGCTACAGTAAGAAAAGGAAACAGAAACAGTAGCATGAAGGAAAGGATATCTACATACTAAGGGCGCAGTTGGACTTTGGCAGTGAAGCATCTTTAGGACTTTTATAATGGCTGTTCTCTTTTTTCTTCGCTTTCTTCCGCAATTTCTTCTTTCAGTTTTTCTTCAGTAGCGATGACGTTCCCGCCAGACGGTCCAGAGATAGCCTCTCCGTTTTCTTGATTTTCCGTGTCTTTCTTTCTCTCTGATTCGGGAATATCCTCGTACCCATTGAAGCCATCCTCTTCTTCTTCATTTTCCTCATCCGATTCTTCGCTTGAACTACTCTCATCTGAGAAAAGAAAAGTCAAACAAAAGCGCCTTCGGAAAAAATGAAAAACGTACATCCGTCCGGAAGCAGCTCGTGTCCATGAAAAACTGTCTGGTATCCACTTTCGAGCTGGCAGAAGACGCCCTTTGGTACTTCAACCCTTGGCCTTCGACTTTGATGACTTACGACGGGCTTAGCCTCGTCCTTATCATTTTCAGCGCTGTTTTCTTCGATTTTCTAAAGAGAATAAAGTGACGATCAACATATTTTTCCATTTTTGATAATTCAGATCGGCCGCAGACTTGGATCGGGTTCTGATTCGCCTAGACGAAGAATTCTCGTCTCTGATTAGCTGGTACGGCTCACACAACAGCAAACGGGTTCTCGCCAATCAGAGAGGTGAATCCTTCGCCTGAGCGAATAAGAACCTTTCAAACCTCAATAACCCTTAGAAAACGCAGATTATGTAGAGGCCTCTATCCAGTAGATCCAACCCAGCTAGAATTACCCGTCTCTTTTCAGGCGGAACACCTTCTTCAAATTCCTTGTTTTCTTCTTTATCCTCCTCTTTGCTTATCTTTTCCAACTCTTCTCTAGTAACTTCGCTGACCTCTGCAGCCCCGCCCGAGCCGCCGAAATCGCTCCAGCCAAGCTTATTGGCCAGCACGGCGACGATATCATCACAATTTCCAAGCAGCTCGCCGTCAAACTCGGAGGCGTAGCGCAGCGACTCGCGGTTAACTAAATTTCAATTCAAGAACTCGCCATTCTTTGACCACACTCACTCAGAATTGCGGGCACCGAGCTGTCCAGCGCGTCGGGAATTTCGTTCACTGGGCCTACTTTCAAACTCGAGCCCATGACGATTAATAGGTCAGCTTTGGAGAGAGGTTTCTACGGAGCTGAAAGTCCCTTACACCAACTAAAGTCGAATAAAAAGCTTTTCATCAAATTTTCAAAATTTAGAAACCCTCCTTTGTCCTTTTCGTCAACCATCGCTTTATGAAAATGCTTAAAAACAAATAAAATCCTTTTCTTACTCTTCCTCAATTACCTTCGGAAGACTTTCGCCGAAGAAAACAATATCCGGTTTAATAACTGATCCGCATTCGTCTTCGTAAGTTTCGAAAGACTCTTCCTTCGTCAAAACCGTCGGGATTTCGGACTTCTCTTTTGGCCGTGGAATCAGGCGCTTTTTAGTTCGAAGTTTTTTGCAACGAGGAATTCGCTGCGCGAAGATTTCCTCTTTGATGTCCGAAGACTTGTACCTCGCCTTGCAGTTTGGATCGAGACAAGTGGCAGTGTGGAAGTGGCCGTGGCATTGGATCACGTTTTGGATCCCTGCTTCTTGTTCTGAAGCAATTTTAGGAGATGGAGAAAGAGGTGGAAGTACCTAGGCCGTCGATGTTTTGAGTGAAATTTCTGAGAAGTTTGCCGCGTTTTTCGAGTTCGGCGATGAATTTGTGCGAAGGGGAGGGCTGGAAGCTGCCGGGGTAGATTTCCTTCGCAAAGCGAAAGAATGGGCGCTGATCGCCTTTGAAAAATTGCAAGCAGAACATCGACTGAAACGAGATTGCAGGAAAGGGCCACCACAAACGGGAAGTGTACCTGTGGATCTGGAAGCTCAGGAAAATCAACTGCTAATTTTGCGTAGAGACCATTTTTCGATCTAAAATCAGGAATGCCGCAGGAAACACTTATTCCCGCTCCCGTCAGGATCATGATATTTTTTGACTCTAGAATTCTTGTGAGAGGAAAAACGCGCCCTGAGCGTACTTTGGATAAGTTCGACGATTTCCTCCAGCGAGAGTTTTCGCTGCCGCTCTCGTTTTTCTTCGGCAAAAGCGGCTAGGAGGTGCTGAATGACACGCATTGGATTTTCATCGCGGGAGAAGTCGAGGCCGATCATTCTCGCCAGCTGGTAAGGGTCACCGCCGTCCCTCAGCATTTGTACCAAAGCATGGAAGGCGCCTGAACAATTCGATGAACGCTGACTCATTTCTGTCTAATTTACCGCTTCGCTGGGGCTTCCAATCGCTTTCTGACGCATTGTCGTCATCATTTTCCGCCCGACTACTGCTCGGTTCTGCCCCTTCAAAAGGTGGTTCGCTTCCGCTTGGAAGGACCCTTTCGCTCCAATCTACTGTTTGTTTTTCGGTTTCCTCGATGTTTCGATTTACAGCTTCTGACGCTGCCTCGCTCATCTGAAAACTACTGCCGTTCAGCTACTGCTAGAGTGTGAACCATTTTTTTCTAAGTCGATAGGAGGGGGGCTGGGTTGGGTTAGGGTTTAGTTTAGGGTTAAGGGTTAGAGTAAGCCTGGGATGGGTAACTCAAAGGGGTTAGGGTTACGGGGTAGGTCCACAAAACTGACAAAAATGAAATTGAACTTTTTTATTAACCTTACGACCACAAACGGGAATTTCACCCCCCGACCACAATGTGCCATATATGGCACATCGCCTTTACTGCCCTCTGGAGGCTATTTTACAAACCGAACCCGAGCCTTATCCCGAACCCAAACCGAAATCAGACATTGGAAGAAAATCTAAACTAAAATTCTTCCCCAAACCCGAACAAAATTTCTCAAAAAAATGCAAAATTTTGCCGGCGGAAGATATCCTACCGACCACAATGTGCCATATTTGACACATCGCCTCTACCGCCATCTTGAGATCGTTTTATTGGCTCAACCCGAACCTTCTAAGTCTAAATCAGATTCCAAACCCAAAATATGATGAAGACACGCATCCAAACCCAAACCACAACCCCGGAAGTCAATTGTTTCTCCGGCAGAAAAAAGTCCCCCCGACCACAATGTGCCATATATGGCACATTTTTAATGCATTTGTGTGCCATATATGGCACACGAGTAGCGAAGCTAAATTCGCTATTCTGATGCATTTGTAGCGAAGCAGCGGTCATTTCGGGCATACCACGTGAAAGGTCGGCGAAAAGTAGGGCCTAAAAGGGGGGTCGGCGAAATTCTCACAGCACGTTAAAAATGAGTTACGGGCCTTTGTTTGCCTTTGTGCCATATATGGCACACTTGTGGTCGTAAGGTTAATTGATTTTGATTTTGTTGTTTTCTCATTTGTTTTGAAAGAATAAACCTTTTTTGCAATAAAAATAAATACTTGTTGAATCAGGAAAAAGTTGAAAATTGAACAGGAGGGAAAAACAATCTTTGGCACGTCGCGAGAATCAAAGTTTGGGTTAATCAAAGTTGATGATTAAAAAAAAAACAATATGAATTAAAAACTGATAAAATTACAATTTTTTTTTGAAAATAGGTTTTGTGAAAAATGAAGGAAAATTTGGAATTCTTCACAGTTCGTTTTATGAATTTTTAAAACAGGTCACATGTATTTTTTTAGAGTCAGGGTCGAAAGAAGTTGGATTTGATTAGGTATCGAACAGGGATTTTTGCTCAGTACTTTCGGACTTGATTAATTTGATTGGCGCCATCATTTTCTTATTGAGACTTCTGAAGTTCTTTTATCTTGAAACTGGCAAATGAAGTGAGATAAATTGTCGGTAAGACTTTGGCTATTATTCCTAAATTGTCGATTTTCTGAGACAAATTGCGTTTTGCGGCATTTCATTCGCCACAGGTAGAGAAATATTGAATAATCTCTAAATGGACACTTTAGGAACAATACTCGACGCTTCATCAACAGTTTAGGACATATGCCAACGAAGTCAAGTATTCAGTGATTTTCTGATTTTGAACTTAAAAATTACAGCTAGGATTTTTTCGGGAAACATGTTTCGAAAAGTTAACTTTATTGAACAAAATAAAAAGTGACATTTGAAATTTTTGAAGACCTGCTCTGTGGAATAAAAAATAAGAGAAGTGTTGATTTTTCTAATTCTGTTTTCTTTGTTTCAAGAATCAAACAATCGTTTAGGAAAAAAGCTGACCGGATCAGTCAGGGTCACAAAAGCAAGTCGATGATGACGCTAACGCTGGGTCAAGGCAGAATTTCGATAAATGTAAAGTTTTGTCTCTTTCTTTCTTTTTTTTCGCAGGTTAGAGCTGTTTTCTGTCGATGGATGATTCGTAAGCACGCGTAATGAAGCCACGCTGAAAGAAAATTTGCAATTTTTTTGCTGAAGAGTGTGAGTCTTCAATCAGCGTCTCTGATCTTTAGAAAAGACAGGTTTAAAGGGTTTTGTGTACCTTTGCTAGCGAAGCGGGCACACCCCCTATATCAGCAGCGTTTTTAATATATTCCTTCTCGTCGAAGTAAGCAACGACTTGGTCGATCTGCGGCCGCTGCTGGTCGCCGTGGCCGAGAAGATACTCTAAAAGCGTTTACTCTGAATCGATCATCCTCCAATTCAAACTCGCTCGTCTTTTTTACCTTTCATGTCCTGGACGATTTGCTCGTCGACTTTTTTGAACTGGGCGATTTCGGCCTCTTCTGCTTTCGGCGCGTTTTCCAGGCTCACCAGAATGACTGACATGTTATCTCGCGAATTCTGAACAGAAAAGGATTGAAACTTAATTTCTGCAGCCGCAACCCGAGCTTTGCAACATGAGTAGAAGCTTTAGTCAGTAAAATATCACTGCATTTTTTTTTAGCCTTTACGAAAGATTTGACAGGACCCTTACTCAGGTTTCTACACAGTTAGCAAAGCACAGGCCGTTATCATTACCTTTGCGAGACACAAGTCTAACAGGTCGTTTGTAACATCTCTCTGATCTCGTGCTTTCAACGGTTCGAAATTCATTTTCAATCAAGATCGTAAGAAAATTTTGAGGTTTTTGATTGGCAGTCGATTAATTACTGGTTTCTTATTGGCCAAAAAAGGCCTTGCACACCACAATTCTTATTGCCCTTTTTCTGAACCGCTGGCTGAAGTATATCTCTTTGAGCAGAACTCCTCGATCTGTTCATTTTCCAAAACATCGTAAATGCCATCGCATGCGACGACGATGTAGTTGTCGTTTGCTGCGTCTCGGTCAACCACTGTCACGTCTGGTTCCGGCGACACCAGCTGCTCGTTGTCTGCCAGCTCAGTTTTTGTCTTGTAGTCGAAGTCGCCTGAAAATAACGATGAGACGCCCTTAATTTCATTTTTTCATACCAAGCGCTCTGGAAACAGCGAGAGAACCGTTGATTCTTTGTATCATCACTCTTCCGCCCGCGTTTTCTATTCGCCTCTTTTCGTCTTCGTTCGTTGGCTTGTGGTCATGTGAGGCAAAGGCGACTTCTCTGTTGCGAATAAGTAGCGTTCGCGAATCGCCGATATTGAAGAAGAAAAAGTGCTTCGGCGTTATAAGCACGCCTGTTGCTGTACTAAAAGTCAGTTTTAATTCGATCAAATTCACAAATTCAATTCAGAAGAGCTTTTTTTCAGCGGGTTTCTTTGGGAGACAATCGCTTGGCTGATGAATATTATTCAGGATGATCGGGATCAATTCTCAATCGTTTATGAAGGGTATAAAATAATAAAGATGATTCATCTTAGATGAATTTCAATAAGAAATTCTTATTCTTATTGAGAATTTAGGGAGAAGGATAAGGAGAAGCTAAAGAATCGAATAAAGCTGTCTTCAGATCTACGTAGTGGAATAGCCGTTGTCCAGACTCAGGGGAACTTAATCAAGTTCTTTTAAACTTTCAAAGACGCGAAATTTCTGCTATAGCAGCATCTGCATATGCAGCATAGCCTATGCTTGAAAGCGCATGTGCTGTGTCATCTCAAGATCGAAGAGATCCAAGACAGAATGTCTTGTTGCGAAAGCACACAAAGAAAGTCTGTCCTGATGCTGATTAATTTGTTTACTATTCAGAATTTACTATTCATTTTATCGAACCATCAGTGATGGCCCATCACTGATATCCGAGTCTGAATTTGACTGACTCATCAGAAAAAAAGACTAGTCGTCAAGTTTTCCCTTTTTTCAGTTCTCGATTCCAATTTCTATTTGTCCAAAACTCAAAAGCTCTTACCATCCGCTCCGGTCGCCTCTGTCTTTCGTCTTCTGCCTCAGAACCGTGTCCCAGTGTCGGAACGCCTCAGAAAGACCTTGCTTTACTTCTTCGATGTCATATTTGTCGCCGCTCATGTCGCAAAATGGTTTTCTAGTGATCAGTTCTTCCACAAAGCTCTTTGCTGTTTCCTCGGCGACGTACTTTCCGGCGTGCCCGTCGAACACTGCGAACATCGACACATCTTGCAGCTTTTCTGACAAACCGATCTATAAAAAGGGTAATAAGGATAACTATCGAGTCGATAGGCTATCCACAAAACTTGAGTCCTGAGAAGACTACGATGAAAAGCCGCTACGCGGCTTTTTTAAAACGAAGCCGCGAAGCGGCTTCGCCTAATCGCCATTATAGTCTATTTTCATGTTTTGTCGATTTTTATTCGAAAAATTCCACTACGCGGCATTTGAATAAAGGCTGATTTATAGACTAACCGTGGTAATGTGTGCATCTTCCATGTCGACTCTCCAGCCCTGCATAGCGCCCATGCTCCAAGTGAGTCCATTTTTCGATCCCTCTTCCGATTTGATGTAGGTCAACGGTTTCGGCAAGAACGCTCCCATACTCGATCAAATTCTAGTGCCGAGATTATCGTCCCTTCCTTCTGCGCGTTTTGATTGTTTCTCGATTGAGCAAATTGTCACGAAGCCGCTTCTCAGTTTAATTTTCTGAAAAGGAGAAAAACCGTGAAGGTCAAATATCACAAGAGCAAATGTTTGAAGAATACGAAAAAATAGACAGAGGCCGAACTAGCTGGGTGGAGCCGGACAATTCAAAATTCAGCTTCAATTGAATTCGCTTTCATTTCTTTTCAGCGAAATAATGAGCGAAAACGCCCGAAAACGGAGAATTCGAAAAGTGGAGAATTTGACACTAGCGCTCGTAAAAAAGCTGGCCCTCGATCTTGATATTTAAAGATATTAGCGCGCTGTGACGGCTTATTATGAGAAACTGTTTTCCCTACGGCTTATTACTAATAAACTGAAATACTGTAAAACTCGTTTTGAAATGCGGTGTTTTCAATTCTCAGTACCCGGGCTCGGCAAACTGAGTCGCGGTCTAAAAGAAGCAAAGCGGCTACGCTAGAATTCTAAAAAAGATTAATTGATGATTTTTTGTTGAAATTGGCAAATTATCGAGCACTAATTTGGTCAAATAAAACGAGAATTTTCTGAAAATGGATTCAGTTGAAAAGTGTTTTCAAAAAGGATTCTTCACTGCTTTCATTTGAAATTATGCTGGTCTCTCTTATAAAAAAAACTTTAAAAAGTGGACTCATCGCGAGTGAGTAATAAATCTACCGCACATTTTAAATAAAACGAATCTTCTCGTAAGTCATAATTTTTTATTTGCTTGACCATGCGCGCTTTTCCCTTTTTTACAACGAGCTCTTTTTACGCTCTCCTTTATTATTTACCTCCTTTTCAAATCGTGAGTCTGCTCAGAACTCTTTCTGCGGTGGTAATTTATATCCGAATATCTCTGCCTATATACCTCCTTTATGGGACCTAATTGAGTAGAACTAATATTCAATAAATTCATTTGCTTCTTTGAGAATCTAGAGAAGCGTCGTCGAGAATTCAAATCATCCCTGCAATCTTGAGAATCTCTTCCATGATTTCAAAACTAAATTTCGGTGAAAAATGATTTTTTTAAGAATTGAGAATCTTTTCGACATGGGTTCTGAAACCTGTATAAAAACCTGAGTCAGGGCTTGGCTACCTGCGTAGAGACCCTGAGTCAGGATTTGAATACAGATACATTTGAAGCCGCGAAGCGGCTTTTCCAGAAAACACGGCACTTTTAAATCCTGACTCAGGTTTTCTGCACAGGTTCACGAGCTATTGCAGACCATGACTTAGATTTCAACAAAGATTCTGAGCCCTATTTTCAGCTTTCTTTTGAACATGGTATATTACTTTTTTGAATAATAAAAGAGAGAGAGGAGTGAATAAAACGAAAATTCTGGCTTCGTTAGCAGACACATAAAAGACAGATATTAAAAATACTGGCAGGAAGAAGAAATTTTAAATTTCAGAAAAAGTTGAAAACAAAGTTGGACGAAGTTGAGTCGCGGCTTCGAATAAAGGAGGAGTGAAACAGGATAAATTATCTATTAAAGTTTGCAGCTCTAGTTTTCTTCAATTGGCTTCATCGTCTGTTTCCGCCTCTGCCGCCTCGTTTTTGAGCTCCTCCTCGACGAGCTCCGCCTCTTCCGCCGCCTCGGCCAGCGTTAACTTTTCGCCCCGCGCTCTTCAGCAGCTGGCTGAATCGGTCGTCCAAAGATGTTTCCTGAGATCCGGAAGTTTTCAGCGTGTCTCGGACCACTTGCGCTTTTCCTCGGCCTCGGCTAGGGAAAACATGATAAGATTTTGAAGACAACAAAGAGAAACTGAGCTCAGAAGTCTGCGCAATGCTAACTGAAAAGCCGCGCAGCGGCTTTTACAAATATAACCGCGAAGCGGCTTCGATTTCTATTCATTTCTGGCGATGAAACAACTTACCCAGATGGACCTCGATTCTTGATTTTGATCGAAACACCGCCAGTATTTTGCTGTCTTCTATTTCCCTGCTTTTGTCCTTGTTGATTTCCGCGCTTTTGGACCTTGTTCTTGTTGGGTTGTCGCTGAATTCGCTGGTTGTTCTGGTTTTGCGCCTTTTTCGGAGCTCCACCGGCTTTCCTAAAAAAAGTAAATAAAGAAAGGAGAGATAAGAGCTTACTTTTGAGGAGTTTTTCTTGGTGCTGGCTGAACTGCCTTCTTCTGCGCGGGAGTGAGCGTCTTCTCGAGCTTTTTGTTGGCGTCGTTGACAGCCTTCACCGCCTTTTGAAGAGTCGCCCGAGCTTTGTTCAACCTGTCGATCGCCGCTTTTTGAGTGATGGTCTTCTGCGGGGCCTTTTTCTGGACCTTCTTCGCTCCTCCAGCTCCAGCTTGGGTCTTTTTCTGCGCCTGCTTCTTCGATTTTTGTTAGTTGAATGTCGGATTTGATCCTTTACCTTCTGGGTCTGTTTTTGGCCTTGTTTCTGAGCCCCTTGGTTCTTTGGTTTTTGCCCGGCTTGGTTCCTCTTGGCGGCGCCCTGGTTCGCCTTGGCGTTAGCCTTGTTGCCCGCGTTTTTGGCTCCACGCTTGGGTTGCTGCCGGGTTCCGGCAGCTCCGGCCTTTTTAGGGCCGCCTTTTCCCTTGCTTTGGGTCTTGGAAGACTTGATAATGTCGTCTATAAAGAGAGATGGTAAATAAAGGACTCTGAAAGGTGGATGATGATGATAATGAATCTGAAGTCGTTGTTGTTGGCGAATTGGTTGAATTTGAGTTGAAATTGAAATTCAGCTGGGTTCATTTTCGTTTTGGGCAACAGAGAGCAGGAGCAGTCCACAACATTCATTTCAAAAACAATCACTTGATTTGAACGATTTTGACGATTTTCGTGACGAGCCAAAAGTTCGCCAAAAAGAACCGACGTCCCAAGTGCTGGTTTATAAAAGATGTGTGTGCCCACATTATTTTTTTTAATCGCGCATTTTGGGGGCGGCCGATGCCATTTTGGCCGAGTCAGATTCGCCCTGAGGAGAGTGATCAAGTCACTTTTCCTCAGTTTTCCGAGTTTTCTAGCGCAAGTTTTGCGGCGAGCGCTAGAAGGAAAAACGGGTCAAAAGTGGATTTTTGTCGCGAAATATTTGAGGTTGGAACTTTCGGACTTGCTTCTCGAAAGAAGCGGTAAACCAGCAAAGGCCGGATTTGCTACTTTACCGGGCTGGAGAGCCGGATAAAGAGCAAGTTTCCGGGTCGAAGAAAAACTTCTGACCCGGATCCACTTTGGGGCACAAAAGAGTTGTCAAAAAGTGGTCAGAAATGACCTTGTTTTCTCGCCTCTAGGCAGGTCCAACTCTGCCTCGAGGGAAATGAAAAGTGACTCGTTTTGAAGAGTCTTAAAATTTGACCGGCTCTACGAAAAAACCGGCAAAAATTTTTGACAACTCGTGACTCAGCAATTCCACTGCTGAATCATCTTTCGTTCTACTTTCGACTCGAATAAGCCGAAAGTATTAATGAAATCACGGAAGACACGCCCAAGGGCATGTCAACCTGGACCCGTGGGAAATCTGACTTTACCCCCATTCCAATTTGGAATTATGCGGATTTTCTAAGTTTAACAAAGTTTTAAACTTTAATTCTAGAGGAGGAAAGAGCCGGAAATTCGCGTGAAATCGAGTTTTTCTGTTTGAATTTTTCTGTACCTAAGGCCATATCGATCTTGTCAGTTTGTCCAGCCATCGTTAAGTTTTTTTGCTTTTCTTCTTAGTTTTTCTCAAAAAAGATTGATTTTTTTCTTTCAAATCGGCGTTTTTGAAAAATTGAGTTAGATTCTCGAAAACGGGAGCTTTTATCGCGCGCGACGTAGCGGGTGCCAGACGCGAGCAGCTGATTGGTCACTTGCCGAGTGGGCGCGAATTATTACTGAAGAGCGAGACAATACCGAAATTATTTCTTTTCTTCGGGAAAAGACGGGAATGGTCATTTTGAATTGCGAATGATTGAAATTATTCAACTGGAACATACGAGGATAGAAGAATTGATTGGAAAGGCTCGAAAATTACCTAGGTTTTTCTAGAGCTAACGTGCTTCTAGAAAATCCCTATGAATAACTATATTTTCACTAAGAATATTTAATCTTCAGAACTTATGGCGGCTTTAAAATTATTTATCGATTAGTCAGCTTTTTAGAGCAATTTTCATTATTATGATGTGCCATAAAATTATGATTTCTTAAGCTCAGTGCAACTGTGTTTGTGATTTTATAATTTTATGGTGCATCATTATTCTGAAAATCGCTATAAAAAAGCTGACTAAGCGATAAATCATTTTATAGCTGCCATAAATTCTGCAAATTATTAAAAAACAATATTCTCAATTCAAAGAACATAAAATCTGTATTGAGAATATTCAAACACAGAAAAACATATATATTGGAGCCCTTCTGCAGATTTTATCGTTGAAAATTTGGAGCTAGAATTCTCCGCTTATGAAAAACTCGAGCGTCTGATTCTGCACGAGCTACTCGGCTCCATCAACAGTCAGGGCGTGACTACAGTAGCTGTCAACGGCGATGAGGATATTATTGGCCTCTGCTTGGCCCAGCGGTCGACGGCCGCGCTCCCCAGGGAGAGTTGGAACCACTATCTCAAAAGAATTTCGTCATCCGGGTACCGAGCCGCCTTTTCAAGGCCATTGCGTAATCATTTATTCTAGTTCGATTTGGGAGGGATCGCTGGAACTGATGAAATCTTTGAATAGCTCGCTCCAAAGTCTCCCCGAAATTGAGTGGCGAAAGAATCTCGCTTCTTCGACTTCCTGGGCGATGAGTTTCATCACCAACCACAGTCAGCTGATCAACCAGTTGGTCGAATATCAAAGCAAAGTTGAGAAGCTCTTTTCTTCCGTCAGCTGCTCGATTCAAGCGAAAAATCAACAAGGAAACCAGCATGAAATTCTTGCAGTTCCATTTGTTCTTGTTTCCAAAGAATACAGGTGCGACTTTTAACAGTCAAAAAATGTGTAGAGGGGGCTACAGGTAGCGACATTTTTAGCGACAAAATCTGTCATCAATCAACCATCAGATTTAGACAAAAAACGGCTTTTCTTGTTGCCAAAAGACAAGCAACAAAATTTTACTGACTTGTGCGACAAAAAATATGTCGCATTTTTGTCGCTTTCTGGCGTCTCCGTCGAAATAACAGATTTCCATCCAAAAGCTTGACAAAATCTGTTTCAGAAAACAGGGGCTGATAACGATGATGCTCTCCGATCTGCACGATTTCTGCCGATTAGAGCGACTCCCCGAACTGCATCTTATCTACCCGACCGGCTTCGGATCGCTCTCCAAATCTCCTTCTTTTCATCAAGCTCAGCTTTCCCACTCAAGTTCTGAAAGCTCTTCTTCTTCAACTTCATTTCCTTCAAAAAACTCAAGTTCCAATTTTTCCCTGAATTTAAATTTGTTCACTTCAAGAATCGAATAAATCAAAAAAGATATGTCATGAAAGCTGCGGTTTTCCATTTTTCTTCGGCTCAATTATGGGATTTCGATCGTAGTAAAAAAGGGCTGAAAGATGGGTCCAATCAGCGAAAAGCGCTCTTTGAGATAGGCAGACACTGCATCGGTCAATAGACTTGATTATTCGAACAAAAAAAAAAACGAGGAAAAGAGAAAATCCCCGCGTTTTTTCTTCTTTCATGCGTTCTGATTTTTGCGATTTATTCTGCCTTATATTGAAAATTGTATCTGTCGCCTTAGAATTAATTTCTGACTTCTTTGAGAATATTTGAATGATCACGTGATTGATCGTTTTTAAAAGGAAAAATATTTGCTAGATTCACGAAGCGACTAAAATTGCGACAAAATTTGCGTGGGCGGCTTTTTTGGGGAAAATGTCTCGAATTATTAGAAAACTGCGACAATTCTGGGCAAAATTTGTGCCGCCAACGCATATTTTGTCGCTTTTTTGTCGCTTCATCGTTGTTTTTAAAATAATCGAAGATGTTCAATTTTTAACAGAAAACTCCTAGAATGCGCGAAACGATAAGTTGAAAAATAATTCTGTGCCTTTTTTCTTCGTGAATGTTTTTGGCCGACTACTTCGCCATAATCCGTAGCGATGCGGAATCGCAGTCTGGTTGTCGCATCTCCTGTCGAATCCCCGCCGAAGATCATGAGCACTTGGCCTTTCCTGGCGGCTCGGAAAGCTTCGCTATTCCAAATGGCTGGGCAAACACCAAAACCCACCAGTCGCCGATGTTTCACATGCTGACGAATACGAAAGTGGATGGAACGGTTTATTACTCCGTCTTTTTACCTTTTATACGGTCGTCAAGGAAAGAGTTTAGAATTAAATTCAAATTTTGAATCGTCAAATTCTCGAAGGAAGATTCTTTTACTAAAGAATATTTTTCATTTGAACTCAAAAAGGAGGTTGAAGAAGAGTACGAGCCGACCTGTTTGATGCTAGTCTCGAGCCACTCGTATTTCCAACCGCTGAAGAATGCATTATTCATGCTCTTCGACCAGCACGTCCGCCGCTCCGAAGATCTGGAAAAGCTCCTGGCACACATTCTCGCACAGCAAGTCCCAACGCCCGGTTGGAAAACGCCTGTCCGCTTCAATCTCGGCGACAGAATGACCCAGCACGCGGTTCAAGCGCCTCAATCCCCGACGATTCCGGCAACGGGCGATTCTATTGCAAAATTGTTGAATTACCTTGGCCCTAGAAACTTGATCACTCTAGTCGTGTTGCTTTTGACGGATTACAAAATCGCTCTTTTCGGAAAATCTTTCTCCGCTCTTGCCGAAGCCTCCCGAGCTCTCGTCGCGCTGATCTACCCCTTCACCTACACAGGCACTTTGATTCCCGTGCTGCCCAAGAACTTGGCCGACTACCTCATGTCTCCCGTTCCATTCCTCGTAGGCGTCCACACCGATATCTGGGAATCCCGCCGTTCGGACTGCCCCGACGTCGTTGGCTGCGATATTGACGGTGGAAAGCTCGTTATTCCGGACAATTTCGTCGTTCCCAAGCTTCCGCATTCGGTCGACAAGGAGCTTGTTCATAGATTGACGCTTGTTGCTAAGGAAAGGATGCGAATCATCAGTGTTCTTGTTTAAAGCAAGTGGGGCTCGCGAACCTGTGCAGAAAACCTGACGCAGGGTCCAAAAATCTTTAATGAAAAGCCGCGGAGCGGCTTTTTTACAACGAAGCCGCGAAGCAGTTTTGCAAGGGTTAGAAAATTGATAGTAAGATAATTTTGCGAAGCCGCTTGTGCTTTCTCAGACCCTGACTCAGGTTTTCAACACAGTTTACCGAGCTCAGACACAAATATAAAATGAATCCTTGAAAAAGCCTGCTCTTGTCTCCGCCGATCTGGCTTTTCCGCCCAAAAGCTCGCCCAAAGCCCGGGCCCCGTTCTCGACAAAGAAGTTCGCGCAATTTTCCTGATGACCCTCGTCCGCATTCTCTCCAACTACCGTTCCTCGCTCCAGTTCAGCCGCATCCACCCAGAAGTCCAAACAAAGCTCAACCGTCAAGAATTTCTACAAAGCGCAGATCCCCAAGATTTCAAAGTGAAACTCTCCGCCGCGCAGAGTTTTCAAGTTTTCGTCCAAGAAAGAGGACCCTCTTTCCGCCCACTGGATTTATTCGACAATTTGATGGAAGATTTCGATGAAAAGAACCCGCCAGAATTTGATACGCAAAGTATAACGCTGTCCAGGGAGGTGATTAAAGTAAGGAACGAGTTCATGGTCAATGAAATGCCGAAATGGAACGATCGGGAAGGGATCTTTATTTCATTGTAGTAGTTTGGTTTAATTTTTCATTTTGAGGGAACAAAGTTCTTTTCTTGTCGATTTGGTCATTTTCAGGCGGCGAAGAAAAAAGGCGCCGCGTAAGTTAAAAATCGATTTTTCTGATTCTGTAGATCCCAAATAAGCCTCGACTTATCTGAGTGCATGCCTGCGGAATTAATGAATTTCAGGAGCGTGGTTCGCAAAAAAATACAAGTAGGACAAAACAGAGTGCAGTAAAAAGAAAAGCTACGGTGTCTATTAAATCGCATTAGTGCAGCTTTTGGCGAACCTAAGTGTTTAGTAATGGACTTGAAACTTTTGAAGCGGAGTCGATTCCTGACCTGTCGGATTTGTCCGTCATGGGCCAAAGAGAAAGACTGCTCGATGGCAAGAATCAGAACAGATTTCAGTTTTGGCTTAAAGCTCGATCAAAATTCAAGGAAAAGAAATGGAATTCAGGGTCTGTGTTAACAACCTGACTTAGGGTCAAGAAAGGGCCGAAAAGCAGCTTCGATAGAATGAATAAGGTAGATATGGATGATTATTCTAGTCTTTCTGTATTAAAGCTCTCTCTGGACCTTGATTTAGGTTTCTACACAGGTTTTCGAGGACAGGGACATGATTTCTCGTAAATTTTATTGCTTCTGCAGAAAACCTGAGTCGGGTTTAGAAATCTAATACCAAGTAGCGGGTTTAAATTTTTGCTCTGAGCCTGACTCAGGTTTTACTCACAGATTGCGGAGCACAGTCCATATTCTACCACTGCTGAACTGGCATTCTTTCTTGTTTTCACCAAAATCCAAAACTGTTAACAGGCTGAGCCACAAACGAGCGTCAGAATCGTCCACGAAATCCAGCCAGTTTCAGTTGTCGAGCTGGATACAGAAAGTCAACGTCACCAAAACGTGCTCGACGAGTTCCTACGTCATGTGGAGGCAAATTGCATCACCGAAATGCGAAAGAAAATCCCTGGTGCTTGTCGAGCCCTGCAAAAGTCGTTTATTCGAGCGCGACTGTTGGAAACGCTCAAGAATTGGAGCGAAGGAGTGATGAGCCAAGACTCCGATCCGAAGGGTTTGAGCGATGCGCAGTTTTATTATATTCAGTTGCTGCTCGATTTGACACTCAAGAACTCGGAAAAGAACAAGGACCAGTATCACGTCGCCAGCTCGGTGATCGCCATTTCCGCGGAGCTGGGAAGAAAGGTCGAGACGGAGCAAGGGGCGATAAGACAGCAAGTGATGTCCAAGGAATAGGTCAAATGGAAACTCGAAGCAAGAAATATCTCCTTTGAACACATGTTTGCAAAAAATTGTCAATTTTACATAAAATGAATGGGAAAACGGTACCGAATTTCTTGGACAGACCATAGAGACAGAGCTCGGGTTATCAGGAGACTGGGATCGTTTTAATTGTCGGTGATAAGGGGTACTTCGTACCCCGAAGTAGATTATCTCTTGGTCCTTCGAGAAAGACATGTCTGGGCTCATAAGGTGGTGCATGTGTTGAAATCACGGATGTTTCATACATGACTTGGTAGGTCAAAGAATAATCATCGCCCAGTATGATGGTGGTTATCATAATACGATATTGTTTAGTTTAAAAACTCTTTATGGTTTCATTTTAAGACCTTCTTTCAAGCTCCAAGATCATTCAATCTGGTGCAGCTTCGATTTCTGGATCGAGTACTTTCACATAGGCCCGGATTTCACTCGTTTTAGCAGCTAGCTAAGCTTCTATATAATCTGCGAGCGACAAGACAAGAGCACGTCGGCATCCATCAAAAAAGAACTGCAATGCTTTTTGACAGAGCATTATCGAAAGTCACTGGCCGACGATCCATCGATCCGAACGTCTAACTCTGTCATCATGAGGGTCGTCGCCGATCAACTTGCCGAATGGCAGGAAATTGAACAAATTTTGATAAAAAATTTCGCTGAGTGAAAATCTTTTATTTCAAATCTTTTCTTTTTCTCCCAATTTTTTCAATAACGAGAAAAGGCAAAGACGGACGAGAGAAAGAAAGAAATCGCCCATGAAGAAGAGGGAATCGTCTACAATCAGTTGCTGAAGCTTGTTACCTACATGATCCCCCTTTTGGTTCCTTTTACTCCGAGTAAAATGGCCGCATTGAGGAGAAACATGAGAAACAACCAGCAGGGAGCGGATGGAAACAGCAGCTTGTACACCTCGAGCAATGCTGATCCTGACGATGAGGAGGATGACTCTGAAGATGAGGGCTTTGCAGATCAACCGAATAAGATTATTAACAGGTTTCGTTCTCCCCCTTCCCGACCAGATCTTTATTTTTGTCCCCACTCGCCAATTTAAATTTCTTCAGATTCATCGAAAAAGTCTCCGACAACCTTTGCATCGCCTGCAACATCATGAACTCGCGCGCTTCGACGCTTGTCCAACATGTCAGCTTCGAAATCCAGCGCGTTGCCGAGGACTACGATCAACTATCCGGCGCAACTGCGCGAATCCAAAAGTTCAAGCGCCCAGCTGATCTGTCGCCAAAATATTTGGAAAACGAGAAAGTCGAGGCTTCGATTTCAGTTCACTTGTGGGATGATCGACGAGAATTTGGCATTTTTGGGAGTTACGGGAGCTCGAGCAAGGATGGACTGAGACACTCAGATGGGGAGGTCTTTTTGCCTGCTGAGGGGACGCTGTACTTGACCAACTACCGCATCCTCTTCTATGGCTATTCCAGGGAGTTGGAACATCTCCTGGTCATCCGATCCGCCCCGATTACTTCGATCATCAAAGTGAAACAAACAACCACTCCTTCTGCTCCCCGGCCTCTTTCGAACCATCGTTTGGAAATCAGAACCGCCACCATGGAATTCTTCAACGTTGTCTTTACTTATGAAGTTACAGAAGACACGAGGAGGAAGTTTTACGATACTTTGATGCAGCTCCGATTTCCGGAAGACAATTCGCCTCTGAGCGTCTTTGCTTTTGCCAAAAATCCAAAGGGACGGGGTCGAAGCTGAAGTTTAAAAATGAACTTGGAAGCTTTTTGTAATAAGTTTAAAAACAGTGAGACCCAAGGGAAGGCGATCAACAAGACAATCCAATTTAAAACGAAGACAGGCCTGAAGGATATCATGCACAGGCGTAAAAACATCGGAAAAGTCGGCGAATTGCCCACCATCTCGGAAAATATCACTTCGACGCTGAAAAACAAGGGGACGCTGGAAAAATTCAACGTAAGAAAATGAAAAAAATAAGAACTATTTGTCTTATTCAACGATCTATAGGAGCGCTCCTCAAGAAATGGCGATTTCGACCGTTTAGGACTTACGAGCGGCTCGTTCCGGCTGCTGAACACTTCGAAATTGAACGCGCCTTTTTCGCTTTGCAAGACTTACCCAGGAATCACAGTTCAACTCGCATCGATCACAGATACGACCGTCCAGGGAGCTGCAAAGGCTTTTAAGAGGTCTCGTTACCCAGCTATTGTCTGGCGGCATTCCCGAAATGGCTGCATTTTGGCAAGAAGTGAAGCTATTTCTGGCTCTGTTATCCATAGATTGCTCAGGCGACGAAGATTTGATGAGATTGACGAGGTTGGGCTGGCGAATCCGACAAAAGACTTGGAGAGCTGGATCAAAGCTGTTGTTTCATTAGGGCTAGGGTTGGCATATGCTTGGGGGAAGGTGTAGGTGAGGGTTAGGGTAGCCAGCAATGTTTCCACCCTAAAAATAGGCAACGTAAATCTGCGAAACAAGGAGAACCTTCAGCAAGTCTCCATGCTCCAGCGATCGAGCATCTACGCTTCCGCCAATTCTGTTTCCTCCTCTTCCACTCTTGCCTCGACCGGACTGATGGGCGGCTTCCGCGATTCAATCCGAATCCCCACTCTTCAGCGATCCAGAGCCGGCTCTACTCTTCCAAGTCCGAAGAAAAATTCCTCTTCTTTTTCAAAACTGGTGATCTTTGTGGACAAAAACACGCGAAAACTCAAGCCAGAAGTCGACCACCAAGTCGAGTTCCTTTCAATCGACACTCCAAGCACTGACGCGATCAGAGACGCCTTCAAAGATCTTTGCAAAAACGCTCCGTCAAGCAACGGGAAGAATCACTTTTCTTTTGGCGAAAACAGTCGCTGGTACTCGTATGTGCTTTCGGCGCTGAGTTGTGCTTCCGCGGCCGCAGATTTGATGCATCAAGACAGTATTTCTGTTTATTTTGCGCTTGAAGGAAAATTGGTTAAAATTTTAAAGTAACTATTCTCCTAACTTCTCCTAAATCTGACATAGGTTGCCGAGATAATAGTGGTCGGAAGCTTTGAAGAACGCGTAATAATATAAATTACATTTCAGGACACACTTGTCGGTGTTTAAATTGACCTAGCCCCAAGGGTTTTAGCAAATAACATTTATAACAAAAGAGGGAGTAACATTGACGCTCCCATTATGAAAAAGTGAAAGAAGGATAGAGAATGATTTATATTGAGTTTAGCTTGTTTTAACCAGTGAAAGGCGGATGGGACTTTACTTGTGTTCTCACAGGTCGGGTTGGAGGAAGAGACTTTCTCTGCGAAAAAATGAGATTTTTTCGGAAAAAATTTAAAGCAGAAGAGATAAAAGCAATATCAACAAAGAAAACTATTTCCAACCCTGTAAAAAGCGATTATCCAGTTGATTCTGGACCCTTTCTACAGAACTATCGACGGATTTCGAACTTTGGTGCAGCGCGAATTCATTTCCTTCGGGCATCGATTCTCAACGAATGGAATCCAACGCGATTATCCCTCGCCCTCTCCATTTTTCATCCTTTTCCTCGATTGTGTCTTCCAGCTCATCAATCAGAACTTATGCTCATTCGAATTCACTGAAGCGTTTTTGCATCTGACAGGCCTCGATTTTTAAAATGCGAAAAAACAAAAGATAGTTGCTTATTTTTTGCTTCCCTTAAAATTAATGAAAAATTCATGTTTCGCGCAAAGAAAAATCCGGAAACAGCGTATCACACCTTCTCCGGTCGCTTTTCCACCTTTTTGCTTGATTCAGAACACGACCGAATAGAGAGCTTGATCATGTTCGACAGTTCACCGAGATCCTGCTTCTGGAATTATGTTCAGGAAGCTCTTCAAAACCCGGTAAGAGATGCGAAATGCCGGTTGATTAAAAATGATTGTTTAGAAATGCCCTCTTATCAACAAGTTTTACCTGCCAAACGAAGAAGCCAAGCCAGACGTGCTTTCCATGACAGCCGAAATGGAGTTTATCAAGCTCTTTCCTTATTTATCTGGACTATCAACCACCTCCCCACATGATATGGACAATCTTCTCGACGAATTGTCGCTTGATGTCGCTGAGGTAACACCCTTTTCTTTAATCCTCAATCTCTGTGGAAAACCTGAGTCAGGTCTTCTACACAGGTTGTCGTGGCGAGCGCGTATTTCTTACAAATCTTCTAGGACAAAGATCTGCGTCAGAACTTCTTGTATTCCGGAGTCGACAATATTCGTACTTTCTTCAATGTCGATCAAAAACGAGTCGATTCCTTCTCTTCCGAATCATTCCCTTCCCATGTCTTATCCGAGTTGAAAGAGAAAACCGAGGCAAGAATAAACCAGCGCGTCAAAAATGGAAGTCAATTTATCAATCGCTGCAGACGGCTTAAACTAGCAGAGGATGGTGATCATGGAACAGGGAGTCCAGCGCATCAGCCCGCGAACTCGGGCTATATTGTCTACGAAGGTTATTTGTGGAAGAAAGGAAGGCAGTTTGGCGGATGGAGTGGAGATTACTTCGCAATTGTCAACAATAGATCCGTAAGTTCGTCTTTTATCAAGAAGAAGAATCAATTTCCTAGCAGTTTTTTTCCTTTTGAATTTTATCGAGCATTCCTTCTCAGATTGTCCAATATGAAGCCAGAGGCGGAAGAATCACAAAAGAAATCCCCCTTAACCAAATCACCTCCGCTGAACTTGTGCCAATGGTCGATCCGAGATCTTTACCTCGCGATACTCGCCCTGACTTCCATTTTCAGGTTTGTCTTCTGTTTCTTCACCATTTTCATCCCCCCTTTTCTAGCTGAGAACAAACTCGAGAAACTACAACTTTGTGGCTCAGAATGCCGCTGCCGCCAAAAGATGGGTCGATGCTGTTCGCGAAAGCATAGACTGCTAAAATTGAATCTGATAACCCCCTTAACTCTTCACCTCCAAGTGCCATACTCTTACACTTCGGTCTTTCCAATCTATGCCTATATAAGTCTATTTATTTAAAAAGAAAACATGTAATTGTGAACTTATATTCTACTGTTTTTATTATTAATACTCATAATCGGCATTCCAACTGTATGTTACTGTATCAAGAATCAAGATCTTCTTCTTTTTTAATCCCTTTTAACCCAAACTCAGATCCTGTTTACAAAATCTCTGGGGTCAGCATCCTGTGTAGAATCCCTGAGCTATATTCTGAAGAGCTTAAAACCCGTGCAGCTTCGAGGTTTTCAGAACCTGACTCAGGTTTTCTACACAGGCTGCCGAGCCTAGCAAAGGCCTGTTTCCATTCAATTAGATGTTTGCCCATGACTTCGTGTTTTGTCGTTGGAGCCATTTGTTCGTTCCCAGGCTGCAAAAAACACAACCATCCCAAAAAATAATTCTTTCTGTAAAATTCAAAAACCCTTTCTTTCCTTCCTTATTTTCAGAGAGGCTCAGAGAAATCGAGCACTGGCGAAAAGCTCTTGGAAAATTCGATGACGCAACAGGCGAAAGGGCCGACTTGGACACGAGTTCTGACGATTGTACTGTATTTAATCTTCGCCAGTTTGCCAGCACTTTCTTTCGCCATCTTTTATTCGTCCTTATGGGCAACGGTTTTTGAACTTTTTCATTTGCTAATTGCGCGTAATGATAGTTTATGCCTGGGCTTGATTTTTGATTGGCTAAGTGAGAGAAAGAGTGAGATCTGATAGGCTGGGGGTGCTCAAAGCTATTTATTTTAGATTTTGTCCTCCCTAGCCTAGGGTGGGCGATATTTTCAAAGCCATTTGGTACCTAGCCATTCAGCATCCCCCCAACATTTGCCCCCCTTTCGGCCAATCAGATACTAATATTTTACGCTCGAGCCAATCAAAGGACGCCAGACCCCCAGAATTCCCCCTCTCCCTCGTCCTGGGGGCATAGCCCCCTGGGTTAGGTTTAGGGTTAGGGGCAGCCCGAATGATAACCTCCTACTACCCCCTTGTTCGGCCTACCATAGGCCGTACCATCATAAGGACCTAAGTATTTTCGAATTTCTCGTTAACGAACACCCAAAAACCGAAAAACAGACCGGGACCATGAACTTCGAACGGGAGAACGAAATGACGAATTCATCCCTTGCAATGCCCGCGGGCGGCCGCCTGCATCGCTCGCTGTAGAAGAAGCCACCTCCTCTTCATCCCTCTTCTTTTCTTCACTAGTGTTTTATTTCTTCTCGACCCGCATTATTTTATTATTTTCTTCAATTCGTTTTCTTGAGTTTCTTCCTCCCTTATTTTCCTTCCTCGCTCGTTTTTACTTATTTTGATAGTCCAACTTTTGACTTTTACCTCCAAAAAACAAACAAACAAATAATATACAAAATTTAAACAGAATCTTCTTCCTTGATTTCAATTTTCAAAACTTGATTTCAACTTTTTTTTTCTTCAATTTTATTTTTCTTTTTGCGACATTTTTTATCTCATCTGTCTTATAAATATGCTTAGAACAAGCGCTGCAAAAGTACTTAAAAATCTTAAAAATTAAAAACAAAAAGGTGGGACGCCTTTTTGTCCCACCTTTTTGTTTTTTAACAAAAAAATCAAAAAAGGACGTTTTTTCAAACGAAAAATCTTCAGAAAGCCAAAAAGCTATCATGTCCGCCCCAGCACCATCGAAAGAAGAAATTGTTCAGCATTTCCAAAACCTCTGCGGACAACAGGTTTGTCGTTATTTGAGCTAAGCAAGCTGCGTGGAAACCTGAGTCAGGTAAGCGTTAGGTTTAGGTTCTTGCTGAAATTTTATCAAGACCCTGACTTAAGTTTCTTCACAGAGCTGAGCTGAAACTATTGATCGGTTTCTCCATGAATATCAATATTACCATCCTTTCTAGCGACAGTACCAAGGAAAACTCGCCGAGCTCCGACAAGAAAAAGGCGAGCACGAGCTTGTCGCTGCCACTCTCAAGGATGCGGACTCCAGCCGAAAAGCCTGGCGACTTGTCGGTAAATATCAATCATATTTTCCTGCCTTTAAGACGTTTGTAGGTGGCGTTTTGACGGAACGAACTGTCGGAGAAATCCTCCCAGCTCTGGAAGAACAAATCAAGGGACTCACCGAAATCATGGAGAAAATCCAAACGGCCATGAACGACAAGGCCAAAGGTAAATCGTCTTTTGCCCGATCCTCCTCGTTGATTGCAAATTTTCAGAAATCACGGCCTACCGAGAAAAGCACCAGATCATGGTCAAGGGAATGGCCGCTTCCGGACCCGCCACTGGCTCTGGACAGGGCAAATCCGGCGTCTTAGTCCAATAAACAACATTAAACTACTTTCTTCTCCAACCATAGAAGTTCGCAGATTAGCGCAATCTGTATCTCATCAACCGCTCCGAAAATTTAAAACTGGTGTCTTTACAAACAAACGAAAATGCCGAAGAATATTCTTTCTGTCCTTTCTTCTTTGCTTGTTTTATCCTTTTAGTCTTCTTTGAAAATTATCAATAAAGTGACCTTTATTTCGATTAAAAAAGGTTAGATAACATTTTACTAACCCGTTTTTGAATTTTTTACGAGTTGTGTTACGTTTGAACATACATTTGTGCATTGCAGGAATTTGCACTTTCAGCACTTTTTTTCTGTATTTTACGAGTTGCGCGGTCAGCACCAGCCTGGTGATTTTCTGTTCCCGAGTTAATCTCGGCCAGCTTTTCGCCTCTGTAAGGGGCATCAGAAAGTACCATTTTAAAAATCGCGTTCCTAAATTTTTTTGAATTTCCATTTTTGCAAGACAACCTCGATCGAAGGAACAAGTTATTGGAATTTTATATTATATATTTCTTTCATTCTGAAAGTGAACAGAAAAATTTTAACTTGGAGAGTATTCTGAACAGCAACTTTGATCTTTTCCACATTTATATTATGAAAATATTGATAAATTTTTAAGGTATTAATAGTTTTTTTAGTCATTAAGAAGCTTAATAAATAAGAAATAGTATCAACAGACTCAGTGCTCAGCAACCTGTGTAGAAAACCTGAGTCAGGGTCTGAAAGCGGTTGAAAAGCCGCTTTAAAATGGCCCTGATTCATGATCACAACACAGGGCGCAAGCACATGGTTTCTAAAGCAGAAATATCAAAGTACAGTTTCGTCTTTTTTTCTTCATTTTCTACCTCCCCTCCGCCGCTGCTTGAGCGAATCCTTCTCGTGCAATCCGCTCTATGAGCTCTTGCTCCAGCTCTTTGAAAGTGACATAAGTGGCTTGCTCATCTTGTTCAAGAAATTCAATCATTTTTGTCAAATTTTTCGCTGCTTTTTTTTAATTCTCTTCTGAGAACTGCGATGATGATCAGCGTCTAAATCGCGGGGCAATAAAAAAGTGAAAGTTATTTTCGAATGTCGTTACGAACAATAAATGGTATCGATAAATGGTATCTGTCGGGCTCTATTACTTTTGGCTGAGTCTGGCAGCTCTCTTGGGACTTCTCTGAGTCTTACTGTCTATTTTTAGCGAAAAGGATGGCCTCTGGCAGGAGCAACAGGCGAAGAGTGCAAATTATGGACGACGATTATTTTGAAAACTCTGTCGTCCCGGCCTTGAAGAAATAGACTTTTACTTTTCTAAGCATTTTTTCTTCCTGGTTCTCAGTCTGTCTGCTTTTTCTAGGGCAAAACTGGTTGAAATAAAAAAAATATTTAATTTTTTTCGAAGATTCTGGAGAATCGTACTATTATTACTGTCAACATTTGAAGCGAAAGACCCGAGGACATATCGCCTCCCAAAATAAAAGGGTTTGTTTTTGCAAAAATACGTTTTTACGTCAATTCGCTTGAATTATGAAATTAGCTTATGAACCCAAATGAGAGTTCAACTATTGCTGACATCGTAAAATACGGCCAAAATGACACAAGAAAAGACTCTTCTCTTAATGACACGCCTTTATAATTACGAATGGGTATTTTAGCGCCCGAATTACCATGTTAGTTCGGAAAAATATGTCCTGAAAGTCAAAATTACTTGGAGGCACAAGTTGCTTTGGAGACGAGTCGCGTTAAACTAGCTCCTATCCGAAGTATGATCTAATAAAACTTCACTATCATTGGATGTACATAGAAACGATCGCAGTCGTTGAAAAGCATTCTTTAATTTCAGCTTCGCATTTTCGCGATGACTCTACCATTTGAGGTCAATCGGTCTTATAAAAATTGCATTATCAGTTTAAAATTGGTGAACGTAACCATGCAATTCCGTATTTTGCATTTCAAGTTTTCAATCGAGTTTTTGCATTCATTATTTTTCAATTTTTCTGATTGTCAAAAATGAAATTGAACACTAAAGAGAAGCTTTTTTGTGCAAGGAATGTTTCAATAGACATTTTTGATTGATCGAGAGATTAAAAAAAAAATTCTGAAACTGAACAAGTCTTCTTTGGACTCTTCTGACTGGTTTATCTCTAGCATTGGCCGTTTTCTATGTGCATCGGCTTATTTGGATCGATTTCATTCCAGCTGGGTTTGGCAACCTGAGTAAAGAACCTGAGTCAGGCTCTGGGAGAGCTAAAATAAAAAGATGCGTGGCGGCTTTTTCAAAAACGAACGTATATAATTTATAGCTCTTCCAGAGCCTGACTCAGATTTTTTACTCAGGTTGCCGAGCCCTGCATTCCAGGTTCTGGAAGCAGCCTTGTCGTTGCGGAAGTGTGGATGATCGCTGATGCCGTTGCGATTTTTGTTGGGAGCATTATTGGGATAAGCGGCTTTCTGGGAATGTTTTCTCGTTGCGCGAAAAATGTTCATCTCTTTTTTATTTTCTACTGGTTGACATGGATAGCTGTAAGAATTAAACTCTTTTTAAGATTGAAAATGTTTAAGAATCTCTTGGTTGGTGTTCCGTATGCTTGCTTTCTCATCGCCGGAAGCATCACGGTTTTTTTACTGTACCCCGACATTTCTGACGAAGGTATACTCTCATTTCACGGCGAAATTTGGGTTTACTACCTGCTCGGAATTATAATCATGATTCTCGGAATATGTTTGCTGATTAATTTCATTTATGCTCTGATTTTATGCCCTCGATACTGTTGCTCGAAACGAAAAAACACCGTCAAACCTCTGGAAGAAAAAAATTAAGAATCATGTTCTGAATAAATTTCATGGCAGAAAAAAATAATTAGCAAAAATGTCTGTGCGGAGAATTGAAATTATCCAGCTTTATTATAGATCATAACTTATGATTACTTCGAAGTCTACTACTCGCGGAGTAACAGACTTTCCTTGACCTAAATATTCTCAAAATTTAGTTGCTCTCGATACCGGTATTTGAGAATCGTTTCTTTTAATAACGCGATGATTTCAAAGAAATCGGTCGACATGGAGATATGCGCAATTTAGTTGCACTGATTATTTGGGAATCATAATTTTTATAACGCCAGCTCTATTTATGCGCTCCTTTCTCGCTCATGTCGAGCAGAATTCTCTCTTCAAATCATGAAATTTCTATTTCTATTTTGGAGATTTTTTCTTGGCTCTTTCGCCTTTGAGATAACAAAAACTTGCCCGTAAGAGTCTCAAAATTTTTAAAAGGTTACTCTACAAAACTAGGGATTTGGATTTGGGAACTGAGTGCGACGCGTCATGCAGGTTTGAATTCATCCAGTGTCGCGAAAATTGCGCAGATGCGATTTGTGAGAATGAGTGCGTCGCAACTTACACAGGTTTTTACACAGAATTAACTCAGAAAAATGATAAATTTTATAAAGCCTGCTCTGCTGGATGTCCTTGCTACAGTAATTGCCCAGATGGCTGCGAAAACTGCGAACATCCTATCTGTTACTGCAAGAGCCCGCAAATAGACAATCCGAATTACCAGCGTTGTGTAAAAGATGCCCGCGATGAGTTCGATGAGTGCGTTGAAGACTGCTCTGCTGCTCAAACTTGCTTTGAAAGTTGCTTTGAGTTCTTTCAAAATGCCACGGATAAGTGCCCTTGCATGAGTGCTTGTCCCAACGGTTGCCCTTGCGATGGTCAGCCTGGCTATCATTGCGAACCGTTCATTACCCATATTTGTCAACGAACAACCGAAAACTGGTCAACTTTTCCGAGCTACGTAATTTCTGCTGATGGTCAGTTCAAAGAAGACAGATTCTACTTTCAACCTGAAACTGATAAACAAAATTATTTGGAAACGACACTTCATGCGTCTCTCAACGGAATCATATATTTATTTGGCGGAAAGTCTAATAGGAAAAAAGTAAATTTTTTCATCTTGAAAGCCTCTTTACCCTTAGGCTTTAGATCGCCAAAATCGATGGATGTACGATCGAAGAGTTGCCTGTAGTACTTACCTACAACTACGACCACCACAGCAGCATAGTCACAGTCCCAACGAACCCAAATGAAATAATGCTTTGCGCAGGTCGTGACCAGATATCAGGTCCTTATACAGTATGCGAAGATTTTGACGGAGAGAGGACTGTGGTCAGTCCGTTTACTCTGAATTCGGAGCATGATACTGGATGCATGGCGTTGTACCAAAATCTCTATCCAATTATAATCGGCGGCGGGCCAAACTCGCATCCTCTATCTGACAAAGTGGAAATGCTCGGACTTAGTGGCTGGCATTACGAGGCGAATCATCCACGCGCTCTCCGAAGTATGGCCTGCATTGCCTTTGAAGATGGAACGCTTACGATTGGCGGAGATTTGACTGTCGACAATATTCAAGACAGAAATTTCATAAATGATGTTTATCACTTCGTCAACGGAGTTTGGAAATTTGCTGGAAAGCTTCAACAAGTTTTCTCAAAAAATTCACGACTCAATTACTAATTATTTATTTTCAGCCTATTGGGATGCCATCAGTCATCGCTTTTGACGACTACTTTATCTCCTTTAGCGGCTTTCACTCAAATTTTACCGGGTATTTATGCGAAAACAGACTCGAGAACGTACTAGTCAAAACTTATTTAAGAGAGTATCCAGTTGAAAGAGCGAATTGGAACGGAACTCACGTGACTTCTACAACCATTCTCACAACTCACGAATACGAGTGTCACAAACCAATCCTCTTCGAATCAGCACCAGATGTTTGTTCTGACTCCTGCGATGACTTGTGCCAGGACTTTTGTTTTCCAACTGTTGAGCTTTAGAAAAAAGCTGTGTTACTGCTACTCTTTTATTTAAAAAAAGTCAAAAAGAGCAATAAATATTTTTTCAAGCAAAAATTTTAGCATTTTTCTTTTGTCCCAAAAATTATCTATCTTCTTGATTGCCAAATTAAAAACGCGTTAAATTGTGAAGCTCAATGACAATGAGCAGACGGAAGAAAATTAACGTACAGCTCGTTAATTCGACTTTATGACCTAAGCCAGAGTTCGGAAACAACAAGCTTAACTATTAACTTAATTTTCCAGCGAAAATGAAAGAAAACGCAGCAATTATATTTTCTTGCCTTTTACTCGTTGCATATTTTTACATAAACGAAATCGAGGAAAAGCTGTCGGAAATCATGAGAAAGGAAAAAATCAAAATGCGAGAGGAAGAAGAAGAAGGCACTTTTCAGTTCAGAGAAACAGCGAAAACGCAAGAATCAGTCGAAGAAGGCGTCGGGCAGCAAAAAGTTTATGAAAAAAGATTGCCAGATTTCATCATAATTGGGATGCAAAAATGCGGAACGACAGCTTTAAAATACTATTTGGAAGTTCATCCGAATCTTCTAGCGCCAGACCGGGGAGAGATTCACTTTTTTGAGAAAGACGGCAATTTTAACAAGGTGATGAAACGCTCAGTAAATTTGCATTAACATTTTCAGGGAAAAGACTGGTACATCAGCGAAATGCCAAGTGCTGGTCCTGACTCCCTCGTCTTCGAAAAGACTCCCGATTACATGGCAGTCCCGATTGTTCCGAAAAGAATCTTCGAATTGAAACCTGATGTGAAGCTGATAGTAACAACTTGTGATCCCGTAAAACGAGCATTTTCAAATTTTTTGCATCTGACAAGCGTGGAAAGACCGATCGACGAAGTTGCTCCAGGAGTTCAATTTGTTATGAATTCAACTTTTGATGAGGCCATTTTTGCAGCGCTGAAAAAATCTGTCGGCGAAAAAAATGCAAAGCTTATTTTTGAGAAGCCGGATGAAATCAACGAGGAGAAAAGAGAAGAAATAAGAGAGACATTTACTTCATTTGCGAGCAAAATTTGGGACGATAACAAGAAATTTCCCATGCCAGAAGGTCTCTTAGGCAGGGCTTCAAAATTGTACTTCCATCGGTTATTTACCGCAAATAACCCGATTTACAACCCAAAAAGCCTGTTTCAAGTGAAAGGATACTACAAATTTCTCATCGAAAAATGGTCCCAAATCTTCCCTCCCGAAAACATCCTCCCCCTAAACGGCACTCTTCTCTCATCCTCGCCCTGGAACGCCTCACGCCAAATAGAGGATTTCCTGGAAATAGAAAACTTCCTGACAGAAGACAAATTTTCAAGAATCGAAGACACGAATTTTTATTGTATCAAAACAAATCGTAAAAAACGACCTTGTTCAAAACCTGGCGGCAAAAAAGGCCGTACTTTGGAAACGAAAATGAGCGAAAAAGCTCAGTATGCGCTTCGAGTATTTTATCATGCTCTTAGCTAATTTTTGCTTGTAAGAACTTTCAAAATTCTTTTACCATAATCTGCACTCACTGTATCTTTATTTCTTTATCCTTACAAAATATATATTTTCACAGCTTCGAATTTCTCAAATTTCAAATTCCACTCATAAATTTTTCAAATTCGACGACATCGTTAAAATCTTCGATATCGAAAATCGCTACCCATTTTTCTTGAACGCTTCCGTCTTCGTTATCCTCGTCGTCTCGATACCGGTAGTGCACGACTTGATTCACTATTTTCCTGGCGCGGATTTTTAGGTGAGTTTCTTCGAGAATTTCGAGGGCTTTTGAGTGGAGTCTTTTCTTGTGCTGACAGAGATTGGTAAGTTGATTGAATCTCAAATCACAGAACTCACACTAGAAAAAAAGAAGATGTTAAATTAGTGACTAAGGTTATTTGAATCACCTCGAATGGTTGTTCTCCAGTGTGTATTCTTTGATGCCTCTTGACATGCCATGTCGTCGGGAACTCCTTTCCACATTCTCCGCAACTTTTAGGAATTTTTTCCATTCTCCATTTGGGCTTCTTTTTACGAACACTTTTCATGTGAACGTTAGAGTATGCTTTCAGACGAAAACTTCTGTCGCCTTTCTCAAACTTGAATTCATTCACCAAAAATATTTCAAAATATTTTAAATAAAATTTTAAAATAAATATTTTAAAATATTGGTTTTATGCAGAAATCAGCTTTCACTTGAAAAATCACCGAGTTGTAGCTTTGAAACTCGTGGCTTCCGATGATTTCTGTCTCGATTATTGTGTCGCTGAGGATGGTTACTCTTTCCATAAGGCGGGGGCCGTTGGGAGAGGGGGAAAAGGATCGAGGGGCGACGATGAAAATGAACTCGCCGATCTTCACCGCTGAGCCGCGGTATTTTGGCTAAAGTAAAAGGAGAATTTTGAATTCCTTAAATTTCTATGTTACGTCTTTGAGAAGTCCGATTGACGTCCACATTTCGTCCTTCAAAAGCCAAATTTCTCGAAGATACTGCTCAGATGTCGGATCATATCCACCTGCCATCACCATTGCTCCACTCTCCAATCCCGTAAGAGTGTGCCCGTATGTATCTCTTGACATGAATAATTGGAAAATTGACCAAAATAAATTACTTAGGGTGCTCAGCCAGACTAGACCATCCAAGCGAAGAGTAAGTTTCGACTTTTCGGAAGCCGCCGCCGAACCCACTTCCGACAGACGTTGGCTGACCTTGGTAGTAGCCAAGAGAGCCATAACGATGAGAGAACTCGGATGAATGCGTAGTTACAATTGAGCTTGTGTCGAATATTTCGCACTTTTTCGCAGTCGAGTAGTCAAAACAAATCAGCGCTAAAAGCAGTCAAGATGAAGATTGAAAACGATCAATAGAAACCTCTTTCTCCGGAATCAATTTCGATTGCAGAAGAACCAATCTGGAATCTGAAGTTAAGTCGAACTGATAGTTCAGCGAATGAACAACCTTCTATCTTTGCAATCTGAAAAATGTTCAACCTTTTTCTTCATATAATTTGAATTTTTAACCTTTTTGTCATCGCTGGAGCCGCCGAAAATGTACGATTCTCCCTTGACAACAGCGAAAGCGCTTAATTCTGCGTAGTTTGTTTCAGAAGCAGTGATGAATGCCGAGTTCTTGGTAAGCCCATCTCCCGAGAGAACGTACGAGTTCGCCATGTCATCGAAACCAAGAACGAGGATATGTTGATCGCTCTGGATTGAAATTAGTCCCTTCGATAAAGCTTAAGATCAACCGGTGAAATTTGAGCGATTGACGTTGTTGACGAAGCCGTTGTAGATGTTGATACCTAAAAAGATTGAAAAATTCGAGAAAAAAATTTCATTTTCCTTCGCGATTTTCATTTGAACATACCTGCGGGCAAATTGGATTCTCGCAGTTGATACATCCTTGCTCGCAGTTCTTTCCGCAAGGACAATCGTCGCGGCAATCTTATTATTTATGCTGAAAGCATTTTCAGAATGAGCTTACTTTGGTATTCTCGCTCGCAAATAGACTCGCAGTATTCCGATTCGCAGAGAATACGGCATCGGTTGTAATCCACTCGGCAGAAACCCTCGCATTCTTCTTTTAACTCGGTTTCTCTGAACAGATTTCAGATCAAAATTGACCTCAACAGAATCAAACAAAAAAAAAACTTACGCGCAAGTTTCAACAGTTTTTGCAATAGTTGTTGATGTTATTATTGCTGTTGATGAAATCGTTCTTGTCGTTGATGATGATGTTGATTTAGCAGTAGTCGTTGTAATTGATGCTGTTGATTTTGGATGACTCGTCGTTGTTGTTGTTACCTTAACAAACTTAATTTTCTTCAGCTTTCGAATTCATTATTCCACTTACCACACAGGGACACAAATCCAAAGCTTTCAGCAATCTCTCGTTGCATTCTTCGAAACAGTTCCTTTCCGGCTCGCATTCTTCGATACAAATTGCCTGAATTTAACTCAATATCGTATTGGCTAAAAATGATTTGCCTGGCCTTGAAGAGCTTCATTTCGGCAGTGGATGTATTCTTCATTTTCAGTTTTTGCATTTTCGCATTCGTCCTTGCAAATCTCATTTTCGCACCCATCGCAACCGTTCGGACAGTCAACTCCGCAAGGACAAGCCGATGTGCAAGCTTCGAACTCAAATGATCAAAATTTTGGTCGTTTTTTTACCTGCGAAATCAATGGCGCAGCTATTTTGACAAATTGACGAGTCGCAATTTGAAAGACATGAGAAATAGTCGAGTTTGCACTGATTCTCGCACTTGTCGAAAAGTTCTGCGTCGCTAGATTTGAAAATCAAATGCGGTTGAAAATTTCTATCGACACTAACACACAGTTTTCTGCTGGAGAAAGAGAAGAATTTTTCTCGCTAGAAATCATGATCCTGTTTTTGAAAAGAATGTTATCCGAAGTTATTGCCTCAGAAATCCATCTTTCGGGACCCGACTTTCTATTGCTGTTTCTCTGACTAAGACGCGCCGCAGAACATAAATTTAAAAATAGCAAAAGCTGTAGCAAAATCATTTTTCGCGGAAAAGCAAGATGAAACTCGTTATTGCGCCGTTACTAAAAGCGACCTTCCAAGGTCAAACAAATCTCAAATGCTTATGAAACTTAAATGTCAAGCAGATTCGAGCGGTCTTTTTTAGGCGAGCTCAGAGTCAATAATTTTTTCATTTATTATTATTCCTTGACTCAGGTTGCCGAGCCCTACTCGAAGTTGTCTTCTCTTGAAATTTTCATGATGAAAATATCAGCTGATGGGTTGAGACGCGTATACGAAGTTGCTCTGCTGTTGAAATTTTTAACTTGAAAAATGATTACACCTAGATTCTAGATCTGTTTGCTCTTTGAGACCGCTCTTACAAGTGATGGACAGATTCAAAAATGGACTGCGAGGAGAAAGAAGAAGATACTCGGCCGATCGCTTTTCGAGTTGAAATCAACGAAGAAACCAGAGAGCACTTTCTCAAATATGCAAGAGAATCAGGCCTCGTATGTATTCATAACTCTTCGATAGACTCATGTCTTTTTGAAGGACAAAATCAAGCCAGAAGACGACTATTTCAGCACCTCCGATGAAGAAGAACATGCTCCAGGAGACTCGAGAAATTTAGCAAAACAAATCGCAAATCACTTTGATGGAATTCTCCTTCGACCTCATAAAACAAAAGTAAATCGCTTTTTTTCTAGAGAAATTAATTCAGACAAAATTTTCAGTGTGATAAGTTCCTGGACTACTACCAAGTTTACGACGCTGAGAGCTTGATTGAATTCATTCCTGAAGACGAATTTGGGCCCGAAAAAGAACCGCCTCTAAAAGAACTTTGCTTGGAAGCTGCAAAAGAAGCCGCAATTGAAAACAAAGAACGATGGAAAGCTGAGAAGTTGAGGAAAAATAGGGAGCGGAAAAGAGAAAGAAGGAGAAAAGAGGCGGAAATGAAGATGCAACTTGCGGAGAATTTTAGCGGGAGGATTGTGGATCAAGATGTTGAAATGGCGGATGAAATGGATGACCAACCGGCGCAAAATTTCGTGGAAATGGAAGACGAAGAAATGGTCTCAGATTCAAGAAAGGGCTAAAAATTTGATTTCTTTCCCACTAAATTGTTATGAGAAAAAGCCCTCTTTTTAGTTTTTCATCAACAGACAACGATCAAAAAGAGCTGCCAACGGAGCAGTTGCGGAAAATGAAAAATGATAACAGGAAGCGCAGAATGCGACGAAAACCGATCATGACTGCGCTTTTCGGACAAGAAAACTCGGAACTCGATATCACGAAAAGAGACCTGAGAGATGCGTTTTGGAAGCGGAAAAATTATCTCAGAGATCTCAGGAAACTTTTCAAAAGCAAATATCAAATTCACTCTTCGTCGAAGAGTCTTCGACGCAGCTTCTGAAAATAAGAAAAGAACTCATCACTGGATAAACCCCGAAACGAACAAATTCTATCTTCTCCCATCCGACCGAAAGACCGAATCTCACTTTTCCAAGTTGCGGGAGTACTTTCAAACGCTAAAGAGAGAAAACAAGCCCGGAATTTATCTCTCACTGCCTGTAATTGATCAGACTCTTTCCTCTTCGTCGGACGAAGAAATGGTCGATGTTTCTGGAGATGTATTTGTTTAATTTTATATTTTTTTGATTTTAATAAAACAGATCGTAAAAAATTACACCTAGCCTCCACTTCTCTTTCTTTCTTCATCTTTCGGTCTTCTTGGACAGAAATTATATTCAGATAAAAATATTATCGGTTGAGGAATGAAGCTGCGATGGTTTCCGATAATCTCTGTTCTTAAAACTTCATTGTTGTCTTTATTAAGGGATGCATACATTTCTATTTTCTGAATAATATTTCAATCCGATTTCCCTTGCCTAGAAAAATTCGCTGGATAGGATACGCATATTCGCGGTTGTTGACACCAGGAAACATGTAGATTGTTTCTTCAATAAGTATAACAGATGAATGATATACTTGCTAGAATTATTTTTGAATATCATCAAAACGCCAAGCCCGGAAGCTGACCTTCTGTAACGATGTCTTTTTTGCCCAGTCATCAAGCAGCACCCAAATTTCTTTTGAGTCCACTCCCTCATCAAAATTCCATCCGCCGAGGGTCGCAATCGCTCCTGAAGGCAATCCGATGACGGAATGTTTATAGATGCATCTAAAAAGTCAAAGTTACTATTATAGGCGAGATTGTTACGCATTTTACCTTGGATGTCGTTTTATCTCGCGCCAGCCTTCATCAGTCAGCATCTCAGAGTATCGACAATTAGTAGGTTTTCCAGAAATACGGTCATTCACTGGCTTGCCACCGATCGTTGTTGGTTGTCCTTTATAAAAGCCCATCCCACCTTCCCAGTGAATTTCCGTTGAATGGAAGGTATCGTTGGTTACTCGCTCTCCGTCGAATATTTGACAAGCTTTTCCTGTTTTGCCGTCGAAGCAAACAAGTACTTTGAGGATAATCATGAAATGATTTTAGATAAATATCTAACCATGAGTGTCGAAAACAGAGAGAAAGGAAGAGCCTGCTCCGAAAAAGTAAAAATTCAAAAAGTCGTCTATTTCGACGAGCTCACAGTGATCAGACAGTTTCGCAATCTATGATTTCCCACATGCGAAGAATAAAGATTGCTCTTACCTTCTCAGTGTCATAAGATCCTCCAAAAATGAAGAGTTGGTCCTTCAATACCGCATAACCGGCTAGATGGAGATATTCGGCAAGGGTGCCGGTGTACTTTTTTAGGTGGGCGAATTTTTTCTTAAAATGATAGAAAACATAATCACACCATAAATGAACGGATTTCGGGGGAAGAATTTTAATTTCGCCGATTGAACCATCTCCAAATAAGGCATATTGTCGTTCCTGCGTTTTTTCGGTTGAAAGGATATTTATTTGACGCTGCTTGTATTTGAAGAAGCCCACGTTTTTTATCTTCGTCTCATCACCGAACTTGAAAACCCTAACTCGTTTGTCTGAAATCTTTTCCAGCCCATTCATTATTTTCGAAGCGAGCATTATCCCTTTTTCGTTTTGAATTTTTAACAACATGGAAGAATCTCTTCGCTCATCGAATCTAATTTCAAACGAGTACAATGGATAGTTCAAAAAGAACAAATGAACATTTTCTTCGAAAAAATCCGATTTTAAACCAACAGAATCGTTTCGATGAAGCTGCATTTCGAAAATTGTCTGCCCAGTAAAAGATCGAAATTCGAGTATTTTCGTCGTTCTTTCAACTTCTTTGCATTTACTGATTTGAAAATTTAGTTTTCTTGTCTGATCGAAATCAAGCTCGAATGAAGAAATATGATCGAACTCGACGAAAGAGCGAAACGACGAATCTGGCACGATTACCAAAGGAAAGGGAGGACTGAAACTGCTTGCTGAACGAGGAAAAAGGGGCTGGGAAGCGAGATTCTTAGCGAAAGATGGAAACACATCATCGTGAAAAGCGAAGAAGGGATTGGCCTTGACATGCATGAGATTTCGTGCTTTTTGCTGACGGAACTCGACTTCAATTAGATCTTTCAACTGATAGAAAAACAAAGTCGAATATCAAATAAAAATTTGGTTAAAGTTCTATCTCTCCTAAGTCAAAATGAACCTCAAAAGTTGCATCGAAGACCAAACTTTGAAGAAAGAATCGATCGTTGTTGAGAAAGGCGTTGATAAAATACTCACACTCGTCGTTGTTCATTCCAAACTCATTTGTATATGAGTAGTCGTTAGGAGCCATAAGTCCAGAGTAGCAATACGGCGGATGTTCGTATTTGACCAGAGATCCAATCCACTCGTTGCCGAGCGTAAGGAACTTTCCTTCTTTTTCAAGCAACAAGGAGTACATCATATTTGAAAGAACAATACTCCTGGTAACCAGAACGAGTAGCAATCGCCCAAGATCGGTCTTTCTCTGGTTCTAGTCAAAATCATTCTATAGAGAGTCGTTGGTTGGGCAACCACTTATCCCCCGGTACTGCGGGCCGGTAGGAGTCCTAACAATCAGTCTCTAAGAACCGTTTTCAGAGGCACAACATGAACCAAATCAAGATCCCTGAACTCGACCGGTTTTGCGATCTCGTCCTTTCGCCATCCTTTCTCGAGTTCTTCACTTTTTCTGATCCGATTAAGCGCGACGGTCTTTGATATTTTGATCCACCCATCTCCGATTCTGATGCTCATCAGGTAGAAAATCCCACCAAAACTTATTGAAGATACTTTTGCGTTGATATGATTGCTTGCGATGTAGCCTTGAGCAGTTTCAAATCGATTCAAATTGTAATCAGGGGCGTAGTAGTAGCATTTGTCATTTCTCTTCGAAGGAGAGCAAATAACGACAACGGGAAAGACACTTTTTCCATGGTCTTTTCTTCTTATTTGAATATGATGATTTCCAATGGAAGAGGAAAAATGAAACATAAAGTAGCCAGTGCTAAAGAATCATAAGCGAATTTGATGATAACAGTACCCTTGAAAGTTTCTGTTTCGAATAAACAAAACGGTCTCTCCATTCTCGATAACTCGTTTCAGATTACCCTTTGCATCTACCAGGTAATGATGTCCGTTGAGAAAAGAAGCTCCAATGACCTTCAAAGTTTCAAAACAAGAGTTATGCTAAGTTCGCACCAGATTTTTCAGAAACTTTCATGATGTGTTAGGGGTTCTTCTTCAGTATTGATTTGCACTGTAAAGTTATCCTTCCTGGAAAAATCGAAGAGAACAAGAGGGTATTTTGTAATCTTCTCCTCCCGTAGTTCTTTTCGCCGGTAAATTGCGAGTGATTTCTCTTCCTCCTTACGACCAAAAACTTTCACTTCTCCCCTTTTCAGATCCCAAGCGGGAATCATCGTCGGTTCGTTTTGTATTTTCTCGCACTGATAATACTCACAAGGGCATCCCGATTTACAGTACTTTTCAAACGGACAGATTTGACCCGCGTCAGAAGAAGTTCTGGTTATTTCAAAACATATAATTTCGCATGGACTAAAACTTGCAGTCTTCGTTGATTTCAAAATAATACTTCTTGAACACAAGTGGCGGCAAATTTTCTGATCTTTTCTTCGTTTTTTAAAACACTAGAATTTTTTTTATAATTCTTTTTTGAAAACGAAGCATAGAAATTCTGCTTTCTGCATCGTAAAAGATTGATTTCGTTTTCTTTTTCCGTGAAAACCAGAGCTGGCTCATTTCGACTTTCGAGCTTAGTGAACTCATCCGGCAGATTAAACTCTCTTGTGGTTTTACAACCGTAAAGAAGATGCGCACAGTAATCCATTTCGGTAGTCCTGATACACTCTTTGAAGCGGGCTTGGCAGACAGAGGTCAAGTAGGTAGGCTGGATTCTCGAGGCGAGCAAGGAATAATAATTGGCTTGAATGAACAATCAAAAAAAGAAAGAAGTCGTGACTTACAGATGACAATGATGATGAACCAAAAAATGACGCCAAAGAACATGTAAGAAACAAATTGTTTCTTAGTCGCGTAGCCACTAAAATTCAGTGCTGATGTTTTCAAATAGCTAAAAACTCACTGGACAGCAAAGCGTTTCCACGATTTCCAGGCATCATCCTCTTCGAATTCATCCGAAAACAAGCCAGTGTATTTGTTAGGCTTTGTCGTTTTCCGGCTTTCGAATTCGAGCGTCTGCCTCAGTCCTTCTCTTTTTATTTCGATGATATTTAGTAGCTCCATTTCACTTTTGATGAATTTTCTGGCTCTTTTCATTTTAACCTTCGTCTTGTCAATCAGTCCCGATTCATTTATACCCTCATCCGCCGATATATTTAACTCCTCTGCTACTCGTTTTGCCTCCTTTAGACTCATTTTAAAATCTTTCATTCCATTCAAGTACTTTGGCATAAAGAAACCCCCACCAAGCTCTGGCAATGTGGTCTTCACCTTGTCTGGCCGGAGAACTGTACCCTCTGCGGTGTTCCACAAAGTTCCAATGCAATTACATTCGAGGCATCTAACCAGCTGTTCCTGATGCGCTTCAATGATCGTTTCATCGTCAACGGGCTTGATCTCTTCCTCTTCTTCTGTGCCAAATTTAAAAATCATTGAAGACGACTGTCAGACTCGCGAAATGAGTAAAAACGTCGGGTTCTTGATCTATACCGAGCTCGTAATTGCTATGATCTTAAGCTTCCTGCCCTTCAAAAATGCAGAGCAAAGAAGACATCATCGTCTTGAGTTTGTTCAAGTTCGTATTTAAATTTTAAAAATACAAAAAATAAATTCTTGAGAAATGAGTCTCTTGTGTCGCCATAGGAAGAAAATTTCTTAAACCAAAACATTTCTGACAGACATATAGACAATAAACAAAATATAAAACAAAAGGGCGAATCATTTCATTCAAGTTCACATCCGAAAAGACGCAAATCACCGTAAAACGTTGCCTATAAAATGGCACGTATTCTCGATTGCATGTCATATTTACTCAGTTACTATTTGCCCCGAACTTTTTATAAAAGAGATTTTTCCTTGCTCTAGCATTTGTTCCAAATATCTAAGATGAGGCTTCCTCTTCTTTTTTCGGGAATTTTTTGCCACGATGGTCCCCACTCGTGGCCAATAAATAGACTTACAAATACAGAGATATCAGTAAAAGTCAACAGTAATTGGCTCGACAAAGGAGGTTACGAGTTCGAACTTTTTATCACTCCTTCTGGAGATTTGGCTAACAATGCAACACGTATGTACTGGTTTTTTGATTTTATGCTTATTCGATTAAAGACAAATGGGAATTGTGCTTTGACACACCGATGCCGACTGGAGAGACAAGCGAACAAATGCAACAAGCCCGAGAGTTGCCAGGTCTTTCGCTGGGCTTCAGAAATTGCAATATTTTTCAATACCCTGGTACTCATCGTTGTCTCCGCGACTGCGATTCGCATCCAAAAGATGAAGAAATTGGCTACAAAATTATCGCTAATCCTCATTCACTTGCGAAATCAGATTTCTTTGGGAACTTTTACTTCGTGACTCATGATGACAGCCAAAAACACGGGGATGAAAACACACGACAAGCATATTTTAGTAAAAGCGAAGTTTCACGCGCGGAGCCTGTATATATAAGTGCCATCTATCTCATCGACCTTGATCAAGAATTCATTGCAATCGAAGAGGTATTGAGTACTCAATGCAAAGGCTCTGTTTGCAAAACACAGGATTTTGTGCAAGACCCAACTGAGGAAAGCCAGCTACTTAACAAAGAATCCAGTAAGTGGCTACCGTGGACGCCTGAAGAACGATACGAACGAAACCAGAACGAAAACGATCCCTCGACAGACGCGGAAATCGCTCCAGTTACTGACGATTCTTTGGAAATACGAGTGTTGCACGTTGACATCGCAAGAAATTTCCACAGCCTGGAAACGTTGGAAAAAATACTCAAAGAAATGGCCGTGGTGAACATGACGCATCTTCATCTACATGCGACGGATGATGAAGGTTGGAGGATTGAGATTCCTGCCTTGCCAGAATTAACGACAATCGGAGCTCATCGATGTGCTCCTATTCAAAACGAGCCATGCATGATTCCTCAGGTTACTAAACAATACCTCAGAACAAGGTTAATTAAAAAAATTCAGTACGGAAGTGGGTTATCTAAGGACGCACCACAAAATGGCTTCCTTAGTGTCGACCAGTACAAGCAGCTCCTGACGACTGCTGCCGACCTTGGAATCCACGTCATAACAGGTAGCCTCGAGTGAACTTTCGAGTGTCTTTGAAGTTTAATTTGAGAAATAAACGGCCCTGGACACGCGCGCGCTGCTATAGAAGCAATGAAACTTAGAAACGACGAAACATTCTTCCTTCACGATCCCAATCAGACCGTTTTCGACGTTCCTAGCGTGCAATTCTTCACCGATAATGTAATGAATCCCTGCCAGGAATCCACTTGGACTTTCTTGGAGACAGTGATTTCTTATCTCAAATCCGTGCACGACGAATTCAATGGTTTCCATGAAATCATTCATCTTGGAGGCGACGAAGTAGCACATCTAAATTATGCTGGGGATCAAAAGTTCCCCTGGGAAAATTTTCCGTCTTGCGAGAAAATGATCGAGGCAAATAGACAAGATCCAAACAGCTCTTGGGAAAACGGAAGACCCACGGATATGAGCGAGCTTCAGTGGTATTTTACTTCAAAGTTCATGAAAATTGTCAAGGTAAAACGCTTCCGTTAATATTGACAGGCTCCTAAATCAAACGTCCTCAGGATAATGGCTTTACAGCGGGAGCTTGGGAAGAGTCCTTCCTGGACAAGTGGACCGATAAAGGATAGCGGTTCTAAATCAAGGAAGATATCTGACTTGATTTACGATTTTCAACCGCAAGTAGCGTTTCCAAAAGTCCAGCCACTCGAGAAATTCGGAATGACTGCTTCTGACAATGTCCACGTATTCGTCTGGAACATTGACTGGGAATCAGAAGTGAAAGACTGGCCATACCAATTTGCAAACGAAGACTACAAAGTTGTCATGACGCCCGGTTAGTTGAGAGGAGTTCGAATTTGAACATGATTCTTTCTTTTGTTAGCTACGCATCTGTATTTGGACCATCCGAATGAGCCGCATCCTTCGGAAACGGGATTTTACTGGGCGAATAGATTTACTGATATGAAGATTATTTACGGCTTCCAGGAAGGGCTTTTATATCACTGAATGCATCAATCATAAGAATAACCCCTTCATGTGGCGATAAGTCGTAAGCTCCAAAAAAGGTCTATGATTTGTACAAAAACTCTGCTTTCGCCATGAATTGGTCCCCTCTCGGCCCCGGAACTCCTGTGCCACCAAACTACAAATGCGATGCAAACGGGCAAGATGCTTGTGTCAAACTAGAAGAGTCGAAAAAGTCAAACATTGTTGGTCTTCAATGCTCAACTTGGAGCGGTAAGGCCGCGGAAGATTTCTCCCCTATCATATTCAGAGTCGCTGCTAACATCCGAACTGCTCCTGAAAAATATCTTCCCTCGAGTGTACGCTTGCGCAGCCCGGGCTGCTCAACCTACCCCAGTTTTTGACACGGCCGAAACTCCAGAATTCGATGCCGATTTCACTAAATGGGTTTCAAAAGTCAAGCCTCACATGCAACGACTTTCAGATAACGATGTCGATTTCTATTTAGGAACGGAATTTACACAATGTTAAAACTTTTGAAAGTGAAACTGGTGTAAATTATAAATGAAGCGCCTCCTGGAGCAAAATGCGAAAATGGCAAGGTCCTAACAAATCACCAGATTCCGGGAATCGACGTAATTGTCGAGGAGAACGATTCTATTCGCGAAGACTCTGTCTTCACCGCCCAAGCTACTCTTGGGAAGACGAAGAGCCGCTCCGTTGAGATTACCTGCGAATCTGCTGGCGATGGAGATGGGGGTGGAAGCGCTTCAGTTGCGTTTTTCTCCCTTTCTATGATTGCGATGCTCCTTGTTTAATAAAATTGACAAATCAGCTAATGAGCAAGATGTTTTATTGGAAGGCAGTTTGTAAGTTAGACATGTGATAATAAATTTTACTAAAATGGAATTCGGGAGGATGAAAGAAAGGAGATTTAGCATTCTGTATTCGACTGCGGATTCACAGCATCGCGGAGGAGGACGTCTTTCAGATGAACGAGGGCTTGCTTCAGGCTTCGGTGGTTGCCCTGGTTTCGTAGCCAGTGCGTTGGAAGATTCTTAAGAAAGAATTAATACTACAAAACTTTCTGAGGGCTTACCATCGTTTCTGCTCGCTGAGGATGAACAGAAGCGATCATCTTGTCCCACTTCGAAGCAGGTGGCTTTCCACCGTCCAAACCTTCCATGTACTTCATATAAGCATCCGAGTGAAGAACCCTCGTCGGTTTGGGAGGATTCGTTACCAACGGTCCAATCGCTCGTGATTGAATTTCTCCTTGTCGAACTAAAAATCCGTGAAGATGTGAAACAAATTGTCTCTTTCTTACCGTTTGTGTGGGGTTTCATCGGGCTCTGAGCAATTCTAGTGACGGTGTGTGTTTGAGCGACGGTTTGAGCTTGTGCGATTGGATTTGCTGCGACGTACTGTTGCGGTGTTGCTGGAGGCGGGTGTCCATTTGCTTGGCCAGGGCTTTGAGGCTGGAATGCTACGAAAAGGAAGGTTAGAATGATGTGGAAAATATGAAGAAAAAATAAGTTTTTGTTTGATAAATGAAGTTCATGCAAAAATAAAAGAGAGTTGGGATGATAAATCGTCGTTTTTTCTTCTGAGAAAATCTTACTGGAAGAAGTATTTAAACTTGATATCTTGACAGGCTTGAGGTTCCCAAGAGTTCTATTTGCTTCCTTTGTCTTTTGTTGAGTACTTGCCTCGGGAAATTCGACTGGCTCAAGGATAGTCGCAAAATCATCAATCGGTGCGATTGGTATTTTTCCTTTTATAAGTTTGTTTCTCAGCGATTTCACAGAATTTAATGCGTCACTGTGCACTTGCTAAAGCTTCGAGTTACTTACCCGTTGTTTCTTTTCAAAAGCTACCTTTGTTTTTATCAATTTTGCTTGTAAATCATGTAAATCTGCGAGCGTTCGGTGTTTTTTCTCATGTTTGCTTGTAATGTCGCTTTGAGACCCCTCAAATGTCTCCTGATTTGCCCCAAACCCTGGCTAACAGATTCTTTTAACAGGCATATCGGGCTGTTGATGCGTTAACGAGGGCTTTAGTTCTTTGAATGCTTTCCTTGAGCTGGGTCTGAGGGCTCGCAAAGGATGTTATCTAATGACTCCCAGTTTGGCGCCCATTCGTTGTCATTAAAAATGGGAATAACAGGCACCTGCGCGACGTGACGACTGCGCTCAGAGACCCAATACTTACCCTGCGAGTGGTTAGAATCTTCGCCGACGGAGTCAGATTCGAGCATTTCCATTTCGCGGCGTCGCTTGTCTTCGACTTTCTGTTGGTCGAGTCTTTTCTGCGCCTCCGCGACCTAAAAGGATCAATTCAAAATGAAACATCAACAGACCAGCAATTTACCTTTGCTTTGGCCTTATCTTCATATTCCTTCTTCTCTTCAGCAGAAAGCGCTCGCCAACGCTCTCCGATGATCTTTGACAAATCGCCAAAGCCAGATTGCGGGTTTTCCTCTCGAACTTGTTTATTAACCGCGGCTGTGAAGAGAGTGTATCCAGTTTGAGATAAGCCAGAACCTTTCGTGCTTCCCTTCGTTCTTTTGCCTGTTTTGGGTGTTTCGGTTCGAGAGCTTTGCGTTTGCTGGAAAAAACGATTAAAAAGGGAAGGAAAAAATGATAATTACCTGCATTTGGGGAGTAAACGGCGCTCTCTGTATAGGTACAGGAGAAGAAATTGCCGGATAGCTCGGCCCAGGGGAATTAGCGAATGGATGAGGGCTACAGATGCATTAATTCCTTATGATCTCTCTCTTTTTTGAACTGAGATATACTCGCCAAGTTTGCCGATAAATTGAAAACAAAAACGCCTCGAAGAGAACCCAGAAAATGATCGATTTTAGGACTCGAAATTCGCGCGCATCTCATTCCAAAATCGATAATTTAGGGGTTCCCTTCGAGGGATTTATGGAAAATCTTGGGTTGTTCTTTCGTGTTACCTGTGGGACATTGGCGGCCTCTGAAGATGTGGCATCGGCATTCTATGCATGAATCCCGGCGGTGGAACTGGCGAGCCAGGGTGATGATAAGGCGATCCAGGATGCATCGGCGGACGAGCATGCATTTGCGGCGCAAAACCCGGTCGAGGAGGAAAGCCCTGGTGCGGGTGGTGCTGAGGCTGTTGGTGCTGCGCTGGAGTTGCAGCTCCGTTTTGCTGCGCTTCGAATGTTCGTTTGCGAATTTCCGCTTTGACCATTTGATCGAGCCGTGGCGAAGGAGTCGGGAGCAGCGGAATCGGCTTGTCGGTGAAGTAAAAGTACTCGTCGTCGACGACGCGGTTCGACGGAGAATAACGCTTGAAGCTTCGAATCTTTTTCAGCATCAATTTCGGCTGTCCGTTTTCGATGAATTCTTTGTAGTTCGCCTCGTGGAAGTACACGTGATTTTCCTGGATATTCACTGGTCGCATTGTTTGGAAGTCAGGCTTGACGAGGACGCAGCATTTTCCGCGAATCGTATGCATCGGAATTATGTGCTCCGTTCCAGTCATGATGAGTTCTTTGAAGTGAAAGTTTCGCACTGGCTCGTGTTGGCACTCTTCGGGGCGGTGGTACATAATGGCTTTGCACATGACGTTGTTTTGATGATCCTTCCAGATTTTGACAATCCTGGCGATTCTTGGCCCGCGGGTGTCGTTTACCGAGAGGTAAACGCAGTCGTCGATTTTGTAGAGAATCGGAGGCATGTTTTGCTGCGGGTGGGGCATGTGATATTGCAGGAAATAGGTACAGCCGTCGTTGCCAAGGTTGATTTCGGTCTCGATATCTTCTGTTTCTACTTGGAACATGTTTGACATTGCGTCGACGTCCCATGTCTCGCCGTTTTGCGGGGAAAAGTCTCCTTCTTCACGTCGCTTTTTCAGATCTTCCAGGGAGTCTTCTATATCCCCCAGGCCATAAGCACAAGCAGGGGAGGAATAAAGCTGTCCGCTTTTTGTCAAAACATCTCGTTTTTCGATAAATTGCTTGTGCAGCTCCAGCGAAAGCTTCCAAATCTCATCTCCCGGCTCACATCGTTCGCGAATCGCCTCAAAGAGCGAGAAAACATGTCCTTGATAGACGTCGAGTCTTCTGTATCGCTTCGCGTCAAGCCAAACGCCAATGTCTCCCAATTTTCTCGGTCGATTTCTCTCCACTGGAATAAAATCGGCGAGGACTTCTTCGATCTTTTGAAAGTTCGAATTCGACAACATGTGTTTCTGCAAATCGCGCATCATCTGCTGAAGGAAGCTTTGAGGATCCTGAATTTTGAACACTGGATTTGGATCTTCCCGCGTTCCGTTTTCGATCATGTGCAAACAGTCGATCGCCACCTTGTGGAGAATCAGCGCATCCTGGTAGATCGTCGAACCGGGCTCGTTATAAATCGTCGCGTTTTCGAAGACAAGTAGGAGTTCTTCCATGAATTCTTCAATGTTCTTGTAGCCGTTTTCCTCTGGGATTTTTTTCACCCGCGCTTGGATTTTATCCAGATCCATTGGTCGCTTCACGACGCGATAATAGTCCGGCAGCTCGATTTTCGATGGCAGCGATTGAAACATCATCGCGAGATTTCGCCCCATTCCGTCTTCTTGCTTATTGACTCGGTGAAGGATGAAATCGTACTTGGTCTTTGGTCCGGCTCTCCAGCCAGGTTGAGTCATTGTCTCCGCTTTTCCTACCTTCTCCGGAGTGACAGGGATGTTCTTCTTTTGGCAAATCTCTTTGACCTTGTTGGTAGCTACTTGTTCGAGAATATTGGCGTCGATGAAGACTTGGGAGTTTGGCTCGTTGTATTGTTTGGCGTTTTTGCACATAAGACTAATGTCCTGCATTAGTTCTTCGAGAGAAGAGTACTGCCCGCTGGAGATCTTTTTGTCGATGCTGCCCATGTCCATCGGCTCCTTGATGATCTGGTAGTAGTCTGGGTAGATTTCCGGATCGGGTTTGACCATGAAGAGCGCGCAAACTTGCCGCCCGGTTGGATCTTTCTGGCTAAAAAGCGCGTTGTAGACAGATCGCTGGAGACGATTTCCTTTGGCTCTTTCTTCGTTGTTGTCCTGCGCGGAATTATGCGACTTGCGCCCCTTTTTCTTTGGCTCTTTTTTCTTCGGCGAAGGTTTTGGCGACGCGGAGCCTTCAGACATTTGATCGCCGAACTGCGCCTCGATCTCGATTCTCTTCGTCCTGGCGACTCGCATCATTTGCGTCGCGTCCATGAAGATTTGCGACCCCTCCATGTTGTATTCTCGAGCGTTGTTGCACATGAGCACGATGTCGTCTTCCATCTGCTCGAGGTTTTTGTATCGCCCTTTTATCACCTTCTGGCGGATTTTGTCCAACGCGATCGGCTAAAAATGAAGTTATTGTCTAAAAAAGACTACAAAAATTGAATAGGGTAAATGACAGAAGTCTTTCGTACCTGTGTAATATCTTCATAATAATCAGGATATTGTTTCTTCGAGGGGAGCTGCAAAAACGGCCCGGAAATCGGGTCTCCATCGCTATCTGTTAGCAGCACGATGTTATCAAAGAACAGCGAGTACGGATCATCATTATCTCCGATCACGTAATCGTTTTCATCGTCCGGCCTTTCTGGCTTCACCGACGCCGGTTTCACCGCAGTCGGTCCCTTTTTCGCCGGAGTTGCTTTTGCCGATTTCGCTGCTTTCGGAGTTTTGGCCGTTTTTCGCGGTCGTGGAATCGGGATTTCTTCCTCAGACTCCTCCTCTGCTTCGTCTTCCGATTCCTCTTCGCTGGAACTCGCATTGCTAGCCATTTTCGCCAGCGTCTTTTTGAAAACTGCCCATAGTGCGCAACCATCAATATACTCCTGTAGTGGGCTCGGAAACAAAGAATTTGAGCTCAGGAAAAGGTAAGGAAAGCGATTCATAAAAAGCCGCGTAGCGGCTTTGTCAGAATAGAAAGAATAGAATAAAAGGGTTTCCTCAGGATTCTATTCAAGTTGTAGAGCCCAGTTCCTTGTCATTTACGTCGTAGAACTTTTTCGCGTTGTCTGTGAGTAGTTCTACGTCTTTTTGAAAAAGATCGAAATCAGGATACTCGTCGTTTCTTATTTTTCGCTGGATAGTGGAAAGATCAATTGGGGATTCGATGATTTTGTAGTATTCCGGATTCGAGCGTTTTTGAGGGAGACGGTTGAAAGGAGCGCTGATAAGGTCCCCGCTGTCGTCTAAAATGGGGGTGATAAGCATGGAAGATAGAAGGGAAAACTTTACCTTTGTAAGTTTTCATCGCGTCGAAGATTTCTTGGAACTTGGCTGGCTTGAACTTTTTGGGACTTGGGGTGCCCGCGACGGAGCCACCTTTGCGGCGAGCCCCGCTTTTTCCCATTTCGAACTTTTCTGAAGATTTTGAATTTTAACGAACAGAAAATAATAAAGCTTCTCAAAACAAAGAAAAAATAGATCAATAAGTGTCTGGCAGTAAATATAGAGCCTATCGCGAATTCTTAATGACTCTGAAAAAGAGCTGTTTTCATTTTATCATTTTCTCTTCACAAGTCATTCTCTCTTTCGCTTTTTTGTCGAAAAACGAACATTCATTACGCGCTCGATTTCCCGCCCAAAAAAAGCTGAAAATCGCCCACGCGCGCGACCGTGGGAAAACGCAACGCCCAGGGCTGGAAGCAGAAATCAACGAAGAAAACAGACAAAAAATGCAAAAAATGGAAAATGTCTGAAAACAATCGGAAATCTCTAATGTTCGAGTTTGTCCATGTTTTACTTCAGTTGTAGATATCGATCGATTATGGGTCCCCCCCCCCGGAGTACAATTCTGAATTGGAAGAAATCTCTAGAAAAGTTGTTATCTTCTGACTGAAAATGCTGCTAGTTTCAGATAAAGAAATCTTCAAAAATGAGAGTTTTGAGCATTCTCCTGTTTTTTCTTGCGGCAGATGCAAAAAGAAAGAAACGAGGAAGAGTCAAGGGAGGAACGAAAGTTAACAGCGCCACCAAATATCCCACTTATGTGGCGCTTGTTAAAAAAAATTTCTTTCCTTTTTGGTAAGAAAATAATCAAAATTCTTATTTTCAACTTTCTAGCGGCGGATCGATTTTGGACGAAACAACGATCCTTACTGCTGCTCATTGCCTACCCAGCACTGATCACATCATCGTCTTTGGAACGAACAAACGGGGAAGCACCCTTTCCAGCAGCGAAAAACGCACCAACACGGTCGGAATCAAAAGCGTCAACATCATTGGTAACATCATTGCGGGGAAAAATACGTGGAACAACGACTGGGCTATTGTGAAGTTGGCGAAACCGCTTCAATTCGGACCGACTGTGGCAAAAGCTGAGCTTGGCACTTGGAAAGAGTTTGAGCAATATGTTTTGGTAAACGATGAATTCAAACTCGTTTTGACTAAGTTTGTGTTTTTAAGAAAGGAAACGATAAATGTACTGTAATTGGAAACGGTAGAACGGATGGACAGTATTCAGGTAAACTCGACTACACTGTACTTCTCGATTTAGAATTTAATCATTTTTCAGAGGTTATGAAAGAAGGCAAAGTCAGCTTCGTAAAACCAAAACCTTCTGTCGGGGGATCCGATCCGCGCCAGCAATGAGACACTGCATGAATCTGGGAGGGAAGAACTGTTTCGTCTTCAAAAACACGGAAAGAGTGCTTGTCGGTTCTGGTGACTCCGGCGGGCCGATGTTCTGCAAAGGCGACGGTGGCAAAATGAAAGTGTTTGGAGTTGCCTCTTGGGCGACGAACGGCCCGGCGAGTGACCTTCAAAAAGGGTTCATGGGCTACGCTCCTGTTTTCTCTCCAGAGGCGCAGAAACACCTCGGCCAGTGGAATCCTCAAAACAGACCGCCGAATGCAAACACTTTCCAGGGCTTCGACAAAATGATGGAATATTATTTTTTCAAGAAAGAACTGCCTGATTGGGCGAAAGGCTCTGCATCCTCCTCAGGCTCCTCCTCATCAGGTTATTCAACTGGTTCTTATCAAAGTGGAAGAAGTTCTTCCACTGGATCATCTTACCAGAGTCAAAATTCGCGCTCGCAAGGCAGGGTTCAATTTTTATGAATTAAAATTGTTCAACCAATTCAAAGAAAAAAAAAACGACAAACCCAAAAAAGGCACGACAGGTGGAAAATTGCCCCGATGCTCTTATTGCCCTCCACGAAACAAGCCTCTTCAGGCCCCCAAGAGAAGCCAATACAGTCAGCCTCAGTACAAGCCACCACCTTCATATGCCAGAAATCCCCCTTCTCGATCGCCGTATTCCGGCTCTTCTTCATCGAACAACCGATATCCCTCGAGAAAACCAGTTTATAATTCTCGCAATTCCGGTTACACTGGCAATTCCCGATCGTATAATTCTGGTTCTCCCTCTGGATCATCCTACCAGAATCAATATTCAAAATATTCTCCGAGGAAACCATCTTACAATCCTCCGAAATCTGGCTACGGCTCGCGAAATTCTGGCAATTCTGGATCACCAAGCTCAAACGCCCGGCCCAACTATCAAAATCGAATCAGTGGTCGATACAGACCCGGAGGATAAGAAATCATGTTTTCTACAAATTTCACTGTTTTCTCATTTTAACTGCCCTGTTATCAAAAATAAATATTTTTCGAAAAATTCAAAATTTCAATTTCAATTTTGCTCGTAAAAATCTCTAGAAAAACTGTTTTCTTCTCGCTAAAATGTCCTCCAGCGTCAGAAAAGAGTGACAAAAAATGAGATTATTGAGCATTTTTCTTGTTTTTCTAGCGGCTGATGCAAAGAGAAAGAAACGAGGAAGAGTCAGGGGAGGAACAAAAGTTCGCAGTGCAACCAAATATCCTTCTTACGTCGCGATGTTGCGGTTTAATCAACATTACTGGTAAAGAAAAGTCAAAAATGAGAGATTTATTTTCTCTTTTGAATTTCTCGAAAACATGAATGATCAAAAATATTTTAGAACAACAACGAGTTCGACAATTTTTCATCTCAATTTCTAGTGGCGGATCGATTCTGGACGAAACAACGATTCTAACCGCCGCCCACTGCAAACCCCGAAACAGTGATCTCGTCGCCTTCGGAACAAACAAGCGAGCGGAACACCTTTCAAGCAGCGAAAAACGCACCAACACGGTCGGAATCAAAAGCGTCAAGCTGCTCGGCAGAAAGCTCACTGGCAGCTCGCACAGCAAATGGGACGAGAAGATTTGGGACAATGACTGGGCAATCGTAAAATTGGCGAAACCGATTCCACTTGGACGAACTGCTGCGAAGGCGGAGCTTGCTACTTGGAAGGAATTCGAGGAAAATTTATTGGTAAGCTCGAATAAACATTTTTTCTCCAAAACCATTTTCAGAACGGATCAAATAATAAATGCACAATTATTGGCAACGGCATAACAGATGTCAAAGGACAATTTTCAGGTACTAACCGATTCTCTTGATTCGGCAACCTGCGAAGAAAACCTGAGTCAGGTTTTGAAGAGCTTAGCGGCTTTTTTGTTTTAGTTCTTCAAAACCTGACTCAGGTTTTCTTCACAGGTTGCCGAGACCAGACTATTCTATCAACCGTTTTCTTAACCCATTTTTAGAGGTTCTAAAAGAAGGAACAGTGACTTTCGTCTCCGAGAGTCCGAAAACATCTGGTTTCCGAACAATTTGGAACTGCAACAAGAGATCCGGCAAAAACTGTCTTCTCTTCAGAAACAGCAACAGGGCGATCGTCGGTGCTGGCGACTCCGGTGGGCCGATTTTCTGCAAGGGCGACGGTGGCAAAATGAAAACGTACGGAGTTGCTTCCTGGGCCTCGAAAGATGGCAAGTCAGATGATAATACTTTGACGATGGGATTTGCGCCTGTTTTTTCGCCTGATGCCCAGAAACACTTTGGCCAGTGGAATCCCCAAAATAGGCCGCCAAATGCCAGCACTTTCAAGGGTTTTGACGAGTTGATGAATCACATGTTTTTTCCGGAGAAAATGGGCCCTTTCCCTCAGTGGGCCAAAGTTTCCGGATCCTCTTCAACAACAAGATCCTCCTCCTCACCATCAAAATCATCTTCATCATCGAGATCATCCCATTCATCAAGCGGTAGATCATCGTCATCAGGTTATTCTCGTGGATCTTATGGTAATCAAAGAAGTTCTGGATCATCCTACAAAAGACCGAATTCGAGCTCACAAGGAGTGGGTTAAATCTTTGCTTTAATATCGACTATATTAGAAAGAGTATAAGCGTAATAATTTACCGAAAGAGATAACCCCAAAAAGCTTCCTCTAGTGGAAACTCGCCCGGATGCACCTGCCCCCAAGAAAACAAGCCGCCACAGGCTCCCCAGCGAAAGCAATACAGACAGCCTCAATACAAGTCACCCCCTTCATATGCCCGAAATTCCCCTTCTCGATCGTCGTATTCCGGCTCTTCTTCGTCGAACAACAGATATCCGTCGAGAAAGCCCACGTATAATTCTCGCAATTCTGCTTATTCCCGTTCGTATAATTCTGGCTCTGGTTCCCGAAATTTTGGCAACTCTGGATCACGTTCGAACTCTCAGCCCAGCTACAGAAATCGAATGAGCGGACAATACAGAGGATAAAAATTATTTCTTTTAATTTTACTGTTCCCACATTTAAACTGCCCTATAATCGTCAATATAATATTCTCCTTAGTTTGATATCATTAATTTTCAGCAGGAGCGAGCTCAGACTACTAATTTGGAAGAAAGTGAGTCTGATTGCTGCTATTAAACAGAATTCGTCTAAAACTCTACTGAGCCGGTAATTTCAGGGCTTAGGCCCCACCGCGCCGGCAAAAAATCACCGCTTGTCGGAAAGTCGATTCAATCATAGGATACGCTAACCGAGAAGCCCGCGATTCTTGCTGACATGACGTTGATTTTGTGAGAATCAAGGCTAACTAGTTGTGATTCACAAGTATGAGTATCACGGATAATTTCTTCAAAAAATCTGATATGATGTTTGAAGGCTCTATCGGAAGAATACGCCGGTTGGTCTCAGGATCAACTTTTCACTTGTAAAGGAAGCAGTTTTATATAAAGAGAATGCCTAGTTTTGGAAAATGCGAACTCCCGGAAGACTTGAATCTAGATGAGTACTCGCAAGTTAACAAGTAAGAATCTCTCGTTGAACATCAAATTGAAGATATTTTCAGCGATGAAAGACCAGAAGAGCAGACAGCCCCGGGAACAAGTCCCTCCCAATCTCCCCCGCCTTATTTTTCAGTCGTCGTTAATAATTCTCCGAGTGCACCCTCTACCTCAGAACTTGCAACGGAACAAAAATCATGGATGGAAAAACTAAAGGGCATTTCGATTATTTTGAAGATAGTTATCGCTCTCTTTACAATCGGAGGAATAGTGACGCCGATAGTCGTTTCAAAAACAAGTCTTCGTTCGGCTCCAGTTTCAATTGAAAAGGTAGACTACTCTTTCCTTTATTTTATTGTCAATCGTCAAAAAAAAAACGAAATAGATACGATGCGTTGAATTCCGACCGATGACGTCAGATTTTTCTGACTCGACATTTCCCTCTTCAAAGGCAACCTGTAACCGAATCGGAGGCGAAGTGGCATTTTTCTTGAACCAGCAAGAATTTGAGTTCTTCGAAGACCGAGATCATCCTAACGAGGAGTGGTTAGGAATTTTTCGTGTGAATGGAAACCAGTGGTTCACGCCTTTGGGAGAAGAAAGTCCAGTTTTGAATTGGAGAGCGGGCGAACCAAGCAACCTTGAAGGCCGCGAAGATTGTGTTCAAAGAAGATCGACTGGTAAATGGAATGACGTTCCTTGCGATTCTTGGAACAGAAGCTTTTCATGCAGAATAGAAAGAATTCTTAATGCTCCTTCCAAATGCAATGAAAATGAGCTGAAATCTTATCGTTAAATAAAAGAATTGTGACAACAAAACAAGACACAAGTATTTTTTCGCTCTTTTCTCTTCCTTGATTTCTTAAAGTACCATAAAAATTCAGACAAGTCATTTCGTTTATTATCAATATGAGTTCTTTTTAAAGATTTTCGCGAAAGAATCGATCATATTCTCCAACGCATCGGCGATGATTTCCAACATGTTGACTGTTTGGGTTAAAACTATTTTTCAAAGCGATTTTGAATAGAAAAGAAGCTTTGAACCCAAGCTTTGAAATCATGAATGACATCGTTAAATGTTCCATTTTCCCCAAGAACGTCCATTACTCCTTCAAGAAATGCCTCGTAAGCCTTAAAAATCAGGAGTTGAAACCTCTTTCAAGGGGAACCTGATGGAAGGGCTTGTCTGAAGCGCTGAGCCTGTCGATAATGAGCATGATCTTGTCGATAATTTCCATTTTGCCGAAGTCCTTCAAGAATTTCGAAACGCTCTTTTTCACGAGTTTCATGAATTGAGCCGGTTTCAGATCTCCGTTTGGGTCAAAAGTAAGTTCTAGCGCTCGGAGGAGATCAAGGAGGAGAATATCTAAAACCGGGCTTTTCAATATATTTTCGAGAAAAATCTTACCTTTCGGCGATTCGACAGAAAAGCCATCATCATACGTCATTTTTTCAATGAGTTCGACAACTTCATCAAAGAGCACAACCGAAGCTTCCTCAATCGCTTCGTCCAATATTTTGAAGATTCGCTTTTTCGCTTCGTTGAGAACTTCCTTGATGGGCCGGGAAGAGTCGGGTCCAAGTTGGTCTTCGAGAAGATCAATGACGACGTCGATGACGTCTTCTTTGAAGTTGGCTATCTAAATGGGAAATTAGCGAACTGTATTCTTGAAAAGTGTTATTACAGTCACATCTTTGTCGAAGTCAAGATTGCTGGTCAAAATGACCATCACATCTTCCAGGTCATCTTTGAGTCTGATCAAGAGTTCCGCCATCTCTTTACCAAGTTTTTCTTTGAGTGACTCGAAATCTTCCAAATCGTTGTTGAGCAAATCGGCGACTTTTTCAAAGAGCTTTGCGCCGATTCGAATCTGAAATTGGCAGTTGGAAAAATGCCCTTTTGATCACGAGTCTAAATTTGACAAAGTTTTGACGTTACACTGAATTGGGGTCGGACAAAGTCTGGCATGAACTTCCGCTGGAAGAGGGAGAAGATCTTTTTTATCCAGTTTTTCGGGCGGAGATTGCTTTTTGAAGAGTTATTTCACCGTAAAAACTTATAAGAAAAGGAGTAATGAAAACCATAACTCCAGTCAAACTTTCCGCTTTCGGCCATCAAATTGCCGAACCAGTCCTTGATATTAAACACTCGCACTTGAGGCGCGGGCATAATGACCGGCCCTTGAGCCATTTCTTCTTCGTAATCATAGGGCACCGCCTCGGGCCCTTGTTCACTCTCCTTCGCAATTTCGGCGACTAAAAAGGCCCAAATCAAAATCCTCGAGCTGTTTTGCTAGCCTAGCCAGACCTTGGTTGTAAGTAGGGCAGCATTTTGTACGGCCCATCGCGCAGCTGTTTTTGAAACACTTTGGCACCCATTTTCCGTCAATATAAACCGCTGTTTTGCGATGAATTTTTGTATAATTACAGTCAGTTTCGACCATCTCTCAGTTCAAATTCATCACGCGATTCCTGACGCGAGCGCTAGAAATGGCAAAATCAACCGCATTCTCAGCCAGCTACAGGTAGTAAAACGAAACTCTCACACAGGCAGCTTATGAGTTGGGCTCGTTTATATTCGCCGGGAGTGTCCAGTTTGGGAAGGGCGAGGCCAGAAAAGAAAACGTCAGAAAACAAATGCAACAGTAACTATGGTAAGACAGAAGATCAAAGAAAGAATGACTGGCCGATGAGTTCATTTTCTAGCAAAAACGATGAGTTCACCGGTTAGTTAGTCTTTTCTCGTATTTACGCAAAAATACAACTTTGTCGACCCAAAACATAGCGGATAATGCGGATCAGCATAAACTTGCTATTCTTAACCTCTCACTTTTGACGTAAACAATACACAATCAGAAACAAACTTAATTGATGAAATAAAGAAACGAAAATAAACCCGCTTCGATTTGATAATAGACTAAGAAAATTAGACGCACGTGTTTTTAGCAGAAAGAACTAGGAAGAGAGTTTATTAGAATTATATACAGCCGGAAATGGGTTTTTTAGCTCACTGGTGGCCGAATAGCGGAACTTGTTGGAATCGGTTGAAATCATCGATGCTCGAGGTGCTTCCGTTTGATGCTGGGAATTCTGTTTTTACGATTGTGCCTCATTTTGGATCAGATTTTTTTGACAAAAATATCCATAAAATCAAAGTCAATAAAACTCTTGAAATTAAGGGGATGGTGTCTGGAACCGACAAAAAAATTCGACAAATTTTGCGTGGGCGGCTACTCGGCTGCTGATTGGCCGATTTGCCAAAGCCAGGCTTCTGATTGGTTGAAAATTTCCACGCAAAATTTGTCGAAATTTTTTGTTGGTTCCAGACACCCCCAAAATAAAGCTCACGATCGTTTTTTGGCCAACCAAAATTTTAGGAGGAAAATTTGACCAATAAAATTCTAGTTTTAACTAGTATTATCAACAATCTTGAGTCTTTTTTGTTAATTTTCTGATCTATTCCTGAGATGTGAGGATTGTCAATCAACGAGCTATTTGGCTGATTGTTGTTGATTGCTATTGAATTGTGATTGTGCTGAAGCTGGACAAAAGGACCTTCAGCCATCATCGGGTCAAAAAGAAGATGACCTCCGATGGCTGCAGCTGGAGGAGGCTGCGACTGCGGAGGATGTACTTGCGGAGGAAGAACTTGAGGAACGGAGGGATCCAGCGCTGCGCCATGTCCAGCGATTGCCGCATTTTGTTGTTGCCATTCGAATTCCGCGTGTTCCGCCTAAACAGAGCTAAATTGCTTGTTTCTACGTATTGCGACACAATCAAGTGCCTGCCCTTAGTTCTCTTTGATGTATTTAGACAAGTGTTAACAGCCATTTAGAGTCCTAAATTATGTTTGGCCCTAAAACTCGGTTTCCTGGAGGCTGACACGAAAAACGCGTGTTGTACAATGGGATCATTTGATAACTACAGTTGTAAAAAAGGTTTTTAGAAAGAAGAATGAAATGAACGAAATATGGGGAACTATTTTTTTTTTGAAATTCTCCAAATGTTTGCTCGCTGGTTTTGGAAACCTGTGTGGAAAACCTGAGTCAGGGTTAGGGTTAGGCTTTTCATAAAGAATCAGAAAAGATAACCCTACCCTGGCTCAAGATCTTTGCACAGGTTTCCGAGCCCAGTTTGCAAATTGCGAAAGTTAAAAATTGAGATGAACGGGTAGAGTTGACAATAAGGCGATATGGATTCTACGTATATTACGATACATGACGCAGCTTGTCTCCAAATCCGGAGCAAGGACCACGTCAAGGGATCGCCGCCCCGAAACGTTGCTTTTTTGTACCTCCTTATCAGCGAGGCACGTTTTTTGATTGATAAATTTTGAATGAAAATAAAAAGGTAAAAAGAGTTTGAACTTTCAAGAGGTGGATTTTTGAGAAGCAATTTTTTAATCAAAAAAGATGGAAGATTAATGAATAAATTCATTATTTCGCCTTCTCCGAAATCGCAAATTCGAGCTCCCGATCAGTGGCAGAGGGGAACCGCAGTGGAACCAACCGGTACTTAGGTTGAATTGCATCCCGCCGCACTCGAGAATGTAGAACATGTCCGCCAGAGAGCGATTTCTCGGAAGGCGCAAATTATACACTGACATGTTTGGCTATACGATAATCGTGCTCTCCTGCTGAGTTAAGGGACACGTCATAGTTATCTTACCAGTAACTGGAGTTTAGAAACACAAATTTTTTCTTCGGCAAATTTTCAAAAAAAAGAGGACCCCTATTTTAACAGCCAATCATCTTTAGGAAGCCCCATTTTAACGGATTTTAAGGTTAGGGTTAGGGTAATGATCCCCTTATTTATTTTTTTGGGTAAAATTTTGTTGTTTTAAGAATTTGACTTTTGAGATCATAATTGGCTACTATGCAAAAATAGGGTTCAGAGAAACGCTCAGAACCACTGTCATTATGGATGCCTTTATGAAAGCAAATATTACCTCGAAAGTTGTCATTTGGAGATCCGGATGAGGTGTGTAGAAGGGCTGCCCGCCGTAGTAGCCGTGGTTTGTTTGGTAAAGCCCTAAATTACACATCGTTAGAGCTTGCTTCTGTATAATTCGCCCAAAAAGCGAGTTTATCAAAACAGTCAAAAAAGTACTGAAAAAATTCACCAATTTGAAATTTCTTCTTTTAGAAAAAAAATCAAGAAGAAAAAAAGGAGAATTCGAAATTCGCCGTGACAATATTTTCTTAGTGGAACCAGAACGCGAACCAGGTTCAATCGACTTCTACCGGCTCAGCAAATGAGCCGGAAATTTTTCTTTCTTGTGAAAATTTGATTTCGAGAGAACTTGAAGCCTTAAAGCTGCAATTTTATTTTTTGAGAATGTTTACGGGGCGCATTCTAGCGCGGTCGATTAATCAAAGACGAAAAGCAAAAGCGAAACGAAAATACGGTGCTCTCCTCGATTCGTCTCTGTCTGAGTCCGACCAATGGAGCATGTTCCAGTGGTCGATCACGTGACTCGCGAAAAGGAGCGAAATCGAGCTCATCAAGAAATAAAATAACAGTTGTTCTACTTGACCCTTTTTGAGGAGCACTACTCGACGGTTTTTGATGCTCAGCTCTTGAAATTCACTCACTGAATCCGAATTCCGTCATAGAACTTACGCGACGTTTTTATAACCTTGACTCAAATCAAAATATGACTCATAAATTATGAGTCATAATGCACGATTTCCTGGAACGATTTTTCGTTCTTTCTGATTGGTTCCGAAAACAGCGCCATCTCGTCAGGATTCTAATTGAATTCGCTGGATGGCGCTGTTTTCTGTTCTAGCCAATCAAGGAAGGAAATAAATCTCCAATAAAACTAGCTGAAATGAGTGATTTAATGATCGTTTTGTGAATCATTCAATTTGGCTCACACTTTATATGAGTCATAAAAGAGTGAGTCATACTTCTTTAATCATCCGATGAGTCATAGGCTCTGACTCATAAGTAATCATCAAGGTACAATATTTTTACGAAGTCTTATAATATGAAACCCTCTAATACAAGTTACTACGATTACAGAATATTTTTCCTAAAAAGATAAAATACCCGGATAGTGGTTCTGCTGCTGTTGACGGAAGAGGCCATCAGCAGCGTCGATTGCGGCCGGATCGCCGCCGAAATAAGCGGAAAGTACCCGTTTCTCCTCGTCAGAACGTTTGAATCGCTTTCGCCTCCTAAATCGCTCGTTAGACACCCTTCATCGCTCAAGCCTTCTTACCTGAGAAAGCTGCCATTGTCGAACATGTCCTCGGCGGCCGGGTCAATGCTCCAGTAATTTCCTTTCCCAGGCTTTGTCCAGATTCAGAATTTAACGAAAAAACTGACAAGCAGCTTCTTTTTTCTTTCGTAAAGAAAAATCGTTGTAAGTTGCCAACTGGACGATAATTTAGTTTTAATAAATTTAAAATTTTGTTCATTAGTCGCCCGGGCCACTGATTTTGAGCTTTTTCCCAGCACTAGAAAATTACCACGTCGAAAATTGAAAACAACTTTTCGAGTTAGGAGCAATAAACGATTAGTAGCCGTACTAGCGGAGCGCTAGAACGTCAAGTTGTGTCTTTAGTTACTGTTTTTGGAATTATGATTTTCGTTAAAATCGATTAGGAAGTTTTCAAGCTGGTTTTTTCGTCGTTTTTGAACGATAAAAATCTACTCCGAAGCTCTGACGGGCGTCCCCTTTTTTCCGGAAATCGGATTTGGCAAACATTATCGCTCCAAAAATTTGCGCGAGTAATTTTTTGCGAAAAAGGAATGTCGTCAGTTTTAAACAAAAGGCGATAAGTCACTATTAAAACGGGACGGAAGGGAGCGATTTGACAATCTTGCAAATTTTTGATTTTATGGTGACGAGAATTTTTCCCTGAAAAGTTGGGATAAAAACCGTTCTTTTTTATCACATATTTTTTGAAATAGCCAATCAAAATTCATAAAATAAAAAGAGAACCAATCAAAATCCTTTATTTTTGAATGAAGACATTTAAAATATCATATTTTGATTGGTTCAAATGAACTCAAATAGCGCCACCTAAAAATTATTTATCTTGGATTTGATTGGTCTAATAATCAACAAAGCGCCACCACGCGGATTTTTCCTTTAACCCTTACCGGCCAAATGCACCATGTATGGTGTATTTTTTGAATTTTCAAAATTTCAATCCTTCATATCTTTCTTTACAGAGTAACTCCTACGTTAAATCACCCCTAGTTTGAAAGGACTCTCCAGTGCTAACAACATACTCTGAAAGATAGGGTTACACTTTTCAACAAAACCTCAAAAAACGTGATTGAAAATTGGCTTTGGCCGGTAAGGGTTAATTACTTAGACCAGTAAAAATCTCTGAAATAATCTCAAAATATCCACTCTCGATGCATAGGCTCTTGAAATCGCCAAGACAGAAAATTCGGGCTCATCCAATTAGCGCGTGAATTTTCACACTAAGAGCGTTACGTCCGTGGCGAATATTTTTCGCAATTTCGGTACTTTCGCCCTTTTAGAGAATGCCATTATTACTGTCAGAAAGCAGCGTCTTCCTGCTTTTTATGGCATTCCTAATTGACACCATAAAATCTTCATCCACGTTTTTCTTCAGTCGCGAAATATACAATCGCGGGAGAGCTTTTTTCGCGAAAAAAAAGCAGCCGCGAAATACATGTAAATTCTGCGGTTTGCAAAATTCGTTAAAAAATGCAGATAGCGGTACTTTTTCAGATACCGAAATTGGGAGAAGAAATGTCGAGAATTAATTGAGCTAGTGACCTAAAGAACGTTTTTGGTCACGTTGACGCGGCGCCGTGAAATTTCGAAAACAGGATTAGAAGACACTGTAGTTTCCTTAGTCGGCTTGGAATTGAAAGCAAAAATGACGCTTAAAATTCTTTTAGAGATTTTTACTTAGAAATCGTCATTTTAGTTACTAAATTGTTGATTTTTAAATTAAAAGATCACGTCACGATTTTGACCAATCAAAATGCTGCGCGCGAATTTAAAATGTATAAATAGGCAATCTTGACTCGAATTTTCAAAGTCGATGATCTAAGACCCTTGTTGTCGAATTCTTATTTTAGGCTTGTTCTAGTGCCCCCGTAAGCCTAAAATTAGCTTCATTAAAACGGAGTTCGAAAGAAAGTAATTTCGGTATTTGAACTCGCTCTTAATTATCCTAGATTTTTTTATAGAAAAAGAAGAAATTCTGAACCCGTTTCCTTTCCCGGCTCTCGCGGTAGCTTAATAAAGCAATCGTTCAACGTTAAATTGTGGCGAATGGAGTTTTGCCACTTTTTGTCCTGAATGGAGTTTGAGGGTTAAGCCGGTTGTTTGCTCGCCGGTGGACAGAATCAGAGATTACTCCGAACTGGCCGACGGACGTTACCTTTTTATCACGGTAGAAAGGAAACCGTTCCATGATGAATTTGTAAATTCCGCCGAGGGTTAATTTTCGATCGTCGCTAGAAATATTTAATTATTGAAGTTCCATGATGCATAAAATGGAAATGTACGGCTTTGAATTTGTATAAGAGGTCATTTGGCGAAAATGTGAAAAGAATGAAAAAGGTCATGTGATTTGCATTTTGGCTGGGGCTAGTGACGTCAATCTGATTAGAGCAAACAAGAGCACCGGCCCGTTACCGCGCTTGGTTTTTTCGACCACGTTAGAACGGGCCAGTGTGAGTTTTTTGATAAAAACGGAGGGGTTTTATCATGAAAAAGAGGAGATTTGAACACCTAGGGAAAATACCAAATCGTGGGAACTAGCGGCCAAAGATAAAAAATGTGAGGAAAAGGGTCATTTCTGAAAATTTACATAGACGCTTTTAATTTTCACAAAAATTTTGGGGGACGGGGTCAGGAACCGACAAAAAAAATCGACAAATTTTGCGTGGGCGGCTACTCCGCTGCTGATTGGCCGGTAAGCCGAATCTAGACTTCTGATTGGTTGAAAATTCCCAAGCAAAAATTGTCGAAATTTTTTGTCGGTTCCTGACACATCCCCAAATTTAGGGCAGAATTTATTTGTCACTTTTTTCTTGATTTTAGCGACCATATTTGTATTTTTTTCAATTTCGACCTCTTTATTTCCCCCTTTCAAAGCTCAAAGAATCATACCATTCTGATTATCTGCCTGAAAATACAGTTTGAGAGCCAAAGTGCTTGATGCCTTCCCTTTTATGAGTAGCAGCCCCTTAAAACATCATGTCCACCTTGTCGCCCTCTCCTCGCTTCCCCGTTTTTGCATACCCTTGTTTTTGCCGAAATTAATCATAAAGCACGGGACAGAGAGGCTTCCTCGAACGAGCCGCGAAAAATATTTAAAACGGAGTAAAACACAGCCGTCGCCGAAAAATACTTTTACTCACTTGTTCGATCTCTTGCAATTTTCTAGCGGGCGAAAATTGAAAATTTACGCGCCGCGGAATTTCGCGACCGACCGCGACTAGAGAGATCGAGACGGCGGATTGACGTCATGAATTTTTACAAAAGTAAAACATTGGCTTTTGGGTACTGGAAAAAATCTACGGGAGATAAGATAAAAGGGCTCGGCAATCTGTGTAGAAAACCTGAGTCAGGGTCTGAAAGATCTTTAATGAAAAGCCGCGTAGCGGCTTTTTCTTAACGAAGCCGCTTTGCGGCTTCGCCTGAGTATATTGATTAATTTTAATGGTTACTTTTCAAAGCCGCTTCGCGGCTTCGCTTTTAAAAAAGCCGCTACGCGGCTTTTCATTAAAGCTCTTTCAGACCCTGACTCAGGTTTTCTACACATTTTCCCGAGACTAGCCGTGGGGTTAGGGTTAGGATTCGATCTAAGGATCACCCCCAGGTAAGCTCTTTTTGATTATTTTACTTACTTGTGAGCAATAGCCATGGCAATAAGCGCAATATAGCTGTACGGCGGTTTTCCCCTCTGAATCGGTCTCTTTCTCTTCCTCCCACTCGACGTGACTGTAATGTACTCGCTCTCATCGTACTCCTAAAAGAGAGTTGTCTTTGGAAGAAACGTGTAGTTTCGGGAAAAAAGAAGTCTCCTAGTGCGCGTAATCCTATTTTTGCGTGTTGTCTCAAGCTAGATAGCCGGCGCGGGGGAAATCTCTTCCGGAAATCAACTCTTTAGGCTCACCTGTGTCGCCTGCGCAGTTGTTGCTTTAGGCACATGGCCGCTGTCTGAGTTGTTTCTCTCTTGTGTGCCTAACTCTGAGCCCTGTGAGCTGCTCATGTTGCTTTAAAACCAACAAAAATAAAACTAAAATAACAGGAACTCGCTCTAATCCAGCCCTCGTCCAAACAACTTCCCCTCCGGCTGTGTGTGTGCCCGAAACAGCGCCGCGGGCGAAAGAGCGCCAGCGCGTGCCCACTTCCCCGGGGGGCTTTTTTGTGAATCCGAGGTGGTGCTTGAGTTGAGTCGAGTGCGGATTTGCCAAATTGAAAAAAACACCATATGGGAATTAAAATCTCGCCCAAATTAAGGATAACTCAACAGATTACCCTCTTCAGCGTGAAAAATGTCTATTCAAAGTCGTTTTTCCAAATCAAAAATTCTGAAAAATCTGATTTTCAATCTCTAAAGCAGAAAAATAAAGGCGTAAACAGGCACGCCCTTTTTTGCGAAAAGTTCGACCTTATCTCCCGATTTTCTTCGTATAAGATTTTTGTCTCGCTTCTGGAGGCCAGGCGCTAGAATCTTATGTAAGACGAGGTCCAAGGAAAGATTACATGCACTTTTGAGAAATGAAATTTCTCACAAAAATGAAGGATTTTTTCAAAGACTTTTTTCGAAAATTCGGATTTTCAAATACAATATTTCTGGATTAAATTTTCAGTGGTAGATCCTTAATCTTCTTTTAATGATTTAAAAAAGTGACACCCTTATTTCACTTCGCAAATAGTCTATCAGCAAGATTAGCTATAAATTGCTTACAATTTTAAGAGAAATAGGTAACTATGTCCTTCAGAGAAAAATTAACTAAGGGTGTCACCAGGGCTGGCAAATTAGGGTCCTAACAGCCGCACTACCGAAAAATTGTTAGGGTTCTAACTCAAAATTAGTGCGAATTAGTCCGTGTCACTATGTTAATTCCAGAGCAGATGAATTTGTGTCGAAAGAACGGTTTTTAAGGTACATTCACTTGGCAACGTGTGTTTATGGGAAAAGAGCTTTTACGAACGGGCTGTGGTCGATAACGGCTTACTTGTGGCATTTATTTACAGTCGAAGCAGATAAATTTATTTTTGCCTATACAAAGGGTCACCCCTTCGCAAAATTTTGCGGACTTATCGGAGACGTCCAATTAACTCTTTTTTTCGCGTGTTTTTACATTTTTTTCGGAGATGCACTTTTTCAGTAGAGTCTTTTGAACTCATTTACTTTTAATGAAATATTAATAGAAGTGCGCGTTTCTTTTCATTTCTGGGAGTTATTACTGTAAATATACCAGTATATAAAGAAAACTGGCTCCTCTGACGTCTGGATTTTAAAGATTGCTGTTTCTTACAGTCACCTACAGACAGAAAAAGGGCTCTTTTTTGGAAGAGAACAGGAAAAATGAAGGTTTTGTTATTGCTATTTTTGGAAATGGCTGTAATGATTGATGCTCAAGAAAGTGAGAGAAACGGTGCTTATGGTGCTAGCCATGAATTTTTGTGTGACATATTATGGCAGAATATTCACGAGAGCGGAGAAGAAAAACCGATAGACCATGCCTATCACTTGGAGCTCTGGTAAGTTGACAGGGAAGGAGCTTGCTTGAATTTTTTGAACACTTTGAAGTGAGATTAAAAAATATTCAGCAAAGTTTTGGACAACATCCTGCACTACCAAATAATGCACAAGGACTACGACCAGCCATTTTACTACTTTGAATAAAGAAAATCAAGACGGTATTACTGTATTTCTAGTTGAGAAAGAATGATTCGAATTTATTGTGTAAAGCGAGGTATCACTGGATTAACGAGTGGAAACGGTGGGCAAGCGCCCCTTTTGTGATTTCGAAAAGCGAATGATCATTAATCCGCCTTTAGATCATGCTCAGTGTTGGCTTGTTCGGGTGGCGTTATTACGAAGAAGCCGCGCTTTTGGGCACAATGCCCTGTGAATCGAGATCTAAGTCGCGCTCAACAGATTGTTGCTTCAAGCAATTTCGCCTTTCATTCTTCCCACTCGTCAATTTAATTTCGAATCGCCATCTTTTCAATTGATAGAATCGAAAAAATCAAAAGTGGACATTGAAATATTTTCTGTATTTAGCCTTTTAACGCATGTCACGCATAATGCCCATTTTTTGACCGTCATACGCAGCTAGGTTAATTTTCGATATATTTTTTAGGCGCAATAATGCAATAATAGGTCCGTTTTATCGACTAAAACGATTTATTGATGTTCATTTTTGGATAACCAATAAGATTGCTGTATTTTGCCGACCAGCCAATCAAAACCCTGATCCATAAAATCACTTACATAAATTGGTTTAACCCCTTTTTATCAAGTTTGAAATATCAACAAGTAGATCCTTAATTCGCTCCGTTTCATTGACGCTAGTTTTAGAAAAGTGAGAAGGTAGATTTTGTTCTTACTGCGCGTTTTCTAAACCTCTTACACGAGCCTTGTTTAGAACGACAAGTTAAGGCGCTTTTTCGCAGCATTAGCAAGAAAGAAATTTCGCGCGCATAGTCTAACACGTTTTACAACTGAACATTATCGTAATTCTGGCGAAATCTATTGACAGCGAGAATTGTTTTTCGCCCGGCGCCTGTCAGCGAAAAATCTTGTTTTAAGGGATCCCCCCCCGATTTTTCAAGTCTTTATGACGGGTGTCTATGCGGCATTTTTAGAATCCCCGTGTTCTGAGGATCCTTTTGATATATTATATGTCCCCCTTACGAGCATCTTTACCCAAAATTTTGACCCTCGAAAATCGTAAAAATGCATGTAATTTGTACTTAGCGTGAAAATCGCAATTTTTTTCGACTTTTCGATGTCATCGAAAATAGACGTGTAAGGGGTCTTTCGAACGCTTACAGCGCACTGAGTAAGAATCTGATAACCGCATTCGGATTTTCGGCCATATATCGGCGCTAGAGAGCAATTTAGAGCCAGAAAAGGGCCAAAATGGCATCAAAAAGTTTTTCTTAAGAAAAAATTTTTCTTACTTGACCAATCGATCTCTCTGTACTAGAGATTGTAGATGAGGGATCAAGAAAGATAATAAAAATTGATTTAGGGCTCTATATAAGAGCAAAAAAAACTAGTTCGACTTTGAAAAAGGCCCAAAACGGGGGTTTTCGCGAGTATCTATGTATTCAGCCCGCTTTTTCGAGGTGTTTCCCCTTATGAAAATTTTTTTCTGTACTAGAGTTTGTTCATTGAGAAACGGGCTTCAAAATGAGCCATTAACCATTAAAAAAGCTAAGCCCAGAAAAAAGTAGTTCGACGTCAAAGTTGGCGAAATCGGGGGGGGGGGGATCCCTTAAAATTCGTAAAACACGAAGAAAAATATGAAAAAACACAGCGAGATCTGATTAGAAAAAGTTTCTAATTGAAAAGTTTCTACTCAAAGTTTCAACTAAAAGTGATTTTGATCACGCTAAGTATGGTGATTACAGGCTATCAAAACATTCACATGTCCTTAAATGACATTCAGAAGAACAGTTTAGCATGACAGCGCAAATCTTATGTCATTCATTAAGGGTGTCAACAACGATCGAAAAAACTGGCTGAAAATCGCTGTTGACACCCTTAATCTATTATTACTTTGACATAAGGAAAACGAGCACCTTTTTCTTCCTCAGAATTTACATATTGACACCCTTAATTATTGCTTGATTTTATTGACTGTCGAAACATTCTCACATGTCTCTAAATGACATTTACAGAGATTGGTTAAAAATAACATTCCGACATGGTTACATGTGACATGTCCAAAAGTAGAAATTATTATTCATGAACGCAATTTCTAAAATCCATGTTCGGATGGTGCTATCACGTGCCTGGTTCCTCGTACTTGGCCAGGTGCTGTTATTTTACGGGGAGAGAGAACTTATCTCCCTCCGAACGCTTAATTCACCTCCGCTTGTCACCGAGGCGAGTAGCACCACTCCAACCGCATTGTACAGAAGCCACTCACTTAAACTCCAAGCTGAGCTACTCAGCTGAAGCCAGATAAGTTCTACCGTTTGTGCTTCTAACAAAACGCGAAGACGCGAATAAAGGGTCAAGCTAGAATTTCAAAGAACCTCAATTTCAAGTGCGATGGTCTTGGCTCGGCAACCTGTATTGAAAACCTGAGTAAGGTTCTAAAATTTTCTTCGTGAAAAGCCACATAGCGGCTTTTTTTAAAGAAAGCCGCGAAGCGGCTTCAAAAAATTTCAAAAAATTTTTTTAAAAATTTTAAAAAACATTATGTTTTTTTTTCCGTCTGACAAAGCCGCTTTGCGGTTTTTATTGAAAGATTTTTCAGACCCTGAGTCAGGGTCCCTGAGACAGGTTATCTTCACAGGTTGCCGAGCCCAGGATAAGTCCGACTTTATTCAAGCTTCTCCCAGTTGGAAATTATGCAATGAAGAGTCGCGCCAACAAGAGTTAGACAAATGTCTAGGAGTAATAAAACAATATCTTCTTACAAGAAAATAAAGCAGGATTTTCTCCGAAGCGATATCGTAATATCTCCTTTCAAAAACGTGGCGCTGAGGATAATAAAACTTATCTTATCACCGCTTGAACATGTCATACACGCCATTAGACCTAAAAAGCCCTGTTCCCGTGTTGTTTCGCTTTCTTCAAATTCAGAAAGAAAAACAGCTGGGAGAATCGTGGCGAATAGACGTGGGTATTGGGCAATTTGAGTGTCCACGTCTTACGATTCTTTTCGCAATTTGAGCGTAAAACCAGCGCTACCGCGGAGAAATAACAAAACCGTACTGTTCAGATGAACTGTCTTCTGATCTCTTCTTTCAAGCTTATTTTTCAATTATAACGACAAGATCGAAATATTTCATTGAAACGTAAAGTCTTTACCATTTGAGAATATACGGAGATCAAAGCGTAAGAATTATTGTTGCTGATTATGAGCTAAAAAGAAGAAGCAACTCGCCGAGTTTCTGATCTGAGCTCATAGAAACGAGTTGCTTGAGCTTTTGAATTTCACGAGCTGCGCATTAGAGTGTCTTGCCTAGTCGAACTCAGCTCGCTTCCTCGGAGTACACTTCAGATAAGTTACTTGA